TACTGAACACTACTGACGCACTCAGGGACTATCGTGGAGGCTTGTGCCGACAACGTCGAGACTTTCTGCGCGGGCGCTGTTCTATACCAGGTATTCTATTCTCTTCGAGTGTTGTATACTATAAACTCTAACCGGAGCGTTGTCCTTAGGTCGGATATACGACGATGATTTTACTTGTCGAAGTTCTAGTAGCAGATACGACTTCCCTTCGATCCCGTCTGCTCTTTTCCTATATCCCTGCGACTCCTTTCCTTATAAATACCTGGGTTGGTGGCGACATCGCCTCTGCCGTGTTGAAAGTCACCAGCTGGAACTGGGGCATTGCGATGTTTGCAATCATATTTCCTAGTAGGTAAATTTCTTGCAAACTTGGGATCTTATCTGATTCATGTTAGTTTGTACCATCCCACTCTTTGCGACGCTGCTTGTTGGACATCGCAAAGCCAAAAAGGCCAATGTTGAGACATATCAACATCCTATTCGGCTTCTAGGTGTAGGGAAATTTGCTAAAGAATTGTTTTGGTACCTGGATGTGGTGGGAATCCTGCTTTTGATTGCTTTCTTAGCTCTTATTCTTGTTCCATTCACGATCGCCGGTGCCGCGGCCGAGCAATGGAAGACTGCGAAGATTTTGGCACCGCTAATTATAGGTTTAATCTGTCTGCCCCTGTTTGTCATTTGGGAGCGTTCTTACGCCCGGTATCCCATGGTTCCCTTCAAAGTAAGCGGTTGTGGATTCTTTCTCGAGCAGTCACTAATAAGATGTAGCTGCTCAAGGACCGCGCGGTTTGGGGCGCTCTCGGCATAGCAACGATGCTCAACTTAGGTATGTCGATGTGAGTCTGGTGCCTAAATACTATGCTAATAACCCTGTAGCTTGGTCATTGCAGGGCACATACCTCTACACCGTGTTGCAAGTCGCATTTGACCAAAGTGTCCTCAGTGCATCACGTATCTCGTCTCTATACAGGTCCGCTATAGCTGCAATGCAATTTCCTTTTCCCCGAAAAACGAACCTTTCTGACTTCACTAGCTTTGCATCCGTTATAACAGGATGTATACTCGGGGCGATCATTATCAAGGTAAAACAACTGAAGCCTTTCATAGTTGCCGGAACCATTCTTTTCGCGGTGGCTTTCGGCATTCTCATACAGTTTCGCGGAGGGACAGGTAGCTCAAGCTATTCTGGTATTATCGGCGGAGAGGTACTTTTGGGTATTGGTGAGTTGTTATACAATGACTAAGAGGGTTAGCCCAAACTGATTTGTGTTGTCAGCTGGTGGCATGTTCCCATACCCGGCCCAAGCAAGTATACAGGCTGCCACGAAACACGAGCGTGAGTACAAATCTCTACATTGAACGATCTAGTCTAAGATTCACAGATCTCGCTGTAATCACTGGTCTGTACCTGGCGTTGTACAACGTTGGAAGCGCTATAGGAGGTACAATTTCTGGCGCTATATGGAGACAGAGGATGGGTAAAGAGCTCACTAAGCACCTTGGTGTTGCAAATGCCACTCTCACCGATTTAGCTTTTGGGCAGCCTTTTGATTTTATCGTTTCGTATCCTGTCGGAACACCTGAGCGGGAAGCTGTCACCCTAGCATATAGAGAGGTCCAGCGTCTCCTTTGCATCACTGGCATATGTCTGACGGTGCCTCTGATCGCCTTTTCTCTTTGCATCCGCAACCCAAGGTTGACGAAAGATCAAAGTCTTCCCGATGCCGAACGGGAGGAATAAGTGCCGCCCTTCAAGCTTGCTTGTTTAGCAGCGTGAGTCAATGCAAGACTGGCGTTTCTGGAGCAAACCTTGACTCGGAGGCTTTACTACTTCCCACTAATGTGTGTTGCGTGAAAGATTGAAGGCCAGCGCATTTGATATTGTCAACCTAATCGTGCTAATACTTGTTAATACTTGTTTAATATTGTTGACATCTAAGAAACTCAGAGCAGCGCACCTTAAGAGGTCTCTAGTGAAAGTCTAGAACTTTATATAAAAACGAACCACCATACACGATATAGTTGATAATACACTGATAATTCTGTGATGTAATCTAGTATTCAGTGCATTTCACTTTGTCAGTAGACATCCGTTCGCCTTATCTCAGACGCAGGTCGCCTCGCTTTTCTTTTTGTTTTCAGACCATCTAAGCTCCCTGTTGGTGAAGAATAAGGCCGACCTGAAAGTGAAGTTCTATGCTTCACATGTGGGGGATCAAATGTTGTTCTCTGTTCGCCTTTGTCCTTGTCTATGTCCAGCGAACGTCACTATTCCCTACTAGACCGAGAGGCATCATGTGCCAGTTAAAAGTTAGACGGGGTCAACAGCTCATAAAACGATTGGAAGAGACCCTATGTCTCACCGTCAAGAGTGGAGTTCAGGTCTTGTCAGACCACCCCTTCCTGTCCCACAAACCCGGCATCAGTCCCGAGTTTATGCACTCATACCTAAGACAGGCCCTCAATATTTTTGATAAAGCCTCACTGGATAACGCCCGACGCCCCACCAATACAGAATTATCATTGATGAAGCCCGCTAAAGCGCCTCATATGCACATATCCTACAGGTGCCTGTCGTACCTAACTAGTAAATGACCTTTTTGCTAACTTTTAATTCTCAGTTGGTGACTCCGAACACCCCGTATGCAACATTATTGGAAACATTACAGCACAAATAACTTTACCATGTGGAGCGACAGAAAGGCTCTTCTGGAAACCCCGGAGAGGTTCCACCAATAGTCCGTAACGCACATAAATAGTGCTATGAAGTACGTAGGTGGTATATATTTGGTATACCTTGCTTCGCCGGCTCGGCTAGGGGCTAAACATCTGACCAAGAAAGCATGATTAGTATACAACATCTTGGCTGGGGCTGATCATGGCATGCCCATTGCCATGACGTTATACGGGAGCCTACTTTAACCCGCTCATTGTGATGATCAGAGCGGATAAGGAGCGTTGTTGAAATCCGTCATTTGCCATGATCTGTGACCTAGTTGCTAATGGTTGCTTATGTAGCTAAAGGGAATATTTCCTCTCTAGTGAGGCCCCTTCGCTTGGTACCATTATAGAAGCATGCTCTGTGGGCGTGAAACATTGCTTGTCAATGTCAAATACCCGCAGTCAAGTGCTGTATGGCTTGGATGTATGAACAAGCTGATGGGTTTCAGACTCCAGAGCGTGCTGGTGCATATGTTCAGTATATGTGTTACGGGAACTCCGAGTTGTGATCTGATCTATGTAGTGAGTGTGACCCATATTACCCGCTCGATCTCCAATGCTACTCTTGTTGGCCTGTATACCGAGGAAGAACGTCGAGAACAAACAACCTACTTCGAATCTTGATGTCAAGAAATATCGCACGGGCCCTATGGAGGAATTGCTCTGGCATCGTCTGTGAAGTGGATACGACACGTCAGACCGAAGAGTAGTAAATAAAAAGAAAACAACTAAGCGAAGACGTCAGCAGTGCGCTCCCAGGGTTGAGGCTATATCTCCTTGGTTTGCCACTCTTTCTGCCATATATTGCTTAGTGATAACATGTGGAGCTCAGGGGTATGCTCAATAGACTATGGATAGCGGAATCCGTCTTCTTTCGGATACGGTAACTGGCCGCAGCGGCACGCCTTCAAGGCCCATTGATTTCGGTACACATCAGGGGTCTCCGCAAATATGATTGAAGGATAGACTTTCAATTAGAACTGAAGAATGCTACACGGTACTACCTCAAGTAGTTCTTCCGCCTGTCAAAATTCAGCTCCTTTCCTAATTCTTCAAGTGTATCAACCAGCCCAAGAAACTCACTTCTTCGGAGAGCTGTAACAGTATACGGAATGCTAGCCATGTTTCGATGACATTAGCAGACTGGTACACCAGGACTTACCAGCTGAAGAGCCCGTGTATCATGAATCTTTTTGCAGACTGGCTCCCTGGCTCCCTGGCTCCATAATGGAATCCTACGTTCGGATATTCCGATGGGATCGTATCAACACAATGCCGAATACTTCCATGCTATGCTATGGGCTCTATCTTCCACTGTGAAGCTAACGCTGGAACCTGGCGACTAAACAAAGTTCCAGACCCTGCAGAGCATGACTCTTGTCCCTTGATTCGGTCCGCGAGAAAATTGTATCTGTTGCATTAGGGACCCATTGCTGTGACGCGAAGGGTGTGACTTGCACTTCAACTTCCAAAAGGAGGAAACTAAATGAAGGGCTGCTGCCGATCGCTATGGGACGGCATACGTATTCCCTCCAATTATGTACGATGACGCGACAAAAGAGCTCCTCCGATTGCCAAAAGGGATGTGATTTTCTTATCCAGATAAATTCGAGATAGATGATCGTTAAGCGGGAGCAAGCTGGAATATACTACAATTCACAGCATACACGACACGCAGTATAACCTGCGCATTATATGCAGTATGATAAAGACGTGCTACGATAACTACTACACGTTGATTAAAGACATACTCTCGTTGGTTGTTGGTCTTGCCCAAGTCCACAGGAGCCGTGTGGAGAATTCCCGGGCCACTTTCCGACTTCTTGGCATGTCGGACGATTTGCTGCGCCACGATGCTAGCCCTAGTCTCCGGGGTCTTGTGCAGTCGGATCAGGTATAATTCGCAATGTGCAGCTTCAATGTGGGCCCTTCTAAATGAGAAGGGTCATTTACCGCTTATCCGACATCAAAAGTCCGCAGTAAAGCTGCAAGTTTTAACAGCTCCCCAACCCAGAGTTAATGCCAAGAGGTGCGGAGACGGCAAATGGTTTAATGCATGAATCTTGGCATTGTTGGGCAGTGAAACAGTTAATATAAGCTTGTGGTCAGTGTTCGTTCCAAGTCTCAGTGATCGTCACCCACTTGCCCTTCCAAGCGACCTGCCAGAGATCAAGCCTTTGGGAAAACTTCGGAACATTCTTACCCAGCCGGAATATCTGCTATCTGTTTCAGCTTGGTCCCGAAAGAGTGCTTTCGACCTGGAAGAGAGTAGGAGGGAAATATTGAAACGTGCCAAGGGCGTCTATATTCCGCCAATGACTCGAGCAGGGGAGTACATATGGCAACATAGCAGACACATTGAGGCTATAAAGCCTCTGCATTCCCACGACCATGAACCTTGGATTTAAGCAGACAAAAATCATCTTTTCTTTGACTTATTGTGCCCTTTTTTAACGCTCTGAGAGTGATCCTTTCCTTCCAATAACCAACTTCTTCAATTATTCACAATGCTTCCTAAGGCTGTCCTCCTCTCTCTCCTCGCCTCCATGGCACTGGGTGCCAGCGAGTTCCCTATTCCCGAGTCTGCTGGCACTGAGACTTTCAGTGAGCCCAAGGAGATCGCCGCTGGCGAGGTCTTCGACGGTGGCTTGAAGACTTACGGCCGTGGCGTCGAGTGCACTGGCCAGGATGAGGGTGGCGACAGCGACGCCGTCTTCATCCTCCAGGAGGGTGCTACCCTCAAGAACGCCATCATCGGCACTGACCAGATTGAGGGTGTCCACTGTGAGGGTGCTTGCACCATCGAGAACGTCTGGTGGGAGAAGGTCTGCGAGGGTATGTGCTGGTAGTCTATTTTTATTCGGATGAAAACTGACTTTTGTCGCAGACGCACTCTCCCTCAAGAAGGGTAACGGTCCTTACAAGGTCATCGGCGGTGGTGCCCAGGGTGCCGAGGACAAGGTGATCCAGCACAACGCCGGAGGTGAGGTCAGCATCGATGGCTTCGTCGTCTCCGACTTCGGCAAGCTCTTCCGCTCCTGCGGTAACTGCGATTCCCAGTCTCAGCGCACTGTCACCATCTCCAACGTCAAGGCCTACAACGGCAAGGTCCTCGCCGGTGTCAACGAGAACTACGGTGATAAAGCCACCATCACGGACACTTGCGCCACTGAGGTCAAGGATATCTGCAAGACCTACGAGGCCACCGAAGGCTCTGGTGAGCCCGAAGAGATTGGCTCTGGCCCCAGTGACTCTTGCGTCTACACTGACCCTCTTCCTTCCTGCTAAGTGCATTCTTAGTGTATCTGAGGGGATATCGGACATCTTGGGCGCTTTTCTATTTTGTACTATTTGTCTCCCTGCAAGGCAGTCAAAGTCAATCATACTTTGCTGCCTTCCTGTATCTAATAACATAAAGAATTTGACCCTTCTCTGATAGCCCCCGGGGCTGTCCGAGCTGGATTGGGATCAACAGTTATTTCATCGTACAACTAGTAGATGATGTGCACTGTGAGCGTATTGCTCAGTAACTCACATCATACAACGACTAACAACCCATGGAAATCCCTATGCGCCGCATTCATTTAATTTTGTCAATGGAGCCCTTTCCCAATATGGTGAATAACAATATCATTGTAAATGACACTCTATAAATGCCGAAGACTATCAATAAATGTGATAGGTAGACACTATATTGGTTGTATTGCTCAGGTTTAATCTAAACGTTATGTGGCGCCGGTTCTTTTGCCCCGGCTTAATATGAAACGGCTCTTTCTCCCCCACCCTTTTATATTCATAGTTCCAATAGTACGGATCTGCCAATTAGGCAGAGAATATAAAAATAATAGAGGACATTTATAGCCCAATACCAGAGTATTGTATGTTCATTGTTCAACGTTCGAGGGACATTACAGTGATGTTAGGTCCACGGTGAATTGAGTTTTGTAAACTGTACTACTCTACGCCAAACACGTCCTTTGGGATGGGTTATAATTCGGATTGAGGATTATGGTCTAGTTTGACGGTATACTAGCTAGATATATATTATTCCTTGATTTAGTAGATTTATGTATAGCGGGAATAGGGAGTAAAAGAAAACGAAAAGGATTGGAGAAGAAAAGGATGCAAGGCAGCACAAGAATAGTCCACATTCATGAGAATTCGATATGAAGCATGTTCCAGTTAGTCAATTCTTTCAGTATGTCTAGCCCGAAGATTAATCGTACGGCATACCGGTAATAACCATACGGAGACCGGCAACCCCACAAACGATCCCCACCGAGCTTAACTCCGACCCAGACACTGTCCGTCAGCGAAACGCATAAGACCGTCGACTTACGCCTCCATAGTTCGTCCCGAGCATCCACCACTCCCCAGGTCCCCAACAATGGCGCCCGCAAGCGAGATCCCCAAGCGCGATTCGGAACAGCTTATACCGATTCGGACACAAAAAAAGGAACCCGATGACTGGAAGGGTCTCACGGACTCAAAGGAACGGCGACGGCGCCAGAACAGGATCAACCAGAGAGCCTATCGTGCGTATACCCACTAAAATCTCACCCAACCTAAACCCTAAAAATGAACGGGTATACAAGAAAAGAAAACCAGATATTAACCAGAGAAACTCAGGCCAACGTAAACGAGCCGAAAAGCTCGGCCTGACCATCAAACCCGAAGAAGCCGAGTCCAGCACAGCATCGTCATCCTCATCTTCATCGCAATCCCCACCCACAACCGCCCTAACCACTGCCCGATCAAACTGTCCCACCCCCGAGCAAACCGCCGCTATCCTCGACCTCTTCAGCAAAACCGCTTACCAGAGCTACATCCTCGGTTCCCCGACCTCCGACCACCTCCTCACCCTCGCCAAAGTCAACGTCTTCCGCGCCTTCGGCTCCATCATGACCACCCTCGGCATGCCTAAACACCACGAATGGATGCACGACGACGCAATCTCTCCCTTCACCACCCTCCGCCCCGGCTTCACCATCCCCTCCACGATCCCCCCTAACCTCCGCCCGACCCAACTCCAACAATCCACCCCCCACCACCCCTGGCTCGACTTCTTCCCGCACCCACGAATGCGTGATAATCTCATCCGCGCCGGCGACTTCGACGATGAACCGCTGTGCCTGGATATCATGGGGTTCTGGGATATGAGCACCGAGAGCTGCGGGTTGTTGGTGTGGGGGGATCCACAGGATCTGGCGAATTGGGAGGTGAGTGAGGAGTTTATTCGGAAGTGGCCGTGGGTGGTTGGGGGCTGTGGGGAGTTGTTGGTTTCTACGAATCGTTGGCGTGCGATGAGGGGGGAGAAGTTGATTTTTAGATATCTTTAGCCTTTTTTTTTATATATTTTTTATCTTATAAAATGGGATGTACAGTGATCTAGTTGGGGTAGGGGAGGGGGTTTGTTTTGGGGTATGTATATGTAGGTACAGCTGTATGTATGGAGTTGAAAGGAAGGATGCATAGTCTTACTACTACCTACTAGTCCTTAACTACTATCTTGGAGAAAGAGAAAGAGATCGGACGATGAGATCATCAAGACCCTTATCACCGGCGCTAATGCACATTGCTTACGCGCTAGAGCCCACTTTATTTTCTTAATTGTTTGGGTCATCCAATAATAGGAACTGGTATGGGCTTGGCCCGTTATTTTCAACGTGGTATTGTATTGTATTGAACAGTATGTCGTCTTTGGGTTCTGGGCTTGCCGGGAATCGATATAGATGCGGTGCCGTGGCATGACGCGCATCAAGATCTCATCGCAATATCAAGGACAATGGAAATGAGTGGAACTAAAACGGATTGAGATTCGGGAATATCATCATTATCAGCGCACCCACCCATTTGTACAACCATACCTCACATCACACACTCCATGTACACCTAATATAAGAAAACCCCCTCTCCTCAGTAACATACCCTTAAGTACCACATCAGCGCAGCCATGGACATAAAGAAGTAGAGGAGCTTCTGGGTCAGATGAACTGGGCCGAACGGAGTCTAGTGATGGAGACGAAGCTGTATCCCGGTGTTGGGAAGCAAATGGGCGGGATGAGTGTTTTGTCGTATGAGCATACGCCGGAGGATTTGCGGAGGGGGTTAAAGGAGAGTTTGCAGGCGTTGGGGACGGAGAAAATTGATATCTGGTATGTTCACTTTTCTTTCTCTTCTTTGTGATAGTTTTGTTGGGGGGGTTGTTAATGGATGTAAATATCTACATGGATCGGACTACGCCGTTTGAGGTGACACTCCAGGAAGTCATCGAGCTTCTAAGCGCTGGTCCAAGGGCAGTTCGCTAAGTTTGCTCGCTTTCCTCGCTTCATAGAGTTTGCGTTTGTACTACCCTACCAGGTAGTGGAACGTATACAGTGGTTATTGGTCGAGCAAGCCAACTTCTGCTTTGTTGCTACGCTTATCCCCTCTTTTACAGGAAATATTGCCTTTTGATACACCCCAGGAGGGTGGTATTACTGTGAAAAGAATCTTTCCTGCATTTTTGAAAGAGCCTAATCAAACGGTGGTAGTCTCCACAGCAAACCCATCTTCCGTGATGCCAGTAAATCAGTAATTTGATTCGTAAGGATAACCAGATAAGAGGTTAATTAGAAGATTTTGGTATGTGTAAGTCCCCTAATACCTTTTTATACTTCTCATCCTGACCTCTGTCCCTGACGGTTTCAGCTGCAGGTTGGTTGGTCCTATGACCTTGTGTCATCAGATAGCACCAAGTCTGCGTCTCTGTGGCTGATCATTAGAGATTAGAGACATCATCACAGCGCTGATATCCCAAGTACTGTACTGGCTTGTACTTGCTATTAGGGATGTCCTGTGAGTACTCCATACCTAATGCTAATGAGATCCGTGGCGTCCCCGCAAAAGGCGAAACCCCATCGCCCCCAGGCTTAACATATCCCAATCACGTGACCACTGCGTGCTTCATCTGCATGACCATCTCTTTCGACTTGCGCGGCAACGAAGATGCTCTCAAACAATCACTTTTTGCTCCTTTAGTTTTTCGATTGTCGGACACTCACATTATCGAGTGCTATGTGCTTCCTGTAAGGTAAGTAGCATTAGCGTCGCTAGTACCTTTTTTGAAGCATGTGCCGACTCCTATCTACGCGTCTTTGGTGCACCGCGCAAAGTATTATATCAAACTCAAAGCAACATTGCCGCTCAGCCTCGAGAGCTTCATCGCTATCTCACGGTCATTGTTCCATTAATATGCGCTCCTCTCAGACTGGTAAGCATCCCCATCTAAGCGCGGTTGAACATATCACTTATATGGATAAGACTGGAATTCCAACGACGAACTTTTTAAATTTACTCGTGGTCGCTTTGTTGTGGAAGAGGCGGAAAATCTCCAAAAGCGGGAGACTAGATTTGACTTGAACAGGCTCGCCTGTGTCGCGGCAGACTCAGTTGGCGCCGGTCAATGCATTTCTATCAAGAAATACCCGGACGGCATGTTCAACAAAGCTTTTCTTATGACTATGGAAAATGGCAAAGAAGTCGTTGCGAAGGTACCTAACCCGAACGCTGGTGTTCCACACTTTACTACAGCTAGTGAAGTCGCCACAATGGATTTTGTAAGATTACCTCGAACTCTATGACGCTAAGATTACTTATGTGACTCATGTGGTAGGCGAGAACTATTCTTGACACTCCAGTGCCTCGGGTTTATTCATGGAACCCGCAAGCAAAAACGCATCCCGTCGGGGCTGAGTTTATCATCATGGATAAAGTCGAGGGTGTTCCGCTCTCTCAAGTCTGGGGTACTATGAAACTGCCCCAGAAGCTCCAGGTGCTTCTTTCTGCAACACGTCTCCAGAACAAATGGCTGAATGTTTCATTCTCGCACTATGGCAGCTTGTACTACGCAAGAGACGTACATCAGCCAGATAGCGGCACCTACTACGTTAAGGATGGTATTGCCATCAAAGGGTCAAAGTTTGCTATTGGCCCTACTACAGGCCGGGATTGGTCGGATGCGGGCCGTTCAAGTTTGAATATTAACAGGGGGCCATGTATGTGAGAGCTTTTATTGTCTTTATACGGCTACTGATCAACATATAGGGATTTCTCCAGTGCAGTATCTACAAGCAGTCGGGATGCGCGAGAAAAAAGCAGTCCAGTCTTTGAAACCAGCAAAACAAATTGCTTTATTCTGTGGACCAAAGCTCTACAAGCCAGACATGCAAAAGAAGCTTACTGCTCTGGCAATGTACCAACAAATCATTGAAGCTCTTGTTCCGGAGGACGCTGCCATCATGGACCCACGTCTCTGGCATCATGATTTGCACGATGACAATGTTTTTGTAGATCCAGAAAACCCCGAAAATATCACAGGTATCATCGACTGGCAGTCCTGTCATATTTCACCACTCTTCAATCACAATCCCGACCCGGCCTTTCTCGACTGGGATGGCCTTGAGCCCGAGACACTCGATCTAGCACCAAAACCAAAACTTTCCGGACTCTCCTCAGAAGAACGGGTTACGGCTATGCAGGTGTATACCGTCCAGAACGTATTCATCGGCTGGCGGAAACTTATGCATGCAAAAAACCCAGACCTATACCGAGTCATCGAATTCCGAAAGACGCCAGCCTATGGCTTGATCTTTCTTGCCCACCGCATGTTCGAATACGGCGAGGCGCACTTCCAATCGCTCTTGGTCGATCTAAAGGACTCATGGGAAGACCTACCTGCTGTCACCCGTGACGCCCCGTTCCCCTTTGACTTTTCGAAAGAAGATATCGAGCGTATTAAGATAGATAGCGATGGTGCCGTTGCCGGAACCGATCTTGTTGCAGAGGTCAAGGAGAGTTTGGGTGATTTATGGCCGGACAAAGGCTTCATAGAGCACGAGCGATACGATGATTGCAAAGCGGCTCTTGACAAAGTCAAAGGTCAGATATTGGAGCAATTGGCTGAATCTGACGAAGAAAAAGCTGATTACAGGAGGTATTGGCCATTTGACTGACTTCTATTGCGAATAAACTTCGCGAGGAGAAATGAGTATCAATGGAGATCACGGCCAATTTATCTCTCAGTTTTACTATCGTTTCAAATATGAAGCCCGCTTGCTTCCAGATATTCGGCATTTGGAAAGTGGGCCTCGAAGCCAGGGGCTGAATACTCGCCTTCGCTTTGGAAAACCTGGCCTTGTTACACATGGGCCTTATTTCTATTAGGTTCTACGCGCTGGAATTGATGGATGGTGTATGCATATCCAACCCAAATATCCACTTTCTCATACGAACCCCTGATGTGCAATAAGGCCAAACATCATTGTGCGACATTCGTCGCTCCAAACCACTCGTTTCTTGATATACATACGCACCTGCGAATCATAAGTTACCAGTAGCCTGCACCGTGAAGGGCGTGCTGTGCGGCGCATGCAAATGAATCACGACTAGTTCCAATTATCAGCCAGAAAACAGTCGCTACGGTTTAACGTACATGATCATCGCTACAGAGCAAGGACTCCCCTATGGGCGCGCCCTTCTCCACGTTCAGATCCATCCATTACTGACCTCCTGCTATCGCAGCTATACGATTATCTAAGAGTTTAGTTATAGTCAACATTCTGTCCGAAGTTGTCACGAAATAATAATTCGAAATGATGTAAAGAACCTTATTAAAGGTATTGTTGGCTGATATACTGCCTTAGACTCAGTATCTTTTATCACTCTTTTAAAAAGAAAGTAATATACTACCAGACCTGGCAATCTCGTCTATTACCCAAGTCTATCGATGTCTCGTGTGGACGAGCTGCTGGGAAACTGTTGTTACTATTTGCTCGCGCTTCCTGGAGGTCCTTATTCACTGGCTAGAACTGTGCGGTGTGGTATCAGTTATTTGCATATCTGGACTGGTTATCTGTGACGTGGATAATATCAGACAAATAGGCAGATTTAGACTGGAAGGATTGACACCTTCCTTATAACTGGTAACCTCGGGTGAATTATGCTACTTATTAAGGTTACACTGCTACACACATATCATACTTTTATTAACCAGAACGCTGACTTTATTGCTAGCTATAGTTATACATCTTTCCGTAGTATTTTTACTATATAATGAAATTGGTATCTATAATATAGGGATAAAACAATAGTACTTATAACTATAAAAGCCCAGATAAATCTAAATAAATCTAGGCTGTCTAGATGGAAAACAGGGATATCAGATCAGAGAATGCTAAAATATTTCTAATTTCCGAATAAGGAGGGAACTTCCCACCTCCTTAGGGTAATTTCGCTTTTTTCAAGGAGTCTTCCCAAAGGATGACTTCTGCAACTGACAACTGAAAGTTTCACACTATATTCCACGAATCTCTCGGTGTTCGCTCAGGCTAGGGAGGCAAACCGTTACGCAGAGGGGAGACCGTAGAAAGTTACCTACAAGGACTACCCAGGGGGAGGAGTGGCTATGTTCATTATACAACCAAAATCATACGGGAGGCATGCATTGCATCCCTTTTTTCCGATAAGCTCAAAAAAGAATTGCAAGACGGAATCCGTCACGCAGGGGAACTTCCGATATATTGGAAAAGATGGTAGAGAAAGCAATCACTGTTGAACGTCAACTTAATAAGGAGAGATGGCAGAATAGTCTATATTTCAATTGTGGAAGGTCTGGTTACATAGCACAAAAGTATTTCTAATAGTTAAATCCCAATTTTCAGGTGTAGCGGAGCGGGGGAAATAAGCTTAGGGTACTAAATTTTAAGTGTCCCGCTATATAAAGAATCACTAAGGTCCACATACTATATCAGATCCAGTAGGAGTACATAGCCCAGATAGTATAGCCCACACAGCGCACTATATCTAGCAGAAGTATAGAGTCCAGATGGGTACTAAAGTCCTGTCGGAAAAGTGGTCCAGATAGATGAAGGTAACTCTATTTTTATAGATTGGTTTCTAGTCTTGGTAATAGAGAACCGTATAGTTCTGTAACCGAGAGGGCCTGACTTCCTGAGGCAAATCCGGCCAAATAGAGTAATGAATAGTAGCTACTTTATTTTGATCCTCTGAATACCTGTAAGGGAACTATAAATTATTAGATTATATACCATATAACTACTCCTTATCCCAATATTAATCAGAGGAGGGGGGGGGGAGAAGATATCCCATTAGCTAGAGTAGTGGAATGAGAGAGTAATTAGCACATGGCTCCGCTTCATAAAAACAGTCTCATATCTAGACTACTTTGTCACTATAAAGCATAATTGCTTAACTAACTTGCAGTCTCAAATACAGCTAGTTGCCTTAGTTATTCAGTTATAAACAAATTTAGGCCTCGCGCATTACTTTTTGGGTCTTAATTAGATATATTATAAGATTTACTGAGACAGCTGTCTATATCATACATGCGATCCTGAATGAAATGCCCTATATACTACTGTTCTCCGCAACCCACTGCTTAGTTATTGTCAGTTCTAAACTATGATCATTAACAGATGGTATTTCAATAGTATTGACATATAATATTGCTTCTTAAAACCCCAAATATAATACTACTTGTGCTATTCCAATAAATTACCTACAACTCAATAGGCTAGTTTCGGAGTTTTTGCTCCAATAGAAAGGGAAGGCACAGTAACTCTTCCATTATCCACCCGCGAGTAGGATAAAGCCCAGCTCAAGTCCTCGATAGCCTATTTCGAGAAGTCTTGACCGCTCTCTAGTTATAGATTGGGCGCCCTTCGCCTATCAAATCAACAGATGCATAATCGCCATGCATTAGCATCCAGAAAAGTCTCTCTATATGTGGATTGCTACCTGTCATGTGAAATCCCCGCACTGTGGCAGAAAATATTATTACATGTCACCCCCGCTGTAGAATAACACCACCTCCAAACTCCCACCTATGGCTCTCTGGATACATTTTCTATTAACCTTCAATTATTCTCTTTTAATATGACCGATAAAAGTGCCACAGAGCAGAAGAGAGTCGAGTAAAATCAACTTATAAATATGTCGATATTATCAGATAAAGAAGCTCGGAGAGCAAGAGAAAAGAAAGATATAGAGCTATTATCTCAGCAAATTGCTAACAATTCAAATATTAGCCAGGTAATATTTTCAGGGGAAGAGGCATAGAAAAGAAGACAGAGCAAGAAGAAGGATTAGTAGATAAGATAAGAAGAATAAGATATAATAGAATGTCTTCTTACGCTATCTGGCACAATAGAACCGCTCACGAAAGAACAGAATACAAGAGAAAGCTTTCAGACGCATAGATCATCATTGTTGTCCAATATTATTAAACCGTTTTCTTAACCGATTCTTGTACTCTTTCTCTTCCTCCACCTTCGTTCGAATAAAGTCATCAGCTCCTACACACCAGTATGGGCTGACAGTTCGATCAAACACGCGTTGAGTGCAATGTTCCTCACAAAATTTGCGTTGGATATGCTCGTTGAAGACACTAAGAAGGCCCTTTGGGCTATGTGAAGCTTGAAAATACCAGAAACTTCCACTATTCCAGCATTGTCTCATAATCTGAGCCTGGAAAGCATTGGGGTCTTGAAGCCTTTTTTCCTGTTCTTCAAAGGTATCTATGAATTCATTGATGATCTTATCGAAAGTTTGTAGATGCTCTCCATGTTCAATGTCATCAATAGGCCGACCGGATAACCAGTATGGGGGTGTTTGTAGCTCGATCGGGAACGAACATGCCCATTCTAGGTCAATAAGGGACGTTATATGCCAGTCTTCATCAACGAAGATGTTGCTTGGGTGAAGATCAGTAAGTGTAAGCACAAATGGCCCATCGCGATATTGACGGGACACAAATTGATGGAGAAGACCGCGCATCATAGTCAAAGCGGCAAATTGCTCCTGGCCGTCATTTGTGCTATGGATGGCATTTGGCTGGTAGTAAATGCGGTTGTCATGGCACTGTAAAAGATCTAGAATATAAGGCTCTACAGCCTGGTAAGTTGAGGCTCTCGGGATCGTAGGAATACCTTCATTTTCAAATGTTTGGAGTCGAAGTGTCAAGGGGCGGTTCGTTACACTAATAACCCCATCGTCACTTAAAGTCAGAGACCCGATTTGCGGCAACCGTGTACGATTCAATGTAATTACGATGTTCGCGAGGTCACGGAAAAGAGTCTGTCTGCGTGAATTATCCTCAAGAAGATATGTGGCCCAAGAATTGGAAAGCATCTGACCATTCTTCACGAGGCTTATGATCATGTATCCGGTTCTCAATGGATTCGGCCGTCTGAGGCCGATATAGGGGCATGCTGCAGGGAACCCAAGCAACGAGTTGATGGTCCGTTTTATACGCCACTGGAGTCGAGAAAGGAATGATACAGAAGATACTTCAGCAAACTAGGAATAGGGCACTTAGTTAATTTGTTCTGAAAAATATTAGATCTGAGTTCACAAACAGTAAGCCCATTGGGGAACGCGAATCCGTATAGGGACGGAATAGGGACAGTCGGGCAATTCTCACGAATCCAAATATAGGTAGCTACTTCGCACCGCAGCTTTTCATCCATATTTCCAGGATTAAATGTCTCTCCGATTTTAAACGGTAAGGGGATTCGAACAAGAACCGCGTGCTCAGATGGAGGGTCAATGTAGACTGGAATGCATACATTGTAGCTCCCGAATAACCAATGAGCTTCATCAGCTACCTGGCAATGTTTTGCACAAAGATGAAAGCACACTAATTCTTCGATATCATTCTTATGAGAGAGAAGATACGACCAGAATTCCTTCTTTTTCTCCGGATAATCTAACCGATGGAGAATATTGTCGTCATCTTCCAAGGCATCTTCCAAGGAAATGCTGTTTCCCCTGAAAAGAGGAAGGCTTGTTGTCATCTTGGGAATATTCTATCAGAGCAGGCAGAGATGTACAGTACTTGGACACTATCAAAGCTTGGACTGTTCACAAAATGTAGGACACCTTGCAACTGATCACGTGATCGTAGATACTAAAATAGAATCCTTTTTCTCCTTTTTCAAAATCGCAGTCGGCCTTTTGGAATGGTATATATCAGGCTTCCTCTCTAGTCTTGTCAGTTCTACTCTGACTAGAAGGTACGTGCCATTCACTGCGTCCAAAAGTCATGTTAAAAAAAAAGAAAAGAAAAGAAAAGAAAAAGGAGGGAGATAGCAAGCAAGTGGGTCTTCGCAAGCACAAAATTCATGTCGATTCGTCAGACATCCCGGGCAACTGGAAAAGTCTCAGAAAGCCAGCAGGCGCTAATTACAAGTTTGCCATTGTATATTTTTGACAGCAAAGCAGTGAACATAACTTATCTGTACTTTCATGAAGTCCGCAGCAAAAAGACCGTATCGGGCTGAAAAGTGCCTATAAAGTTCTTACAGTAAGCCAATAAAGATATTCTTAGTGTTACTGAAGTACTATGTATAAGTGCCCAGATGGGCCAGGTCTTGAAACAGATTAAACACCATATTCCATTTCCTTCCGAACTAGACTGCATAAGTGGTGGCTCAGCTAAAAGACGTGTAGCCAAGGCCCAAGGCCAATAATAGCTGGGATAGTTGAGGTATTGTGTCCAGTAGAATACTTTTTTGAGAGCAGCGCTTAGGTGACTTAATGGGCCCAGGCATCAATTTGGTTCGGGAATGGTATCGCATTTGATATGTGCCACTTTCTAACAAAAGGACGTGTATATGGTCTGGTATCTCTACTATATTGAGGAGAATGAGGGCCAGTAAGACCCTAGTAAATACAGGCAAGTAACTATATAAGTATTATATAACAGAATACCCGGACAATCAAAAACAAAATATTTTACTGGATTTAGTAACTATTAAGCCAGTATATTTCTAGATAAAGATATTAAAAAAAAATTAAATCTAGGAGAAAGTTGAAAAGTTCGTTCCGCCGCCTGGACAGAAGTTGTATTGTTTCAAATATGCAGCTTTTAAATGCTTGAAGCAGATGCGACGCTTAATGATGTTGCAATTCTCCCATTAGAAATTCCTCAAATGATCAGCCTTTTCCCGCATTCTTCAGAGCATCGAAGCTCTGCATTACCAAGGCATGATCGATTTCAGGCTTCACAACCTTTCGTGCGATATATTGGCCCTCCTGAAGTCGCGCTTGGACGATTTGTTTCCTCGTCTTTGACTTGATAACCGTGTGTAGGCTCTTGGTTATTCCATGGGCTGGATAGGCAACGAGACCAATTGCAGCTGGTCAAGGGTCAGCAGGGTTCGCAAAAAAAAAAAAAAAAAAAAAAAAAAAAAAAAAGGAGAAAAAAAAAAAAAAAAAAAAAAAAAAAAAAAAAAAAAAAAAAAAAAAAAAAAAAAAAAAAGACAGGGCTAGCCTACCTGATGGTACTTTGGTGCTGATGCTAATTGTTCCTTTGAGGAACCCTTTAGCCATTCCCACTGCACCCTCTTCCTTGGCTCCCTTGTGGGTCTGCGTGAATATATCGGTGAAGCCTTCTCGCATCCCTTGAGTAAAATTCTTGCCACCTGCGATAGCACCGCTTTTCCAGTCGCGAATAGCATAGTCTTCCACCTCTTCACCATATAGACGTGGCACGGCCCGGAGGCCCTCCGTAGCAGCCAGCGGAATGTCGACAATCACTCCCCTGTAAACATGCTTCATAAAGTTGCCAAATCCTGCCGCCCCGGCACCTATAGCCGCTCCTGTGGCATCCCAGTCGACCTTGTTCTTGCCACTAGCAGTTGTGGTCTGTGAGTCGACCTTGGAAAGAGAATCTTCGGTGTTGGTTGCTGCTGGAGTTGTATTGGATCGGCCTTTTAGCTCTTGGTACGGTTTCATAAACATATCCGATGTGGCTCTCAGCATATCGGTGCCATACCCTATCGTTGCTGAAGTTGTGCTCGTGATCGGATCATATCGGCGATTCGTTATGATTATAGGACGGATTTCGTGTCTGTCACGTTAGCTTGGATGATAAAATGAGCGGGGACAAGTGGGGTCATACGACTGTAGGTTCTTAGACTCAATGCGCAAGTGGTCCAGTAAAATCTGAGCGCCTAATTTGGAGAGAAAGATGGGTTTGGCGGACTTTCTGTATATCCACGACGCGGGCTGATCGGGAATTACCTGGCATCGCATGCGGTCCAATGGGAGATTTCGATGGAAGGATTCCACAGCGGCTTTGACACCCGACTCGTATTGCATTTTTATAGAAATGTCTTTCGCAGCCTCCTTTGCTTGAGGAGTGAGACAGTGTCGGATTGCCTCAGCGAGGTTTTCAGCCGTCAAAGTCTTCTGTGGGATTGGCTCGGAACCAGCACCAGACGCCGCGATCATCTTACCCCAGAAGGGCTGATCTCCAAAGAAGGGCACAATGGCGGTAGGTTTCCCGAAGCGTAGGCCACATGCTGTTGTCCCCGCACCACCATGATGTACCACAGCTGATACGTGTTGAAAAAGCCATTCGTGAGGGCAGTCGCCGATATACAAGATGTCTTCTGATGAGGAACCCCCGAGATTACTCCACCCTCGTGAGATAATTGCACGAACCCCGACCGCTCGGACGGCTTTCTCGAGAATCGAAGTGAGCCGCGGGGGATCATCAATGACGATGCTACCGAAGCCGATATACACAGGCGGTGGGCCGGCTCGGAGGAATGCATCTAGTTCAGACGAAGGGGTATATATCGGCAACTCACGAAAGAAGAAGCCGCAGACATCTAGAAACTTAGTAGGGCACAATCAAGAAGGGTTGGAGAGACGTACCGATGTAAGACGGCCAATCCTTGGGCTTGGGTACCAAAGCTGGAGACCAGCAATATGTGAATGGCACTTTGAGTGTCTGCACAAGGCTCGGCCCTTCCGTGAGCGGAACCCGTTCGAGATCAATAGTTTCTCTCCAGTCGTTGATCACGTCGCCAAGTCTAAATACAGCAGATTAGATAGTTGTCTCCACTATGCGAACGCTTAAGCTCACCCTTGCCAGGTCATCCACTCCACGACTCCGTACGAAACGGCATTTGCGAAGCTCGCGTTATTCCCCGAGTATTTCAAATTGGCTAGCGGATGAGGGTACTCAGATGTCGAACTCCAAGGCATCGTGAACATCAAGTGTAGAGGAACACCTAGGGCTTGAGCACAGTGGACATGCGCAAAGCTGGGAGGGTTTGCAATGATAGCGTCGGCCACGAACGGGGCCCCCGTGCCAGGGTCATCCTCGATACAAGACTTCCAGCATCCTTCCAGCATCTCTCGGACCATCACCCGCTTTCGTGTGATCTCGCCTGCCTTCAGACTCTTCATGTTTGGGATGAGACCTGGGTTCTTCACCATAAATGCCATGAGTTCTGCAGGATCGCCGCCTATCGGATAGAACTCCAGACCCGACTTTCGAACGAAGGAATGAAATACATCGTGTGTTGCTAATCGTATTCGATGGCCATGCTTTTGCAATTCGTTCCCCAATGCAATAAAAGGTTGAACATCACCTCGGCTCCCAACGACATGAATCACAATGTTGAGTTTGATATCGCATATTACTGGTCCCGAGTAGGTTGGCGGCGGGCTTATTAAATCGTCTTCACTGGGCCGGGGGATAAACTTGAGAGCAGTTCTTGCCGCGGGAGAGTCGAGATCCACGTCGATGCGACCGTCATCTAATTTGTCAGTGAATGGTAGTGATGTAATTTGCTTGCCAACTATACCTTGTACTGTGCTGGATCCTGATTCTGCAATCAGTGTATAAGGTGGAGGAGGGTCTACTACTTCCGCGAGGTCATCCGACTTCGACCGCTGGAGAGGTTTGGAAGCCATTATTGTGCAGGAACGTGGAGGTTTGATGAAGGGACATTATGATCTGGTTGAAGGTGGCGTTTATATAAAAGATTCTATTAGAGTAATGTGAAGGTGAGGCCTGTTTGATCGGCGGGGATGAACCTAGTCTCTGTCGTACTCGTGTTCGTTACTGCGATAGGCCTAAGGCGGTGGACATTTTTTTGTCGAGTGGATCTCAGCCAAAAATAAGAATCGATTCTGGTCGGTCGATCACCCAAATTTTTCAAGGATAAGGCTGTGTTGTGATATCGGGTATTGTTATAATTAGACACTGCAACGATTGGCCACAAGATAGAGCCCGGCAATAACTTGAGACAAGACATTGTGTGGATTTTTCCAAGTTTGCATTGCTTCTCTGTTTATCGAGCGTGGCAATTCATATCCACTCCGCCTTGTTTGGAAATATGGTTATGGGCTAGTGAGCAACTAGTCATCAACTAGTGGAACGCAGCCGTTGCATAGTCTATGATTCACCATACTAGATAATGTTCTAGAAGGTTTTATCTCATTTCCAACCAGATTATACGATCACCCCTCTCTTAAAAAAAAGGGGGGGTGAAAAGTAAAGGACCTTTTCATGAGTTCTGGGGAGAACTACCTATTGTTGAGCCACTGGGAAAGATGATTAACCGAAGGTTATTAGCAAGCTATCCTTGCTTAGGCAACAGCAAGTCAGTCTTGCTCTTAGTGGTCGTCCGGGAGCTCATATTACCTTGATCTGACCGCGCTTGATTCGCCAAGGTGCTTCACATCAAAGAAGCGTCGTAATCGGCTAAGGCTGCACTGTGACAGAAACTAAGCTATACCCAGTGATATCAGATTTTAGGTAACATCGTCTCCATAGGGACTCACCGAGCACCCTTCATTCTTCCACATGGATTCAACTACGTCAACGCCGTCAGCGCGTACGAAGGCTAGGTACCGGACAGAGCCGGAATAATATTGTCAAACCCAAGATATCATTAAGAGTTGCATTGTGGGCCGGTTTGGAGTCGGTGCGGAATAAATGTACACATGTCAAGGGAGAAGGAGCGTTGGTAGCAGATTGTGGCTTGACACTAGTCGCCTTAAAGAATGATAAGTGGCCCTGCAGTTTCACAAGGACCGTGTAAGATAGCGCATCCGTAAGCAGGACCTAACACGAACGCGAGTCCAGTCGCACATAAGAGACATGTGACCCGCCTTGACCAGTAGAGACGGTCTGACCCAAGATCCTTGGGATACTCGTGTGGCAGAGACATGCTTGGTAAATCGTACGTTGGCGGGACCGACATACTGTCGTTGACAAGCCCGAAGAGAGTCGATAGTCGACCATTGTGACTGGTGGCAAGCATAATGTTTGAGTCCGTGATTTTCTTTTGCCAAGTCTCTCTCCCTTTGAACATGGCTAAGTTAGAAGTTTGGCATGTGCACATTAATCTAGCTTTTATGAAAGAAGACGCCCGATCCATACTGTACACAAGGGTCGATAATTTAACCCTAACCGTTTGTAAGACTGGTGTGCTTTCCTAACGGTGGTTCTAGATGCAGATAAGGGAAAATATAACCTTGTCAGTTGCAGGGTCCACAGCCATCATTTGGCAGAAATCAATGTCTTTTGTATGCTGCCAAATTGAAAGCAAAGCTTAATACCCCTCAACAACTGTAGGGTCAGGTTTCCGTGCTACAACAACGGTTACTGGCAGATATGCATGTGTTTTGAGATTTCCAAGACATCTGCACATTTTTGCCAGGAACAGCTGAGCTTCGTCGTCCGGCCACTTTAGAGTGGATGTAAGTAAACGTAACCCAAACCCTTCTATTCCATCATGCATTCAAACATGATTCCAGTGACCCTGTCTCGGTAAGCGGTGATAAGAGGAAATAGCATGAGATAAATCGCTAACTCACGAGCTCGTGTAGCTTAGGGTCTGAACTCCACCTATTTCCAAATAGCGCATAAACAAGGGTCTGAAGAAAGACGAACATACCCATTTATTGGCCATTCATAGTTTGTTTGAACCACAATAACGAATCCCACCTGCTCGAGACGTTACGCGCTTTCTCCCCAAATTGCGAAGTTTTTACCCCAGAGTCTTGCTGCCTCTAGGAAGGTATAGCTCCATGATTGGTAGAAATGGTCTGGACCTAGACTGCCGTCATCCGAAACTCACTGCAGTGAGTGTTCCACCACCTCAATAGAGCCACCGGGCTTGAGGAAACACAAACATTGCCGAAAGAATTCGTCCCAGTCCGCAATACAACCAAACAGTTTACGTAAATGGATAAAATCAAACTGATTCCCAGCAAAGGTCCACGGGAGAGTAACGTCATCGATCTTAAACCCACAGTTCGGAGGGATAAAGGATGGCTGGATCGGTGATAGGTCGACACCGATTCTCCTTGCACTAGGATACTCATCAGCCATGTCTCTATGTTCCGCATTAGCCTCAATGCTAAAAGGGGAAGATATTGGTATGTTCTTCCTTACATTACCCATACTCCAGTACCAGTACCCACATCCAGGATTTCCTGAAGGCTATCAGACTTGCCATGTGCAAGACCCCACAGAATCACAAAGTGTTACCTGTGGATTTCCAATTGGTGCCAAGTAGGGTTAGTGACTAAATCGGTATCGACTTCGTGACGGCCCCAGCATAAACTCACCAAGCACGCGCCATCGCGGAAAGCATAATATCGAGGACCATTTTCGAAACGATAGTCGGTGATATAGGTCGCTAGAGTTGTAGTATCATCACCTCTCAAGGAGTCGGCTCCGGAAGTAGTATCACCACCGACATCACGATTACCAGTACCATCACCCAGGAACTCTGACTGTGTGCTTCGGAAAGCTCAGAAGTACGAGATGTGTTGTTCGATGTTGTAGTACTACCATCACAGTGATGGTGGCTTTCATGATCACCTGCGGCGCTGGTTATACCAAGGGGAATTGGACGAATTAGTAGAACTCATTGCAGCGATGCTAAACAGTAATGTGGTCGAAGCAAAAGCTTTAAATATGTGAGGAAGAAAGGGAGGAGATGAACAGGTAACAATGGACGAGCACATATCAAAGGAAGAGTCAAGCAACTACCAAGGATAAGGGCCGTCATTAGGATTGTGCAGGTCTGGAAGAACTCTGCTATTAGCAAGAGTCTCAATTGAAGCTAGGTGACTGGGTAAGGTACTACCATTGAGTAGTCAGTACTCCCATAGGTTGAGTCGTCACTACTTCTCTGCAACCCCGGACTGGTCTAGCTCATTGAGTGGAAGGTTTATCGCCGAGTCTCAAAGAGGACTGGTAGGGTCACATGTTGGACTAGCAGGAACCTTGAGGGGAACCGACGGCACCTGAGACTTTCACCTAGACCAGTATTTGGGTCAGTCCGACAACTACCCTGCCCTACAATCTCTCTCCAGACTCACTATATCGTACGGCACGCGGAGTCATTACTGAACATCTTTCTGTTATCTCTTGCAGGTGCCCATCAGCGGGCCTTTTCTTCATTTAGTAATGTGTGATACGCGGGTCTCACCTAGCGAAAATCTTGGATATTTTATTTGTTCTACATATTGCAGGGCTCTGCGCTGGAAGGGCAAAGGGCGAGTATCAATTTAACCAGCTCATAATGAGTAATTCAAGTCAAATATTTGCTTAAGCAGTTGCTGATTTCTGGAGGAGTGCTTTCAAATGACTAGCGGATGACCACTGAGGCTGGAACACAACGCCCCCAGAATTTAGTCTAGGTGCTAAAACCATTATTGGTATAGACCCGTAGAAAGTGTCATATGGATTGATGATGCCACTGGCGCTATGACGTACCAAGTGCATTTGCTATTCCATCACGGATGCTGCAAGATCAGCGATGATTTCGAAGCAATACCTGTCCGAACAGGACATTCAAAACAGATATATGATATTGCAGTAGGAACGGGAAAGATTGACCGTATCTTGAAGCAATCCAATAAGGGGTACATAAGGCTAACCGATCATCTAAACTCGGCATAGGCAAAGTCTGCCGGAACCAAGCAGCGTTGTCGTTCTCCAAAAGCGTACAGTCCAAGCATCATCCCCGTAAAAGGTGCACCAACTGGTGGCGGCTGAGTCATTGTACTGTTCTGAACCTCTCCTATCCAATGGGTCTGGGAATCAACACCGTTCACCTCTCTGAACCCGAACCTATACCGGTCTCCGCATTCAATGAAGAACACCACATTCGACAGTGCGCTGTCGAGTTCTCGATCAATGACTTCTCCTTCAGCCGGTCGGAATCGCACAATGCGCGTCCCTTCCTTTGTAGGGGAGAGCCGGATCCCAATACTGCTGTAGGTGAAGTAGTTCCACCAGACGACAGTTCCGGCTTCTGTATGGGGTGATTGAGGATTGAAAGATAATTGTGTCTCCCAGGTGCAGTAGAGGTGGGTTTGTTTCCGAAGAAATAGAGTCGGGCAGCTGGGAACGGAGAGATTATATGGTCCTCCATGTAAACGGAGGTGGTTTGGTCGCTCTATAAGCGAGCAATCTGTTCTCATCGGGGTATCTAAAGGAACCAGTCTCAGCTTAGTATCATTAAGCACGCTTTTACAAACCCACTTTTGCGGTACCAGCCTAGCTGTAATTCCGGACCCGAGAAATCGTCTCTCCATGATACGGGAGGTTGGTACTCATAAAGGTGTGGACTTTCAGATTGAAGAGAGATCTTCTTGCCCTCATTGAAGGTCGGCCAGTCATCCTTCCACTCCACGGGTATCAGGAATGTTTCGCGTCCTATTGTCACAGTAGGCCTTGAGTCAGTTCTGCACCATATGCCAAAGAACGAAGAACGTTACCAAAAACAGACTCCTCCCAGTAAGCATTTTTTCGCACCGGTCGAACACCCAGCAAAACAGCCCACCATCTTCCCTGGGCATCCTCCACCAAGTCTGCATGCCCAGTATTTTGCACCTCGTCATTAATTCCATTTCTCCAAAGGGGATTACTCGGCCCCACTTCCCACGGACCGAACGGGCCCTTCTCACTGCGACTCACCCATTCGCAATGACCGCTTTCTGTACCCCCTTCGGCGGTGAAAAGATAGTAGTATCTTCCGCGCTTGAATATATGTGATCCCTCCGAGACGCCAGAGGTAGATTCTCGGATGAGCTTCGGTTCGGATGTGGAAGCACCACTGGCAAGGTCAATGGTAGCGATATGGATGGCAAAGTCTTTAAGATTTGCGTTCGGCGTCCTATTTAGTTTGCGATAAGTTGATGATAGGTAAACTGTACCATCATCGTCCCAGAACAGCTTGAGAGGTTCATGTTAGAAGAGATGTGCACTCTGAACATGGTGGGGGACGAGATATACGTACATCCTGATCAAACCCGACCTGGTCGAAAAACACCGGGTCCGACCAGGAATTTGAATCCCAGATGTTCTCTGTCTTCACGTAGAACCCCCGCGGCCAAACGCGATCATCGTCCTGCGGGCGATAGCGTTCGAAGCTAGCAGCAATTATGTAGTAGACGCCGTCATGATATCGTAGGGTGGTCGCCCAGACTCCACCGCCAGGTTCGGGGGTCTGGATGTGGATCTGACTGCGTCTGGTCAGTGCGTGGCCGATCAGGGTCCAGCGTATCAGATCAGTGCTATGGTAGATCGGAGCCCCGGGGAAGTATTCGAAGGAGGAGGTTACGAGGAAAAAGCCATTCTTCACGCGAATGATGGAAGGGTCAGGATTAAATCCGGGAATAATCGGATTGTTGTACATGATGACAGCCGTCCAGTCTATATGGTTAACCTTGCTACCCAGAATGGTATACAAGAGGTGTCTGCCCGCAGGTAAGCTAGTATTTATAGTTGTGTCTTGCAGCACAGTATTATTTAACGCCGTGACGGGATTGGTGGATAAATGTCGCTTTGTCTTCTGAACTGCCAATGGAGGAGATTTTCACAACAGTATAAAGCGCCCCAATATGATTCCTTAAGGAGGTCTTGCAGGATCATCCTCTTACCCCACATGTTTGAGACCTTTTCCATCCGGTCAGGGTCAGTGATAAAATTAATTATTTAGCAATATTCTTCCATGGACCCGCACGTCACGCCCCCTCATACCTTGTCTCCACCGATCACTCCACGATTTACATACTCAACGACCTTAGTACTAGTAAGTACTAGTTTTTCTCTCTGGGGGTCCTTCCGTAACTTTAAATTCTCTTACCAGAATTTCCAACAGCCTACAATTTCGTCAACGCCAACTAAACCACCACTTGGTTCGAGCAGCGGTCATGCATATAGTCAGTTCCCACGTCGTCAACCGCCGCGTTCCACCAAATTCCACGAAGACTGCTATCTAAGCATGCACGAGGCTTTTGCAACTTACCCATTGGGGTAAAACAGAAATATGCCAAGTGTTGCCGCAAGGTTTCCTTCCGATTTTGGTTATACACCTAGATGATATCGACTTAGTCTAATTATGTATGACCTTGAGATATCAGAACTACAATCAAGGACACGAGCATCCACGAGACCATCAAGATGGGCATAGAGGTTCGAGCGATTCAAAAAGAGGCTTTTGCCTGAGTGAGCTACTCCCGGATCATTTAAGAGGTTCTAGCTGGAAGTTTAATCATAAAGAATGGAAATCCTACCAAGATACGGAACCTCAGTGATTTGCGCGGAGTAGCCATGCTTACTATTCGGTGATGACTTTTTCACCACCTGATCTCTGTGTTCTGGTCATAGCTCTAGATCTCAAGGAGGGTTGGTTTGATGGATTTGCATTGATTCATCAGCTTGAGTAGGAATGGGCGACATACCCTATCGTTCTTCTATGCCGGTGTGCCTGTTTCAAGCTGTTTGCGGGAACCTGAGAAGGTGGAAAACTTCCCCCTCAGTTACGATGCGGGGTCGGATTGATGATAACACAATGAGTCAAGCGTGGGGACTGAGAATTTAGGTAGAGACTCAACAGAGGGGACGGCCTCTGAGATAAGGTGACTTTTTTAAGGGCTTTTCCGCGACCGATACGAACGACACGTGCTAAATATAAATATAAATATAAATCTCAATGAAGACACCATGTGCCCTAGTCTAATATCACACAGTACGATTATATATATTACAGTAAACTAGCACAATCGGGCCCCACTCAGGATTTTCCAACCTTCAAGATCGCATTCTTACCACCAGTTCGCACACATACCGTCCTTCCCCCGACAACATGCCCATTCACATCCGTTATGCAACTGAATCTGATAGCCCGGATTTGGTCCACATCAACACCGCCAGTTTCGCCCCGGGTCTATTTTACCAGAATGCGTTTGCGAACGTTGAAGCATCGGCCCTACAAATGTTGAAATACGCACGAACTTTTGCACGATTTGTTGATCCCAAATACCATCTCTTAATTGCGACGGACTCCGAAACAGGGCGTGTCGTCGCCTTCATGCGAGTGGCTATTCCCCTTCATTACCAACAAGATTCCCATTCACTTGCAAGGCTATCTGAGGACGCAAGTAAGATGGCGGCTAAACCGGATGAATATCTACCCGAAGGAATCAACAAGCGCGTTTATGCGTGTTATTTAGATATGCTGAAGACTTCGAGGGAAAAATATCTCGGAGAAGATGATATGAGTGCGTATTCTACTTCCCCCTAGCTTTTCCCCTCTTCTATTCTCGCTTGTCTCAAATGGCCCTTGTATATTCTCTTCGGCTAGGGAAGGCTAAAGAGCACTATAGTTCTGGATTTCTTAGCCACAGACCCCGAGTACCAGGGGAGGGGAATTGGCAGTCAAATGTTGAAATGGGCTACGCAAAAGGCGGATACCCTGAATGCACGAATGTTTCTGGAAGCAACGGAAGAAGGCTATCCGCTTTATAGGAAGTATGGGTGGAACACACAAGAGGAATTCGTTCTAGACTTTGAGTCATTAGGGGGGCATAACAAGGGGAGCTACTATATTATGATCCGAGATCCAATTCCCGCTACTAGTCAGCCTAATTAACCATATCCTGATGGTTACCATCCCTTGGGCGCAGCTTACATTCGATATCGTTCTGAGAAGAGCCGTATAACGGATTCTTAAAGCCCGGTGGTGCCTCCCTCAATACTATCTATTCAAGTCAAATCCGCGTCATGTCACTGAGTAAAGGTTTTTATGAAACCCTGTTTTGCCTTTTCACTGGCCAGGATAAAGGTTCCAGGCAACCAAGGGCAAGCCCAGGGGTGTTCCCTTACAGAGTATCCACAGCTTCATGAGCCGAGACTGCCTGTCAAGCCACATCCGGGCCCCCACATAGCCGCTTACGTGCCTGCTTTTGATCCTCATCTACCTCTATCTAGGTGGCGTACCACGATCCCCTGCGAGGAGCTAGTAGCTAAGGCTCGTTGAATCAGCGAGTCAGCTGCCCTATGATACCTGTTTTCGAAGCACACTCAAGCCCAGCGCTTCAGAAAATCCCCATAGGGGAATAGCCTCAGAGTTTTCCCACGCTTCCTAGCGAACAGCACATAATTCACCGTCAGGTGAACAGGTGTTCGCTCGCACTCACCATCAGTATGTGTCGCTTGAAACGCTCGTATGGGGGCAGCAGTTTGACATGCCCTATAGCTTTTATAGCACGCCCAACACCAGGTTCAGCAACGATCGTCTATTAATTCTCGATGATGAACGGGTAGTATTGTAAGAGCTGCAACAGTAATATTTTCGTTGTTCTTTGTTTCTTTTCTATCGCGAATGTGAAACCCACCTAGCGGTATTTCAGGGTCTACAGGTTTTGAACATATGTTCATATGAGAGGTTCGCCCAGGAGCCCGGTCATTGTGGAGTATCATCCTAGTTTAGGGGGATATGGCGTTCGCCAGTCCAGGTACAGTACCTACTAATAGCCTGCGTGATCAACAGTTCCCCCCACCCAAAGCCTCCCAGAAGAGTTAGAGTTCTCTTGCCCCTTTCAGGCACTACCTAACATGGGCCAGCTAACAGCTCTTGTCGCAAGTATGCTAGGTATGGAGTAAATAAATATTTAGGTGGCAAATCTAGCTCTCGGTGTCTATTACGGTAAGACCGATTTTGGGTCGATCGATTCGATGAGTCTTCACCATCGAGTGTGCCAAATTGCGTAATGACGCCCGGATAACAGTTCCAGGAGCTTGCTACCGGTTACAGCATTCATAAGGAGGCGTTCCTCGAGCTTGCGTGACCCACGGATACCTACTCGCTCGATTGGTCCCTTGATCTGCGCTGGGATTAGGTTTCATGGTACTGGTAAAGCTAGCTCGGTGTAGCTGTACAGCGACGCCTGATGGGTTCGATAGTTGGGTCAGTGGCTGAGGCCGACATTTTCTTTAGCATGCTCTACCCTTCTTGAGAAACCGCATACCCATTGTCTATCCCGTCATCTAGCACAATGCCGTTACTGTCAAAGCTTATAAAAGCTCCCCAAAGAAGCGGGGATCTATCGTCAAATCGAACAACTCCAGTCTCTGATCGCCGGTATTCATAATACCATATTACCAATTTTAGTCTTCGCACTAACGAGATTTGCCATCCATGACCACGAGGGCTGCGGAACTTCTTGGTGTCGTTATATCCTTCCTCGCTCTCGCCTCGGGAACTGTGGCGTTGCGATGCTACGTGCGCCTACGGATCAAGAGGGCCTTTGGGTTGGATGATGGCCTGGCGGTCGGAGCCTTGGTAAAGTCCTTATCTTTGACCCAGGTGTTGTACACAGTATAGCACCCGCCCTCATTCAACAATGCTGATACTTGTATCTTGGAGATTTTCTTCATCGTATCGGCATGTGCATTACTTGAAGGTGTTCGAGGTGGCAGTTTTGGGCATCCCTGGACGGCATTAACGCCAGAGGTTCTCCGCAAGGGCTTGAAGGTAAGATTTGCAACAGCCGGTTCCTTCGATCATCAACTCATCATGGACTCTAGCTTTTATTCCTTTACGAGTCATCCTATGTAATCGCAACCACAATGGTCAAATTCGCCGTGGGTATATTTCTCTTGCGCTTCTGTATCGAACGCTACCATAAATGGGTTATCTATGCCATTTTCGTCCTTCTCACTTGTCTCACCATTTTCATCTTCATCTTCGTTCTCCTTCAGTGCCGGCCACCATCCTGGTTCTGGAACCAAGCGATCAACCCACACGGCAGTTGCGACGGGAAGGGCCTCATCAGAGCTGCCTATGTGCATTCGGCCATTACGGCCTTGAGCGATGCAACCCTTGGACTCCTGCCGATCCTCATTGTCCGAAGTCTGCATTTACCCCGCTACATCAAGGTACACGTTGCTGTGATTCTGGCACTTGGCTCAGTGTAATAGGTTCCTTCCACTGTCCTGAAGAAGTAAGATGCTCATGCTTCGCGTTTATTCGCAGTGCCTGTTTCGCAACGATTGCAAGGATGTGTTTTGTCCACCAGCTCACCGACCCAAAGAATCTATTCTATAATACGGGCGTGATATGCTGGTCTTATGTTGAGGTTGGCGTTGCACTCAGTACCTCGTCTGCTGCAACACTCCGTCCCCTGCTGGACCAAATAGAATGTTTCGTTCCCCGATGGCGACGCTTGAAGTCCAACCAATCCGCCTCAAATGGCTCGAATCATCATGTCACATCCCCAGCAACCTTCGAGGAGGCGCTTCAACAGGATAGTCCAGGTATGACTCTTGCCCCCATTACCCCTTTATCCCAAGTATAAATGTACATACCGGGGAAATTGAAGTAGACTTTCTCTCGTCTTTACAAAAAGTTGTGGCCAACTGCATGATGGTCGCGACGCTACCTCAGCGTAAGGAAGCTGCTTTTAGCTCCATGTTAGCTATGGCGGGTTTTATATATTCTCGTACGTATGCGCAGGAATACATAGCGTAGAAAACCTGGGAGGAAGACAGCTTACCACGTGTTTAAGCCGGAACGCTTCCTCCCTCCATTTTTATTTTTCTTCTTCTCTTTTTCCCACTCACCCCCCCTCTCCATTTTCGATCCTCTGTTGAAAAAGGAGAACGGGAAAAACAGGTGGAGTCCGTGAAGGAAGTGACCACGTTAGCTCGCCCGTGTGTTTTCGTGGGTCCAACGGGGGGAAAAGCCGGGGAAGCAGGACGGAAGAATCAATTGAAATGAGTGTGATTATGTTCGGGGCTCACGATGATGGCTTTTCTGGGACGTGAAGGGTGGATCTGTCGTCATTCCCGTATTTCACATGTGATTGCGGGTTGGCCAACGACGAAGGAAAAAGGAGTGCGCCCCCGATTTGCTTCCTATCCACAGTATTGTAGTTTTGTTTAGTCTCAAAGCTCTCACAATTCCTGCTGGTGAGATCATGTGAAGTCGAGGGTTCTTAGCACGTGTCAAGCCTTATGCTTGAATGATTAGTTGTTGTTTGGATTTCCTTCCCTCCGCGTCGCTCCTATTTTACGCCGGAGTGGCTGTCGGGTTGCATGGCGGAAAAGCAAATAGGAAATCGGGCCACGGCATCGAATTCAGAGGGGAAACTACTACGAAAACATAATGATTCTAGTGCCCAATTCTACTACTTCCTGGTCTGGCTTGTCCCCTCGCAAGCAAAGATCGATATAGTCACGTGCTCTGCGCCGCGCGATGTGGATCATGAACCTTTCGATGTGAGGCTGGAGCTTTAAAGATTCATGATCGCGACCAATATGTAACACACGGTATTTTTCTTCTTTGACATTATATTATATGACCCGATCGAGATCTGGTGTAAATTCTGTCGCATGTAAATACAGCTGTAGATGCTGCGCTGGCCCTGCAACTGATCGTTATCAGATAACAAGTCCAAGCAGGGCAACAAGCCAATCATTCTATACGCTCAGACTCTGATCGCTGTTGAACTGCTGCACGCCCTGCCGATTTCGGGACAGACCCCTGTACGCAGTGTAAGTTAAGTTGCCTTAGTGTCACGTACCTGGTGAGTAATCAACAAGCCTAAAAGATGACTCGGTATCGTGAATTCCGATGGCTCGTCGGCCGAGAAAGTTACGGTTACTGACCTGTCCGAATGACTTTTGGAGTTCGCCTCTTGCCGGTGAGGTAAGGCAGCAAGGCCATCAACCAGCAAAGAACAGCCGAGGCTTCTGCCCCATCGGGCAAGCGCCGCGTTCACCCTCGGCCATTTTGTGAAAGGTTTCTGGGGCATTTTCCCCGTGGAGTGAGTGTCCTGCCTATAAGTCACCCACTTCGCCTCCTCCCCCCATCTTTGTGACCAGATTTGTTTTCTCTACGATTCTCCTTCTCTCCTACCAGTCGGACATTGTCCATTCATTTTACAATTATCACAATATGCCTTCTCCTCCCCCCGCCTGGGTCCAGGCGTTGAAGCCGGCCGGCCCGCAAGGCTCCGAGCTGCTCGCCCAGGAGCGCGCCCAGTCCAACGTCGACGTTGACAAGTTGGCCGAATTATTACACACCAAGAAGGCATTGGACCGACAACAGCAAATCCTGTCCATCCTGGAGGCGGACAAGGTGTTCGATAAATCAGAGAACTACACTTTGGGCCGGACAGAGAAGATTCAAAGAGCGTTGGCCAAGGCGAAGCGCCTGCAGCAATTGGCAGTGCAACACAAGTGGTCTCAGGATGACTACTACATGGCCAACGATCTCTTGTCGGAGCCGACTCCTTATGGCCTCCATGCCAGTATGTTCTTGGTGAGTGACGCTGCAACGCTACCAGCCCATACTAGCCGACGTGCGACCGCTAACGAACATTCGATTAGGTCACTTTGCGCGAACAGACGACCCCTGAGCAAAAGAAGCTCTTCCTTGAACCAGCGTCGAAATACGAGATCATTGGATGTTATGCACAGACGGAATTGGGCCATGGTTCCAACGTCCGTGGCTTGGAAACAACAGCCACATGGAACCCTGACGATAAGACTTTCACCATCCACTCTCCTACCCTGACTGCCTCGAAGTGGTGGATCGGCTCTCTGGGTCGCACTGCCAACCATGCCGTGGTTATGGCCCAGCTGTTCATTGGAGGCAAGAACTATGGTCCCCACCCGTTCGTTGTCCAGATTCGCGATATGCAAACCCACCAGCCCCTGGAGAATATCTACGTGGGCGACATCGGTCCTAAGTTCGGTTACAAGTGAGTGGTCCCTTTCCATATGTATGGTTCTTCCTCGCGTACACAGAATGCTGACTGGACCAGCACGATGGACAATGGTTTCCTTCTTTTCAACAAGGTCAAGATTCCCCACGTCAACATGCTGGCCCGTTTCTCCAGCGTCGATAAAGAAACCAACAAGTATTTGCGCCCGGCATCTCACTCTCTCTTATACGGTACCATGACCTGGGTCCGCTCCAACATTGTGCTGCAGGCCGGTAGTGTCTTGGCTCGCGGTGTCACTATTGCCACCCGTTATTGCGCTGTCCGTCGACAGTTCCAGGACCGCGATGGCGGTAAGGATGCTGGAGAAAACCAAGTCCTGAACTACAAGATGGTCCAGATCCGCCTTCTTCCTTTGCTCGCTTCCATGTATGCTTTGCACTTTACCGGTCGCGGTATGATGCGGCTCTATGAGGAGAACCAGAAGCGGATGAAGGGCGCCGTTGAGGCGGGTCAGGACAAGCGAGGCGCAGGCCCTGAGCAGCTGAGGGCTGGTGCAGACCTGCTGGCAGATCTCCACGCCACTTCCTGCGGTCTGAAGGCGCTCGCTAGTACCACCGCCGGAGAGGGTCTCGAGGTGTGTCGCCGTGCCTGCGGTGGCCACGGATACAGCAACTACAGCGGCATTGGACCGTGGTATGCGGACTACCTTCCTACGTTGACCTGGGAGGGTGACAACTACATGTTGACACAACAGGTTGCCAGATATGTAAGTTGCTAACCGTTGCTCTTTCGTTACGCTCACATGCTGACTCTCGTAGCTTTTGAAATCCGCACGTGCCGTGCTTGCCGGAAAGGGAACGAACAATGACACGTCCCAGATTCTGCAGACATATCTCTCTCGTCGGGAGAAGGGTGCGTCCTTTGACATCCTGGAAGAGGACAAGGACATCGTTGCCGCCTTTGCCTGGCGTACCGCCCATCTCACCTTCGAGGCCCTGAAGCGCCGAGACGTTGAGAAGCGGTCATGGAACAGCCTGCTGGTCGACTTCTGGCGCCTGTCCACCGCACACTCGCAGTACCTGGTCGTCAAGAACTTCTACGAGGCGGTCACTTCGCCCCAGCTCACATCGGAGCTGGACCCCGAGACTCTGTCCTTGATGCACTCGCTCTTCCGCCTGTACTCTCTGCACACTTTGGAGCGTGAAGCTGGTGAGTTCTTCTCGTCCAGCGCTGTCACCACCCGCCAGATCTCGCTGGCGCAGTCGAACGCTGTGATGAAGCTTCTGGACGAGATCCGGCCCCATGCAGTTCGTCTCGTCGATGCCTGGAAGTTCCCTGACTGGCAGCTGGACAGCAGTCTGGGCCGCTACGATGGTGAAGTCTACCCGGACCTGTTCCGACGTGCCTCTCGGAACCCGGTCAACGACCTGGTATTCGATCCCTACCCATGGAATGAGAATGTGCTGAAGAACAGCGCACCCAAGAGCAAGCTTTAATTTCTTCATTTGGTGTAATTTCTGGCGATATACTCTGGTTTGATTTGCATTCATGTACAGTTTAGGTTTTTGGGATGAATTTGCTACGACGAGGGTTATAGATATAGACTATCTATAGATTAGAAATATAGACCCTAGACAGACCTTGGACTACAACGATTGTACAACTAGGGATCGATATTGTAATTTAAGACCCGCCGACCTTTATACAGAAGGAGTCGCTTGTGAGTATCCATGGCGAGGATCAACAGATAGACCATCACACGCTATCTTGCATCGATCACATTTTTGAGGTCACCAGGGGTGCGAAACAGCGATGAAGAAAGACTTAAGGAAATTATTACCTCCGAGGACGATTATACCTGTTGTGCGTCGAAGCTCAACCACATAGATGACATAAATTTCGTATGGTGTTAAATTGAATTGGAGATCAATCTACTCTAAACATTGTATGTACGGAACTTCAAATCTCGTCGATCATGATAGAACCGGGCTATCTATATATATACAACCCACTAATGCCCCACCATCGCCTGATGCGCAGGGCCATACCGATTGCCCTGCGGCTTCGCAGCATCAATAATCTTCCTCATCTCCAGCTTCTCCTCCTCCGTCAGCTCGATCTCCCTCGAAGACCAATTCTCCTCCAACCGACTCGCCTTGGTCGTTCCCGGAATAGCGATGAACCCTTGCGCAGCAACCCAGGCAAGCGCAATTTGGCTAATCGCACAGCTCTTCCGCGCAGCCAGCTTCTTGATTTCCTCTACGATCGCTCGGTTCTTGTAGAAGTTTTCACCTTGAAACTTGGGACCTGACGCAGGAAGCGTTAGAAAGCGTAGAAATTCGGGGTAAAAATGGGAGAGACTTACTCTTCCGACGGAAGTCATCCGGCGCAAAGTCGTCCGGGGTCTTGAATGGGAAGTTGTCAACGAGCCACCCATGGCCTAGGGGACTGTATGCTACATAGGCTACGCCCAATTCTCGGGCTGTATCGATGAGGCCATCTGTTTCGTGGAGGGTTTCGAAGGCTGAGTACTCGGCCTGGAGAGCGTCGATTTTGGCAACTATTGTCTTTCTGTCAGATATACATCTAGATTTGGGGTCAACGGATGGGAAATGGAGTAAGGAAAAGACTCACTGGAATTGGCTTTGCGGAGTGTCGCTGCCGAACATTCAGAGAGACCGATGTATTTGGTCTTGCCGGCTTTGCGGATTTCATCGAGTGCTGGGATGGACTCCTCTAGGGGGGTGTCTAATCTCATTAGTCTTGGATCGGTATTTACTACTCTGAAGTGCGTGACTTACTGGGATCTATCCGGTGCAGATAGTACAGATCTGGGGTGAAGCCCAACCGTTCAATCGTGCCCTCGATGTACTCCTTAATGTGGGCGGCGGAGTTGGTGACGCTGCCATCTCCGAAAACATTAAAGCCGCATTTCGAGGCGACTGGGAGAAATGTTAGATTCATTGGGGAATGCTTAATTTTTATGATGAGCACAGAAGGATTTGACTGACTGAAAATCTTGTCACGGACGTTATGTTTCCTGATAAAGTCGCCCAGAAGTTTCTCATTGACACCGGCTTGATAGACGACCTTTTATTCCGCTGGTTAGAATCGGTTGCGGTATGTCAACGGGGCTGATGCAGTACGTAGTACTCACGGCTGTGTCCCAGAATGTACACCCTAATTCAATTGCTTTCAAGAGCACGGGCTCGGCTTCCTCTAGGGTCAGATTGCTACCCAAACCGAAGCTTAGACCCATTGCACCAAAACCTGGGGTGGGCACTTCGAGGTCGGCGAAGGGGAGTGTTTTGACCATTTTGATTGTTTAAGATGAAGTTGCGGAGATGAAAAGTCTTGGTTGTGGAAGTTCAAGTTTTAATATTTGTTTCACTGGAGTCAATTCTTGGTGGACGTGGACATATTTATATATATATAGCTATAGCTTTTTTAGCACTCAAGTTCGGTAGTTGACGTCGATGATACAATCCCACTAAATCCGGTACCATATATAGCAAATGTACCCCCTCAGCCAATTAATTTACCTTAACACTGTCAATTGCTGACAAGCTCCGGGTTTACTCGCTTATATCCGAAGATCCGATAAACACCGTTTGGCGCTTACTGTGGGCAGGATAGTTGGTGGGGCTCTGGACTACAATCTTAAAGAAGATATTTTCTTTGATTTAGCTATGCTGGAGCGTATGTATTGCTAGAATCGTCTATTAATATAGTATTGAATATATCCGAACAATCGTGATTTTATTTTCGTTATTCCAACGTTTCATCTCTGAAGGGTATATGCATATAAGGTCATTGAAGTAATCGCAGCGCAAAGGGAAGATAGTCCGTCAGGGGTACAATACAAGCGATATGGCTTATACAGGGATTAAATATCTGGGCAGGAGTATAAGCTTTTGTAGTTTTGTGGATCTCCGATCCTCTCGTCTGTCGATTGATTTGTGGAGTATTTTAGTGTCTGTAGGCCTCGACACGGAAGCGGATAAAATGATGGTGATTGCATCCTTGTGCACACAGTATTCATAGGGAAATTAACTGGCAGTTATGCATATATTGAACTGTTTCAGGAGTTGTAGTTTGGAGATATCTGATGTCAGTTAACCTGCATATGTGGATGTACTGTAAAAGCTTGATATATGTGTCGTTTTGAAATACTGTGACGGCGGATGATAAGGCGTATTCTGGTCTTCTAGTTGTTGAAATAAGCCCCAGTGCTTGGACAATGACTGGGAGACAAGCGCTCCACTGGGCGTTCATAGAGTTGATTAGGATTAGCTAACAGGGGCAACATGCCAAGAATGTAGTTGTGTATATAATGATAGATATTATATTGTCTAATCTATGTACATCTCTTCATACCTCTCTAAATCATCACATCATAATCTAATCAAAGATCGACGGCTTGTAAACCGAAGGATCAATATAAGGGGTACCACCACGTCTGGTGAACCCCCAACGAATCTGATTCGCCATGGAGATCTCGGTATCGAGATGCTGGGCAAAAGTCCAAGCCAGACCGGGGTCCTTCTGGAATCCACGGCCGACAAGAGCCACATCGATGCCCTCCTCCTCGAGCAACTGGTTGGCCTGCTTACCGTTGGTGATGGCACCAACGGCAGAAACAAGCATCTTATCGCCAACGGCCTTCTTCACGGCCACGGCGAAGGGAACCTGGAATCCGGGACCGGATTTGACCTTCTGCGCGGCGTGCACACCACCGGAGCTGATATCGATCAGATCCACAGCACCCTGCGCCACGAGCGCCTGAGCGAATTTCACCGTCTCGTTAACGTTGAAGCTCTGTTCGGGGAGCACCTCCTCGAGCCAATCGGAGGCAGACACTCGAAGGAAGACGGGAACATTAGGACCGACAGCATCGCGAGTCAGCTGGGCAATTTCCAAAGGAAGGCGAATCCGGTTCTCGAACGAACCACCATACTCATCGTCCCTGTTGTTCGACGCAGGCGACAGGAAACTCGACAGTAGATATCCATGCGCATTGTGAATCTCAATAAAATCCGCCCCAGCAGCAATAGCCCGCTTACAAGCCGCCACCCAGGCGTTCTTGAACTCCTCGATATCGGCCTTAGTCATGGCCTTGGGCTTCGGGAACGAGTCAGCAAAAGGGATATCGCTAGGTCCCTTGACATTCTCGGGCCATCCGCCCGCTTGCTCAGAGGCAACAACGGCACCCGACATCCACGGCGGAATGGTACTGGCCTTTCGGCCGGCGTGCGCGACTTGCACACCAATCTTCTGACCCTGGCTGTGCACGAACTCGATCACGCGCTTCATGGGTGCGATGTGGCTGTCTTTCCAGAGACCGACGTCCTGGGGAGTGATCCGGCCCTCTGGTTGCACGGCCGTGGCTTCGATCATCATGAGTCCTGGGCCGCGCTGGGCGATTCCACCCAGATGCGCGACGTGCCAGTCAGTCATGTGGCCATCTTCGGCGGAGTATTGGCACAATGGGGCTAGCTGTTTCTTGTTAGTTATTGTATTGAAGAACGAGCTTGACGTGGCGTGGAGTACTTACACCCAGGCGGTTCTGGAAAGTGACCCCGCGGACGGTGAAAGGCTGGAAGAGCTTAGGGACCTTCTGGCCGTTGGTCTGAGGGTTGGCAGCTGTGCCGGCGGGGGGGTTCTGGGCTGGAGTGAAGTAGGAGATGCCCTGTGCGGGCTCGACGTAGTCGGGGGTATGCATTTTGTATGTACAGATTGTATTATGTATTTGATTCTAGTAGTACAACGATGTTGAGGTGGAAAGTAAGTACTTTATATACTATACTCCTTACACTGATAGAAAGCCTTCGAAATGTGCTCCACAGCACTTTGATTTCAAATCCCCGCCGCAGTGGATATACTTAGAGGCGACTTGTCACGGCGATATACCGAGTTTTGGGACAACATGATACCCCAATGTTACTCCTTTTCAGAATTTTTTCCCCATCGACAAGCTGTGCGTTGTTCTGATTGGACGGTGGGTTGGGGGTTTTTCCTTAGTTCGATCGTGTTTCCTTCTTTTTCTATGGGGCTTCTCCGTGGTTTGTTGAATCTTTCCAGGGCTTGAGAATGCACACGTCAGGCGATTGGTGGGCGGTGAGCTTAGTCAAGGCGCGGAGGATTATTCAGCAGTCGGACGAAATGAGCGTGGGAAAGTCTCCGAGGTCACGTGGATTGACAGTCCGTCTTTGGGATATACTGACACGTGATTTGATATGACGTCGACGTACTAGGGGGAAGTTTCTTTTGGAGTCCTGGAGTCAGGGTTAATGATCGTATTAGTTAGTGTTTTGATTGGATAATGTAATCTGCTCTGAGTGCCATGATCTGATAGATGACACTGATTGGACCAATTTCGAGGGGTCGTGATTGTTTTACACATGGGGAATGATCGGCGTTCGTTGCCTCTATGCTCCGCTGGTATGTATAGCAGAGTACAGGTACTAGACAGATGCTTTACTGTAGCTATTCATCGGTATAGGGTCAGTCTATTAGGAATACCAGGCATATATAAGACTCGTTGGGTTCGAGGTTGTTGGGTAATGGAAATCTAGTCCTCAAGCCACCTCCTCATCCCAGGTTGCCGTAACCGAGGTAATCACGCGCTATCCCACCGAGGCACGTTAGTGCATATCAAAAGATGTGAACCTGGACCTCACCAACACCGGACAGACATGTTTGCAAGTATAAGGTCGCTGTAACAAATACCTTGGCACATCATGGAGTCTGGACCTCGTCACGCCACTGTTGACCGTGGACATATCACGAAACCTGAGCGGTTGGAGAACACATATACTTCCGATACTAGTCTTCAACGAGCTCTCTCCTGTACGCTTAACCATGATCATACTCTGTGAGAACTGAAGAGTGGACTAATAAGTATAGGGTACCTGCCGTCGCAGAAGCTAGAGCAGGCTCGGCCACAATTGGTAGAATTGGGCGAGGAAGCTGTGTCGGACCAGATTAGGGAGTGGAGCGCAGATGCCGAGAGACATCAACCATATGTGAAGGGATTCAATGTCTGGGGTCAGCGGTATGATTATGATCGACTGATTACCAGCGAAGGGTGGAAGCAGCTGGGTAAATGGGGTGCCCGCCACGGGTGAGTTAACTTTGCACTTGTACAATCCACCTATTTACTGACCTGCTAAGTGTCGTGTCACTGGGATATGAGCCGACATACGGGGCAGAGAGACGGTTGGTTCAATATGCTGTGTGAGTTATTCCCATTCCTGCTGTGGTTTTTTGAACTTCAATCCTTACCCGGAGATAGGAACTACCTTTATTCTCCCTCGTCTGGACTTTACTCCTGCCCTGTCAGCATGTCTGATGGGGCCGCGCTTGTTTTGAACAAGGAGCGCAAGAACCTACCTCCGGACCATCCCTTCCAGACGGCGTATCAGAAGTTAATCTCTAAGAAAGAGGATTATTGGACTTCTGGTCAGTGGATGACCGAAAGAGCAGGAGGCAGCGATGTCCAAAACACGGAGACTTGGGCCACGTACTCGCCTTTGTCGCATAAGTCGAAGGCCTCGAACGGTCTTGATGAGGGCGACTACCTGATCAGCGGGTTTAAGTTCTTTTCCTCCGCCACGGATGCTAATGTGGCTCTGATGCTTGCTAAAACGCCTTCGGGAAAGCTGAGCACGTTCCTCGCACCGTTGCGGAAGACTGTCGTCGGGGAAGACGGCAAGCCCCGGGTGGTTACCAATGGCGTCCGAATCCATCGTTTGAAGAACAAGCTGGGAACTAAGGAATTACCAACGGCCGAGTTGGAACTTAAAGACATGCGGGCTCACCTGGTCGGCACTGTCGACCATGGTGTCATGGCGATTGCACCATTACTCAACATCACTCGAACTCATACGTTCATTGGATCGCTTGCTGCATGGCGGCGTGCCATTAGTATTACCAAGAGCTTTGCTAAGGCCAGAACAACGGTCGGCGAACCCTTGTGGCTCATTCCCATGCATCTGAGCCTACTAGCAGACCTGGAGGTGAAACATCGGGGTGCGATGAACCTCGCGTTTTTCACGGTTGCCGTCATGGGCGTTGTCGAAAATAACGGGGTCTCCACTCCTGCGGCGCATTTGCCCACAAAGGGCAAGGAAGCGCAGGTAGTGTTCCGGGCCTTGACAGCCATCGCTAAGGCAGTGATTAGCAAGAACGCAATTGCAGGGATTCAGGAATGCCAAGAGGGAATGGGCGGGGTTGGATACATGGATGAACCGGACGAGCCGGAGTTCAACATCGCGCGACTGCTACGGAACACTGCTGTGAACTCCATTTGGGAGGGAACTACTAATGTGCTGGCTAGTGAGCTCGTTCGCTTCCTTGTCAAACGTGGTAATCTGGCTATCTTCTCGGCCTGGTTTGAGCGTATGTTGGCGTTGATTACGACGTCAGAGTTGGCAAGCGCACTGAAACGGGCATGGTCTAGCTTCATTTCTCGGGTTAAAGCCACCAGCGAGCCACGGTTCATTCTGGCGGATGCTCGCCGAGTCATGTTTACCCTTGCCTGGATACTCAGCGGTGCTCTTCTTGCTCTGGACGCTGAACGAGACGGTGATGGCGTTGCGGGCGAAATTGCACGACGGTGGATCCTGTCCGGTGAAGGCGGCGTTGGTGATACGGTTTGGCGAGACGTTACCAGCGCCCAGCATAACCCGGGTGCCGGGCCCTCGTCGATAACAAACGAACATCTGCGCTGGGACTGTCGCATTGCCTGGGGGGTGGAGTTGCCAGCGAAGCAAGTATCGGGCCATCGGTCATTTCAGGGCAACGACTCGAAGTTATGAATCGCATCAAGCATGTGGTTGCCGTTGCCATTATGATTCCTCTCCATTAGTAGAGAATTAAACCATGGGACCCACATTGCATTACTTGTACATAACGTATATAGCGACTACTATAGTGAACTAGTTAAGGCCCTTTCCCGTGATGGCTGGATTCCCCAAGGAAAAGCGGTTAAGTAGAAAACTAGAAAACTATAACAAAGAAAAAGGGGCACATGGAGACTGCTAATGCCTTGAACTTTAAAGTGCGGAAAGCCTGCCAACTCTGTCTGACGCATTTTGTGGACCAGATAAACCAGATCATCCTTTTGATGCAGATTTCTTGATTTCTCGTGGGGTCAGTCTGTACGATAAACTTCCGGGTGGGCAACAGATCAATTTTCACTGGAGTCTGGCAGCGGGGAAAGTCGTGCCGATGGGCCTCCAGACATCCTTGACGGGTTGTGGATCGATTTAAATGTCTAATGACGAAGACTTGCGCATGGAAGTTGTCGCAGTTCGGAAAAAGGAGATCTGACCATTCGCAAATTAGTTACCCTTTTAGGGCACCAAACGTTAGCGTGGTGGGGAGTCACGGGACGATGGGTCTCAACGGTCGTTAGCGCCTCACTAGTACACAGTACCTCTTTCACTTCCCTTGATCAAGACGCATCTCTCCAGTCTGGATGTCCAGCCTGAATGGATTCGTTCTCTCCTGTTGGTCAAAGGGAGAGAGAGAATCCACCAACTCCGACGCTATTGGCGGACTAGGCAATCAACCACTCCACCTCCTATAAAACAACATTATTATAGAGTGAGACTAGCGGAAGGATCAGCTGCAACGCTGATTGTTCGGCGAGGGAAAAAAACCACGCGGTGTAACTCAACTAACGTGGAATCGCAATCGCACTCCGGTTTGAAGGATGCCGTGTGGGGAAGAGTCCAACTGTCGCTGTGAACGAGGGAAAGTTTCAACGGTCGCAAGTTTAAGACTGTCAAAGCCCCTGTCTTTGTACTCTGCATGCTTAATTCCTGCGGTTAACGACCATTTCTCTGTCCTCTTAAAGCGCAAGACTCCAGCCCATTACAGAAACGATGACCTCGTCGCAGGATGAGCGGCAACAGCTGGCCGTTCCTGAGTTACAGATACTAGCGATGGATCCTGTGCAGGTCGATGTGAGTTGATGCTACTCCAAGCCATGCATGATGAAAATTGCGGTGAGCGTAGCGGCTAACGGTCATTTCTCCTAGGATGAGGTATTTGAGGACTCGATATACAATGGCTCGTGAGTAGCTGCTATCATTATTGTTTCACGGTGTATCGATTGCTAGACTGACAAGAACTGTAGGTTAAACTCGGCTAGTTTTGTTACATCGTTGAACTCCAGTATTCTCAATTACAAGTAGGTGAACCGTTGACTAACTCCCACAATGAAGATGTGTCTGACCAAAGTGGCATTTTAGATACGAGGTTGGTGAGCTGTTCCTGCACGTAACCTATGTTGCTGACTCCACTCTAGAATGGCCGTCGTTATCATGCATTTCGAGAAGGAACTTATCTAGTAGTATGTATATATCCCTGGTCAACTGATCGATCGCCAGGTATATCTAACAACCTCCAGCCGAATGATGAGGAGGAGCAAGATCGCATGGACCTGGCCCATCATATATATCGCTTACTCCTCGGAGGCGCTCTCTATCTGGCTCCTATTAAGAATGATGTCCAGCGGGCGCTGGATCTGGGCACTGGAACCGGTATCTGGGCAATAGATTTTGCAGAGTATGTGCATGACACTGCAAGCATACAAACCTCCTACACAGCTCGACTGCTGACCTGGTGACCCTAGTGAGCATCCGTCTGCGCAAGTTATTGGAACGGACCTAAGTCCTATACAACCTAGATGGTATGCAGTGCCCTAACCTCTCTAGGCCTTACTAATAGTGGCAATTGTCAGGGTGCCACCAACTTGCTCATTTGAGATCGATGACTTCGAATGCGATTGGTTGTATACCAGGCCATTTGACTTTATACATGCTCGTGAACTGGAGGGCTGTATAGGCAACGATGTCAAGTTCTTTAACCAAGCGTTCAAACACCTAGCTCCCGGAGGATATTTTGAAGTGCAAGCAGTCACGGCACCTTTTCTTTCCGATGATGATACATTAGACAAGGCCCCAAATGCCAAGGCGTGGATGGACAACCTTGTCAAGGGGTTACGGAAATTTGGTAAGCCGGTTGATAATGTCAGCGGCTGGAAAGACAAGCTGAAGGATGCTGGCTTCGTCGATGTACACCAGGAGATCCGCAAGGTTAGTAGTATCTAGACTGACGTATATAGGGTGTATTGCCTCAGCTGTTACTAACTGGCGATTGACAGCTCCCAATTGGACCGTGGCCTAAGGACCCTAAGTTAAAGGAGATCGGAAAATACCAAGGTGTCCAAGAGCTTCAGGTCATCGACTCTTACACTCCTGCTCTCTTCTCACGTATTCTTGGGTGGAGCCACGAGGAGATTCAAATATTAATGGCCAAGGTCAAGCGTGAGTTGAGGGATCCATCCATCCATTTGTATCTGCCAGTCTATTTCATTTATGGAACAAAGCCTCTATGATTATGATGTACGATTTCCCTTTTGTCATTTTCTTTTTTTCGCTTTCATTAATCTCGTCTATTTCTGGTTTTTCTTTTTCCTATTTGGCTCGGTGTTTCATCCCTTTTTTATTCCTTTAGTGGTTCCAATCATGCACGCTTATCTTCTGTTTTCTATCATGATCATCTTATATCGTGGCTGTGGGTGGGCAAACAGGCGTTATATGAACGAGTAACAATTTCTTATGATACCGATATCATGTCTTTGCTGATTGGGGAAGTCAGCTGTTGTTTTTGCGACAAGCCCGAATAACGAATAACCAAGGTTTTTCGATCAAGACATCGATACATTAAAGATGCAGTATACGCAAGCTTCGACACACATTGAAAAATATGACCTCTTCTAGCATCAGATGCAATCTGTATCTACCATTGACTACACAACTCATTCGTTGAGATGGGTCTATTGTCGTGGATCGTCGTGGGACTCGAGATGGCATGCCGGAACTCTCGAACACTGTGCCTTTAGAAATAAAAGGCACACTATCATGCTGTTCTAGAAGATTACGATTATCACCTAGAGTCCCCTACTTATACGCATGCACGGATGAGAGCAGGTCTTTCAGCCGGGCACTACAGCTCGACGGCCTTCTGCATGCCACTTGACAAGTGGCTCGTGCAACTGTTGTGGGTATTGACCCATTACATAAACGCCGAGGGTGGCACTGCTATGAGTTTATCTTACATTGTACAGTGCTAGCTATGAACTCTAGTCTGGTATTCCTTGGAGACTCTTACACGACTAGCGTCGAAAATGGATAGAGATTTACGACTTGGCTGACGCAACATGAGAGTATCGCCGAAGACGTGATTCAATGCCTGGCTCGGGTCCTTCACGTTCTCGCACGGGTTGTTCATTATCGAAGGTTACCCTATCCCATAAGCGGACAAACAGACGAGATAATCGCACCCTTCTGGATTGCCGCAAGTGTCCATACAGGATATCATTAAAAACCCCGCAGTTTAGCTGGTTTAGGGCAAGCCACACGAGGATAACGCGTACCTCCTCGAGTCATGGGTTGATAACCATATCTTAGCCAACTTCCTTTCCTACCAAAAAAAAAAAAAAAAAAAAAAAAAAAAAAAAAAAAAAAAAAAAAAAAAAAAAAAAAAAAAAAAAAGGCGAACAAAACACGGTCGGGTAAGGATACTATGGACAGTTAATCCAACATGATCATTGTCGGACTGACTGTGTAGTAGCATTATGGCAACCTCACCCAACACCACGACGCAATACACCTCGGAGCAATTCGTCGAAAGCAGTGGGGCGATCTTATTCGACCTATCGCACAGCCAAAACAAGACTGTCTGCCTAATTCATTACCACGCGAAGAACGAATGGCTTCTCGCAAAAGGACGCCGTAATTGTGGTGAATCCAGACAGGAGGCTGCCCTGCGCGAAGTCCGCGAAGAAACTGGCTATCAGGCTCATCTCCACCCGGTCACAATGCAGACCCGTGCCCCTCCAATCGACGAACAGGGCCACATGCCCGATGTACCTCGCTCGTTCCCGGATATCACAGAGCCGTTTATGGTCACTATGCGACAGTTAGGCAAGGATGGTGGGAATGATGTTAAAATTATCTGGTGGTTTATTGCTGCCCTGGGTGAGGGGGTGGTTCCTGGGTCTGGTGGTAGTGGGGAGGAGCAGTTCACATCGGAATTCTTTCCCTTGGAGGAGGCTTTGGAGAAGCTGAGTTTTCAGGATGATCGCAATGTCCTGCAGAAGGCAATCTCATTGGTACAACCTTAAAGAAGGTTTATCTGGTGTGAATAGTAATCGCTATTGACATGTATGCTACATTCTATTCGAATGACCAAGCCGTATCCAGCCAGAATCACAAACCTTCACATTCACATTCGCATTCGGGTCAATGCCCTGTCCACTAATTCCAACTGGATGTCTAACAAACAAACGATATAATCGTGGGGTTCTGAATCATCGCAATTGTCCGTGTACAACAGACCATGTGTCAAACGAGCGTGTGTCTAAGCAGACATGTTGTCGTTCCATCGCAGCACAAATGGGTCTTCGCTAGCTCATAGACACTATCCTTGCTTGAAGTCAGTACAGTACCAATAATCAGCTCTTCATTACAATGTAAGGCAACAGTTCTATGGTCTCTCCACCGACAAGATGCCGAGGCTTGGCAGCGGCGTCGGGGTTGATAGTAGGTTTGGTACGAGAAGATGACTACCCGTGACAGTCGCCTATGATGTATGAATCCATCGTCCCTGTGAGACCAAAGGAATGAAGCTTGTTTATAGTACCCGCTAGTGCACAAATATCAGTTCCCGCAGGCAACGCGATCCTGGGCTTTACCAGATCTTTCGATGGACTTCCACCAAGTATTTCCCACTCGAAACAGTATTGTGGCAATCTAGCCAATTAGTTGGTCTCATCTCCGAGTATTTGCTAGATACCAATGATAGTCGCCTTTAGGGACCACTTTGGTTGACCTAGCCTTAGTTGGTCTTGGGCTGAAGTTTCTCGGCCTTTTACCAAGACAGCTGAGCCTCGATTTCGGGCATAGTGACATCGGCCATGCCCTTGAACCCCACATACCTTGCAACCTCAGGGCAGGCAGGGCGAGAGCCAAGACTTGGCTGGCTTTCAGATCCCCTACTGAGACGAACCCGCCGTCACTTTGCCAAGTCCGCCATGGCGGAAACCAGGACTCTGGCTCTGGGCGCGAAGGAGCAAATGAAAAAGTCACGGCACGGCGGAGGTGTAAAATATGGGGCCCAAATGGTACTGTCACTCTCATACCCCGGTCTTCCCCACAGCAAGATGGTGGTGTAGCTCTGGTCGAGGACCCTCGATTATAAAGCCTGGGGCGTTTCCTGGAGACTCCAGTCCGGGGTAGAACCCACAATCAACTACAACTCACTTCTCCAACATGTCAAGTCCGGCGGAAAATGAGAAGAACTTGCAGGCGTTGTTCCCCAGTTCCGAACATATTCAAGACGCATCCCATTCACCACCTCATGCCGCTCTGGACAGGGAAGCGCGCATACAGTATGAGCGTGACCGGGCGAGTTTTGGTACCAAGTTCTTCAAGTACTTCGGATGGATGGGTGACTTGCCCGAATGGAAGATCGGTGGGGAGAAGCTCAAGGGTAGAGCCCTGAATTGGTCCATAGGGTTCATCGCTAGCTGCGGGTTCCTTATGTTCGGCTACGATCAGGGTGTACTGAGTGCCTTGCTCACGCTTGATTCCTTTCAGGAGGTGCTTCCACTCATGACCCCTCGCGATAAATCAAATGATCTCTGTTGGCTCGATAACCCGACCAACACCATCCCCCATCCTACGTACTGCACAGGTGATGCAAATACCCAGGCAGCAGGAGTCGCGATATACCAGATCGGATGCTGGATGGGTTCACTTGTAATTTTAGCGTACGGTGAACGCTGGGGACGAAAGTCAAGTACTTTCTGGGGTTCTCTTATTATGATTATTGGAACGATTATGCAGGCAGCCTGCTTCGACTACGGCTTGTTCGTGGCAGGTCGTGTTGTTGGAGGTGTTGGCAACGGCATGGTAACATCTAGTGAGTCTTTAGCAAGGTATCTGCTACATTCAACGATACTGACCGGTGTAGCAATTCCAACATGGCAGTCCGAATGTGCGCGACCGCACCAGCGCGGTGTCCTGATCATGCTCTCGGGGGCTCTTATATCTGCCGGCGTTATGATCGCATACTGGGTTGATTACGGGTTCTACTTCCTGACTGGTTCCGTCCGCTGGAGGTTCCCACTGATGTTCCAATCATTCTTTACTATCATTGTCATGATCGGCTTGCTTTATCTGCCCGATTCCCCAAGATGGCTCACCATGCAGGGACGCCATGTTGAGGCCCGGGATGTTACTGCTCGGCTTGTTGGTAAGCCAGAAGACGATGCAGAGGTCGAAGAAGAGTTACGCAACATCAACGAAGCGTTGGAGGTCCAGAGCCGCGGCGGTAGCTTCAAGTACCGTGAGCTGCTCACCAACGGACCGTCGCAAAACCTCCGTCGTTCTACTTTGGCTATGGTCTCTCAATTTTTCCAACAAATGTGTGGCATAAATCTCGTGACATACTACGCCACTATGATCTTTGAAAACTCTCTCGGATTCGGGCCAGAAATGGCACGTCTTCTCGCCGCCTGTAATGGAACCGAGTACTTCATGGCGTCACTCATAGCGCTGCCACTCATTGAACGGACCGGTCGGCGGAAGCTGATGATCATCGGTGCCTTTGGAATGATGGTCTCAATGGCAATTCTAGCTGGCACTGTATCCACGGGCGAAATGATGGAAAGCGGAGCACCCAAGCTCGAGATACAATATGGCGTTACGGCGACTGTGTTCTTATTCGTTTTTAATTCGTTCTTCGCCATTGGCTGGCTGGGGATGACCTGGCTATATCCAGCTGAGATCACAAACCTTCGCATTCGCATTCAAGCCAATGCCCTGTCCACCAGTTCCAACTGGATGTCCAACTTCCTTATTGTCATGATCACTCCACCTGCGTTTGCAAACTTGGGGTACCAGACGTACATCATTTTCGCAGTCTTCAATGCTGCACTTATTCCCTGCGTTTATCTCTTCTTCCCAGAGACCAAGGGCCGCACACTGGAAGAGCTGGACGTGGTCTTCGCTAGTGCTAATGCTCAGGGCATCTCGCCAGTGAAGCAGAGCTTGCAGATGCCAAAATTGGCCGGGGACAACCTGGACCGAGAGTTGGCGCGCTACTTTGGTACAAGTAGTGATGAGGAGACTTCAAGGGAGAAGTAGATGGCATTTATTGGGAACCTTTGTTGGTTGTTGGTGGTCGCGCATCGTCTTAGAAGATCAGCATGGTCTTTGTTTCCACCTTCGCAGTAGATCACTTTGTGTTGAGAGCAATGTTGGGCTTGTATTGGTGAGAAGCCCAATATACAGATTTGTTTTATTTCCTCGGCTCGAGTTGATAGACATAGATTGTGCTTTGACTATACCTTTTAATCGATCTTTGGACATAGTCAGACTGGCAATACTTAGAAATGGAGCTATAGAACATGGATATATCACCTATACAACTATCCGTCCACACTCAGACATCTTTAGAACCATGGTATCAACCCTAATCTAAATCCCATTCATGACCTATCAACCACGTCCTATCCCAACACCCAACATACTCACACTCCAACCCCCCAGCCCTCAAAATGCTCGTCTCAACCCACAAACCAAGTCCCCCAGTCTCAGCCACCTCCCCGTCAGGTCCAGAAGACTTCAAAAACTCCCTCCTCAGCAGCCGGGCAGCTACTAACAGTTTTCCGGTTTGACATATTCAGTGCCCTATCTTAGTAATAATTAACTTTTCTTTCGCTTTAAAAGTGTACCTATTGGCACTGTAGGACGGGAAATACAACACGGACTGCTCTATGCCAATGCACAATTGCACTGGTAGCTCGGCACTTTTATTTGCATATTCAGATGACATGGAAATAGCAATGTTATAGTACATGAATGCAATCTGGATAGAAACCCATTTTCCACAAGCTATTCACCTAACAAAATCAATCCCTCTTGCGTACGTACTTCGTATGCAACCCCGTCGCAACCACCACACGGTCACCATTCTCCTTCACCTTCTCAATCTCCACTGAAACGTACGCCAGCGTCCCTCCGACTTTCATTGCCCGTCCCGTAATCTCCAGAACCTCCTCCTCCTTCGCCGACGAGAGATACGAAACATGTAGATCAGTGCTCACGCCAGTATAACTAGAGCCCTGCGATGCAATAGCCATCCCCGCCGCCCAGTCGACGAGACACGCGGTCAGCGTGCCATGTAGACCCCCTTTGGAGTTTGTGTGGTTCTTTGCTACTCGCAGACTTGCATGAATGGTCCCCGGCGAGGCGTCGGTAATTGTGACATTGTCTAGCAAGAGGGCGTAGATGGGGCTGTTGGTGCGTTGCGCATCCCAGACTTCGCAAACATGGGAGAGTGTGGCATTCATTTTGATCTAGTGATTGGATAAGGATTGAGGAATGTGTTGAATGAACTTTCCCCAGCTGGGCTTTTTTATTTTACTTTTAAATTATTGGGGCTGCTGTATCGGAGCGGGGTCTATCCGAACCGATCGGATGGGGTCCGCCTATCGGCTTTATCCGATGGAATTACCGCAGATACCAACATTTTAGCAGAGAAACGGAAATTCCTGATTTATATCTGTAGGCGGAGCTGCCGCTCTTAGTGGGACTCGACCGGTATACCTCCGTGCACTAAACATCAAGCTAGCCCTGATACATACATGTGTTCAGATACACTCTCCTCCTATGCCTTCCAGCAATACTCAGTGCAGGCGGATAGTCGCTCTCGTCAATGGCTTCGAACAAGCAACTGAGGAAGGCCGAGGCACGTAATAAATTCCTTTGAGTCTTCGTTCCATTATGTAACTCTCTGTGTTGGATTCACAGGGCAAAAGAAAGGACCTGCGAAGCCCATCCGCTTAAAGAGCACATTACAGATTGAGTAAACAAAAGTACACAATTTAAACCTCTGAATTGATCATTCTATACTAACAAGGGAAACTGACACATATCTTCATCTTCCGGATCCACCTCAAAATCAAACCGCACTAGATCCTCTTTATACGGAAACATGTATGTTGAAGTCACCCTATAATAAGACAATTAGCATAGCAATCAAAGATTTTTATTCAGGGACGAAAACATACCAGTGATGCTCCTGACTAGCCTGATATTCCGCTAAAGCGGCTTGGTTTTCGTGGTAGCTCACAAGAGCGATCTGGAATCCTTTGCTGCGGTCAATAGGGTCGGTGACACTGGGACCGCCAACAATAAGTCTTCCCGCTTTAACGCAGGAGAGTTTCTTCAATCTCTTCAGTTCCGTGACAAAGGTCTTCTTGTGCTCCTCGCTGACATCGGAGCGGAACTTGAAAAGGACTGGATGAGTGCATTAGGGATACTGAGTCTGTCTGGCAATGCTGGATGGAGTTCAACTCACCGATGTGGATGAGAGTCATTGTGGTAAAAACGAATATCTATAAGACGACGACATAAACAGTAAGTTCAACTGACGTTATGTTGACGCATAGAATATGCAGGTTTAAATATGCCTGAATATGGCGCTGTTTTCTTGGACAGCGGATAGAAGCCGTCCGCTGGCGGATGCACGCCGCTCTCCCGGATAGCGGCATATACAAGACACCCTGATTCTAATGATTGGATTCGAGAACACCAAACTTATTGTTATCGTTATCATATAATTCTCGCCAGACTAATGGCCAATGTACAAAATAGCCTGCCTGCCATTATACAGGCCGTCGAATGGACAAGCCTACCACCCGAATTCCGCCGCCTGGGCCTCTCAGAACATTCAATCAATCAGAAGCGAGGGAAACTGCTCGACTCGTTTCTTGAAGGGCCCATATACGTCCCAGCACTGGATCTTCTTTTTGTCACAGACATCCCATACGGCCGTATCTTTTCCATCGACTCCAATGCAAACTGGACCCTCGTCACGGACTACGATGGCGAACCAAACGGACTGGTGTGGAACCACATCACCAAAAAGATCATCATCGCCGATTTCAAACAAGGCATACTCGAGCTTGACCCCATCAGCAAGGAACTCAAGACGATCGTAGCGCGATTCCAGGGTGAGCGCCTGAAAGGGCCTAACGACCTCGTTATCTCTGCCGACGGCGTGATCTACTTTACTGATCAAGGGATGACCGGTCTTCAAGACCCAACCGGCAGAGTCTTCCGTCTGTATCCTGATGGACGATTGCAACTACTTATCTCAAATGGGCCATCGCCGAATGGGCTGGTTTTGAGTCGAGACGAGAAGGCCCTATTCGTGGCGATGACTCGTGATAATGCCGTGTGGTATGTCCCTCTTTTATCGGATGGTTCTGTACAGCGCATTGGTCGGTTCTCTAGCTACTATGGTATTGGGGGCCCAGATGGCATGGCACAAGATGCTGAGGGAAATATTTTGGTGGCGCATTCAACTCTGGGTACTGTGTTCGTGCATGCCGCGAATGGAGAGCTAGTTATGAAGGCTAAGAGCCCTAGAGGGGCCCATACGACGAATCTTACATGGGGCAGTCCGTCTATGAACGTGCTCTATATAGTTGAAAGTCAGACGGCTACGATATTGAGGGTTGACTGGCACTGTCAAGGATGGTTGATGAAATCGGGTAAGGAGTAAAATGTTTGGACAAAGAATGTTGACTTTGCGGGGAGCATAGTATATTATATCTACTAAACAGCCTGTATCCTTGCCATGGTTGCAAAATCCGCTAGTTTAACTACAAAGAATTGTTGGTTGCAAGGTAAACGGCTAGGATTAGGACCGGATGATCGGCGTTTGGCGCCTCCTAGGCATACAATTCCTTGCGTGGCAGTGACTAGATTAAACTTCAGGAACCTCCTGTAGGAAGAGAACGCAATTCTCATGGAATAAATCGTCTACCATTATTGCAGCTTCCATTTCTCATTTGGATTGGCTTCTCCTTTCTTTCAGTACCTTCAAGTTAGGGCGATTCTTGCCACTCACTATTAAGAATTTCTGACTCTAGGGTTACCGGTCTGGAACCCTGCCCAGGGCTACTTAGTAAGCATACTCTTACCTCGGGTCTTTCATATGAGAAGTTGCAAATCCACCTACGAGCATAAGTGGACTGCCTAGACCAATCTATTATCTTTCACATTCCCATTCTCACTAAACCACGTAGAAATTCCTACGCCTTGGCAACTGGGGCGCGCATCTCCGCTCCCCGAATCCCTCCCCGCGAACGCCTATGGCAAGCCATCTTGACCAGCCATCCATTGGTCCGGAGGATCCTCCGTCCCAGTTGGAATGTCCCACACAACCTACTACAGAGCATAGTGACCATGACACAGCGTATCCGCCCTACTATAAGCGAAACGCCTGTACAGCCTGTCGGCGGATGAAATCCAAATGTGATATGGCAAAGCCTAGCTGTGGAGCCTGCTCCAAGTTTAACCGGACATGCGCCTACGAGACAACGCGAAAGAAAAGCGGTCCAAAACGAGGATATACAGCGGTCTTTGGTTCTCGATTAGGTAGGTCTCAGAACCGGGAAACCATGCAATTAGCTTATCCATACTAATGTTGCTCGCTCAATGAAAAGCACACGTGGAGGCACTTCTTAGTGCGCATATGCCTAGTATTTTAGGAATCCAAAACCCTTCCGCCACCCTTCCGGACGAATGGGTAGAGGGGGCTACTCACCCTAATCTGGGCGATGGTACTTCTCATCCAGACACGGTTGCAGAAAACGATCCTTCGTCATCACACTCCACCGAGAGCGCATATACAGGACCCAACATAGGGTTGGGTATGATTAGTTTGGAATTAGAGGAATCTCTCCCCGATCAAGAGGTTATCGATGAACTGCAAGTCTCCCAACTCCTCGTATCTCCAAGTGTAATTCTCCTAATATCTACAGGTACCGGATCTACTTCGAAGATGTTCACATTTACATGCCGATTATACATCATCATAGACACCTGGCTGCGTTGGATCATGCTCCTCATGCCCGGCCGCCAATCTGTCTCCAATATATGATTTGGTGCCATGCAGCCCTTGTCAGCGACAAATTTAATACTTTACATGCAGCTTTCTACGAAAGAGCCCGCAAGTACGCCGAAGCAGATGAGATGAAAGGCTATGGGGGAGGGATCCTGTCCTTGGCACACGCTCAGACATGGCTCCTTATCACCGCGTATGAGTACAAGATGATGTTTTTTCCAAGGGCTTGGTTAAGTTGTGGAAAGGCATGTCGACTCGCAATTATGCTAGGGTTTCATCAACTCGATAGCCCGAATCCTCAGGTGAAACAATGTTTCACACCTTCCATAGATTGGGTGGAGAAGGAAGAGCGACGGAGAGTCTTCTGGATGACCTTCTGTATTGATAAATTTGCCACTATTGGAACAGGGTGGCCTGTGGGTCTCAGCGAGACAGAGGTAAGCTCTCCGTATGTCACATCTACGAGTGAGTGGTGTGTTAAGATGAGCAGGTCATGACAAATCTCGCCGCTAGCGACGAAGCCTTTATTACAGGCCAGTCAGAGCCAACGGCACGTCTTAGTGATGTTTTAAACGGCGAGGGACTCGCAACACTGTCTCCTTCCGCAAGTATCGCCTTCGTGTCGTGCATCTTTGGCCGGATTACAGACCATCTTCGTCTCCCCCAATCGCAGGACGACGATAGTTATGGTACTGGAGGCTTCTGGCAGCGACACAGATCTTGCGATGAGATTCTGCTCAATTTTGCTCTGGCAATGCCAAATCATCTGCGTCTCCCAAACGGGATGGGCGACCCTAATATCATCTTTTGTAACATTGCTCTTCACACGGCTATTATATGCCTTCACCAAGCCGCGATATTCAGAGCGGAGTGGAACAACGTATCAGAATATCCCATTGTTGAAAGCAAGTTGAGGTGCACTGCTGCTGCCCAGCAAGTTTTGGAGATTATAAAAATGGTTGGCCCTGTCAACATGAGCAAAGTAAGCTTTTTAAAAACTAGGTCAATCACGTCGCAAACAACTGACAGATATTAGGTGAATCCCTTTGCCTCATTCTGTATCTATGTGGCAGCACGTGTATACGTTCAGCGTCTCAAGCTTGATCCTGAAGATACAGAAGCTCATTCTGCGTTCCAGTCTTTTCGTTCAGTTATTCATACTCTCAAAACTACAAATCCCCTAGCGGAATCCTTCCTCTTCCAGTTGGATGTTGACAGTGAAGGAGGGTCATCCCAAGGCCTTCGACTACCGACCAACAATTTTCCTGTTCAGATGCTCTCCCCTAGCAACCTATAGCAAGACAAGGTTTATTGTATTTTCTGAGTTTGGGTACCACACAAGGATTCCATTAGTCTACGAACTTATATATTAATCTACATATTCAACCAATCCATGCTTGGGTACAGAATATTTATCCCCAATAGGGACAATATCAATAGCCTAGTTTAAACCCGTCAAAGCAATAGAGTTATAGTTGAGTAATAGGAAAAGTTACTGTTGGAATTTCGGATTTATCTATACCCCGTGCCAGCCACATTAAATCCTTCTCTAGTGTCGCCACACCACCTGATGTCGTCATGCTTTCCCTACGATCTCATCAATCGACACAGCCTATCTTGCTTTTAAGTCGGTCAACAACACACATGCCGAGAAGAAAACTCCTTCCCTGTGGCCCAAAGAAATCAGTACAAAATGAGGCTCAAGATACCATTCCCGGCCGAGAGCTTCTAGAGGCTTTGGCAAGGTATTTTATCCTTGAACGCCGTCGATAGAATCTAAACAAGATATAGCTTGCGCTGCAACCCTGTATACAGCGATCTGACCATTCTATGTGGTCAGGAATCTTATCCTGTGCATAAATGTATAGTTTGTACACGGTCGGACTTTTTTGCCAAAGCATGCGATGGAAAGTTCAAAGTAAGGCTTGAATAAACCTCGAGATTACCTTCTCATCTAACATGCTAATCATAGGAGGCGTCTACGCGTGAGGTTATTCTAAATGAAGAACCGGCCTTAGTGAAGCAAATGATTGAATATTTCTACACCCTGGAATATCAGGTCAATACTGAGTTCCAAGCACCTGATGGCCAAAGCTTTGACCAAAAGAACATCACCAGTCCCCCTAGGTGGGAAGGCACAGAGACTCCACTTGCCCACGCAGGAAGCGTGGAACCTGTTGAATCAAATCAAGTCTGCGACGTGCCTGAAGAGCAAGCACGATTATCAGATCCCCTGTCCTTTCACATCTTGATGTATTCTCTTGCGGACCGTCTCCTTATACATGGGCTGAAAGCTCTCTCCAAAGAGAATGCTGGACATGAATTGATTCAACGATTGGACGCGCATGCGTTCCCACAGGCGATCTTCGAGATTTATAACTCCACGCCTGAAAATGACCGAGGTCTGCGAGATCTGGCGGTGGAAGTCACCATGGACCACTTGAGCGCACTAAGGAAAGCAAATGGAACGGCGGCTGCAGCCTTCAAGGACGATCTTTTAAAATCAGTCCCTCAATTTTCATACGACCTAGTTGTTGCCATGATGAACAAGTCCGTGTCCACGGAATCAAGATGGGGTATGTAGGAAATTTTGGGCAAATCAGACAATATGGTGATAGCATAAGAGATTGAAAGGAAGTGGTGACCCCTGGTTTAATATTACAGGATGCCTATGAAAAGGTGATACTAACCTAATGATATGGATAGACTGAAAGTAGGTCTGGGACTCAGTACGATTATACCGCGGGGCTTAGCTTAAAAAGCGTTCACAGGGGTATGAAGCCAGTCTACTCATATAGTATACCAAGATAACACATGCTAGTCATCGACTGGATCGTTTTGCATTCACATAATGGTTCATCTTACTACGTAGGCCTTAGAATAAAAGCTTCATGACCATAATATCTGTAATACACATTTATCGTTAAGAGATTCATAATAACAGCAATAGGACCAGATATATTCAACCCTGAACCCTCTTCCTCTCCCGCAACCTAAAGATGATTCCATGCCGAAGACCAACAGCATGTTAATCGGCCGAAGACTTAAACAAGAAGATGTCTAGACTCTACTAAATTAAGAATCAATCATATCCCTTTATTCAAAATCCCTCACATCAACCAGATAGCCATTGGAAGGAATGCAAATCCCCATCTCCTTATCAACTCTGGCCACAGTCCCAGGGTTAGGGCTGTCGCAAGACCCCACAAAATAGTGGAGAAGAGTAACAGTCGGGGCAACAATCTCTCCGAAGCAGCCCTAAGAAATCATAAGTTCCTATCAAAGTTTTATTGTCCTGACTGACCAAATCTAGTTTACGGCGCGAACTTCCAGAATACGCTCCGATATCGATAGGGGATGGATTTAGTCGAAGTATTAGCGGGATTTCTCCTGATAGCTTCGTTCGGTCTTTACATGAAACGGGCTTTATAGATTTTTCTGTGGCACTTGTCATAACGATGGGGGAAGGAAAGTGTTGTAGTGCTGATCTTTTTGTGCTGGGTGGGTTGAAGAGATTTCTGAAAATCGGGATATTGTGTGGTAGAATTGCTCCTGGGTGTGGATTTTCTGTGTTTTCTTACGATTATGAACTCCTGCAAATAATTGACTATCTTAGGATTTTGACCTCTGCGGAGCCATATTTATCTAAGGGTCTCATTTGGTACGCGGTGGCATTACCCTCGAAACACCACAAATCGGCGAGACGGTTTCGATTTCGATTATATATTAGCTAGCTAACTACTATAAGAGAGTTAAAATCTCGAGATCTATCTGACAAGCGCTCAATGGGACTGGGACCCATTCTCCAACAGGGATTGAACGGTAGAGACCGCATCGCCAACACAGACAGCACAGTTGTTGGACTTATCAGGAATCAGCATTGGTAGAGAACATCAATGGACGTAGGACATACCTGACTGGGAACTAATTCTGCAACGGCGCGGCTCACACATTGAAGGTCAGAGGCAATGTCCGAACCCCCACCAACGATGGCAGCACTACAACTCTGCACAGCCGGAATGAGTTGCTGGAAGCAGGCTTTTAGTAAGAGGGGTTAGCTAGAGCTCACAATAATAATGCGACAGGGAACAAACCGGGAATGTCACAATCACCCGTGACCAGGAGGGACTCGAGTACTGGTCCAACTTCCTGCACGATCTTGGAGGCATTGAAGGCCTGGACAATATTGTGTAGGTCGGGAGTCTCCGTGGGAGCGGCCATCGCGGCACTGGCGCAAAGAGCCACGGCTACAGTAGAAACGCGCATGATGGGATGAAAATGGGTAAGGCAGGTGTTGCGATATATTGTGAAGGTCTTTGTTTATTGTCTGGGGAAATAGACGTTGGGCGTGATGCTCTTATATACCCTTGATCGGGGCAGCCCAGCAATGCGAGTGTTCACATTTCCACGACCAGCTCACGCTGATCATATCATTTTTTGGTTCCTGGATGTCGCACGTGGTGCTCCTATAGGTGGGGGATTAAGTGGAAGGCATTGTAACTATCTGTTGAATAGTAATCGTATCGGCAATAACAAGACCCTTGCGGGACTCTCGAGAGTCCGCTTAAGCCTTGTCTGGCTCTATCCTCGTGAACGATTTACAGGGGGGTGTGGGTCAACCGTGGGTCCTTCCTCCCTAGTACCTCCGGTCATTGCAACCTCATGTTTCGCAACTAGAGTCTAGGAGGAACTAATGAGTGGCGTAAAATAGATGGGAGACCCTTTTCTCCTGATTGGCAAGACAAATATCATTGTAAACTACGTCTACGTCGCGTATTACAGCGTAGCTGCTGCATGATAATAAGGCTGGACTAGTGCATTGCACAGCGTATGTCAGATGAAACCAGAAAAGGAATAACTATTGAGATCCGTATTTCACATCCAGAATGCCTAGTAATTGCAATAGTAGGGCAGTTTCGGGAATTTAACCAGTCTTCAAGCAAATTCTCTTTGCTCAGCTCTGGCAACCTCTCCTTCAGCATTCTTCTCCTCACTCATACCGCCCACGTTGGGCTGGGCATCACCCTGTGGCAACCGCCTAGCCATTGGAACAATATCCCAGACAGTGGGGGCTTCTTTGAATACTTTGTCAATCAGCTCCAAATTACGATTCATGGTCTCTGGAAAGAAAGGCAACACAATCAGAGGAACACACGCAGATGTGGCGGCAAAGACAATATAATATTTCCAGCCGATACTAGACAATGCAACCGGTGTGACCATGGTGATGATAAAGTTCCACAGCCAATGGTTCGCAGTCGATATGGAGGACATGGCCGCTCGTAGGTGGGCAGGGGCAATCTCAGCGCAGTACAGAAAATTTCCCCCCAAGAAGCCGATTGGGTAGCAAAAATTGAATATAAATATAAACACGGCTGCAACAATTGAGGCAGCATGGTTTGACGAGGAAAAGCTTGTGGCAGCGGCCATGGCGACCATACACATCGACATGCCAGTCCCACTTATAACGAAGATCCAACGTCTCCCTAGACGGTCGACTGCGAAAAATGATATAAAAGAGCAAAGGAACTTCCAGGTCAGGGAGCTCGCGGCCACGATTGCTGGGATATCACCTTGAAGGTGCAAATTTCTTTCGAAGATACTCGTCGTGTAGATCGAGATCAAATTCCCGCCCACGAGTTGTTGGAGTGTTTGTATTACGAGGCATAATCCAAACCGGTATAGGAGCCGGTTTTGGTCGTTCCTGTCGAATATATCCTTGATGGAAACTTTTGGGCCTGTCTCTAATGAATTTCTGATTTGGCATATCCCGTATTGAACATGTTCGTCATGGCTGGGCATGCCATTGAGCTGCGCGAGTGCTTCTGTTGCTTCCGCGATGCGGTGCTTCTGGACCAGCCAGCGAGGGGATTCAGGAAGTGTAAAAATGGAGACGCAGATAATAAAGGAGAAGAGAGCCGGGATTGCCAGCGAAATGCGCCACTGCAGCGGGGGTAAGGAGGCCTTGCTGAAGCCTAAATTGATCCAGCTAGAAAGTACGAATCCCACGCAAATGAAGATGCCGGCGGTAATGACCTTACGGCCACGATTACCAGCAGAAGAGCTTTCTGCTTGCCATACCGGCACAATAACACTCAACTGACCAACTCCAACACCCAGTACAATACGGCCCATGGTAAACTGACCAAGTGAGAATGCTGTACATTGGAGAATCTGGCCAGCTGCGGCGCAGATTCCAGCAACGAAGATGGTCTTTCGACGGCCGATAACATCACCAATCACGGAGCAGGACAATGCACCAACAAGGGCTCCCAATTGCAAACAGCCATTGATGAGACCCTTGATAGTTGAATTCTCTGCCTCCTTGGCTCCATGTGTGTTGACAGTGTCAATCTGGGGGAAGTAGCAGATCACATCGCGGAGATCGAGGAGTGCCGAAAGTCCGGCTTGATTGTAACCGTACAGGATAAAGGCCGGGGCGATAACAAGAAATATCTGTGCGTACTGGATTGTCCTCGGTGTCCTCCAGAACATAGTGTACGAAGTGAGTAGAGAAACCCGATTTTGACAATTAGGAAGGATATCAAGTGGTGAGAAGATGGAGGGATGTAGCTCGGCATACGACGTGGGCTTCTTATGTGAATACAGGGGAGGCTTGGGGTTATCCATGACCTGTTTCCCGGGGAGTAGCTTGACCTAATCATGGGTGACGAAAGGCAAATCGATGACCTGCGGATGATATCCGCACCCCATAGTGTTCGTTTCGCCCTGCGTCTATAGCATAAGCATTGATTAGCCGCAGTTTGACTCTACTGCAGGTCACTAATTTCTTTTGTCCTTTCTCCATACATTTGCGTGCCATAACGAGGGCGAGCACATAATATAGTCTGGCGGTCTGCGCACGAAGAGAAGCTTAGCTGTATATCCCTCTGCTCCACCATTATGTTCAGAACCAGGGGGAATACAAAAGGTGTAGGTCTGGGTGAGTCTAATCTAGACATGACCAGCCGGGTGCTGCGTCGGCTCGCTTCCGCAGGTCAACGGAGGAACTCCGCCCAAATCGGCGGCTGTCGGCAGGCTGTCTGCATAGTTCCATGACGAATGCTGGTTAACAGCATAGCTAGGGTGGAGGAAGAAGCAGAAGAAGAAGAGCCGTATGATTTTGTGCGTTTTTGTCGAACAGTCAACGAGGAGGTCTTAAGGATAAACATCGTCTAGGTTGAAGATGTTATGCATCCTTTGTTTCCGTGGACCGTGTCACCTGGTCAATTCCCATCCTGGATTTAATGCCTGATTCCTTGGGCCTCAGGGCACATGAGAACTCGAATGCGGGGGAGTTTTCAGATACGGTGACGCTGCAATCCCCGGAACCTCCGCCACAAAATAATCTATCCTCCTTCTATGACTCTTTTCTTTCTATTACAGGGAGTCACTAAGGAAGCATCGAATTCTCCAACCATATCGCAATGGGAACTCGAGGTCTGGAGATAGTGCGCTTGTCTACGAGATCCGCAACGGTTTCAAACCTAACTATTCGCAGTTTCGTGAGTTCGAGACGCTTCCTTCCGAGCTTCCACGGCTGGGTAGCTATGCTGAGTACATTTACATCATCAACCTCGACCATCAAGTTCTTACCATGAACCACACCATACACTGGAAGCTGGGAAATGTTCCGCGCCAGGACGAGCTATGGTTTCGCGCCATCGCAGATAGCATCTATCAGGACAACTTCACCATCTCCCTCGATGTTTGCCCGGAAGAGCATATGGCCTCGCTCGCTTTGGAGCTTCCGAAGCCGGAATGGAAGATCAAATATGACTTCCGCGTCGTAGCCCCGAGGACAAACATCGCGGAGGCGCGAAAGGCGTTTCTTACAAGGCTTCTGGCGAGTACTCTTATTCAATATAAGAATGAGATCATTAGATTTGGGAGGGAGTGGAGTCCAGACTCGTTTCCCTTTTGCGAGTTGGCTTTTGCTCTTGTCTCAATTGCCTCTGGCCAGGCCAAATTCCATTCTTTTCCTGCTCAGCAGTGTAATCCTCGAACTTGTGGAGCGTCGGACTGCAAGTTGAAGCACTTGCGCAAGTCACCTGGATGGCTTGACGAAGAGTGGGCTGGTGATAGCGCTCCGTTGCTGGAGTTTGGCTCCCTGTCCCATCTACCGGGCGAGCCTCCAGGGGCGTCGCCCGCGGAGATGATATACTGGCTCGAGGACGTACTTGTCAGTCTTACACTGGTGATTGACGGTAAAGCCATCACGGAGGCTGTTAACTGGGGGATCGGGCAGGGACGCACCAACTTTCAGATCGTCGTGCTATCGCTCTTTAAAGCGGCTTTTGCGGAGGTCTTTCTCGATGACGACGGGAAACTATTCGTCGAAGTCACCCGCGCCGTTGATCTTTAACCTTTGCGTGCAGAGTATTGTGTGAGCACACATCCACGCAATCGACCAGAGCTAAAACCTGGGATGAAGTTCCAGCACCAGCGCGGTGAGCTCATTATGAATTCGAACTGCACAGGGACAATCCAAAGACTACGGAGCCAGTTCCCCGGCCTCGCGGCGCTCGTCAACTTCTTTGAAGTTGCTGCGAACCGCCGCGCAGCGTCGAAATCGGCAGGCATTCTGCCGCCAGAACTATACGGCCAGGTTCTGGACTTTGTGGACTACGATACGTGGAAGACCTGTCTGCTTGTATCTACAGTGGTTCATTCATGTTGCCTCAGCAAGTACAGACTTGATGATCGGATAAGCATTGTGGCAGGGCCTTTCGTGAGGCTGGGTCAATATCACCACAAGGAGCGACTGATGTCCTTCGACTTCCAAAACATGCAAACGGGCAAGATCTTTCCGATGGTGCAGGTTCCGCATGACATTTGGACGGAAGAGTGTAACTGGATGCCAGTCATTGGTGGCGACAGACAAGCGCTCATGTTGGATGTGGTCATCCAGTTTGAGCAGGCGGAGGATGTGCCGGTGGAAGCCGGCAGCGATGATGAATGTTATTTTTCACAGTATAAGTAGCCGATTTCATAAAAATTGAGGAATTAGGATAATGTAACTTCATACATGGTATGCTAATTTGTGCATCAACTCCTCACGTCTCGTCATGTCATGGGTTACACGTGGCGATGAAACACTTCGTTGAGAGCCTGCCGTCAGGTAACCGAAAGGAGTATCATCGCTTAACTGTCAAGCATGTTTAATCCTGTCACGGTTAGCGCCTCGAATGATGAGATAACGCTCCAGCTCGTGGTGGAATTGTCCCAAGCCCGTCAACATAGGGCCGAGGCACGCAAACTCCCAGAAGCTTTGGAAAGAAGCCTGCAGGGTCTAGAAAATTGATTGACTACATACTGGCTTTGTTCATGGGCTTTTTCTCATTGGCCTCCGCATAACTGTCTTGTAAATGTGGAGTCAGCCGCTATTTTGTTGTTTAGCACCCGATCCTTGTCGCTGGCGAGATGCCATGATCTTCTCTCCTTGTTGTGAACTTGTTTCAAGTCTGCATCCCAGTTTTCTTGGCTTCAATCATAGCTTCTAAATCAATTCTTCGAGGCTACATATAACATGATAAAGCTCAGAAAATTGGTCGTAATTTATAAAAAGAATCAAACTTCTGTTACAACAATGGCCTCCCGAGTCGCCGGACACTCTTTGCACTGGATACATTGTATACTCTCTATAGTTATCCATTCTATGCGGCTCACTAGCACCGGCCATCTTGGGGAAGAATGGCTCTTAAGTACTTTATCTTTACAGTATCCTCATCTCGTGTGACCTCTTTGGTGTCCACTGTCAGGGGTGGTATCGTAGCCCCAGGAGATATACTACAAAGCCAAGGTTGCCTGTGGCTAGGCTTAATGAATGAAGCTACATTCTCGGTTTTGACTTGCCGAGTGTGGGTTATGACTATCCTCCAGAAATTGATTCAGAATGGGATAGTCCTATGCAATGATTGCAATGAATTGGAGCAGGAATCCATGGAATTTGGAAACCAGTATTATGCTGCAGCTGCAAGAAGTGACCAGCCAACGGCCTGTTGTCAAATCTAGAATGTGCCATTAACGGTGTCTCTCAGATGATGGGGTGCCAAAATTGTTGTTTGAATTTGAGTTTCATGTTCCTCTTGTATTGATTGTCGTCTATCGCTTCTGCTTTGCTTTTGCTTTGTAACCGATGGTCGCTTTGATAATGTTTATTTGTTTCGGCATATGAGTGTCTTCAGCTCCCATGGATTTATAAACTCCAAAATTCCTCTAGTTCTTAAAATCAAGGTGTATAATTTTTGCATGATGTCGACACGTACACTTTCTCATTGGATGGTCTGCGACCTTAGTACCGGCAACTCCACCCACATCTGATTAGAAGGCTATATAGGAATTAACTGTCAACAAGTTCAAAGCGACATCCGAGGCTAGTTCCTCCAAGTATTGATCCCCCCCAGCCAAGAAGCTACTTGGAACCACCAACTATCCCGTCCAAAACGCATGGCCGTTGTAAACTCCCAGTATTCAGGATACCAACCTGCGGATTCCCAATCCAAAAACCCAGATAAATGCCCATCATCATCGACGAGAATATTATGTGCTTTAAAATCCCCATGGGTAAACATAATTTGGTGTGAACGCTGTTGTAGCTTCTTGGCACATAACAACGTCTGCTCATATTCCGCATGCGATTTGAATACATGGCTGGAAGCAGGACTGAAAAGATAATCATAAAATTCCCTCTCACTTGTGAAAGGGCCCATGGTGTGGCCAGGAACCCATGAGCTTCGTATAGAGGTTCCAATTGGAGAGTAGATAGAACTTTGATCCGGTGGGCACCATGAACGCATAGCATGTACGCATGTCTTTAACTCATCCAGCCATGGACCCTCAATCGATTTCTAACGGGTAGCTTGAGTTTTCGAGGGCCACACCAGGCAACCTCGTCATTAACATTGAAAAGGTCCGGTTGTAAGGAGCATTCGGATGCTCCCCGCAACATAATATTTTTGGGACAGGCATACCAGCGGCTCTTGCCATCTGCGTTGCAACCGCCTCTATACTCGCTCGACCCGTCCATTTCAGAACGAGACCGAAGGGTAATTGTAAGATATTGACATCAAACGCAATATTGAACCAAGAGCAATACCATTGCGATACTAATTCTATATAGACAAGGCATAAGAAGTGACTGTGTAAGTCTGGATAAAGTACCTCTGGGTCTGGTTGGTTGCTGTTATGGGCGGGGATCACTAATGCTCGTTATATATATCAGTTTAGCCGAGACTATGCAGAATAAAACTGAATATTCGCACCACTCCGCAACGCTTGTAACTATACATAAGTCAGTTATAAGTAGAAAGCACTTGTGTATGAAGCGGTACGATCCATAGTAAAAGGACTTTTCGAGAAATATAACAATCTATACATTCGACACTAGTACGGATGATGGATGCTGTCTCTTCTTTTATCTATTATCTTATAGATTTAATCTAGTCAATAGAACCAACAACCAGTGGTTGTGTAGTGTAATGGTTAGCACCCAGGATTCTGATTCCTGTAATCCCGGTTCGATCCCGGGCACGACCTCGTCCAGTATCCTTTTTTGCACCCTGTCGTCATGCTCTCTAGAAGGGCCGCTTTTCCAATATTTAACTTTTTTAAATATTATTGTTAAAATTTTTACTCTCCGACCCGAGATTCGGAAAGGGCCGCTCCGGATTATCTCCGTCAGCACATACATCTGGCCCGCTGGACGTCGGCCAGCCGGCAAACCACATGTATCCCGCGTTCGCCACGAGCCCTAAGCCGAGAAGCAAAACAGCATTCATGCCCAACCCGCGGGCAAGTGAAGTGTTATAATTTAGAGGTGTGGATACCCTGTCGATCAAACTCAATCGCCCGACAAGGATGTACTCAGGGTCCACGCGTTTATGACCATTGTGGCCGGCGAAGCTTGGCCGATGGCTACCAGATGGGCAACCTAGGTTTAGTCTGCAGCTTGATGTGCTGGCTTTTATCTCAGTACAGGCAAATTTGGACAGGTTAGACGGCATACGTAATATTGCCTAGGTTGCAAACATGTTCTCATTCTATTGCTCGTCTCGAGCTTCCCGAGCAACCACCGAAGATTGACTCCTTTACAGTGGTATGACCACCCTACCTAGTAGTTTGCTACTCAATAGCAACAAATAAACTTCGCCTTAAAGCACGTCAGACAGGATTTGCATGAAAGCACTTCGCTGCTGCTTTGACGTTGCGAAACGGTGCCAAGAGAGGCGGCCGATGTACCCCGACTCGGCCATCGGCATTCGGCGAAGGTTGGACGTACTATGATTCATACGGTAGATTCGTACTCAGCATATGACAGGGAAAATTTTCACGATGAAGAATCGGATAGAATGAAAAAGCTGAGGGGACAGCTGTGGAACAAGGGTATGATTGGTCCAAGCTTTCGATACTCTCGTGGAACCTAATGGCGGCATATGCGGCCGTTTGATAATGAGAATCGGAACCATGGTCTGAAATTCCCTTGGCCGCAAGAGAAGAGAAAGTAGAAGAGACTAGATCTACATGAAGCTGACATGGGCCTCGTTGGAGGGCATCATATAAAGCTAGGCAGAGTACAAAGGAGTAGCAGTGTCTTTTTGTTGTATAGACTCGTCCTTACTTTTAGATCTACACATAGACTTTATACTGAATACTGGATGGACCAACTTGAGCTTGTACCCTCTCATCCTGCCTGGTCCTACCCAGAAGGTGGGCTTGAGGCCAACCTCGTCGTTCTCGGCAGCTTTAGCTCCATCATGGGTGGCCTGGGTTTGATGAATAGTATCGGCATCTACCAGGCATGGATCTCAACGCACCAACTATCCCACCTTGGTGAAAGTCAAATAAGCTGGATCTTTGGCATATACAACTTCCTCGTCTTCTTTTGTGGCATCCAGATTGGCCCGGTCTTTGACGCCAAAGGGCCCCGTCTCCTTATGCTCACGGGCTCGATCCTCCTCATCCTCACCCTCGTTTTGGTCGGATTCTGTCAAGAGTACTGGCACTTCCTAGTGGTAATAGGTATCATCGGCGGAGTTGGAACATCATTCATCTTTATCGTTCCTGTTGCGACTATTGGCCACTTCTTCAGTGTTCGCCGAGGTGGTGCAACTGGCTTGGCCATGTCTGGCGGGAGCATCGGCGGCGTGATCTTTCCATTGGTCTTGGAGTACCTAGGGCCGCGCATCGGATTCGCCTGGGCAACAAGGGTGATCGCGCTTATTACCCTTATTCTTCTCATCCCGGGATGTCTCTTACTAAAAGCTCGTCTTCCGCCGAAGTCGTCTACCGCCACCTCCCTGCTGCCCGACCTTAGAATCCTAAAGGACCCAGCCCTAGCCCTCACCACCTTGGGTGCCTTCTTCATCGAATGGGGGTTCTTCATCCCTCTCGAATATATCACCTCATACTCCCTGACCTACGGGATCTCCAGCCGCTTAGCTTATCTAATGGTGGTGTTTCTCAACGCCGGCTCATTCCCTGGTCGCTGGCTACCGGGCATTCTGGCCGACCGAATTGGCCGGTTCGAGATGTTGACCTTGACAAATATTTTCTGTCTCATCGCGGTGCTAGGAGTCTGGATGCCGGCGAATGGAAACGTCGTTGCGACGGTTATATTTTCCGTGACGTTTGGAATTGGGTCGGGAAGTAATATTAGCCTCGTTCCGGTTTGCGTCGGCGAACTATGTCCCACCGAACAATACGGACGGTTTTATACCACTGTCTATACGATTGTAAGCTTAGGGTATGTTCATATCTTCTCCTTCTCCTTATCTAATTTTATGAATACACTGCTGACTGGCTTAGGGCATTGACTGGAGTTCCTATCGCAGGTGAAATCATTCATCGTTGTCATGGGGAGTACTGGGGGTTGATCGCTTTCGCTGGGTGTGCTTACGCTGCTGGCTTGATATGTTTTGTCGGTGTGTTAGTGTTGAAGCGGAAGAGGGTGAAAAGTACTGTTTAATTAGTGAAAATTTCTGGTGTAGATAATTGATTGTTTTTACTTTTAGAATACACCCTGAAGATGTTGAAGCAGGGAGGCATAGAACACGTAAAATGTATTAGGAGTGCTATCATTTGCCCTAAATAGCACTAACGTCAAGCCGGCGTTCTTCCTCGAGATCGTTCGGAAGATGAACAAATAGCGCCGTAGTGCTAGCATTTAAAATCCCCCTCTTTTTATGATAGCAGCGGAGCAACATACATTGAATTGAAAAAGGCAGTCCAGTCTTGTTATTCTGGAAGCAAATTAGCTTCCTTAAGATAAATGATTGGCTATTAAATGTGTAATGTGTATTCTACACCTTTGTGTTATAGAACACTAGTAACTGCGCGGTAGTTGGAGCACCTTCTCGCTCACATAGTTCAAAATCATCTCCCGACTTACTGGTGCAATTCGGGGCACTAGACACTCTCTCAAATACCTCTCCACATCATACTCCATCGCATAGCCCATTCCTCCATGACTGAGAACTGCCCGTTCGCACGCTTTAAATGCCGCTTCCGCAGCAAGATATTTGGCGCTATTGCACGCCACACCCACAGAGTGGAACGGAATGGAATCATCCGTTTTGGAGGCATCGTACAAGCGCGCCGCATGGTATGTCGCCAGCTTAGCCGCTTCTAATTGCATATATGCGTCCGCTAGTGGATGCGCAATGCCTTGGTTTTGTCCGATCGGTCTCCCAAAAACTACCCGATCGCTTGCGTACTGTGCAGCGCGTTCCAAAGCAGCGTAACCGAGACCCAACGCCTCACCGGCCAGAAGACATCGCTCCGCATTCATGCCATGGAGGATTATCTTGAATCCCTCGTTCTCTTGACCGATCAAGGTGCTGTCCGGGATTTCGTAGTTGTCGAAAAACACCTCGTTGGCGTCGACCGCACGGCCTCCCATCTTCTTGATTTTACGCATATCCAGTCCGGACTTACTCCGGTCTATGTCGATACAGAATAATGAGAGACCTTGACTTGACTTTTTTACTTCCTCCAAAGGCGTTGTTCGCGCCAGGAGGATCATTTTTGAGGCAACCTGTGCGCAAGTAATCCAGATCTTCTGGCCTGAGATTGAGTAGGTTTGCTTCTCAGGGTTCTTAGTGGCCAGGGTCTTCAGCTTTAACGTCTCCAGACCGGTGTTCGGTTCTGTGACGCCAAAGCATGTCCTCCAGGTGCCGTTAATGATTTTTGGGATAGTCTCTTCGAGTTGTTGTTTGGTGCCGAACTTCGCCAGAGGTTGCGTGGCATACACATTTGCATGAATGGATTGAGCCCCGGCCATTCCAGCACCAGATTGTGTGATGGTCTGCATCATCATTGTTGCTTCAGAGATACCTACTCATTTGTTAGTATCATAACACTATGTTGGATTTCTCCATGGAGTGAACGTACCGAGCCCAGCTCCCCCGAGCTCTTCGGGAAGCGCAATCCCTAGCCATCCGTCCTTGGCCAACGCGGCATGGAACTCCTTAGGATCGCGTTCATTTTGGTCGCACTCTTGCCAATATGTGTTGGGAAACTTGGAGCAAATGGCTGAAATCGCTTCCCGAATGGTTAACTGCTCTTCAGTGAACCCCGTCAATTCCATCAACGGGCGCCGAGCAGAGGTGGAGAACCTCGACCGCGGTGTTGTCCATGATGCTATCGGGCTGCATGGCAGCACTCTCCCAATAGCTGGACTGATTCTAGAGGATAGAGTTTTCTGAGCGCAAAGTCGAGACATGGCGAATGGATTTACAGGCGAAGTTATTGCTCAAGATGTGATTGGGGATTATAAATAAACGATATTCGTGGTGCGAACCACGTACCCGGCATAAACCCGCTCATCGGCATGGCATATAACCGCCGAATAACCGCTTGACCCCACCGGTCGATCAGGCCGAGGTAGATATGTATTAAACTCATGTATTCTGCGAAAGACTGCCTTTAAAACTTGAATCTCGTCTGTAGACACATCTCTGCCCAGATAACTGTCATTAATCTATCACAGAATGGCTCCCTTGCGACCGCTATCTCAGGCGTTGTATCCTCGGATATCAGGCGCTCGGAGCGTTTCAACCAAGACCTCCCCAAAGGGACCCCTTTCTGGCATCACAGTGGTTAGCCTTGAACAGGCCATTGCAGCTCCATTCTGTACGCGGCAACTGGCAGACCTTGGGGCTCGTGTCATTAAAATTGAGCGACCTGGTGTGGGGGACTTTGCACGGAATTACGACACTCGCGTCAACGGTCTTGCATCGCACTTCGTCTGGACAAATCGGTCGAAGGAAAGTCTCGCATTAGACCTCAAGAAGCCACGCGATCATGGGGTCCTAATGCGCCTGCTGGGTAAAGCCGATGTCCTAGTTCAGAACTTGGCTCCCGGAGCCAGTGCACGGCTAGGACTGTCCCATGAAGAGCTTAAGAAGAAGCATCCCTCACTGATTGTGTGCAATATCTCCGGGTACGGACCAGATGGCCCGTATCGTGATAAGAAGGCCTACGACTTGCTTATACAAAGCGAGGCAGGCATGCTTTCTGTTACAGGGGCCGCTCAAGAGCCTGCTAAAGTAGGCATTTCTATCGCGGATATTTCTGCCGGAAGCTACGCGTACTCTAATATTCTGGCGGCTATCATTCAAAGGGGGAATGACCCTGAGAAGCGTGGGTGTAACATCGATATCTCAATGTTGGAGAGTATGGTCGAATGGATGGGATTTCCGCTGTACTATACCTACCAGAACGCACCGAGACCGACACCAACGGGAGCCTCGCACGCTGCGGTCTACCCGTATGGACCATTTGAAACGGGGGATGGAAAATCCGTCATGCTGGGGATCCAGAATGAACGTGAATGGGTCAATTTCTGTGAGAAGGTTCTGTCTCTGCCAGGTTTGGCGACAGATGAACGGTTTGTCAACAACTCCCTTCGATCGCAGAACCGGGATGCGCTTAAGGGCATCATTTGCGAGGTGTTCTCATCTTTGACCGCGGAGAAAGTGGTTACTCTCTTGGACGAGGCCGCCATTGCCAATGGTAATGTCAACGATATGCAGGGTGTTTGGGAACACCCACAGCTCAAAGCGCGTGATCGGTGGACTGAGGTTTCCACTCCGGCTGGCATCGTCCCGGCTTTGCTGCCACCGGGACTAACTCAAGGGGAACCTGGTAGATTCTCAGCCAGAATGGACGCAGTTCCGGATGTTGGAGAACATAATGCGGCGATCCTGGCCGAGTTGGGAATTGATGATGCGGGGAAGGATTCATAATGCACACGACTAGCAATAAATGCCGGTCGGCGTGTGGAATTTACGCCGACCGCCAAATGCCAAGACACACATATAGCCGACTTGTTCTCATTTACTTCTCTCGTTGTTTCCTCTCCCCTATGCTCCTCTCACACCAGCCGTGTATTCTTTAACTCGCAACTATAAATCGTACTATAATATTATAATGACGCCTGAAGCCGACTCGGGTCGGTATCCGACCAGGAAGCGCGCCCGACAGGCGTGTCTTCACTGCAATCGGCGCCGTATCCGCTGTAATGTCCTCGAGACGCGACCTTGTCATAACTGTGTCTCTATGAATGTTCCCTGTGAAGTGGGGGTCTCCAAGCGAGGAAAGTAAGCTTGATCTACATACAATAGACCCATGTTTGTACCGAGGAAGTAGACATGCCAATCTGTTGCTACAGGTATCCTCGCAAGAAGGCTTTACGGCAGCCGGGGACTCCACACGAGGGAGATTCCATAATCTCAGACTCGACTGTTTCCGCAGATCATAGCATTTTCCAGCCAGGTGAAAGTTCGCTTGTGCACATTGACGCGTCGGATTCTCCTGATCAGCGTCATCATCTGGGACAGCGCGGTAGCAGTGCGACGCATAGCCGGAACAGCTTTGGGACTTCTTGGATATCCGCTGGAGATACGACAAGCGTTTCTCATCAGACTGTGTTCCTTGGAGAATCAAGTCCCCTGACGTGTGTAATTGACGAGGGACGGCGGTCACCCGAGAAGGGCCCGGCGAATGCTATGCAAAATACTCGCCTTCACTACCCTATCCCAGAAAGGCTGGATGCTAATAGTACACGCGATGAAGCGCTTCGCGCACACAGGCGCAAGGTGGAAGAGCAGCTGAATGCTGATGGCGCATTCTCCTATCCACCAAAAGACACTTGTGCGATACTACTGAGAGCCTACTTCACATGGTTTCACCCATGCTTTCCCATTTTGGACCGTTTAGCGGTCAAACAATCATACGTCCGAGGTGATATTTCTCACCTTCTGCTGCAGTCGATGCTCTTCATTGGGGTTAGTCTTTGCACTGACGAAGACTTTGCGCGCACCGAGTTCTCTCTTCGATATCGAGCCAAGTTTCTCTTCTATAGTCGAGCTAAGGCTATATATGATGCCGACTGGGAGTCGAACAAGACTACCAAGTTGCAGTCACTGTTCTTGCTGAGCTCTTGGCGCGGAGGGCCATCTGAAGAACGTGATACGAGGTTCTGGCTAGGAGTCGCTATTAGCTTGGCTCAAAAGCGTGGCATGCATATGATGTTGGTGTTAAAACGCTCAAAATTGTGGCGTTGCTGACTGTCCTAGGTCCAAATTACCCTTCCCGTCCGCGCGGGAAGAGAAACTATGGAAACGAATATGGTGGGCCCTTTATGTGGGTATTTGCAGTACCTCATTGTAAAACTACTCTAACGTAAAAGAAGATACGCGACCAGCAAAGTGCTGCAGCCTTGGGTCTTCCGCCTCGGATACGAGACGAAGACTGCGATGTTGCAATGCTTGAGCCGAGCGATATCCGGGAAGAGGAAGCAGTGGATGATGCACAAGTGTTTGGAGCACAAAGAGATGAAGATATAGTCTATCCAGCGGAAATGGCGAAATTAGCGAGGATATGTATGCTCCCTTTACTGCCTTGGTGGTGCCCATGCTAAGAAGACAGTGCGCACTATTGTCTCGACACAATATCTTCCTGTGCAGTCCGGTACCGATGAATCATCACGGGCGAAGTTACAGCAAACATTATGCGAATGGGAATCATGCTTACCGGCAGCCCTGAAACTAGAAAGTGCAGCGTCCCCGAGAGCCATGTTTTTGACTGGGTTGTTGCACATGACGTACAAGTATGTCGTTTGCTTTGTGCTCTGTCCTATGAAGGCTTTCTGACTTTTCAGTAACTTGTACATTCTCCTACACCGACCATCGTTCCTTAATTCTTCCAATCCTCCCGTGGACAAAGCAGGCCAAGTTGCGCTGGATGCCGCCACTAGAAGTACCAGGATTATCGAGGACATGTTGTCACACAACCTTGTCCAACACGGGCCTACTCATCTGTGTGTTTCATCTGATCTTACGTGCTATTTCCCAGGGATGTGCTAATGTAATAGGATCACCCATACATTCTCAACGCTGTGTATCCATACTATCCACTGTCGCCGAACATCTGGAACGGCTAGGAAGTTGGCAGAACACCGCGCAAAGCTCTGCCTTCTTGGACTCCAGGAGTTACAGAAAACCTGGGATATAGAAAATTGGGTACTAAATCTCTTCTTCCGATGCCTGGATGATAGCACCGCGCGTACTCTCCGGTTGACAGACATTGTCGCACCATCAGGCCAACCAATAACCCATACTGAGACTACAGATAAAAGTGCCGATGCCGATAAATCTCAGGATCTGCCCACCCCGACTGAAGCCATGGACTCTATTCACGAAGACCCAACGCTAGCGCCTGCCCTACAACCTTCCCCGAGCATGGAAAATGGGGATATTACCGCGCCAGGTGACTGGTACGGATTGTTTAATTTTACGGATGATTTTACAGATGTTCTAGGGGCGTCGTCATATCATGATTCGCTCAATCTCCAAAATCTGGAATTCTTATATCGATTCTTGTGACATTATCATGGTGATTTATTCAAGGAAGAATTTGTCAACTTCGTTAACCAACCATTAGATAGCTACTGTATCGACATCCTGGTGACTATAAGGGTTCTAGAAAGGCTATCGCTCATGGAATGATTCGGGCCTTCTTGAATCTATCGTATGCCGCATGTCATGCCCTCTGCATGCCTCTTTCCTCTTTAGTATCTCCTTATGCCTGGTGCGTCTTAGTAAGACCCAGCGATCTATCGAAGTTGGTTTGGGGTTTGAGAAAGTGAGGGACATGTGAAATGCTCCAGGTTACCACCCAACAGATAACCTGTCTGTGGGCTATACTCCATGGCCAAACATTCATCCTGATGTTCACGCAGGAAAGCTGTGGGGCCCTCGCCTGGCCTGTTTATGGTGACCCTTCAGCCCGAAATACCTACATATGATAGGCCATTTCACGGACTAGAGCTTCTACTGAGCGTTGTCCGCTATAATGATGTTCTATCCCGCGCTTATTTCTCGATGCAAACCAGTATGAATAGCTAATCGGGTAATGATGTCTTGGCTTCTACCATTGCTCTGGATTGGCCAAACTTTGGTTCCCGAAAACACCACTTCCGCACCGTCGTTGTTTATCCTGCGATATAAAATGAGATACATGTTAACTCGTTGCGCGAGGTTGTGGGCAGTATTGTTCGGAACGACCGCGATGATGATGTCGGTCTTACATCGTAGCAGGTCTAGTTTTTGCATTCGAATAGCCCTCTAAGGCGGTTGTGCTGATGGATGTAGAAGCGAGCGATATGGCCTCGAAATCTCAGTATGAGTCTCCTTGAGGGGGAGGTTATCTTTGAAGGGAAATCGTTAAGGAGATGCACACCATGCATCTGCATCGTTATGATTCAATATCCATTGGCTATAGCAGAACAAAGGTCCCACCGCCAGTTTACGAACTTTTATGCCTGTTGACAAGACAACAAACCGGAAGTTCGGGCACAGTTACTCAAGGGTGAGCACGTTCTTAAGCATATCATGTTACATTCCATCTCGTTCTCCGACTTGCGATCCGTGATATAAGCGCAGAGATATGCCGTTGTGACCATTTTTAGATAAGAGACCCGACCGATCAGCTGCTGCTATATGTGGATAAGATCCAGGTCGGACACTAGAGCTTATAGGACGGCGTTTACTGCATCCTAGGCTTCTGCCCACTGCGGGGACCATGTGTATATAGCGTTATATTATGAGATTTCCACAAGATATTGGACTTCCGAGCACGGTGAAGAGTAGTATCAGTTTTATTGATTGGTGTGTTGAACAATATCTGGCCCTTTGCAATGGTTAGTAGGAGAGTTTAACCAGTTCTTAAGCCAACCATGCAGGGTAGGATCAAGATGCCATGCCACTAGTAAACGCACTAAATCTGCACCACCGCTCTGACCCCACTTTATTCCAAGACGGTCCTGCTCTCTGCGCTTAGCATCTCCGTGGCCACCGTCCATGGACCCTTTCTGCTTTGGACGTATAATCTTGGCGTGCTATGCTGTCAGTAGGCCCCAAGTATGCCGGTCAATATATCAGAATCTGTTAACTTGACCATTTCCCGGTTGCGCTAAGGGAAGATGTTCGACTGTGCTATGATTAGTGGCTGAATATCCTAAGGTTCCCCGCAGCTTATTATGGTCAAGGAGCCCAGGGAATGGTGCAAGTTTATGAAAACAACCCTGACCCGGAAACTATATGGCGAAGAGACAAAACACCGCCATTTATATCTTGAGTCAACCCGGGGCCCCTGAGATGTGCACGATAGGTCGTGGTCCAGTCTTCCCCCAAGATTCATTTACATCGGGGTCCTGAAGAAGCATTTTTTTTTATCTAACCAAGCTGACCAACCGGATAGCGAAGGATAGCAATGCATTGCATCGGTGTCGAGACCCACAGATCTGAGCCCCATATCTCGTCTACCGGATAACAACGGCAATGATTAATCTAAAAGCTTACACCCCAGAGATCCAATACTCCCGTCCTATGACATCGGGTTTCGGGTTTCGTTCACCGAGATCCACTGCGTGTTGATGGAGACGTCCTGCTATAGCATTCATCCATGACTCGACCGGTGTGTGACTTTCTACTCCAACATTTTGCAGTGGAGATAGCTGGTGACGCCATTGGCAGTGAGCCAACGTGATACAGGAGCACCTTTGGGCGCCGAATTAACTCCGATTTGCCCCTGGTGCCATTGATCATCCCATATCTGTCCTTCGACGGGTAGCACGGATGGACTCCCGTGTCGACCACAGACCACCTTCACTGTATTGAGGCCAATGCCGCTATGTGACGAGATTGTTCATGTTCATGAGATCCATGAGATCGAAGTCCCAGCCATTGGGATATGCATGTACTCATCTGACGTCTGAGTTGGCAATGCGTCGGGATTGTACTGCCAAACGGGTGGGAAATGCTGAGCAGCTCAATCGACAGTAATCCATCCAGCAAGGGGGGAAATAAATAAAGTGGACCATTCTAGAACGCAGGGCTCCATTTAACGTGACATAATAAGAACGGGAATCTTCTGTTATTCCCGACGTCGGGAATAAAGTGGATCTCCCCTATCAATATCATCATTGTTAGGGTTGACTCATTCCCGACCGTGGGATATTTTTCATTTCTATAAATTTATCTATCCCCAATCATCTGTTATGTTTTAAAACCTCCCTGCTCTATAGCAATTGACTTTAAGATTCCGTGGTTGTTCTAGAAACAAAACAATGCCTGCCTCTTGTCCAGAGACTGAGGTTCTGCCTCAATATAGCTTTACCGACGACTACAGCGAAGGAGCCCACCCACAATTACTCGAAGCCCTTCTGCGCACGAATTCCACTCAACAAGTTTCCTACGGCTATGACGAATACAGCAACGAAGCTCGCCGGTTAATCCGGACTCGACTCCAAGCTACCGAAGATGAGGTAGCCATCCACTTTGTGCCCAGCGGCACATCCGCCAACCTGATCTGTATCGCCAGCTGTCTCCGGCCCTACGAGGCCGTATTAACAGTAGACACGGGCCACATCGTCAGCAAAGAAGCCGGTGCCATTGAAGCCACCGGTCACAAGACCATCGTCGTGCCGGGTGTAAGAGGCAAAATGACCCCCGAGAATCTGGACCGAGCAGTCCGCCAGAACCAATTCTTCCCCCACAGCGCTAAGCCCCGTTTGGTGTATATCTCCAACGCCACCGAGCTGGGAACAGTCTACACCAAACGCGAACTCCAAGAACTCTCCGCCGTGTGCAAACGGTGGAAGCTCTTATTGCTCATGGACGGCGCCCGCATCGGAGTCGCCCTCAGCGCGCCGTCCAATGATCTCACACTCCGCGATCTGGTCGACCTCCTAGATATCTTCTGGATCGGAGGTACGAAGATGGGCGCACTCCTGGGAGAGGCGATCGTCGTACGAAGCCACCTCGCCGAGGACTTTATTTTTCACCTGAAACAACACGGAGCCTTGCTGGCCAAGTCTCGCGTTATGGGTGTGCAATTCGCAGAGTTGTTCCGGGAGAACCTCTTCTTTGATCTTGCGGCACATGCCAATGCCATGGCACAGCGTATCTCGGCGAACTTTGAGAAATTGGGTTATTTGTTGGCTGCGCCGACGGATACCAATCAGGTCTTTGTTACATTACCTATGGCGTTGGTTAGACGGCTGGAGGAACGGTTCCGGTTCTATACCTGGGATCCGTTGGATGGGGAGCAGGCTGTGGTTAGGCTTGTTACCTCTTGGGCGACGGAGTCGCTGGAGGTGGATAAGTTTAATGCGTGGGTTCAGCAGTGGACGTCTGTTTGATGGCATTTTCAGGAGCGATTTGCATGTTTTAATCTGCTGCATTTTTTTGTCGCATTGGGAGCGCATTCGTGAGCGTTATAGATTTTAATATGACTAATATCTTGATGACTGAATCTGGTGTGATATGGCCTTTTGCAGTATTATTGGGACTGTATAGGTGGTGTTGTACTTCCGAGGGTTAGTCCTAAATATGGACTGTACCTTGCGTGGAGAGATGTTATACCGGCAAACTAATCATCTTTAGTGGTGTTTCTCCAAACTAGACATCGACTAACTACAATTGCCATGACTTGCTCGACGGTTTGGATTCGGTTTACTTTGTTCAGCCAAGTAGTATTCTTCTAGAAGCTTGTTGCCAAGCTGACTTCAAATAGGTGAACAGTGCATAGATAGCATTAACAATACGAGCCACGTGGTCCTCTAGCTACGAATACCTTACAAGAAGAATGTGAAAGGTATATATGAAGCTAATCCACCATTAAGTATGGAAGTGAAGAGCATCCGCTATGAAGAAAGCGTCAAAATTTGAATCAACAGCATCCATTAGGCCGGGGATACACAAATCTATAATAAACTATGTCCGATCGTTATAGAAAAAGTCGGTATTACCCTCTAGAATATGTTGGTTCCAATCGTTACGAATGCCACAAAAGCTTTATATAAAACATCATGCCAATTCCTTACCCAGCTTCTCCAGATATTGTCTCGCGGCATCCACGACAGCGTCCTCAAATGAGCGGAACTTTATGCCCAAAATTCTCTCTGTCTCACTCGAATCGTAGGCAAAAGGCAAAGTAGCCAGCTTTCCACGTTGAAATGTCCCATCTGCAACGGCCTTGGGGAAGAACTTCTCAATAGAACCAAAGAGAACAGAGTAATCAAGGTTGGTACAAGCACCGAAGTTTCTAGGAGTTTCCGGTCCCGGTTCAAGACCCAGTACCTTCAAATGAACATCGGCTAAATCATCAATATGGACATAGCCACCATGCAACGGAAACGGAATCTCTTGGCCCGTTATATGGGCCATTAAGTATGTGTTTGAGCTATTCTCTTTAAGGACCTGGTCCGCAGTAAGAGCCAACTCGTTGCGTCCGAAGACGTAGCCGGGCATGATGTGTGCCACACTAAAATGGGGGTTGTTCTTTTCAACAAATGCGTCTGTATTATTTGCTTCGGTGATTTTGGCCAATGCGTATGCTTCGAACAGATTGGAGAAGCTCGTTGGCGGAGGACCGGGTAAAGGGACCCGTGACGCGGCAGTGATTGTCGTGAATGGATCGGGAATTGGAGGCATGTTTCCGACGATTGAGGATGTGATCACGACTCGCTTGATGTTTGGGAATTTCAGTGCTGACGCGAGTAGATTGGATACGCCTTTGATTGTGGGCTCCCATACTTGCGTGATTGGGTCGAATCCGGGGACTGGCACTGGGGAGCCCACGTGGATCACGTATGTAACCTCTTGTAGGGCGGCGTCGAAGGCGCCGTCTACTGTTGTATCGGGCAGGATGATGGATGACAGTCGGTCCCCAGGACTAAGGGCCTGGATGACGGGGTTGGATGTGACTTTCTCAGCTTTTTCGCCAGAGCGAGCTGTGAAGCGCACATTGTATCCATTGTTAAGTGCTTCCAAGAGTACTGGAAAGCCAATGAGTCCGGTGGCACCGGTTATGAGCACAAGGGGGGCCATTGCGTGTTTACAGGATATAGACCTTTGCTGTGGAAGGGACTATGGAGGGGCACACACGCGCTGTTGGCACGTCGTTGTGGGAAAGTTGTGAGAAATGAATCACCAGTCGTCTACATTGCACCTATATTTATACCTCTCTATGGATGGATATACCGCGTAATAATTCGAGATCTAATACCACCAGCTTTTCCTTTTTCAGCATAGTGCCGTTATTGAATGCTGTCATGATTGGCTACGTCGTCAACGCTCGTCAGGCCAAATTCATATTGCGAACTAATCCTAGATTGTTGGGATCGTTGTTTGTCTTCTCCATCGCCTCGGTCTCTTTGACTGGCACTTGTATACCGGTTCCAGTTCTTATCTTTTATAATCTAGTTGGAACTCAATGCTCCGAGATGCCAAGAATAAGATTTATCGATACTCATCCTACTAACTATACAAAGTATAGTGAGTTTCCCCGCACTAAGTCGAGGTAGATAATCAGCCTTGCGGTCAGCCAGCTCATGACACAACTTCCTGTGGGCTATCCATCCATACACTTAATGCGCAGCCATGGAGCCCGTTGGTCTTGCGGTCGGAGTTGTAGGATTGTTCGGCTTATTCAATACTTGCCTAGACGTGGTCAATAAGCATGATTCATGGAAGGACTTTGGGAGTGAGTCGCATTGTTTGACCGCTCAATTCGAGGCACAGAAACTTCGCCTACAGAAATGGGGCGAAGCAGTGGGAGTTGAACATGAGAGTGTATCGAGTAAGCACCACGGGCTTCTCGATGATCCACGAACACAATCAAATGTTCAAAATCTGCTTTTAGCCATCAAGAATGTCTGTGGGCAGGAATATGATCTTTCCTCGGCGCCCAAATCAAGAACAGAAACTGGCTCCTTCGAGAGCCCAATATTTCGGAAACACGGTCATTCGCTGACCTCGCGTGGGTCAAAAAGGCAAAGATTTGACTGGGCCCTAAGAGGCAAAGAAAAGCGCATCGCACAGGTTGCGCAGTTTTCATCGCTGGTGGACGACCTCCATAGCTTGGTCCCAATCGATTGTGATAAAGGTGCAGGATCGACGGCGACTAGGGGTATGCAATAACCTTGGTCTTTTCGATACCATAGGAGACTGATTGTTAGAGCTAGGCAAATCTGGAGGCGATGGGGCTTGGACGGTGGAATTTAAAACCCTGATAGAGCGGATTGAACATGACCATGAAGGTAGATATGTCTTTCCTCTTTGGCTCTTGAATGTTTACTCATAAGTGAAGTCGAGACAAGGCGGCATATACAAACCTGGCTACTAGGTGATTACTATCCAAATGAGCGTTACGAGATATATGTGGAAAGAAGAGTCGAAGGCTCCTGCCAATGGGTTCTCGACCGACCCTGGTTTCTCAATTGGTCTTCCTCGGATTTCCCCTCTAGACAGGCCAAGTGTCTATGGATTAATGGTCCTGCAGGTTTTGGAAAATCTATACTGTGTGCGAAGATAACTGAGCATTTATTGCTCATGTTGGGCACACCTACTGCCCACTTCTTCTTTTCGTCAGACTTTGAACGCAGGGACCCCTTTTTAGCAATGAGAAAATGGTTATCTCAACTGATGGCTCACCCGGAAGTATTCAGATTTGTTCACGAAAAGTGGGAAACAACGCAAGGGCGGAGAGCAGCACGCGGGGATGTTCTCAGTATTCTTCAAGACATTGTATCAGCCATCCCCGGGTGCACATTCATCCTGGATGGATTGGATGAATGCGATTGGGTAAAAGGATCCTGGCCAGGAAATAGCGACGACTCCATTACTAGCTTTCTCAGAACGCTAAGAGGAGCGACCACGGGAACATCCACGCGGATCATGATTATTAGCCGGGATGAGCCAGAAATTCGACGTGGTCTTTCAAACAACGATTCCTATGACCCGGTGTTTGAGCATCGGATCACACCCGAGGATGTTCAAAACGATATTTTGACGTACTCTAGAAGTATTGTAGAGGAGAAATTGTCGACGAAGAGCGATGAAGCAAAGGACGAGATTACAAAGAAACTGGCCGATCGCTGTAACGGACAGTTCTTATGGATCAGGCTGCAGCAAGACACTCTGCGCGGCGGCAAAAGCCAAAGGAAGCTTGAACACGTCATTAACTCTACTCCATCTGGCATTGAACACATATACGAACGCAACTGGATGAAGATTATGCGACTTACAGAGGAAGACAAGAGCCGAGCTTTATCCCTCCTACGTTGGACCGCGTTTAGCCTACGTCCACTGACCATTTGTGAGATATCTGGGGCGCTAGTCATAGGCGAGGAAGATGGTGAACTTCTACTGGATGATTTGCCGGATAGCATTGACGAGGACTACGTGACTACGGAGATAGTAGATCTCTGTGGGTCACTCTTAGAAGTCAGGGATCCTCAAGATAAGAGGGACGCCAGATTGAAGACGGTGCATCTGGCACACTTCTCAGTGAAGGAGTACTTGCTGCGCAATCTTTCGATCGAAGGTAAAGCTCTGCAGCTTAATGCGGCGCTCAGCTCATCAACTGAGGCCATCGAGAGCACGTTACTTGCCAGAAAGTGCCTTCGCTTTGTGAACAGTCAAGAAGCCTGGTTTGGGACCTCCGTCGTACAAGTCGAAGAGGTTCTAAGCGCTTTTCGAAAGTATGCGGCCGGATCTTGGTACCAACATGCCAAGCTTGGTGACATGAGAAACACCGAACTAATGAACTCGATCACTACCCTCTTTGACCTAAGCAACCCAAACTGGGCTTCGTGGAAAGGGTGGTTTGACGCAAATGACACGAAGGCTGAGGAGCAGAATACGACATGTGGAGTCGCAACAGCTGGCCCCTTATACTACGCAGCCTGGTTTGGACTTACAGAGACTGTGGCTTTTTTGATTCTTGAACTCAAGTACGACATAAACGACAAGGGCTATCATGATCAGACACCTCTGGGGGTAGCTAGCGAGGAGGGGAATCTCGAGATTGTTAGAACCCTCCTTGAGCACGGGGCAGATGTTGCGATGCCGGATATTAACGGATGGACTCCAATATTTACCGCGTCTCGCAATGGCCACACAGAGGTGGTCAGACTGCTTATAGAATTCGGCGCAAATGCCAACACCTCTGATAGCAATGGATGCACTCCATTTCATGTGGCATGTGGCCGAGGGCATCTTGAGCCAGCTAAGCTACTCCTCAAGCACGGTGCATATATCAATACTATAGACACAGATGGATGGACACCAATTAATTCAGCCGCCGACCGTGGCCATACCAGAATAGTAGAGTTACTTCTTGGACATGGTGCAGATGTCAACAATACAAACAAGGATGGATGGACACCAATAAATTCAGCCGCCGACAATAACCATACCAGGATAGTAGAGTTACTTCTTGAACATGGTGCAGATATCAACACTACAGACAGGGATGGATGGACACCAATTAATTCGGCCGCCGACTGTGGCCATACCAGGATAGTAGAGTTACTTCTTGAACATGGTGCAGATATCAATATTACACACATGGATGGATGGACACCAATCAATTCAGCCGCTTGCAATAACCATACCAGGATAGTGGAATTACTTCTTGAGCATCGTGCAGATATCTCTATTGCAACCAATAACGGAATGACACCTCTCTATACGGCCGTTTGCAAGAACCATACCAAGATAGTGGAGTTGCTTCTTGAGCATGGCGCAGACATCTTTGCTGCAACCAATGACAGAATAACACCTCTCTGCGCAGCCTCAGGGTATGGCCATGTTGAGGTGGTAAAGCTGCTTCTCAAGTGGGGTGCAGACATCGGTTATACGAATGAATGTCGAGATACGCCTCTATTAGCATCCTCCATTCAAGGTCACGCTGCTGCGCTTAAGATACTTGCTGATATAGGGACAGATACTGTAGCAAAGGACATTCTTGAAAGTACACCGCTACATTTAGCGTCAATGTATGGCCATATTGGAATAGTCAAATTACTTCTCGAACGAGATGCCAATATTGAGGCCAAGGATGCTGATAGATGTACACCGCTGTTGCTTGCGTCGTTGCAAGGTCATATCGAGGTAGTCAAGCTACTTCTTGAGCACGGTGCGGATGCTACTGCAAAGGATGATATGGGAAAAACATCATTATTTATTGCCGCATCTTCCGGACATACTGCACTTGTCCAACTGTTCCTACAGATGAGTACGAATCTCACAGATTGTGACATACTAGGAAGTACCCCACTACATGTAGCCGCATATCGTGGTCATGTTAAGGTGGTTGAGACACTGCTGCAGACGTCAAGCACCCATGTCGATGCCTTGGATCGATGGAACCGAACACCGCTGTTTCAAGCTGCTGCCCGGGGACACCTTGATGTGGTAAATATTCTTCTTCTGCATAAAGCCAATGCGAATATCAAAGATCACTATCGTTCGACACCTCTATTTGCGGCAGTCAGAAACGGTCACATGGACGTTGTCAAACGGTTGATTGCGCTGGCAGAATACCCAATTCACTTCCAAGATGACTTGAATCAGACTTTATTGTGGTGGGCGGTAAGATGTGGAGACGCTGAAATCGTCGAACTTATAGGTCACTGGGCCAAAAAGCATCATATTGAGGTTGATGAAAGTGATCATCGGGTGGAAGGGCCTTTAGTCAACGCAGATGGGATTTTGGGGGACTGTGATGTATGCACTCGATTTATACCCGCCAGCAAGGTCCACTACGACTGCAAGACCTGCTTCAATTTTTGGATCTGCTCGGAGTGTTTTGACTTGGGAGCTCGATGCTTGAGCCCCTCTCATGAGTGGACTATCTATCGGCTCGTGGGGCCGACCTAATTTTGTGTGATAAAACACTTGATTAGTGGATTCGGACTAGACAACAAAGTGGATTTAAGACAGAGAAGGGGATAGAAATAGAAGTAAAAAAGCCTGCAGTTCATATGAAGTGCCCTGACCATGCCCTAGCTCATGGAATATTGTGCTGACTCCTGCGTGATAAGAAACACTACACACGAGAGCCGTTACCACTGGAGCCTGTTTCCCATCGTACGCATGAAGTTCGAAGCGTTGATGACGAAATATTGATGTTGGCCACTCCGAACATACTGGGCAACTATTGAAATGGGCTGGATGACTAAATTTACCGGGCCGAGGAAGGCGATAGATGTAGAGGTATCCGATGAAAGAGGAGGATAATATATTCGTGACCCGCATTTTTCTGCCCCGGTAGCATCCTTGTAGGATAGAAGTCGAAATCCAGAGGTGAATGGGGTCACAAGTATTTCTTCATCAAACAAGGCAGAGATAAGTACCCAGGCTAGATTAAACACATCGGAAAGTTGGGCGAGAAGCTTCGTAGTGATAGTTTTGTATTCTCGGGTGAAATAGTCAAAGAGCTCAAGATTATCTTTGGCGACATGCGGCTCGCCAAAAATGTGCTTAAAATCGTCGCCGCAGATATGTAGCATTGTCAGTGTCTCTCCTTAGTTACCTCTCTCTAGCTATATTGCGAATGTTGCTAGATAAAAGCATTTTGATTAATCTAACGACAACTGACCAATCAACCTAACTGATTTCGAGGAATACAATAGACAAGGCATAGCTAGGATGGTTAGATTAGCGCCACAGCGCCAAAGTTATATCATTCTGTTGTCTAAGCTGCGTATGGCTATACAATCACAGCTCTTATACCCTTACTGCTGGCTTTAGGAAGGGGATTAAATAAATCATGATCATATCTGACATCGTCTTCCGTAGTCTCGTACAGCCGCATATGCGGGAACACTCGCATGGTCAAAGCTGCAAGAACAACATGCAACTCGCAGAAAGCAAGGCTATCGAAAGGCGTCAATCGGGATGCCAATTTAGAGCAGAATAAAAGAAAGAGATATCTAACTTACTTTATACCGACACAAGCCCGAGAACCTTTGGAAAAGTTGAATATAGAGCGTTCTAGCTCCTTGTTCCGCTGCATCTGATCATCCAACCATCGTTCAGGGATAAATGTGTGCGATTCCGGGAAAACGCTCTCATTATGATGCATGATCATAGAAGACATGCCGATCGCAAAACCCCGCGGTATCCTGTATCTGACCGTGGTTGGTCCTTTGCTGCCTTTAGCGGTCCACTCGCCCTGATACACCAAGTCCTCTTCAGTTGCGACACGTGCAGTGCGTGCGGAAACGCCGTACGATAATCGGAGGCCCTCATAGATAACGGCACCCAGGTATGGGAGCTTCTCCAGCGTCGTCCAAGAGGGTAGTTGCCCCGAAGCATCCACGACTTCACTGATTTCCTTCCTCAGACGTTGGAGCTTTTCGGGATTAGAGAGCAAATAATATGTAGTGACTGCTAAGGCCCACCCAACGGTCTCCGTGCCAGCAGCAATCAGAGATGCAGCTTCGTCCGTCAAGCGTTGTACTGATTTCTCCTCTGCGGGTAAGTCTGACTCAAGTAGTGAGCCAAACACCGTATGCTCCTTTTTTGTGATTCCTGCATCGAGATCTGTCCTTGTTTTCTTAATGCTTTCTGGCATATCGACCTAATGAGAAGTTTCATAATTAGCCACTCAAATTGTATTTCCTACTTACAGCTAGCAGAACTCACGGTGAGTGTTTGTATTAATAGCCCCATGTCCTCGGACAGATGCTTGGAAATACTTTTCTCATTAGCTCGGAATCTAGACAAGACGACCCAAACAGGAGAAACCCACCTAGAAGCCGCAATCGCCAAAGGCTCAAGAAAGGGAAAGAAGCGAAAGGCGAAAACGGGAGTGAAGAGCGAAAAGATAGGCTTCCGGAAATTAGGTTCCCAGGATTTCTGATCCAGAAAACCATAGCTTTCACCGAAGCAGTAGTCGGAAATGACATCTGTGCTAAAACAGCTGTAGGCTGACGGGATATCCAATGGATCTTTCCCTTGGTCTAGAATCTTGTCACAGAGACGTTGGGCGAGCTTGTGGATTTTCGGTTCGAGTCGTGAAACCTGGCCGCGCGAGAAGAATTTGGCTATGGCAGTGCGTCGAACCCGGTGGATATCGTGGTCAACGGTTGAAAATATTGCATTGGCCATTCTGGTGACATGATTAGATATTCGCACGGTACAAAGAACTTGTGGTATATGCTCACGCCCCACTGCCCCTAACTTGGTGGAGAGGCTTGTCACGCTTTCGGCCACCTAGAGGGTATATTTCGTCCGCAAAACGAACGTCATTGCAGTGGACCTCATTGGGACTAATGCGCACAATCGGGCCTTTGATGTCAGTTAGTACTAATTGTACCGTATATCTCAGGAGACGGACAGACCGTAAGTTTCATGAAATTGTTGGATTTTCTTCGTGTACTGGCCGAACTTTATGACGTCGTAGTAGAATTCGGGGAGGTACGTTGCAGCTGCCAGCCTCGGTCCGGGTATATGGCCCAAGGGGTGGAAAGCTGAAATATTCCATGCTGCGTGAAGGACCTGGTAAATTAAGTAGGCGACAGCGAGAGTGGAAAGGAGAGAGGTTAACGAAAGGTTTTTCGCGATATACTCTGAGTGATGGGTGAATGATACTATGTAATTTTGGAGTGCCATTATAGCTGGGCTATTGTGTGGGGAACATCCACCACCAGATGAATAGAACACCAGGAAAGGCTATATTTCAGCATTTATATTTCCAGGATCATTCCACGGGTCGTTATTATCAGTACTTATGGATATCATTTTTGCGTCTCGGCATTTACGACGCTTGCCAAGCGGGTCTGAACGTCTCGGCAAAGGAGGAGCGTTAATATTAACAAGTTGTATTGTCAGAACTTGGAGGCCTGAAACTTCCTATGGCTTTGACAGTACGATGCAATGATACTACTAGACCGAGAACCGTGCTAGACACAGCCGAGACGGTAAGCTAGCACAAGCGAAGATGTTCGGCCCTGATCCTTCCACCAATCTAACGGCGGTCAACATGTTATCTACCTCTGGAATTTGCCGGTGTGCCCTCAGATATGCGGCTAATCCGCCGCTAAACATGGCACGGGCTACTACCTTCTTGGCGGAACATGCTCCGTACGGATTCAGTTTCCTAGGCAGTGTGGCGGTCCGAGTCGTAGCATCTTCAACCTAGCGAAGAGGCCCAGAAAAGCGAAGCCCAATCAGGTACTTGAATTAATGCACCGTAGCAAAATATGCCGAGAAACTTTCTTGCCGAATAAATGTTTCTTTAGAATCCAAGAATTTAATGTACACATTAACCACACGAGGATTGCGCTCCACAAACCCAGAGTCGCATCAACAACAGCTCATCATATCCCTGAACTTATGGAGGAAGCCTACCCCACTAACATAGGTGCACTGACTCAGAGACAATCTGGAGAAGTGACAGATGTTCTTGGGGACATGGCAATGGCTCATCTGGATGGGTTCTCAATGGTGGAAAGGTGCCTCATCTCTCATTGATTCTGTTATTCACGACTATCCTATCTAGGCTAGCACTTTCACACTTGCTGGGCGTTATGAGCCCCCCTAGTACCAACATGGGATATAGATATACTCCCCTTTCGCATCCTACTTGAAAACAATATGGCAAAGCTTCATTGGCATGGCATATGGCTTGACCAGGAAATATATATTTACGAGATCACAAAGATACTACTACAGAATAGTTACTAATATTCAGACCCTGCTAACTGGTTAAAAGCCCTGAATTCTACTATTATATCTAATCGAGATGAGACCTTGGCATTATAGAGCTGTCTCAGTACTTGTCATGTTGTCCCATCAATTGTCACCTGGATCTCCACCATCGAACTGCTTTCCAAGTCACCTGACTCTGCTGCAATTTGAACAGAAGGGGAAGGCGGTCCTTTAGATCTCGAGGGAAGCTGGATTGTTTAAATGATTCTGCCGGGTGGGTTGAAGTTCGGTGGCCGACCGCTTGATTGGGATAAAAGACCCGGCGTGACTAATGAAGAGTTAAGGATTACTCATCATTCCCGACATTCCCGACACACACCTATCAAATACTCTCGACATTCCCGACAGATCTACAGAAATGCCAATGAGATACACTGATAATGCGTCTTTCGATATCCTGTGATGCTTGTCGGTAGGTGGTGATAAGACAAAGCCCAATTGAGTAGATTAGTAACCACCATTGCAGGCAATCAAAGGTCAAGTGTGTCCATGACGGTCACCCTCCCTGTCGGCGGTGTCAACGCCTCAATCGCCAGTCCTGTGTACTCTCAGACCCGCGGTCGTCGCCATTGCGCCCTAGACGAGACTCATTGCGTGTTCAGTCAAAGACAAGGCCAAGCTCGAGGTCAGGAGCAGACAGCTGTCCCGTGAACGGAAACAATAACAGGCAGTGGTGTCCAGTTGCCACATCTTCCAACCCAATTGCTTCAATTCCCTCGTCTGTCCTTATCAATGCTTGTGACATTTATCGCAAAAAGTTTCCTGTGGCCAACTTTCTTCACTATCCGTCGTTGATTGCAGAAATTTCCACGAATCCCTCATCGGTGGATTCGGTATTCGTGGCTTCATTGCTCGCCCTGTGTGCGCGATTCCTGCCGGGACATCAGCTGCAACCGGGAGAAGTATACGCCGAGTATGCGCGAGTGCAGTTGGCTCATCGGGCCTTTGAAGGCCCTTCTCTTTACTTAGCACAGTCTTTAGTGATCGTTTCGTTATATGAATGGGGATCAGGCCGCCCTTATAAGGCGTGGATGTACAGTGGTATGTTGTATATAGTATGCATACTCAGCTGTGTTGAAGGTTGCTTACACATAAGAGTAGGAATGGCCACATACATGATTCAATCGCTCCTGAAAACTGCAGATGACAGCATGGAACATAGTCCAGACGAGTTTCATGCCTCCCAGATTCAATACGAGCAGCTGGTCCGCACGTATTGGTGCTGCTTCGCCCAAGACTGTGAGTTGAGCTCGGGTGCCCGTCAACATTTCGCCCTATCGTTTCGCCAGATATCGGTACCACTGCCCATTGGTGACCATGATTTCAATTTTGGTCGGCGAGCATCTCGTCGACTGATGCCTGCTAATCTCACACGAGATTCCCCGCTTTCCGCTGCGATGACCATTGACCACGGCTTGACCATCGTCACGCGCGGGTTTGACATATTTGTGCGTATTCTGCGCTTTGCGAACGAAAGCCGTCGAGGCCGGACATCATCATCGTTGAATACCGAGCTATCGCCGCAGAAAACGTGGGAAAACCTGAAGGAGGAATTGGACGAATGGCGGTCCCTGCAGGATGTGACGGTCCGGTATCCAAGTACGAGTGCCCAAGCACATGTGGCTCTGGGATACGGGGAGCTTTTTGCCTACATCAACTTGGTTTATTTCATGAGGTATGTCTCATTATTATATTATGCAGCCGCTGATACAAAGGCTAACTGGGACGTCTAGCGTCCTCTTTCTTCATCGCGACCGCGTGCTATCGAGTTTAAAGCTTATGCATGACCCGAATCATGATCCACGGGTCGCAACGAACTTGGAAGAATCTACCTGGTGCGAGGCCGCGATTGAAGAGCTATTTGAAGCAGCCCAGAACATCGGTGGCATTTTGTCTGCCCTGGAAGCCTCCGGCGCGTCAGTAATTACTCCTTACGCTGGCTTCAGCGTCTTTGTCGCCGCTCATATCAATATGTATGGCACTGTTTCGCCGCGGGGTTACCCAGGAGGCCAAGAGCGGGCTGAGCGAGAGAAAAGAGGCAATTTCACGTATTTGGAACGGCTCTGTGACTTCTGGCCAGTCGGCCATAGTTGGGTATGCTTGACCGGTTTCCCTCGTTATACTTAGCAAGCTAACCGTTAGTAGTGGCGGACCGTACAGGAGGCCAGCAGATTCTACGAAACCGCAAAAAGCAACCACGAGCATACAGCTTCTGGCGATCGCCCGGGCCATCTCACTCTAGCCAGTACACTGGATGAGTATGGGGATATCCGTTGTTCGCGTCCGCGCCATGATGTAGCTATCTCGCGTAGGCGAGATACAGCTGGGAGGGATGCTGCCATGCCTCAAAATCATGGACCAACAGGTTGTCCAGCCCACGCGAACATAACCTTTAGTGAGCAGGTCATGGTGGATCCACATGAACTCGAGACAGAAATGATGCAATGGCCCTTCATCGATGAAACATGGTCGTCTGGGTTTGACACGGGATTTGATGCTGCATGGCCGAACCCAGGCTAGCCAATAAAAGATCGAAGTTGCAGTTGGTTAAACTCCCTTAGGTATGATGAGGATCTACCTTGCGAAAAAAAAACCCCGTTTCGTACCACATGGTAGCCTGAGTGGTGCTGGATCTAAGCTGTGTGTGAAACCAGCCCTTGATTGGCACAAAACATACGGCAGATTCAGACAGTGAAAACACATGCATTTCCAATGCCGAGGCCTGGTGGGTCGCTACCAGCATCCGGTTACTGAAGGATTTTGACGTGTATAACCAACGTGGCTGTTAAGTTAGGCTCATGCACCTAGTGAGCGGCGTGACACGCGCTCCAGAGGTGGCATCCCTTATCAGATACTGGGTACGGGTAGGTCTTCCAACTATGGTGTGGGGTCAATTAAATACTGCGCCAATAAGATTGGTGCATATCATCATAGTCAGCTAGATACATTATTTGATGTACCGGTCCCTACACACTGCCATTGACATATCGGTGAGAATAACAGCATGCCACAAACTTAAGCCAATCCCGCCTCAATAATTCCCTGTTTATCACCCTTCTGGGTCCAGAACTTAATTACCTTCAGACTGGCAGATTCCAATAAGTTTGTGAATTACTGGCGTGTGCGCTCCAGTCCGAAGCAGAATAACCTACGAGCCATAAATACGACCCTCTACATCTAGAGGCAAGTATCGTTACGTGCTAAGCCTCGATAGTGGACACAGTCACACATATGATTCGTTCGTAGCATGATATGTCGAACATAGGCGCTAAAGGCAAGCTGTTAAATAAATTCCTTGTCACATAGTTTTGTTATGGGCCCTAGCTGGCTAACGTAAGTGGGTGTATATCGGAACCTGAGTTACCCTACTATAGTATGCTGGAGGTATCTTCATTGGTTGCAAATGAGTACTGCGGAACCGTCAACTGCGGGATGAGACAATTTAACCTATAACCTATCATGTATCTGGGAGTGGGGGAGAATCCTGGCCATTCGACCGTGGTCCTATCATAGTGAAGCGTGACTTGGCTAACAAAAGCCAGTCTGTTCATGTAGAGGATAATGAAACTAATTCATATTAAGCCTGAGACAATGGCAATACCTTCCAATCTAAGAGTACGTTCATTTTTATTTTACTTGTGTCATGGCGGAAGCATGGCTCGGAGATAGTGCATCTAATATTCTAGGAGATGAGAACGTGTTTTCACTAAGAGTGCGGACTGACTGATGCCCTCGTATGACAAATACCGCCCCTAGAGTGTTTTGTTCAGTCGCTTGTCGCCATTGCTCACTCTGGCTCTGGACATAAACATCACTCTAGGAAGGCAAGGTCATCGCTCACCGAACCGCTTTCTGCCAACGGTCCTCCCTCATTGGAGACTCCTCTCAGATGCCAAATTGTCAAGTGAGGCGGAGCAGAGACTCCCCACAAAACTAGGAGCACAGAGCCGGACAGGATTGTTTCGGTGTTACAGCAAAAGAACCACTGAAAATTGCCGGTGGCATGGGCCACTCGCTAGTATCATGCGAGGGAAAAAGACCAGTCTTAGATCTCCGCTTCCCCAACTTGCAGCACGGCCCAGGGACGTGCAGCAAACTAACCCCTTTTCAGGCCCTGGAGACGTTAAACTTTCTTATTATGCCTTAGGAGCTCAAGAGTCTTTCATTTTTTTTATATACAACTGAGCACAGTTAACACAGTATTCCTCTATGTTATGCATGTGCATATCCACTGCCTGGCTATTTAGCAGGCTCGGTGACTAACTGATAAACCTCCAGAATCATTATAGTCAGAGTCAATATCTCCGTGTTAATTCTTCCAGGGAACATCGTCACTGCCCCATCTCACGAACTCTATATTGAAGAAAGTTGATCAAGCTTGTCTTAGGCGCCCATCTCCTACCTTATCACGATCGTAACCAACGAGTAAGGCGTCCAAGCTCCACTAGACTACGCCATTCAGACCCAAGCTCAATCTAACCTATCATGGGTTCTAGGCGCCCGACCACAACCTATAATCTGTAGATCAGTATGTACATAGCCATTCAGTTAGGTTGGGTTATACGGGGTTAGACCGAAAAGAATATGTGGCTTGGGGTTTGGGGCCGAACCTTGAAGCCATAATGGGTTTAGCCAAAGTCTAAAACTCCAGGAGTAGCAGGCAGATCGACAGACAAGGATTTACAAGTCAACCAGACATCCCCTGCGTGGTTTCTGTTATGTTTACAATTGGCTATATTTACTCCACTATCTTTAGAAAAAGGATTTGGGAGGCCTTACGTATGGACATTTTTCTCTATGCATATCTGATAGGTTACAGGTACTCCATGAAAAGGCTATATGGTCTTGTTCTTGGTGGGCACGAGTGCGAATGTTGACGAAGTTCGCGGCAGCTCAAGTATATAAACACCTTCGCTCCCTGCTCTATATCTATTGACACAGCTCATCCACTCAAGATACTTCGGCAAACCCAGTCTTATCTCTTACTTTGTCTCTTCTAATATTCTAATTTCGAGAATCTCTCCCTCGTCAACATGCGTTTCTCTATTGCTTCTGCCGTCACTGTTCTAGCTGGCCTCACTACCAGCGCATCCGCGTTTGTCATGACTACCTACAGTGACATGCATTGCAAAGATACTGTCCAGGATGTCAATGTCTGGGATAGCACCTGTGCGACTTGGCCTAAGGGCTTCAAGTCATTCAAAATCACGACCTGGGGGGGCACACATCAGAGAGCGTACTTCTTCGCGCCTGGTAACTGTGGGGACCTCTTCACGGCCATTGGCAAAGGCTATGTGGATTCTACAACAAAGGACTTTGAGCTTGGAGGATGCTATAATTTCGATAATACAGCTATCAATGCAATTGCTTCATACTCTGCTTAAGAAAGTAAACGAATTCAGCAAGGTCAGCCCTTACACCACGATACTTGACAAGATGCTAACTATACCTTAGGAGGATAATGGCACTGTGGATTGTTGTGAGGAGGAGACCTCGGAAAGAAGTGTTCATTTATTCTAGTTAGAATTCAGACGCTTTTGCTCTACCTTACTCTATATCAATAGAGTATGTTGGACTTGAAATAGTGATCTGGGCGAATTACAATCTAAGCTGTGTCTCACATACACTTTGGTGATTTAAACATGCATCCCGAAGAATACTTCCGTCACCGTTTTAGTGCAGTAATATATAGGTATCATGCTGATAACATTTGCACATATGCAACATTGTATGTACCAACAGGAGTGGGATTTTCCAGTCAATATACTCAATTCTCAGTCGAAGGAAGCAACAAAGGGGAAAAGGGAACTAGAGTAATCATCTGCTAAAGTAAACTCTAGTTGCCGGAGCTGCGGAGTATGTTCTAAGCAGCACAGGGAGTCCTTTTTAGTAGGACATCCACACACACACTAACAGAATAAGCGTAGAGTCAGTTTTAAAAGCACAAGTAACACGACCAGCCACTAGAGTGGCAAGATTCATAAGATAATTCTATGGATTAAGCCATCTAATCCTATTATATATATGTATACAAATATATCTTGCCTTAAAAGTTGCTTAGAACTTTATACTTCCTAATCAGCGGCCTGGTTATTAGCAATATTCACCGCCACTTTGTATTAATGTGCCGGTATGTACTCGGCTTCTTGTTCTCAGGCCGAATGCCCTTAACAGTTGACCAGATGTGTATACGAAGACGGCCGAGTTGGTTCCGGGCGAGAAGATGCCGAAAATCCGCAACGGTTCAATTTGTGCCTTCATTGTCTGGATTACCTACATCTGCATGGTGTGCTCGTCTTTCTCTTAACCGGCCCACCTATATTGCACTATGGAATATTTGGAAGTATGGCCCTCCGCGCCACTTAACATCATGTCTCAATCAATTCAAAGTCCGATAAACCTCCAAACATAGTTCCCGACCCACCCGGATACTCGTCCTCACGGGACTGCTGCAAGTCACCGTAGCCAAGCAGTTTGGGTAAATCCCAGACCGGCTACATAAACGCAATTTCGAAGTATGATCCCGGCGTCAAGTGAGTATCTTCTTTTTTGGAGATGGTGAATGCAATTATCTGATGCTCAGTGGCTTGTTGTTCATTATGACACAAATCCCTTTTATCGGATTGGGTTGCTTGCTGGCAGGGAGATCATGATGCTTATGATGAGGCGCATGAGCTGTGATATTCTGAAATTAGAGGTCAAGTTCCTATGTTACTTACCTACGTGAATGGTTCTTGTTGAGACAGTGGAAGGTGTTGCTGAGAACATAGAGGTGAGATATGAGAATCATATATTGAGTGAGCGTGTGTGGTTTGCAGGATACACGTGAGTGACAGCGTGACTTGTGCCAAAACTGAGATTGGTTGTGATCCACAGCTATCAGATATAATGGATGTACTTGTTGGTTCCCAGTCTACTGCATTCTCCAATTACCAAGGATAACTTCAATGTGAAACAGTAGGGAAAGTACAATGATACTAAGCAAGAGCAGTAATGATTTAGAATGTTGTCTCCAGATTACCTGCTGCTACATCATTAGTTGGATCCTTCTCAACCAATGCGAATGCTGGTTGGAAATATAGTTCTTACTTAACCCTGCCTGGTTCAACAAATACTAATAGGGGTGGTACAGAGCGCAATTAGGTTATACACATGGGCACTACGGGCTTTATCCTACTACCCTACCCACTTGGTTGACGATACGCAATGAATGATTATCGCGAAAGACTACCTTGGTGGACGCCTTAGCGATTCAACTCGTTCGTAAATCCGTTAACATTGAAGGTCCTTTGCGTGTAACACCATCAGCACAAGGGTTGTGATGGACCAGCCATCGTATTACAAACTATCACTCCTCTCGCTGCGTCGAGCTGCACTGACGTTCCATGTCCGAATTTCCCGGATCATCCCTGCTTGACTCGACTGACTATCCGCATCCCAGGCTCGCGACGCGGAGACGGTAGTCATATTGCCCTGACCGGATGCGATGGGAACCAGCTCATGATGGTTGCCGGAATGATTCGGATCTGTGTGGCGCGACTGATCGTCCCGGGTCTCGGACCGGGGGTTAGAGGCTTTGGCGGACGTGTGCTGATACTCCACTCCCTGGATACGCAGTCCATTCGACTTGAGCTGATTCAGGAACGGTTTCAACTGACCCCAGCAGGCGGTGACAATACTCGCGCACTGGACCGTCTCGACCGCAATAGCCACCCCATAGTCGTCGAAGCTTCGATCGGTGGAGTACGCAAGGTCGTGGATCAAGACGAGCTGGGCAATGGATGCGAGAATGACTCTACAGGCGAACGAGATTAGCAATGGTGCCGTGGTACGCTAGTCGGAAAACGGTGTGACCAACAGAATTCGGGACAGGAAGATCGTGGCAAACACCGTCTTTTTCTTGAACGACGCTTGGATGCGACTGATCAACACCAGCGCCTGGAGGATGATCAAGATATCGGTCACGATGTTGGAGGCGCAGAAGTAGTACTGCCAGGCGTTCTATCCGCCATGATTGGTCCGTCAGTGTGTGTCCAGCCTGGTGTCTCACGTCAGGGGAGGTTTACGAGATCAATGCAGCTGCCGCTGGTATCCCAGGGTCGCGAGGCTTGGCACTGGAAGGCACTGCCAAAGAAGACGACCACCGCCCAGACGGTTAAGAGAATGTGTAAGATGGTGGCATGAAAGTGGTCTCGCGAGACCGGTGTGAGGTTTCGGATAAAAACGGATAGGGATAGTTTCGAAAAGTAGAGACTGAGAATGAACACCAGGAATCCCGCGTACTGTGCCTATTTTGCGGACCAGACCCTATCAGCCCATGGTTCTTCCTTCACCTGCGAGCGAACAGGACGGATTTCGTTCTAAAGCACACCTTCTAAATGACTTCCCAATGCAAACTATCGATGGTCCCCATATGATCGCCATAGCCGTTGTGGACGGCGATGGACGTGATGATCGATGCTCCGATGGCGAATAGCTACCTCGTGGAACGAGAATGTATCAGTTCCGTGCCGTGACCGATCGACAGCATATCTGCCACACATACCAGTGATACCACGATCAAGTAATCATCACTTGTGAAGCGATGGAACATCCACAGCTTCGTGCCCAGCCTCGTGAGGACGCTGAGCACCGCGACCACGAGGAGGAACCAGTTGACTACATTGAGAATGGGAGCTCTGCGATCTTTATCGTGGAGGAAACGACCCATGGATATTGATTCCAGGTAATCTGGAGACCCTGAAAGTGTCGTCAAAGGTGGTGGATTACATTGACAAGGAGGCGGTTATTGTGGGAGAGGGTGAATTGATGAGAGCGTCTCTAGCATTTTTTTTTTTTCTGTATAGAATTGTTTCCGCTTATCCCATAGTGCGACTGCTCCTCACGCACATAATCCTTCACTCCTTCGTCTGCCGAGAAAAAAGCATTATGGGGGCCGGCGAGAGTTGGAGTAATGCCATTGATTGTTAGTCGATGGTTGGCAACAGGGGGGGGGTTTGGACGGTGGAAATTAGGTGGTTTTCTTGAAATTGTCCTCTGAGTGAGAAAGTGATAAAGTTTGATGGCATGCGACGGGTTCCTTGTCGCGTGAGGCATCATTGCCGATGTCACCATTCATTCATTAATTAATTATTAATTAATGTCTACTTCTGCCCCCAAAGATAAACGACCCACGGCGGGCACTACCGACCGCCCTACCACGGGGCAAGTCGGAACGTGGGTTCAACTTGGTTACATTGGCCAAGAAGCCTGGCGTGTCCATTGGTCGGGCTTAACTTTAATCTCCGCCCGTGAGCCGAAAGGCTTAGTGAGAGTTCTTATTTACTGTTTACACATGATCCCTCGAGATATAGACGTAAGGGTGATTTTCGATACCTTTTTTAAAATACATGGAAAATCTTTACTTTAGAATCACACGTCAGGCGGGGTGTTTGATTCGTATGGAATGGAATGTTTGATGAACAAAAATGTCTCAACCCCTCGTGGACAAGGATGCCTCTTTAGCGTGACAGGGATTCTGGGCCACTGAACGCGGTCTGGCCGTTTGACTTGACCAGGATGATGATCAATTCATTCATCTCAACCCTGGCGTCTGAATCAGAATTTTACCCACCGGTGCACACTAGTGGCCATTCTAGCATAAGGTCCGAGTAACACCTGGCACGTTTTTGACATCCCCCTAATTCATTTCCCGGACAGTGAATGTCACCCTGATCGCGTTGCGGAGGGGAAATAAATCATGACCACAACGACTCTCCCAGGCAAATGATCGAACGATCTTCTCCTCCTGTTCGCTCTGTCAACCGTGGTAAGTGACCGGTCCCAAACACCTCCTGCAAGCCTTCCTTAATATCCATCGGTTCGACGTTCTATGACTAGCAAACGACCCAATTGCAATCACTTGTGCACGGATCAACTGCTCTATCACATTGACTAACCCGATGGATCGGATCCTGTGGTAGATAGATTTCTCTCATGGTGAACGCCAATCACAATGACATCGTATGAATTGAAAAACCAGGTACCCGCCAATAACGAGGTCCGCATCTCGGGAGGCTATTCGGCAAAGGATCGCGACAATGCTGAGCTCGTGCGCTTGGGAAAGAAACCCGTGTTGAAGGTGTGTCTCTGACTGGGGAAGAGCAGATCGACCGCCGAAAGCATACTAACGGTCGCTTCCCATCGCTAGCGAAACTTTGGAATCTTGTCCAGTCTCGGTTTTAGTTGTACCATCCTCGCCACCTGGGAAGGCTTATTTGGGTAGGTCTCGCGCCCTATTATGTTGAAGAGATAGTGAACACTGACGCGCGCATTCCAGGACCTTCCTCATCCCTTTGCAGAAGTTCGTACCCACACGATTCCCCGATCGTTTACCATTGACCGCGATATACTAAATGACACCAGTGGAGGTCCCGCGGGCGCGGTCTACTCGTTCATCTACGTCTGGACCGGAACAGCATGTTCCTTCACAGTGCTTTCGGAGCTGGTCTCAATGTGAGTGAGAATCATTCAACATCTGCGGAGCCATGAACGAAGACGCTGATGGTTTGGTAGGGCACCAACGTCCGGAGGGCAATATCACTGGTGCGCGATGCTTTCCCCGCCGAGGATAATGAAGTGCCTGAGTTACATCACCGGTAGGTGTCTAATCTGTTCGCTATTGATCAGAGTGAAAAGAGCTGACCAATCTCACCAAGGCTGGGTGACAACCATTGGCTGGATGTCCGCCTTTACCAGTGCCAGCTTCTTGGCGGGAACAGAAATCCAGGGCGTCGTGACCCTCGCGCACGCAAATTATGATCCCAAGCCATGGCAAGGCACCTTGATTATGTGGGCAGCGATATTACTAGCCCTGGCGATCAACATCGTCGGAGGAAAGTTGCTGCCCAGATTCGAGACCCTGGTTCTGGTTGTTCATATCCTGGGGTATTTCGCGATCTTGATCCCCTTGACATACATGGCCGACCATAAGTCCAACCAAGAAGTCTTCAAGGAATTTGTGAACAGCGGTGGGTTCCCGACAGACGGGCTGGCCTTTTTTGTCGGCATGACCGGATGTGTTTTTGCTTTTGCAGGTGGTGATGCGGCGGTCCACGTAGGTGCTGAAGTGTTCCAGAGATGAAATGCTCCAGGCTAACGGTGGCAGATGGCGGAAGAAGTCGCGAATGCCACGGTCGCAATCCCTCGCGCGGTTCTTCTGAGTGTATTAATCAACGGGACCCTCGGGTTTACCATGTTGATCGCCACCCTTTTCTGCATGGGGGACATCGACAAGGCCCTCAGTACCCCCACCGGGTATCCGTTCATTGAAATATTCTATCAGGCCACCGACTCCATCTCGGGGGCGCTCGGCATGAGCTCGGTCCTGCTCATCATTGCCGTCTGCTCGGTCATTGGGATGCTGGCAGCCACCTCGCGTCAGCTTTGGTCGTTTGCCAGAGATCGCGCGGTGCCCGGCTGGCGCTTATGGAGCCATGTATGTGTGATGCCTAGTAATCAGTCGCTTCAATGATCGGCCCAAGCTGACACTCGCTTCAATTAGGTTTCCCCACGGACATGCATTCCGACCTATTCCATTCTTCTCACCATGACCGTTGCAGCTCTTCTTGGTCTCGTCAACATTGGGTCCGATGTGGCCCTGAATGGTATCATCTCCATGGCGGTGTCGGGCATCTACCTGTCCTACCTGATTGTCGCAGTTCTGCTTCTCTACCGGCGTTGCACGGGTGAAATCTCGCTGTTCAGCGACGGGGAGGACATGCTGGTCAACGTACCCGGTGCCAAGCTGATGTGGGGGCCCTTTCACGTTCGAGGCATCTTCGGGATATTGATCAATGGCTACGCCGTCATCTATATGATCATTGTGGTGTTTTTCAGTTTCTGGCCCAGCCAGATGTCCGTCGACAAAACGACGATGAACTTCAGTGTGGTCGGCACAATCGGGACGATCATCCTGGCACTGATCTATTATGTCTTCCGGGCTCGGCATGTGTACACGGGACCCGTCATCGAGCTCCATCGGTGAATAGCTGAGGCCATTCCAAGGTGGTTGGGGGGGGGGGTTTCAAATGTACCGAAGTCTTCCCGGTTTTGCTGAGGTGATGTCAAAAGTTGATCTTGAGTTTGCCTTACATTAATAAAGAATCACTCCTATCACGAGATACGAGAAAACTATAATACATCTTGTTTAATAACTCTGGCCGTTTCTGTCCTTCGTTTCTCTCTCCCTGTTGTGTTTTATTCCATATGTTGTATGTATCGTGCTACCTAGCATATCCGAATATATATCCCGAATCCAGATAAACCGCGCCCATATTTCAACAAGGTTAGATCAATCAAACCGAGCAAAATACAATTACTAATATAAACTGAAAAAATACCATCCAATGTACCCCTCACATTCTAACCCATAAAGGGTCCAATGCAAACTCAGTACTGAGGAACAAAACAAAAGCAAAAACTCTAAAGCTCGTATGTGGACGTTGGTGCCAAACATTGCGATCGACAACAAATGAGCACGGTCCAGGTTAAGCAACAACACACGACGATCCCCCTCTTGTTCATGCAGGCATCTCGTTATAAGAGCGTCGTATCCGTTTCTCCCAATCGGGGTCCCGACCTTAATTGTCCACTTAACTCATGAACCATGGAGAAACAGAATCCCACGTCCCGAGTCCACCCCGACAATTCACTCCAACGACTAATCAACGAAGAAACATTATGGCTATCTGCCGACGAGAACGGCCGAACAACAGTCCACCTGAGCTCCCGATCTCATCCTCCGAAGCTCATTGCGATTAGACTGCCGCCGGGTGTGGAGGAGGGACCCTCGAATCAAACAGCATGGCTACCGCCGAACTCTGCGGATGATTCCTACCGTCTTGGACTGGTCCAGTTACTGGTTGGGAGTGGAGCTCAGCTGGGAGTTGTTGACGGAGTGGATGTGGGTGTTCGGGGTGATGTGGATAACTCGTGGACACCGTTGGGGGTCACGTCGTGGAATGGGTATCGGCCACTCTTAGATCTACTTTTTGGGGACGATTTCAGGGCCAACAATGGAGATTCTCGGGTCTGGGAATTGATGAATACTGCGTCGGTATATGGACAGGAGGCGATTGTGAAGTTTCTGATCGAGCGAGGTGCTGATATTGGGGCTCCCTGTCAGCATGAGTGGACGCCGTTACATTCTGCATCGAGTCATGGACACGGGGGAATTGTTCAGTTACTTCTTCAAAACGGGGCCGATGCGACTATTATTGGAGATGACGGGTGGACTCCGCTGGCCTTGGCATCTAATAAAGGACACACATTTGTTGTCCAATCACTCCTTGCCACAGGCGCGGAGGTCAGTGTGAACGTGGCAAACGGCTTCGGAGTCACGCCGTTGCATATGGCCGCTAATCAGGGCTATACTGAGCTCGTTGGACTCCTTCTGGAGCATGGGGCTAATGTATCCGCTGTTGATAGCAGGGGCTGGACAGCACTGGATGTGGCATCGTATAGTGGGCACATTGGAATCGTGAAACTGTTGATTGATCAGGGTGCTGATTTGTCTACGACGGATGAGAATGGTTCTACGCCACTGCATTCCGCCGCCGAGAATGGGCAGCTTGAGGTTGTGAAATTTCTGGTGGATCGAGGTGCGGATGTGAACGCTGTTGATAATGATGGAAGCCCGCCTCTTCGATGTGCCTCGGAGAATGGTCATGGCCATGTTGTTCGGTTTTTAATTGAGAAGGGTGCCTGATGACTGCTCATTTTGTGGATGACGGAGCTGATCCTGTAATGATTATGCGGGTTTCTTTGGCCAAGCGCTTCCATTACCCAACGTCCCATGTCGCTCCTCTGCCTCCATTGTCGCTAGCTTCTGCAAATGGAGCCAATCAGAGACCTACTAATACAAGAACTGCGATAGAGTCTGCGAATGACCGCAGATTCGATGCGATGAACTAGAGTGTGGATGGATTTTACCAAATATCTATCCATGAAGTATATACAAACAGGACATATCAGAACATAAACCAAACAATCACGGCTCATCCCCGCTCACCCCGGGAGTGGGATAACTCGGTCCATACGCAACGTGCTCCAAGCGAATAGACTCAGCCGTCTGCCTCCGACCCTGCGGGATGATCTCCCGCGTACTCGATTGTCGCGAGTGCAGCGTCGCACCACGATCGGTGCTTTCCGGCAGTGAAACGGTCGTCTTATTATCGAATGAGGAATTGCTAGCAGCCTGTTCCGCTGCCACAGCAGCCTTACACCGGTGGTTCATTGCAAAGGGAACGATAGCCAGACAGGCTATCCACCAAGAGAACATGATCGAGAGAGCCCGATACAGCTGGTCCTCGCAACCGTCGCTCCAGATCTGGACGAGGACCTGGTATAGCTCGTGAGCGGGGAGGGCGTATCCCCAGCGATAGAACCCGGGACTAAGTTCGAAGGGGCTGATCGTGCTTGCGACGTTGGTGATCGCCCATGTGAGGATACAGAAGGGGAGGAATTGCATGGGAATGAACGCGGTGAGGATATCGACGATGAGGAAGTTGATGTGCATGTATAGCCAGACGCTCATCCAGGACAGCACGAATTGGTTACTGTTGACGTCCCAGGACTCTCTGTATGCCCAGATATATCCGGCCATGCACAGCGATCCGATGAAGGTGTAGGCGAGAGAGACGCACATGCGGAGGAGACCGTTGCGCTTAGGTCCTAGTTTGGTGTAGAGGTGGAATTGCGCTGAGATGCCGTTCAGGGCCATCATGAAGAAGAACTGTTGGATGATGGGCATCACCATCGAGACGGTGTTGTATAAGACTCGGCCACCTTGCTCGGTGACCTTGATGTTGATCTCGGTTGCTTGGATGGGATCGAGGAAGGCTTGTAAGCTGGCCGGGTTTTTGGAGAGGGGGGCAGTGGCGAGGACATTCGATGCGTTGCGGGAGTAGTACGCCGACTTCGTCACCTGGACCAGACTCATGATGCTGGAGTAGATTGCACTCTGCGAAAAGGCCGGGTACCGTGCTCCATTCCAGATGTACGTTAGGGAAGTTCGGTTGCCGTGGCCCGTGGCCAAGGCCGCGGATAGGTTCGACGACGCCCCGGGATGGGCGTAGACTGCGCCCCAGTAGTCGCCTTTACAGACTGCGGTCTTCACGTCTTTTGGAGTAGGATATTGGCTAGCGGGTGACTGGATAAGTGAAGGAAATTCGTCATTGCGCAGTATGCCGTATGCATCGACCACTGATTGACCGACCACATCTCCATCGTAATCAACGTAGAGCATCTTCAAATTATGGAAACGAGTGCTGTCGCGATATTGTGTCCCGTAAAGATAGCACATATTACCCAAAAACAGAAGCTGTAAGAGGGCAAAACTAATACCCAAGGCGATGAGGAAGCTCTTGCGCATGTCTTTGAAGGACCCTCCCGCTGGGGAGGCTGAAGTCGCTGTCATGGCTGAGGTAGTGCAGTGGTGTAAACACAATTACGTTATAACTGAACGTGGGTGAGGAAGTTCTATTTATTTATCCGCATTGTGTCGGACGTCCCCTTTACCTTTTAGCTTCTTCTATCTCCAAAAGTTAGAAGTCGGATCTATTGCATGACCGTTTTGGGGCTGAGATAGAGATAGGGTCCCGCTGACTATGTCCAGAACCGGCGAATCAGAAACGAGGATCGACATGACTAAGCGGAAGAATCGCCCTCGGAAGGAAAAAGGGGCATCAAATAAATGCCAATAGTGGCTAAATTCGACGGTCTTCCGCCGCCCCGAATGCCGAAAGTGAGGTTTCCATTCTCCGGCTGTTCATATACCGCTAATCCGATATATGTCGCCTGCACTCTCGGTGGAACTGACTTATATGTCATAAACCTGAGAAATGTACAGAATATTGCACGTGCCATACGCCGGAACGGCACGCAACTTGCGAAGCTCCTGCGGGTGAAGATGGTCGGAGAGGGTCGAACACCTTGATATCTTAAGCTGCGGTCGGAACCCCCAATGTTAGGGTTTCGGAGTAGTGGGTCAACATTAAGTATGGTAGGTTTACTTTGCTTCCGTGGTTACGATGTCAACCTGAACCCCTCAAAACTCTGTGTATTCCGTTAAACAATGGACTCAATTTACAGCTAAGAAAACCAGATGACTAGGTGGAATTCGACGGTGAAAAAGCTGATTATGGCTGCCTTCAACTATGGTGATTATTCTTCTCGGGCTATCAGAGATGCGAGCCTCGCTCTTGGATATCCGGAATCTAAGGAATAGCAGAGCTGGCCGCTGGCTTGCAGTGGCCGCTCGCTTACCAGTTATGTTATAGATTTACTATGTTTCTATAATTATAATATTACCTGGAGGCCCTTTATCTCTATGTATCCGTTATATAATGTAGGTCATGCCCTTGCAGTCAGAATGCAAACACTCTTACAGTAACGGGTGATATTGTCTTCGATTACCTAAAACAGAGAAATCGCCTGCTGAACCATAAACAAATGATACCATCAGCCGAAGATTTACATACAATCACACTGTGAAGCAAGCTACGCGTACCCTAAGTTGATCTCGTTTATACGTAACACATCATCGCTCATTTAGGAAGTATGTTGGACGCCTAACATACCAGATATCCAACATACCACGTACCTACCTTACGGCATACGTGATATACCACTTTGCGGTCTACATTTGGAAGCTTGCCTATGTTGCATATGCAGACAAGGCACTTGCATCAAGTACGCTACTGACTTCACTCAAAGGCACGAATTCGCCACAACACTTAACCTAGACAGATCAGACCCACAATATATTGTAGGTGCGCGAAGGCATAATGTCCACGTTTCTGTGATAAGTATATGAAGAATGAACCGGATTTTGAAATGGCAAATGGGCATTTTAGCCTGCTTCTTTGCGCATTCAAATGGTCCTTGCTTCAGTCCCATTTCTCCCATGTCATGTCACAAGAACACTGTGGTGATGAGTAGGCCTTAACGGATGACTCGCACACCCTTAGTAGTGTTGAAAGATCGGGACAGCAGTAGGAACAAAGTATGGAAAGATCAGAGGGTAAGTATTGTGAAGCCCTGTTCCTGCTTTTTCCACCCTACCAGGCTAGTTAATACCTTTGTGGTTCGAGGTATGCCTCCAGCCTAACTACCCTATATATGTAACCTAACCGATTGAATCCTTGTTAAGGATTCAGTCGTGAGCCTTTTGCCTGAGTGGTTAGGTGGCTCAATACCGGGAGCCACACCTTAATATCTTATTTGTTGAAAGGTATCAATGACTAGTACGCCTCAGAATGCTAGCTTTTTCAACCTCCGAACACCTCCGAAGGGCATGTCCGATGAAGGCGTGTGCCATTGTGAAAATGACGAGAAGCGCAATGATTACTTACTAGATGGGTGTAAGAAGGTATACTATGTCGTACAAGAAAAGGAAGTAGAGGTATAAAGAGAAATGATCTACCCGAGGGGCCCGAGTGTACGAATGCCCCAACGTCATGTCTTGGCTTTGGGGTAAGGTATGCAAACTTTTTCTCTCCTTACATTCTTGCATGCCTGTTACTATATACTATTGTATAATGATTTTACTACCTAAGCCATATAGACAAATAGCTACAAGAAAGCAAACCTAATGCGATGAGGGTACTAATATCTTGGTACACATCGAACTGTTTCGTTGTACCTGGCGTTTTTCAGGATCATCTTCTTTCTAACGAGATAGGTTGGGGAAGGTCTTCTGAGCAGAAGACAGCCCTACCATGGTTGGTTCCAGGAAAAAAAGAAAATACGCAAGGAGCTAAAAGCTATGAGCGAGGAGTAGATAGAGAATGTGAAAGTCAAGACTATGATATTCTATCTGCAAATCCATTTCGGCGCCCGAAATATGCATATGACGTGTTTTTATTTGGACCTTTGGCCCGTCGCCCCAACGTCGACAACGGTATAAATGTGAGAGAATATCTCTCAGACATTGCCTTGATTTACTTGGAACATCACACATCTTGCCTTGTTCTTGCCTACCAGCTAAGCTTTCTCGTATTCCACGCTAGGATAGAGCCATCCACTACCTACCTTCCTCCGACCATCTTCAATATGACAATCCAGCAATACGACACAATCGGGGCAGCATACAGTGATGTATTCAATCTACCAACCGGAAAGCTGCAGGCGGCAGCACTAGAAAACTGTCTCGGAGATATCGAGGGCCTAACTGTGCTTGAACTCGCCTGTGGCCTGGGCTATTACTGTAGAAAGGCCGTTGAATGGGGTGCCAGCAAGGCTGTCGGCGTGGATATTTCCGAGGCTATGGTCGACGCAGCACGTGTATGCGCCCAAGATGACAGCCGACTTGAGTTCCACGTTGCGGACTGTGGCCAGCCGTTTGAGTTTGGACAATTTGATATCGTCCTCGCACCTTGGTTGCTGAACTATAGTCGCAACCAGAACCAGCTGGTGGGTATGTGGCAGAACATCTACAGGAGTTTGAAGCCAGGTGGAAGAATCATTGGGATATGCCCGAATGTTCATATCTTGGAGGATCTCGCAGCCTTTCCCAAAGGCCCTCAGTATGGGCAGGAACTGAAGGTGGTGGGTGAGCTGGATGAGGGCGGCTTGGAAGTTCAAGCGACGCTGTTGGCATCGAAGCCGTTCTCATTTAACAATATTTATCTTCCTCGCGAGTTGTATGAGAAAACTAGCAAGTTGGCTGGGCTGTCTGCCTTTGAGTGGAAACATTACTCAAAACCTCTCTTGCATGATGTGGACTGGGATGACTTTTTGCGGTGCCCTCCGTTCAGAGTTTTCACGGCTGCTCGTCCTGTCTTGGCAGCTTGAGTGAGTTACTGGATTAACTTTTCAATCGATCACCGAAATAATTTGGCTTTTATGCAATTATATAATATCCGTGCCTAGGAGGAGCCCGCTGGCGGATCTTAGATCGCAAGAACTGAGCTTCTTGAAGCATGTTTAACTTCTCTGTTTGCGTTTGATCATTCACTCTCATAGACGAATCATAAACTCGAGGGGAAAGCCAAGTTTTTCATAAGTAGGGCAGCTTGTCTAGTAGACCACTTCACACTATTCAGCTGACAGTTTAGTAAAGACTTGATTATTTATCTCCAAATCTTTGATTAAAAAGATGGCTCTAAACTGCACATGGAACGGATTGAGAACCGGCAATATTTTCGCAGAAACGAAAACACTTTCCATTGCTTGTAAGCTTTTTAGGCCCTTCATTCACTGATGCAGTAAGCCCTGAGCCATAGTTAGAGTATGGTGACATATAAGAACGTTTTAAGCATCGCAATCCGTAATTTAACAATTAGATAGGCCGACCATCACTTTACCTACAACTGCAATACCGCAAGGTTGGGTACATTGCACAGCATGAACGGGATTACAAGGGCGAAAGCCACCAGTGTCACATAGACTGTAATATAATAAATATAGATGAGTTGTTGCAATGAATAAATGTTCCCCAAGCCACATATTTGTTCCTCACTGAAAAATAGTGAAACCAAGGAATGGGGTTTAAGCACCACCCGCTCCAGCCATGATATTGGCTCGCTTATTCTGTAGGAGCTTAGTATAAACACAAAGGCCGTAAGTCTAACGCTTACCGCTAGAAAAATTGCGCAGACGAGGCTGATGGCTGCTCCAACGTAGACACACGTAAACCTTTTCCGATGCATGAGTATGAGAAGCAACCGGTGATCGAGCAGAGAAGGAATAACATATAACTCACACGTCACGCCAGGCAAGCACAATGATATCCAGCGCCTGCTCCCGGATGTGCCTTGGTAATGTACTTAGAAGTCCACTGCTGGTCCCTGATACGATGCGGGAGACCTGTGCCCGGGGAAGCTTTGGTAGCAATTCGTATAGACGGTTTTGAGCGACATTCACAAAGATGGCACCCGTAATGGACAGGCCCAGTGTCAGTCCGGTCAGTTGAGCTATCGTCATGTTAGCGGTCGGTGTATAGCACTTCGTATGGGGCAGGTCGGCAAACCAAGGATCATTAGAGTCAAACCGTCAACGCTATCTGATGGCGGTGTGACAGCTTGGATCACAGCAAATGCTGCTTGACTGTACAAGCCAGCACCTAATCCTAAAACCAGTTCGAGGCCGTATAGCACGCTGGGCGATGTGTGTGTCTCCACGATAGTAGCTTTTTATTTTTTTTTTGTAGTCAGTCATAGCTCAAAATGTATTGCAGGCTTGGCATACGCACACATCAACACTGCTGGAATGAGTGCAAGGGCACTTCCTGCCAAATACCATGGCTTATAGTACCCCACCCGAGACATCATAATCCCACTTCCCTGAATGGCCACCACTAACATGCAGATGAAGGGGAGCAGCCGGACAGCGGATATAATTGCATTATCACCTTTTGTGTATTGGAAGTAGATCGGAATATAGTACACGCTCGAGTAAGTGACTATACCCGCCGAGGCACATGCAATAAAGAGAAGAGCCGGTTCCTTTTGCTTAAGGAGATGTATGGGGAAAATGCGGCGCTCGAAGGCTGTGACAATGGCAAAGCTCTGCTGTGCAACGAATGTTATCCATAATATACCCGATAGAATGAAAAGAGCAATGATCTGTGCTGCGTCCCAGTTATACAGTGTTCCTCCAAAGTTGATCCCCATCACTAGAGTTGTGAATGCTGCAACACTGAGGATAGCTCCAACCCAGTCGAATGTATTAAGCTTTTGTTGGAGTGACAGTCCCGGTGTTACTGAGTTGGATGGGATCACAAAAAAGTACAATGGAAGTAGGATGACAGCGAACAGTAAGTTAATATAAAAGGCCCATCGCCAGGTATACAACTCGAATCCACCGCCAATAACAGGGCCGAGGACTGTTCCTAGACCCCAGACTAGCCCACTGGCGCTCAGTTAATAACACCTCGCCAGATGGATGCTCAATATATATACGTACGTTAGGCTGAGATATTGTGGACGTTCACGGCTCGTCGTATTCAGCGATAGCAGCGTGAGGACACCAATATACATTCCATTTCCACCTACACCAGCGAATACCCGCCCAACAATCTCAGCATTTATAGTCGGAGCAGCGCCGCAGAGCGCAGAGGCAGCCACAAAGATGACAGTGAAAACGATATACAGCCATTTGGCGTTGTAGAGAGTATACAGTTTACCCACAATGAGAACCATCGCCACGGCACCGATCATAAACCTGTGACAGACTTGTTACCAAGATGCTGTATATGTTTGGCATAAAGCCCGACTTACCCAACTGACATCCATGGTAAGTCTTCAACAGACTCAAAGTGGTTCACAATAACCTGGCAAGCTTTGATGAGTTCTTAGGACATTTAAAGAGCAAAGAAGGTCCAAGAACAAACAGGTGCAATATTGGCTACAATGGTATTGTCCAAGGCGTAGAGAAAGCTCCCTGTCAAAGTGCTCGCCACTAGCAGAAACCACTGCAACTGTCAACAAATAGATCTGCACTATTTGCGTAGAACCAACCTTGATCCCTGTAATCGGCCGCTTCTCCTGCTGACTGAGAGAGTAATCCCTCTCAACATCATGCTCGCAATGCTCAAGGCACTCAAGGCCCTCTAATGGTGTCACATTCGCCATAGGGATACGGCCTTAATTGATATTGGTGGGTCGCTGCTCCTCACGACACTGCCTAGCGAGAACAATAACCGATAATTTAGTAGAGGCCGTCAAGGCTGTGTACCTATTTGGTTGTGTTTTGTATTTGTTTGTTTTTTAACTCACCGACATTCCTGATCCCGTCATAAACTAAATATCAAGATATGCAGATCTGGCGGCCCCCTTGCGTAAGTGTCCGGATAATAGGATGTCGGAGGGATGATGACAGATAGATACCAATGAAACCTGTAGGACTTGGGCAAAAGCAAGGCATATGTCTTAATATAAGGGAATGTGAGCACAGGGATTCCATCCCTCACACCAATCTCATTAAATCAGGTAAAATCATGGTACACGATTAGGGCGACAGACGGACGGACTGTCTTAAAAGGTCTAACTGGATTACAAATATTCATATTTTTAAGTTATCTAGTCCTGTATTCCTCTATATTAGAGTTATTAGAATACTTTTAAACCTTACAGATATTTTCAACCTTTGAGCTATCTGGGGTTAGACTTTATTTTAAGGTTCCTTCGGGAAGGTTTCATGTATAAGTTCAGACTGACATTAGATTAGCTATTTCCAAGGCAGTCGGAATGGGTGCCATAGAGGCATCAAATGACGATACCAGTCGTGGTTTCAAAGGCCTTTGTAACAAGTGAAGGGCAAGTATGACAATCGGCAATCCAGACATTGGAGCCCTTGATGAAGTCAGAGATCTTTTGAAGTGATTACCAAGCCTGCTGACAAAAGTCAGACCCCTAATGTGAAGTGGAGATTCGTATTTCGCATTGAAAATCAGTCCTTTTCTCCAGTTGCTGGATAAATGTCCACTACACTGAGAGTCAGTCAAGGTTTTCATCAGAGATGCCGCACTGGAGTTTGTTTAACATTGATACCCGATATCTGATCAATCAAATCAATCAATGAATCAGGGAAGCTGAACCCTTATGTTGATCCACGCAGAATTGTTCTGTGGAAGTAACCAGATCCGCATCAACATATGCCACGCTGATGATGTGATTTCCTATATAAATCTAACCTTCCTGCAGATTAAACAGTTCTATATAATTTCATTCCATCTTTATCAATATAATTTACCTCATCATGTCTTCATCAGAAGCTCGACAGCTATGAGAGGTGTGGGTCTCTAGCCTATCGCTTAATAACGTCCCGCTAGACAGTCACCAGACCAAAGTATTTCATTCTCGATGGGCTAGCCTATCGATTAATGGGAGCGCACCTGCCCTGGTTGGAGGATGCCGTTTGGGCCGTATTCACCTTTGAAGGAGCTCGAAATTGTGGTATCTTTTGGCTGGGTGAGAGTATATCACTTGATTCATTGTTTAGATGGGCGGCAGCCTGAGCCGGAGGACAACAATGGGGTTGTCGCTGTCTCCGGTGGAGTATGGGAGTGTGATTTGTGCTCTGTTGGATGCGATTAGAGCGAGGGATGGGGTGATGGGATCTTCGTGGAAGGGAAATTCCAGCTCTTCTATGGTGGACATGTTAGATGATGCAGTGATACAACAGTAATAGCAGTAGATGAGGGAGGGACCCAGGATTTATATATCATTGCATTGATAGCCTGTGGAGTATCTTGGTGGTTCCGGTCAGATTTCCAACGTGTTCATTGGTAGGAGTTGTGATGCGATGGTAGCCGTGGTTATATTTTAAATATCAGTGAGGGTTCTATTCCTTTGTAGTAGAGTTATTCGAATATTTTGTATTAGTACCAAAGGGGCATTAACTGGCGATGCCAATAGTGGCCTCGACAACTCTGCAAGGCTGAAGGACGAAAGAGATAAATATATCTTATCTCTGGCCACTCCGATAGTTATGTACATACGACCAAGTCACTATCTTTCCATTATTGCCAGACATGCTGATTGTTATATGGTCCAAGCATTGACCACATCAATATACCAGGGCATATACTTCATACTTCCCTTCGGACAAAGACAACACCTCCGAGCACCCATCAGGCGAACTCCCGAGGAATACCACTCGCTTCCACCATGCGCAAGTATCGCCCTGCGGTCATCGCGCGCAACCGTTTGCCCCAAATCATCATCGGAATTACAGTCAAATGCGCCATAAGACCCATCGCCATCATCTGGATGTAGGCATTCCCGTAGCCAGAGTGGATCAGCCACGGTTGCACTGCGAATACGAATGTCATACCGATCAGATTGCGGAAGATATTAATCAGCACTAAGGACTCTGGTGCTACAGCCCGATAGGAGTCGAGGATATACGTCTATGTTTCTTCAGTAGCTGAAAGGATGTGAAATGGTATTGGAAAACTCAGAATCTTACCTCTCCGATAATCGAAGATGCGGTGAACCCGAAGGCCATTAACCCCATTCCGAATACAGGACATATCCAATGGACTCCGGCTTCCACGCCTTTACCGTACATGACTAAACCGCCAGAGGTGATGACGGCAGTCACTGCTAGGAGAATAAGTCTATGCTCTGGTTCTCGAATACCGTTGTTACGACGCGCGGCAACGATGATGAACCAGTCGCTCACGTTTCCTGCGAACATCGTGCCTAGAATGGAACCGATAAGGGCGGCGGCGTTGGTAAGGCCTACTTTCTCGCCACTCCATAGATAGGGCGGGCCGGTGAAGAACTCTATCCTAGATTAGCGAGTTGGGTTAGGGGGACTGGAAGCAAATCGACGTACGGGACTCAGTCGTGAAGATCGCAGCCCACCAGCAGATCGAGACACCGGTAAATACACCTGTCCAGAGAACAGGTGGAAAGAAGGCGAGTTGGTAGGGACGAAGGAAGAGATTGCGCCAGGCTTCGTTGGGATTCACACCCCATGAGTGCAGTGGATGGGTCTGCCAATAGGACTTCATCTTGATATCATGGTCGACATGTCCGGTATGAGTAGGTGTACAGCCCTTCTCGGATGGAGGCTCGGTGCTTCCGTCATGTGGACGTGTTGCCTGGTGTGTGTTGTACGATCTAGGATACAGCGTTTCCTCCAGACCGAAGAAGAGGATCAGGGCCATGGCCGCCTGACATCGTTAGTAGAGTAGTTCGATTGACAGCCAAAGGTGTTTCAAGGGTGCGTGAGTACACTCACGAAGCCAATCGCAGTAATCCAGAAACACCACCGCCAGCTCAAATCTACATACACATAACCTGCAACAAGCGGCTAAACTGGTCAGTTTTGCGCTAAATCTTTCCCAGGAGGGGTTGCCTTACGACGACGAAGGCACCGGCGCTGTACGAAAGGGCCCAGTATCCAACTTTAGATCCCATTTGGTGAGCAAAGTAAGTGTCCTGCAAGGAAATCTGGGGAAGACCCTCCTTTGGACCGCATCCAAGACCCTGTAGGAAATTAGATCAATTGCAGAATTGAGGGCAAACAAGGCAGTGATATCCCACCCAAAATACGTTAAACGTCACCCAAACGCCCCAGTTAGTTTGAACAGCTCCAATGATACTGCCGATCATGGCGATCAGAAGTCCCATGATATACACTGGGCGACGGCCAATCTTCATCGCTACAGGTTGCCAGAAGGCCGCGCCAACGCCACTGAACAGGAATAGAATAGCGCTCCTACATTGTCGCGTCATTATAATCCGGGTCATTACCAAAACTGAAGAGAAGCACACACCCCGTATTCAGACCATCGAAAGTCGTGTTCAGATCTGGTGCGAGGCCGTCATACGCGACACCATAGAAATTGATCCTGAGAGTAATGAGCTTCGGTTGCTCCAACGAGGTAGACGGGACGTATCAGGGATCGAGTACAATCCGTTCATGAAGAATGTATAGATGCATAGCAGGATGAGATGCTGCTTCTTGCGCGCTTGTGACCAGTTCTATTGCCGGTTAGATTAGTTGATATCGCAATTTGGCAAACGATTTCACGTACTAGAGGGTCATTTGGATCATCTGAGGAAGGTGGGATGAGGACAATCTCGGTGTGCTTTCCGGTCGCATGTTTCCTAGATTTCTCATGTGTGTCTGTTGGCAACGGTTATCATGGACAATATATAAATCTACTATTTTGGGAGGTCCCCCCGCCAAAGAAAACAAAAACAAAAATAGAAAATAAAAATAAAGCAAGTAGGATAGAGACTGAGAAGAGGAAGAGCTAACCATCTACCAAAAGAACAGTACCCGGGACATATCGAGGCTGCGTTGTTTCTGAGGCTTCAAGCGTCATGTCGGCCATCGGATATCGTAGCTTGCAGTGTGGGATATCAAGCGGCTCAACAGCAGCAATCAAAGCACGAAGCTCCAGAGGATTAGGAGAAGACGGTAAATCAGTTTGTGTATCACTGAGGGCGATTAAATATAGGTGCAATACTACTCGCTGTCAGGTAGAAGAAGCAAGGGATGTATATATGAGCCCCGCAACGTATGCAATATATTCCAATCACCCACTAGAGGGTTTGTAGATTCAATAACGCTGGGCGGTCAATTTTTTCCAGCCAGATTAAAAGGTTTGGTGAACAGGGAATACTACAAAAGTATCAGAATTAATGGCAACATGATCCCAGCCCATGAGAGCGTCGAAGAAGACCTCCCCACCGACCGTCATAGATTTCTGCCGTTCAAGAAGGCCTCTTGGCATCACTCTAAAAGTGATCGACCATGGCTAAGACTGACTAAAGACATGCCACGCCGGATGGCGTTTTTTCGCTTCCTCCGATATTGTTGTCGCTTCGTGTAGATTGACTTTTTGAACTGATTCTATAATAGAGTCACATATACCTTCTCTTGTCATAAAGGAAGTAACAAAAAGACTTCCCGGACATGTGCTATGTCCGTGCCCTACAGAGTATAATCCCAGTGGATGGACGAAAGAATATGCGGGCTCAATATAACGATGTGCAGATGTCCTATATTTTCTTGACTGATTAAGAGAAGCACGAACGATGTCCTACTGCCAGAGTCCCACCAAGGGGTATCATTATTCTCCTATTATCGATTACCCTAAGCATCGCTAGTTCATTACGCACTGGCCAACCGTGACAACCCAGTCCGACCTTATTCCCTATATTGCACCACCTCCACCGTCCGGTATATCCCCGAAAGAGACTGGCTAGTGCTGTGTGAAACATTCCTCTCCACCGGCTGCTCCACATCCTCAGTCGTGACCGTAGCACGGTAGTGCCGCTCTTGAATGGGCGATAACTCCAACCCCCTATCGAGGGCTCCGAGGGCTCCAAATCCTCCTTTTTCACGGTCGGGATGCGAATGCTGCACGATGGACTCCGTGGATTCGTCCATGTGACTCAGTCGGGAGCGTAATCGCGAGTGATGCATGTTTGTTGTGCGACGGCCACTAGAGAATGAGACACCTTGTCTACCGTATGAATTTGCGAAGGAGCTTAGGCTGAAAAGTTCTCGAAGGAGAGGCCATAGAAGGGGCACATTGGCTACGTAAACGGCTGTCGCAACTTCAGCAACGTACCATCGCTGTCCGGGTTAGTTGGGGATAGGACGCGACCTGGACGTCGTGGGCATTGAAGGGAGAGGTGGGTCCGTACCAGGAAGCTAACGGTATATTCCTCGGTGAAGTTAACATAACGATTGAGGATTGCCATGAGGATCTGTATTGGCGTAAGCTGTAATGGCTCGGTAGATTGCCTTTCTAATGTTAGAACATACCACTATCAAACCAAGGCTGAACACAGCGCAAAGAATCAGTTTCCTATGTCAGGTCAGCAGTTAGGCTCAGATGATAGGTTGAGGTAGTCCTGCCGTTTGAGCGGGATCTGCGAGCGTAGGACAAGCGGTATTGGAATACACAACATCATCAGGTCGGATGAGATGTTGAACGCGCTCGTTGTAACTAAGTGGTCATAATAGGTGGCACATTGCGCTGCGGGTGGATTGTCAGCATGGTCGAGTTGGGCTCAAAGCATACGGGCATACTTACGGTCGTTACTTGGGACATCCCCTATATCACATTGCGAGTTAATAAATGAATATATCGCTAGGGGTCGATGAAGAAAGGGCACGCACAGTACATGGTGATGGGCGGACCACACCAAACAGTGCAGAAGAGAATCTCAATTATCACAAAGGATGCCGCAACGTAAACAGCAAGCACCTTCACTGCTAAATGCTCTCTTAAACCCAACCTGCAAACCAGTATCAATAATAAGCAGGGCTAACGTCTCCACAAAGGAAGAGGCATACGTCAGTCGATTATAGATAATCAATAAGCAAGCCTTGACTAGCCACAGAGAGACCAAGGTGAAATGTTCAAGTATAAAGGTCATCTTGCTGCCGTATACAGCATCATCATGCTCTTCCTCTGTGAGGGACAGTGCCTTTTCTAGGGGAATATAGTTACTCCCATGCTGTGCGGTCTCATTTGCGCAGACAACGACTCCGGTGAAGGTAAACTGGTACTCCCAAACCCGTCGGTTACTATCGCTTTGAGTCCATAGCATGTTCGGTGGACGTAGATGGACTCACCAAAATGACCACCATCAGGTAATCATCAGTTTGCAATTTCTTCCATGATTTCCGGGCTATACGCCGCGAGGCCCTGTACTTTGTCAGGATCAAAGTACCGGACAGACAAAACCTACACTTACATGCGACACGCAATGAGAAGAACGCCTGCCAGGTACACTTGGTTAGCCCGCAGGACATAGACAGAAGAGCTAGGACAGTACCAAACACATATAGAGTCCATGTTTCAATAGCTAGTGTTCTAGCAAATGGGTCCATTCCTCAAGGATTCTGATGGTAAATGCCGAGTACGTGGGAGAACGATGCGACCTTTGAAGAGAAGCTTCGAAGAAGTAGGAACATACCCCCATCGTGTGCTTGCCCACATAGCTTACTGTGTACACCAAGCATAATGCGACCCAATTAAACAGGGCTGACAATATGCGTTTTGTACTATGCATACAGACTCTGCTTGGGGTGGCAGGGGCGCCCCTTATTGGCTGGAGTTCCCATGAAGTAAACTGGTGTCTCCAAAGGCCAGAAAAATGCAAAATGATAAGCATATAGGCTAGAGTAAACGAATAATAGGAGGTAAATTAATTTATCTCAATTCGCCTAGTCTGCAGGGTGGGCGGATCTACATAACGGTGAGTTTCCGGAAATTTCCTGAAGTCGATAATGTCGATCAAAGCTTTTGAACCCATCCCACGGTATCTATTGCTGGTCACACTAAGCCCTACACGTCTCATAATACTTGAGGGTGCTTGGCCTTTCTATTTGGCGCAGTACTTCAGCACATTCCACAGCATCTCCTGAGGTTTAATTTCTTCGTGAAGGGTAACAGGGACATTCAGCACATACACTGCAGAGGGTCTTAAAAGGATTCGCTTTGATGCAGCCAATGGTCCACATACGGGCCAGGTAGGAGAAAAAGGGTCCGATGATCCACCCGATCGACTAGAGCTTGGTTGCGACGTTGGTCTTATAGGCCCACTTCCAAGGGAGAAACCTCGGAAGTTTCAGCTCCAACACTCAACGCTTGCCTATAATAAAGCAATCTTTTTATCGTTCCCGACTGGAGGACGTATAGTCACTACCCAGGTGATGCCTGGTTGATCCCAACTTTGCCCTCCAGAGGGTGGCCAAGTTCATGACATATCTTATTGTTTAACAGGCAGTGCAGTGAATATAACGCTTGGGCAGTGTGTATCGATGTCCTCGAAACAACATATGCTTTTGCATAAAGGGCCCGTGAGGGTGCCAGCGGTAGAGAACTCATGCTACACCCGAAAAAGAGTTGGGATAGCGTGCAGTGAATGACAGATGGTAACAATGAAAGTAACTATACTGAAGTTTCATAGAAGGCCACTTATTTCCCAGTCTTCCATGATTTCTATTGAATAATCTAATAGTGCGAGGGGTAGAGGCCGTCATACTATTCTTGTAATTGGGAAACGTACTGTGCGCACTCAACTAGCTTTGCAAACTGACCTTTTTGGTTTCAGTGTAGTGGTTGTATCAGATAATACGAAAATCTCGGATAGCATCTCTGGTTTCATATAGTCGCTCGAATATCTCCCCATGCATCATACCCTTCATGTTCAAAACACAGTGTTAATTTGGTCCTACAGTGTATCTTGTCATAGTTCTACTTACAACATTCCTCAATTAAATAGAAAGAATTACACTTGGCTTTCAAATGATTGTACTCCTTGAGGGATAGCGTCAGCCGAGAAAGCATTTATACAGTTGTAGCAAGTATATATCAATAGGCAGTTACAGGTTCCAGGCCGGTTCAGCCTGAATGACAGCTGACGATGAAAATCAGAGGATGCTCGGACCGTCTGCTCGACTTAATCTGCAAGTCTAGTCATAGGTATGTTTGTGCAAAAGCTGGTAAGTGTGCTGGAGGCCACGGAAATACCTTGCTCACGGGCTGACTATGAAGAATGACTTTACACTCAGTCAGGTAGTAGTAACAGATTGGTGAATAACTCATGTGTCTTTTCCTTTTGCCAAGCGGCCCTGGAATCAAAACGGAATTAATCTCCTCATACTGGCAAGCTGACATCTTCATTATGGGGAGCATTCTTCCAAACTCCAAGGATTGATTACCGTGTCTGAGAGGAACGTTGATATCACTATAGAGGAAATTGCGATTAAGCAAGGAATGCTGGCACTCACGGTGATACTTGGTACCTCCGAGATCGAGAGCCTCGGTAAGGCGCTGAGTTAATTGAAATGCCGCGGCCGAATGAGTACGGTTGGCGGAGCAAATGGCTCAGCTATTCATATTTGACGCTCTGTTGATTGCAATACGCCGCTTAGTCTACCCGAGCTCAATCAGTGAGATTCAGGGAGAGCGTCAAGATGCCACTTGGAGCAATTTGACATGATCTACTTCCCTTCCATAAGAGGAAGGTCGACGCCCCAGCCGAAATTAGCTCGATGATCGTCCCCGTTGATGGCCAATTGTCACTCGCCGCATTTATATAAGTCTCCAATCCGGCCATTGAATGAGACATATACTCACGGCGGCATGTAAAGTCGGGAATCAGTCTGTATTCGAGATGGCTATACCGTGGGAACACCTCAATATATAAATGGCCGTCGTTTCATAGAGTCGTGTCGTCTGCAAGATATGGACACTCACTATTACACAAGAATCTTTGACTTGGCGTCGGAATATCGAGCATCATTATAAAAATAGGGCACTGTCCTAAGAAGCAAATATGCCCTCCATGTCCTTCTCGGTCTTAGTGGCCTCAATAATTTCGGTTGTCACTTCGGCCACTGTGACTCCGATCGACAGCTTTCCCGATAATTGTAATGCTAGTTGTCAAGCCAGTATCGCCGAAGCCCTCGCACGGGAACAGGCGGGTTGGGTCAGTCCTAATATATCAACCGATCCTTTTTACGCAAATCCAACAAACATTTCTGATTATGCCGCCGGTGAAATCGTCAAATGGGAAGATGTACCGAGTCAGCAGTACACGACAGTTGGTTATAATACTCCTCCGGCAACTACACTGTCCAGATTCCTCTATATGAGCGAAGACATTGATGGCAACCCCATACCAGCCAGTGCGTTTCTGTTACTTCCCTTTACGAATCATGATGGTAGCGGAAAGCCAATGCGAACGGTGGTTTGGACGCATGGAACAGCGGGCATTACCCGACAATGTGCACCCTCGAATAACAAGCAGCTCTACTACGAATGGGAAGGGCCGTTTGCGTTAGTACAGCAAGGATACGCCGTCATTGCCCCTGATTATGCTGGTCAGGGTAGTGATATCCCCATGGGCTTCATGTACGAGTCGGGTGCATTACACGCCCTAGACGTGAGCTTTGCACTCCAGGCCGTGAGATCGAAGCTTCAAGATCGGATCACCCATGAATGGGTAGTGGTCGGTCACAGCGAGGGTGGCATGACCGCATGGCGTGTTAATGAACGAGAAAAGCGAAACGCGACGGGCGGTTTCCTGGGCGCCGTTTCAGGAGCCCCGGCACTCCGGCCACTTTCCCTTATCCCACAATCATGGCGCCTTGCTGGGGATGGCCCAGTCCATGATGTTGTTTCAATATTTGTTTTGCAGTCCATTTCGCGACTATTCCCTTCCGTCAAGGTCGAAAACTACGTCAGCGATATCGTCGCAAGCCGTATCCCAATCGCCCAGCAAGGATGCTTGGCAACTGGCTCAACGATTTATGGGAACCTCACATTGCCACAACTGTACAAGAACACCAGTTGGATTCACCATCCGGATGTCGCTGAGTGGCAAAAGAGCTATAATGGTGCCGGCACTCATGAATTGGCAGCTCCCATGTTGGTCCTTCAGGGAACGGCTGATGAGTTGGTCTATGCAAACCTAACGGAATGGGATTACGATCAGACGTGTAGCACATTCCAGAGCAGTACGATGCAGCTCTATGTTTACCCTGAGCTTAACCACGACTTCGCATTCATTGCTGGGCAGGCGCAATACTTACCTTGGATACGTGACCGCTTCCAGAATGTCTCTTTGTCTCCCGCATGTAACAAGACGACTGTCACTCTATCTGGGTTTCACTAAAGACTCATGAGAATGTTCGTGGGTAGAAATAGCCACCCTCGTCTTACCAAATCCACCGGGTTCTAAAATAAGGAATGAAAAATCATATGGTGCATTCGCACTGGAAATGAAGCTAGTCATCCGAAAAAGAGATTCTTGGAATTGTGGGCCCTTGTATGTCTACAAAATTGTTTCCGTCTTGTAGTAGCCAGTCAGGTACCGACAGTGCAAACGGTATATCGATCGAACTTGGACAGAAAATGTTTTTCGCAGTATCTTGATATACTGACTCTCCGGTGTTAGCGGTTATGAATACACGAGAACAGTCACATTAATGCTGAACCTGCTTAGTTTGCCTGAACTTGTAAAACTGTATGCCACATCTAACACCACCATTCCATACTGCTACTAGTATCTAGACACTTAAATTCACTCGTTATCATGACATGGCGGGTGACATATAGAGGCTTGAAATCCGGGCAAGGGCTAATCAGTCCTCTTGGTATCTATTGAGAAACATGGGGCTCGTATAATGCTCCAAAACGGGAAAACGCCTGGCAACCCACATAAATGCCAACTAGCTTTGACTGCCTTGGAGGTGCGTATATCCTGTCGTTGGTTAAGAGTCGTCGATGGCTTTCCGCGGATGCATCATCTTTACACCATACGTCTCGCCAGTCATATCCCACTGCATTGGCCGGCTTATCGGGCGAACTGATGGAAGGTCTAAGCTTCTTGTGCCTAGGCTGCTCATTCTCTTCAACCTCGAACTCGATCTTGATGAGCTCGTGCTCTGCGGCCGCAGCCGAGAAACCAACAATCCGAGCGTTCTCTGCAAATTGAATTGTTTGACAGATGTCAGTATCGAAATCACCTATCCTCGCACTTGTACCGGATGTGTAGGTGAAAGCAAGTCCAACAATCGCCCTGTCTCGAATGTATGCCTCCGCTGTCACTATGGTCTCTATCTGGCCGCCGGCACTCTGCCTTTGGAAGTAAAGCTTGCGTACCAGGTCGAAAGGTGGTTCTTGGTTGGGGACCAGCATCTGAGTCTTTTGACTTTCGTTTGTAGACATGGCTGCTCGGACGCGATCAGAAGATACATTCAGTATCCATGAAATAGCCGTCAGTTTCTCGTCAGAGCTACGTTGGTACTGGTGCTGCAGTTTTCGAGGTGGAAGAGATTCAAAGTCCGGAGAGCGAAATGTCACACTACGAGAACAACTGGTCTCAATTTGTATGGCCGTGACCTGACCCACTTCCAGCCCCGGGCATTCAGTCGAGAAGCCTACGGAAGTAAACCATATAGTTAACGATTGGACTTCCTCAACTGGGGACAGTTCGAAACCATCATCCAGCTGATTCATCCATTGTCCTACTACACTGGGAGTTGGATGGCTATAGTACTCGATCTTCAAACCGGATATGCGACTAGGGCATCTGGATCGGGCGGGGAGGCCTGTAGATGCCTGGATTTTCCGGACATTCTTTAGTGACGCATAGGTCTGATAGTTGCCCTGGTTTGCGCCATCTATAAAGTGAGAGAACCGTTCGTCGTACAGTACCTGATCATTCGGTATATGATGGCATTCGCGATCCGGAATGACAGGAGTTACGGGTTGTTCGTCACATTTTTGGGATTGGATGCCGAGTCGGATAAACCGCGTTTGGCTCAAATGTTGTTCGGATCTGGGTATGTCATTGCTGCATTCTGATACAAGGCCAACAAATCCCGTAATGGTGTTGCCGAATGGCAAAATAGGTACCGGGCCAACAGCAGCGTTCAGTCGATAGTGAAGAGGGGCAAAAGTAGCAGTTCTTCCATAGTTAGTGGAAACCTGAATGAAAGTTAGCATCGAACAGTAATGATTTGGCAATGGGTAGAAAAGACCTCCACGCCACCTAGCCCGCTGGCTGGGTGGTATCTGCGATTGTCTTCTAGAACATTGAAAGCAATGATACGCTCCCCCTGGGAGCCAGCGATAAGAAAAGAGATCCCGCAGCCCCTGTTAGAGCCAAAAAGTACGGACCTTCCATCACAATAAAATACTTCTATTCCCATCAGTGGATAAGGACCAGAGGCCATGTGGAAGACAAGTTTTGTCAAGGAGGCGAGAAGCAGGCCTCTTGGGCCGCCGAAGTCGATATTAGTCAGTGGTTCAAAAGGCCTGGCAGGCTGGGAGGGTAGAAGAGGGCTAATTTCCGAATCCTCGTGCTGTGGGGGATGCGGTGTCCACAAGCACAAGTGAGACGGTAAACAACAAGAGCCCATCACGCCTTGAGGAAACTCCTCGGAAGCTCCGGACCGGTCTGTCAATTTCCCTAGGCCGATCGAAACGATCTTGAAGTGGTCTAGACCTATAACCAAGAAACAGCAATATGTCCCGTCAGGAATAGTGAGCGTGCCATAAGCAATCCCTGGGCCATTGCTCTCGCCAACCCAGTCCGATGCATACGAATTTCCGAATTTAAATTTGATAGCCTTGAGCCCTTCCGAGGAAAGGGCCACGCAAATAGCTTTCACGTCGGATGTGGACGGTATCTCTATCCACTTCTCAGACACCGGGTTGTGATATCCGACTAGACGGCCGACGACATTACACCCTCCCGAGGAATATATGTTTATTCCAGATATAAAACCTCGTGTGCCGATTTTGATGGTTGAGATACCTATCCGCCGCGGATGCTGCCGACGCGGGGCCATAAATGATCGTGCCCTGTGGTAAAGCTCACGACATCCCTCACCCATGATATTACCCGAGCCAGTACAGGCCAACTGACCGGAAAAAGAGCCCGCTATCTGCACGGCTGGAGGCGGAATTTCAGCTCCCTCGCCATCCGTTAGCTGAATGTTGCCGTCTTGACCTGGCGCCGGGTGAAAGACAGATCCGTATGGACCATTTTGCAAAACATCCTTTAGGTCCACAAGAGCCGCGATGGGTTCCAGTAGTTTGCGAACCCTCTTTCGATTGATCAAGGGTAGGATTCTGGCGCTTAGAGATGCCCTCGTTCCAAAGTACAGCCGACACCAGTCCCGTGTATCCGAAAGACACGGGAAAACAAAGTCAAGCTCCTGACCTAGACAAAACCTACTGCGCCAGTACGACTGTGGCAGCGTATCGATACTTGCCTGTAGAGCTAGATCTCGACACACGAGTCTCAGATTTAAAAGCTCATCAAATGATAAATATGAGAATATCTCGAATCTCATCTCGGCCGACAGTCGATTCAACATATGGTTCCTAGGTTTCTCTGGCCTTGTACGCCTTTTCAATATCGTGTTATGATGGGATGGGAGTGGATGCCGCCCGTCGTCGGGCGCGGAGGGACCAGAAATACCAGCGACCCTCTCGTTCCGGTAATTTCTGCCCTCCACAGCCAGTGTTATTCGGGAGGCGCCTTCTCGCTCTTTCCAGAGCGGAATATCGTGTGCTTTGTGGAAGTCTGGTGCGGTCGCTTCCAGGTCATGGATGGAGGGAATCACCCAGGGGTCAGCGTAGAAGTGTAAGCCCAGATCCACGGGCTCTGTCCGCCCAAACGATATGTGTGTTTGCGCAGCGCCCCCATAATCGTGGCCCCATTGGAAGCTTGAGTAGTCGCGGCAAGGTATGGAATAGAGCTGGTGAAAGATCGACTCTAGAATGGCCGTCTTATTGTGGACGTCACCATCCTGTGCATGTCCGAGTCTAAGAAGGAGCAATCTCCAGCACGAGTTGTGAAAGGCAAAGCACCACCGGCTTTCAGATGGGTCGCAAATAGTCCATCTTTCGAGCGCTTCAATCCCCACGTCGATATATGATTCATCGCTATCGATCGGTGCGTGGAGCTTATTTCGGAAGAGTATTATCCCTAGCCCGGTGATCGTGATCTGGTCATTGGTTGAGTAGATTCCACGTATTTCAGCGTACCAAGGGCGAGCGTGGGCCTGTGGAGGCTCTGGATTATCCCTATAAGGATCGGGAAGCAGGATGACGCCGCAAAAGGGACAGTAAACGTTAGATGCCATGAAGTTGAGGTTCCCTTCGAGGTTGAATGAGGGTGGAGCTGCTGCGGCTATCCAAGTGTCTCAGGCTTTGGATGTGCCAGATTTCCTAGGCATCAACGCATCGGCAGACTAGCGTGAGGCCAAACTACCGTTTGTAAAATCAGCTTGAGGCTATAGCCATGTCGCTGTCAAAAGCTCTTCTAACTCATACAAGCGTGCACTAAATCATTGTCTCTTGACTTCGTTAACTATACGCGGAAATCCCACTCGTTACCCATTTCCACTACACCCGCCACAGTTCTCTTCCCACTAGCACCACTGAACCAAGTCATTAAATCTTAGGCATCACCCATTGTGGCCTGGTTTTCTTTACAAAGGCCTCTATGCCAATCTTAAAATTCTCCCCTTTGACCACTCGATCCGCGTACATTTCACGGACATGCGAAGTTGCGTGCTGCACACTTGGATTCTCCCAGGCTGCCCTAAGCCCCTGTCGCGTCGCCAGGATCGCATCCGGGGACAACTGCACAATCCGTGATGCAATAGCCAGGCACTCCTCCACAACAGATTCAGGCGTCTTGGAGACCTTGTTAATCAAGCGGAGACTCAGAGCCTCTTCTGCGGGGATCCTTCTGCATGTCAAAGCGAGCTCCGTGGCGACTTGCATACCACATGTTCGAACCAACCGGGGTAAGCCACCCGCTGCCGCATACAAGCCGACCTGAGCCTCTGGAAGCCCAAACTCAGCCGTCGGAGATGCAACGATAATGTCACTAGGTGATTCTTGCGTCAGTACGTCCGCAGCAGAACCAAAGGCATAAATCTAACTGACGAATTGAGACAAATTTCAAACCCTCCACCCAGAGCAAACCCATTCACAGCTGCCAGGACGGGCTTGACACCTTTCCGCTGACTGAGTCCCATGAACCCTGTCGGAGGATGGGTAAGTAGAGCTTTCTCAGATGCCGTTTTCTCATTTGTCCGTTTCGTGCTCTGTTCTTGGAGGTCCTGCCCTGCACAAAAGGCCTTGTTCCCGGCCCCGGTGACGACAGCCACAAGGAGCGATGGCTCATTGTCGAACCAGGTGAAGAGCTCATGTGCTTCCCAGTGAGCGTAGGACGGTAGAGAGTTCCGTTGTTTCTCTCGATCTATAGTGACTAACATGATACGGGCTTCGGGAAATGACACACGATAGTGTGTGGTTGAAGGTAGCTCGGATTGAAACGATGGTAGAGTCATGATTGGTATGTGGTGCGAAGACTGCAGTGTTTCCTAACAAATAATGGACCCAACAACTATTCTGTTCTTTTGTATTATTGTTGTTTATCCTGGCTTTTCAAGATAACGATCTTAATATCCCCCGATCGGCGGTAAAATGTTGAAATGGCTTTATGGAATGGACTTTAGTTCCTCGGGGCCTCGGTTGGTCCCCGCAAATTCATGCCGAAGGTCAATCCAGCATTGCGAAAGTGGGGAGAGAACAAGAACGGAGACGAGCCAATAGTAGCCAAAGCTCGCAGAGAGGGATGAGATATTTATGATGCGTTTCTATTCTATACTATATTGTTCTTGTGTATACTTGCTCGCGTTAACCTGAATGGCCTGGCTTGCGTCTTCTAACACAACCTGATCAAGTTTTAAACATGCTTAAACCAATCTAAATTGAAATGACAATAGAACATATCATTGGGGGATTTCATGGTTGAATGTTATTATTTATAATCATCCTTGCTACACGTTGGAAAATATTTATATCACTGCTCATAGCTTTCCCTTTCCTTTCAGCAAAGAAATTTCCTGGCGTACGGCGAGATCCGCGATGATCTCTTCACTCCCGCCACCCACCACCTAAGATTAGACGAGGAAACAGTCAGCGCACGGGAAACACAATCAACGGTTAAGGGGAAGAAAAGCAATCTCACCATCATTCGCAGGTCTCTACTGATCTGCTCCACGGTCGCGCCGGCCCCTCCTTTCTGATATCCTGCTCCACCAAAGATCTGCTGAGCCTCCCGCGCGGCTAACTCAAGCATCTGCCCTCCCTGGACCTTAAGCAAAGCAATGCGACTAGCGATCTGAGGGCTCTGCCAGCCTAAGGGTGCGTTGGTGATATAGTACGCCAGCTGTTCTAACCAGGCCCAGTGGGCCTCCACCCGGTGGGCCAGTTCAGCCAGCTTCCGGCGGATGATTTGATTGTGGATCAGTGGTTTCCCAAAGGTCTGGCGCGTCATAGCGTACGACAGAGCCATGGCGAGGCAGGTCCGACTTTTCCTATTACATTGGATGGCCATGATGTATCTTTCTTTGTTGAAGTTTTTCATAATGATAGGGAACCCCTTATTTTCCTCTCCGATCAGATTCTCGACAGGCACCCGGACATCTTCCAGATCCACAAATGATGATCCACCAGCATTCTGCCCACTGTTATAGATCTTCTGGCGTGTGACTCCCTTGGAATCCAGTGGGATTACCAGCACAGAAATTCCATGGAGACCTGATCCTTCGCCCCCCGTCCGAACAGCTGTTGTCATATGCGTAGCCCAAGGAGCACCAGTGATCCATTTCTTAACCCCGTTGACAATGTAAAACCTTCCGTCGGCGGACTTGACAGCGCTCGTCCTGATCCGTGCGACATCTGAGCCGCCGCCGGGTTCGGTCACCCCCAAACAGAAGCTGGTGTCCCATGAAAAGAGGCCGGGAAGCCACTTGGCCTTTTGTTCTTCCGTGCCATGGTGGACGACTGGAGGTATGCCGATCGTTGATGCACCACCGAGTGCTATGCCCACACCCCCCTCCACTCTGGCCAGCTCGTCCACGGAAACGAGGAGATGAAACACATCCCTCTCATGGTGCGGCAGCCCGGCTAGATCGGGAATGTGAGAGAGGCGATACTGTGCAGGCACATCATCGAAAGGGATCCCCGACTGGGCATACCGCAGTGCTTCTGCTCGTGGTACAGTGCCCCTCTCTTCCCATTCAAGGGCGTGGGGTAAGATATGCGTATCACAATATTTTCGGATATTGTCTCGAAGTTCCCGATGAGACCGGTTATAATAAGGCGAGTCTAACGTTTTGTACCACGCGGGTTCGGCCCATGGCGTGTTGTTGTCAAGGTTGAGTTTCGGATCTGGAGGCATACTTGGTGTTTAACGGATACCTAGTCATACGTGCAGAAGTCGAGATATGCGGGGAAGAGCACCTGTTTTATTAGGGAAGAAACCTCGTGAATGACTATCAATTCTATACCTCTGATTTATTTCCATTTCACCCCTAGTGACGGTGTTGGTGGTGAATCATGATCGATAGCCGAGAGCCTCGGGATCGACTATTTGACTGACTCGACCCAAGTATCCGTTGGAGCGCGGTTCCCCCTCAATTGCCTCCACTATTAGTGTATTGCTCAATATAGCCTATTATTCAGTTAGCGCTATGGCCAATCAGGTGGCCAGTGGCATTTCTTTGGCTTTTGACATTTGAGCCGCGGTGTCTACCATGTTTGTTTCCGAGGTGTGGAGGACAGTCTCTGTTCTGTACAGTGGGGATCGAAGAATTAATACGTAGTACTTTGCAATTTCTTTTAGAATTAGAGACAGTCAATGCAAAATAACATATCCTTACACTCCACCGGATTGAGCCAAACCAAACAATCAAGATGATTCCCGTTATCATAGGAGTAGCAGATATCAAGAACAAAACAACGAAGACCGAAGATGCGAAGGAGCCATTGCAGTTAATGATGCAGGCCATTGAGGCCGCCGTACAGGATACTCAACTTTCTAATAGCGAAATATTGAAGCTAAAGTCAAGCATTGATAGCTTAAGTGTTGTTAGAACCTGGACCTGGACATATGCAGACCTGCCCCATCTCATCTCCGAGAAGCTGGCAATAAGCCCAAACCTTACACATTATACCAATCATGGTGGTAACCAGCCCGCGAAGCTTTTGGACGAAGAGTCGCTGCGGGTTGCCAGAGGGGAAAGTCGCGTCTCGGTGATTACGGGTGGAGAGGCCCTGGCGTCATGTATGTGCACCGTTCTTGAAACGTGCTGTCAAGCCTTGCTGACTGGGTAAATAGTAGGAATGTATGCAAAGAAGGGAGCAATGCCCCCTCCTGGTTGGACGCCCCCAGAGACGGAAATAAAGGGGGTTTTCACTCCGTCTGCAGACCGGTTCGCCAAAGGTTAGTGCTGAGTGTGAGACTCTTGCTTTAACCATTCTTGTCCTTGAACGTCTCTGATACCCCCCAATGTATAGATGGTCTGGACGGCATTCACTCTATTGGCCTACCAATTCAAGTCTACCCATTATACGAAAACGGATTCCGTGCGCGTCGCGGGCAATCACTAGCAGAAAACCACAAGGAATCAGCCTCTCTTTACTCACAGTTTAGCGAAGTGGCCGTTACAAACCCATACTCCTGGAACTTCCAGGGCAAGGTTGAAACACCCGAGTCAGTCGCACAAGTGACCGCCAAGAACCGGATGATTTGTCTACCATGTGAGTAGTCTGTTTATTTATGCCCTTCTAAAGCGTGAGACACAGGCAAGGCTAATACATGCTGTAGATCCACTCTTGATGAACGCTTTTAACTCAGTCAACCTTGCGGCTGCTTGTATTATCACCACAGCAGAATATGCCGCAGAATTAGGAGTCCCAACAAGCAAATGGATTTATCCGTTAGGAGGTGCAGGCGCCACTGATTCTGAGAAGGGTACGTTAACATTCTTCCTTAAATCTTTCTGCGGGGAAGCTATCCCGCAACGATTTCCAAAAGCACCTTTGATTTTTAACCTGCTCTAGTATGGAATCGACCGAATTACTTTTCCAGTCCCGCTATTTCCAAGTCACTCGACAGATGTTTGGCATCATCTGGCCTCACGACAAATGATATTGATCTTTTTGACTTCTATTCGTATGGTGCCTCTTTGGTCACTGCTGGGTAGGAGCTTATAGATTCACCAGGTGTTTTCCAATCGTGCCAAAGCTAGCAAGTGAGCATTTGGGTCTCTCCATTTCAAGCCCATCTAGGCCTATCACCTTGCTCGGCGGCTTGACCTTTTTCGGTGGCGCTGGTAACAACTATTCCATGCATGTAGGAAGCTCTCGGGCAATCTATCTCTGGTATACGGCGCATTGACATGAACTAGGCAATCACGGAAATGGTGCGTCAACTTCGGGGAAGGCAGAGCCAGAACGGCCTCATCCTGGCAAATGGGGGTATTTTGACCTACCAGCATGCCATATGTCTTTCCTCACGCCCACCATCCAACGGCATGGTGTATCCTAATGTTCAACCCGCGCATCAAGTGGCCGTTGAGGTTTCCATTCCACGCGTCACTTACGTGGCAGAAGGGGATGCTGTGATTGAGGTGAGTGGGTCAACGGGAATAGACGGTCTCCTTTTCGATAATTCACCTAATAACAATCAACCACTCGATCAATCATCCCGGTACTAACCAAAGAAATATGATGGCAGACGTACACGGTAGAGTTTCACCGAAATGGGCACCCAGCACGAGGATACATTATTGGTCGGCAGAAAGCAGATGGTTCTCGATTTGTCGCTAATCACGGAAACGAGACAACCTTGAGGAAACTGGCATCGCTCACAGAGGAACAGATCGGCAAAGAGGGTTATGTTGTGCCTGAGTTGATCAGCGGGGGTAGAAGGAGGAATCTTTTCTATTTTTCAGCCAAAGAGTCTATCTAAACTGATCCTCACGTCAACTTCATTACGGCAGTGTTGCTTGCGGAGATGAACAGAAGGAACGATTGTCATAGTTACACAAGATATGCTAGTCGTGCAATAATTTCAGTTACATCTGGAGGAGAATCAACTCCTCAGTACGATAGCGGACTTGCTAGACACACAGAATAGCAAGGAACTAGTTTCTAATTGAGTACCGTAAAGCAGGTAAGAGAGAATAAGGGCCAAATGAAGAAGTAAGGCTTAGGGCATGCCGCCGCTGCCTAGAGTGTGGCCTATCCCTTTAGGCATCACCACCCCTGGTTTAGGCAGTGAACGTCAAGTGACCTGGCATCCATCTTCACGTCATAACCATCGCGTCAGCAACAAATAAACAAGATAAAAGCCTCTGGAATTCTGTTTATTGTTTGAACAGCATATCCCACCTAGTCATATGCTTGTCTCCTTTTATTTTCACAAAACCACCATTTCGTACAATTAGCTTAACTGCCTTCCTTGTTCTATTTCACCATGAGTGACGATGAAGGCGGCCATGTTTTTGACGAGCGCATCTGGAGAACGGAGTCATATTACGATGTCCCAATCGAAGAGTATGCTCATACAGCCATTGAGCTAGAGGATGAGGTGGATCGGGTCTTGACCGAAGTCAATACAAACCACCTCCTATAGCTAAGGATTTATACTGATGAGCCGCACAGGGTTGTAAGGTGGACGCCTGTCTGGATTGGTATATCTGTTGCCTGAAAGAGATCGACTCGGATTATGGCCGGCGCATGTATAGCCCCGACAATCTCGAATCATTTGCGGGTTCCAGGTTGGAGAAGATCAAGAAAGAATTGCGAGAAAATTTGAACCGCTTAACTCCTGACTATCTTGATGGTGAAACAGACATTCTGAAGGTTAAGAAACTGCACAAACGGTTGGAGAATCGATGGCATAAAGTCCGAGTGGGTAGCAATACCAAGAAGCGAGAGCATGTTTCCAGTGCGCTTTTGGATACTCTAATGGAGAAGCATTGTCACCAACGGAGTGGACATATCGAACCCTCTTCAACACCTACCTTACCAGAAACACAGGACAGCTTTCTTGACTCGTGTCTTCAATTGAAGACGTTCATTGAAGGGGAGCAAACTACTGCTTCCTATGCATGTGGGGGTAGCATCCCTATCGTTCAAGCAACTGGCCCCCCTGATAAGCACCCACGAGGTTCTGGTCCCGTCAACATCTTCTGGTCGATTGGGAATGGCTCAGCGAGACATGTATCACTACCTCTTAGGGCTGACGCCGAAGACGCGAACCCTGAAGTGCTACAACACTTGATAAACAGCTGTGGTCCAGCCAGTTTTGGTCGCGGACAGGAGACTGTGATGGATCTATCGTACCGAAAAGCTGGAAAGTTAGACCCTGAAAACTTCGCAACAAGCTTCCATCCCGCCGAGTTTGGAATTATCGAAACAATTGAGAAGGTGCTTCTTCCTGGGACAGTTAGCGAAGCAGCGAACAGATTAGGGTCGCGCAAGATCTATGCGGAACTCTATAAGATGAATGTTAGTCAAATGTTTTCGTCTGTGATGGCCGAGCTGACTATATCCACAGATTTATTCAGGGCCGTCTGGGCTTTTTCGTAGCCACGTTGACACTCCCCGCTCTGAGAGACAAATTGGTTCCTTAGTAGTTTGCCTTCCAGCACGTTTCCAGGGTGGAAATTTACTTGTAAGGCACCAAGGGAGAGAGGTGAACTTTGATTGGGCTGCAGGAAGCGAAACCACCATCCAGTGGGCTGCCTTCTACAGTGACTGTGAACATGAGATCAAAACAATAACAGAAGGAGACCGGATCACGTTAACCTACAATCTGTACGTTTCAAACCGGGCCGACAGCGTTCTTCAATCGATAATGGATCCTAAGTCACTACCATTGTACGGCTGGGTCAAGGATCTTCTCATGAAACCGGGATTTCTGGACGACGGTAAGCCCTGCTTATCGAACTGAGCATCCCATAGTCAACCGGTCCCAAGTAGAGTCTAACTAATCAGTACAGGGGGCGTTCTTGGTATATTCTGCTCGCACGCCTATCCCCATACCTCTAATTCCACCACCTATGACCTCCCAAGAGGGCTTAAAGGGTCAGACGTGGTATTGTATTCCATCTTTCAGTCCCTAGGATTACACGTGCAAGTTCTGCCAGTTTTGGAAAATGACGGGAAGTACATCCCCGAAAATCCAGAGTTAGGACTCAAAGGGCACATCGAAAGCCGATCTAGCTATATCGGCGAATGGGGCGGCTTCGGCTTTTCCAATGATCTCCAGCCATACTTGGCCAGGAACAAACGCCTTCTCGTGAACTTTTCTGAGGTACTGCCACAGGTCTCCAGCCGAGAGGACCTTGCCAATGTCGACCGACGATGGAAGCTCTTGAAGATGACACGACATGTGAGGAGTATGAAGGAGGCAATTTCTTTCGCACAACGGGAAGGTCTTCCGTACAAAGAAGATAGCGGCTTTGTGACAGAGGGAGCGCAGATTGGATCACGCCTGCGGCCCTATGAAACGACGGAATGGGGGAATGATATGCCGATGGACGATGTAAGTTTCGCTCACGCCCACAGCAATTGATATCAGGCGCTCAAGGACCCTGCAGGTGCTGCCACATGTCTGGCCCGCATACTACCTCCCCGGGATTACGTGGCTCACGGAGCCAAAGCATGAGGAGATGGCGTTCAGTCAGATCACCTATGGAAATGAGGCTGGGATTGGAACGAGATACTCGTGTGCTGCCATTTTCGCGGTGATACCCCCATGGGACCAAAGAGGGACAATTCGTGAAAATGAAGGATCCGAAGGTAAATGACTAGAGTTGAAGTAGCCTACTTAGAAGGCTTAACGGGCGGGAAATGGTGTTTTACGCGAATGCTCGACAGATTGTTCAAGTCCTCCATCTCAGTCGGGGGGGATGTTTTCTTTTAGTATGTTTAGTTTGGGTTTTCGGGTTAACCTACTAATTTATCTAATTCTGAGGTCTTGAGGTATGGAAGTTTTACTCCGTGCTATTTTCTCTAGTCTGCTGCGGAACTCATTATTCTAGGTATTCCAGCTCTTGCAACAAGTAGGAAAGATCATGAGCCAAGAAGTAAGCACATTAAGAGTGTAAAAAGGTGCTTTGCCTATCTAGGCAGGCCGCTTGACAAATATTGACATCTTGACATTATACTAATAAGAGTAATATTGATATTCATTTCTTCTAACAATCCTTTGCGATATCATACCAATTGAGAAGCAACATCATCCCACCACTTCTGGACATGATTCAAGTTTTCGCTGTTTGCCCTATCATCGACATCAGACGAACTAGTTTCACTAGATTCCACGTCATCGTCACTATCTATTAGCAGTTCCAGCCATTCATGTTTCCAAAACTCCCTTTCTTCTGGCCTAGTACCTTCAGTGAAGAAGGTCCAAGAGAATATGTTCCGTGTCACGAGCTCGGAGAGTGTATCATCAAAAGCTTCCCCCTCCTTATCTAGCTCTTCACAAAGAGGGCTTGTTGGATCAAGACCCCTGAGCCAGGAATAGATAGAAACAAGCTTTCTGTATATGGGAGCAATCACCAGCGACGACTTGAATAAAGATGTGTATGGGAACCCAACCACCATCCAAGCCAGCTTTACGGCTTTAGTCCTAAGAAAGTTGGGTTCAATGCTCGATTCTATAGCTTTCGATCCGCATGACATGCCACAATCGCTCAGCACTTGTCATCCTTCACATTTCCAATTCCAGCAATGGCAGCTTAGTTGGTGATTACAGGAATAGTGCAGCCTGACCTCGATCGAAGTATTTTGGAGCTCCACGAACCCAAATGGACGGTATGGAGTGGTGAGCTTCTATACGTTTCCGAGTCCACATCTGTGATAAATAACAAGCGGAATTCATCTTCTCGGGGAATCAATGCCACATTGTTGGTCTTGTGAACCGGTGTGAGACGGTAGTACTGAGGGTCCATGAATGACTGGGGAGAAGCAGTCCAAGTACCCGCTTCGAGGTAGACTGTTGGTAGATATGAACGACAAACTTGAAATATCCGGGGTAGGAGGCCGGTAATTAGGGCGCCTAGCCATAGTGGAGCTATATTGGGCGTGCGCTGTGCCATTGTGCAGACCATAGCATGGTAATTCTTTGATCGAATTAGAGATGGGAAGATCTCTCTCATTGGTAAGTTCAACCATTGGCTGACTAGGTTGCATGGAATATCTGGTTCCCAGAAGCAACCAAATAAACAAGATGTGATCACGCCAGATGTACATGATATAGCCATATAATGAGGAATTTCAGCAGTTGTCGGTATTTGGTTTCGATATGTCAGTTCAGTGTTCCGACGCGAGATGGGACGGTTTTCTGGCTTCGGCAAAGGTAAGGTAATACTGGCGCCAAACCAGTTATGCAGTGGTATTGTCAGGGTGGCGGCCAACGCACTAATTAACTGGTCAAAAGCGTCATGATATCGGGCCAGGTTAAACAGGTAATCTTGAGCTTGTGCCGAGGACGGCGGCTCAGTGTTAATAGTAGGGGTCGAGGCCGGCAATTGAGCCCAATGGTGCAGTCGGAATGAACTGCTGTTCAAATGGCAATCCCACGGTGGGTAGTACTCTTTACCTTCTCGTGTGAGAGTAGCCTGCCAGCCTCGTCCCTCTGCGAGAATTGCAGCCCACCATCGAAGTTCCGCGAAATCGTCGGTTTCAATGTCTATTATATAACTATCATCCATGATTGACTTATCCGTTTGATGTCGGCCGTGAAGATTCCACTGAGCCTTGCTCTTGGTATAGACCACCTTATCTTTGATTGTTGACCGACGTATCTCTATCAATCGTGCTGAAAGAATGTACGACCAGCCAAGGACAAACACCTCAAGATAATTAGACATGGGGCCTGGCAGGGGGTGTACCCCGTTCCAATCTGAGATATACTCCGCGGATAGATCACAAGTGCTTGGCTGAGAACCCCCGATGTAGACCTTTCGAGATCCAGTCTTTTTCCGGGAAGGCAGCTCGCAATTACAAGATCGATTGACTGGCGAGACTGACCAGCTCGCATACCCTTCTATGTATAGAGCGTCCGTTCCCAAATAGTCTGCAGCATCGGCAGGTTTAGGAATCGAGGGGGTCTTGTTGAGAAGCGCTTTCATGTTACTGCAGGCATGCGGCAAAGCAGTTTCAGACTGAGCCGAGGACAGCAGAGCATTCCATGTTGACTTCGAGTGCTTTAGCACATCGGTTGCGCTGTGATGATCAGGACGCAGTAAATCATGATTACTATCATCCATGATATGAGAGATATGGAAGGTTGTTCATGTAACATTTTCTGTTCGGTGCCGTGAATAATTAAATCCGACCATCGGCAGTCAGGTGAGAGAAAGCGCCCGGCAAGGGGGCTGAACAACAACAACAACATATCACTTGGCTATACTCCGTACTTTATTAATGTAAAGCAGCAGAATAGTTCTTAGGGCCATAAATTGTTATGATTTATCACATGTTATTCCTCCCTGAATCACTGCGAAAATCCAGGTATCCGATGTTCCAAAGGGTACCGACCGTTTAAATACATACATACATACATACATTGGGTAGGCAGCCTAGTAGGTAGCTTCAATGGGGCCCTGAAAAGTATCACCATACCGAGGTAATTATGCCGGAAACCATTATACCCAAGAACACAGGCCAACATCTCTTGTATCCGTGGCAGCTGCTTTACAAGGACCTCCTACGTCCTATAACCATGGTGTCAGCCAAGCCCGAACCGCATAGGAGAAGAGTTACAAACAAGCCTGTCAGTGCCGTTACCGGTAGCACCAAATGTGACCCAAGTAGACCAGTCATGGCCACCAACAGTCCACCCAACCATTGGAGGCAGGTCACGATACGACTATACCTCTTCGGAGGATCGACTCCAAATTTTCTGGTGTGTTCCATCCCCACCGCAACCCAAGTAGCAAGTTGGGCAAGTGTTTCAACCTTCCTACCATGTCTCATGTTTGACTTCAAGCCTGGAAAAGAGTAGCCGCCGCTTCGTATTCAAGTCTGTCGTTTGGCTCAAGACATTGCCCGCGCCCGCACAAGTGAGGGTATCATGTAAATCAGAGACCTGCCAGGTATCTTCGTCAAAGTAAAACGCGTAATCGCACTTCTTCTGGATGCGGTAGTTTTTCGGCATTGTAAGGAGCAGCTCTGGGTTGATCGTCTGGGTTTGCCTTGTGTGTCCATCTTCTGTCAGCCGGAGATGCCAGGATGAGAGACAGTAAAGGGTCAACCAGGAAGAACTTACACGCTCTCCGGTTTTAGCATACTGCCCTTACATGCAAGGTGGAGCATGGGATAGACCATCTTGGTGCACCAGCATTCTCATCCCTTTGATATAAGCTAGATGCCCGGGCCACGCTTAGGAGTTCCTTTGTAGTTTCCCAAAGTATGTCCAATTCACGATGGGATGGATTATCTGGGTCATGGTATGCAGGGTTCGGGATCTCGTTCGCCATGAGAAGGAAAGATGCAGATATTCGGTCCTGAAAGTGAAGAAATCATAGCTTCTGGTCAGCTATACGTTTCCCCAGTAGTATAGCTTAGTTTATACCTTCAGACCGATAGGGATCACCTGTTCGTGTAGACCTTGAGTTAGGGTGGTGCATAAAGCAGTAGCATTCCCTGGTAAAGGAAATCATGAAGGGTAATTCGCAGAGAACAGCAGTCTTCAATGCTCGCACATCATTCAACAAGTCTCGAATCGGACTCGCTGCACATTTCGACGGGCGAGAAGACGACCGATAGGAGAGCTTTTTTCTGTCGGCAGGCTCTGTAACAGCAGTCTCCGGTGCAATCTGATCAGGGTGCACATTATCGGTATCGTCAAGGATCCACAGGTGTTTCGCAGCAATCGTAATTCTGGTGGTAATATTTCTTTTTCGTTTTAAACTACACGATGCCGAGGACGGGTTGTATTTGGTGGGGTAGCCACCGTCTCGCAAGGCACATCGCGAAGCCAACGCCAAACGGCATGGTCTTGAGGGTTCATGGCTGGCGAGTCATGGCGTTGGAGGTTGGCCTTGGCTTAATGAGCCAGTAGAGTGTCCATCAGTCGAACGGTAGAAAGTGTTCAATGCTGAGAGAGCAATAAGGACATAACGAATATTATCAGTCGCAGAGGTACCCTGTACATACTTCCATATGGTTTGTTGCTGAGAGTGGATGTTGTTTGTATTGGGCTATTTGGGAAGCGGTGACGATGTTAAGATGGCAGAAAATGGGCTAAACCAGGCGGTAGATTGATGTGGAGTAGGTTGTGGTTGCTGTAATTGGACAGTTCTTTGCGGAACCCAATTAGGTTAGTAGTCTCATCAAGGGTCAGTTCAGCACATACGGAGTATGCAGAGTAGGCAAGAGTTAGATATAACCCTAGTAGATTTTTTTTTCCCCTTTTTTGATCAGCACTATTGTGTTTGTAAGTTATTATTCTCTGAATAATTTGTACCCGTGCCAATGATCTTCTCGCTTATTGGCAACCCTTCGACTCTGAGATATATATCTCTCCAAAGATAGTCTACTGGGCAGAATAAACTTATCTCGACTGACTGGATTATTGTGATAATCTATTGAGAAGGAGATATTGATGAACGACGTATCGACGTCAAATTAAAGTCAACAAAAACGATATCTCTAAAGTCCTTTTGGACTATAAAGTGCAAAGAAAGAGCCGTTCTGGTTATCCGTACTCAAGTACGCTGACAAACATTCCGAGACGAATATCCGCACGCGCTAGCTGGAAACTCCAAAAGACGCGAGATCCGGGGATCCGGATCGTTCTCGAGGTACATGCAAATAGCGGTACATTCAGTAACAAGTCGACCAAAAACCCACGGCTGCCAGTGGGATAGGGTACACATAAGGCCCATCCACTGCGCCATAATTAGAAGGGCTGGGGGGTCTCTCCGTCTCAAAAGTGCAAGAAACTCGTTCGTCAACTTCCCCATGAACTCGGCACATTTGGCCGAATTTTCCCAATTGCGTTCTAGTTCGGATATAGCTGTATATAATCGGAGAGGCTCGTAATATGGGTTTGTTTTGGCCGTGGTAAAGTCGTCAATCCCACAGAGGTCAGCCAGATCGGGGTCAAGACCCTCCCGTCCCTCTGGAACTACGCGCTTCAAGAATTGCTGTTCGTCCTTGTGGGCCTGCTGAAATGTGGAGCCCCAGATGCTGGAATCAAGGTACGACTGAGCGAGGGTTATTATACACCGGAGGCCACTCTGTAAGCAAAGCCAGTTCATTGCATCTGGTTTATCGGATAATACCCACGAATCCGTTGGCTTGATATTCTCGGGGCAGAGAGCGGTGAGTCCCATGAACATGCAAGTGGACAGGAGGGAATCAACATTCTGGGGAGTAACGTTGGAGGTAAGTGCCGCTTGGTATAGCTTAATCGCGCGCTGCCAGAAATATGTCTCTGCAAGCTGCCACGTTTTGTTTCCAGGGGAAATGCGATTGAGGTGAAGAATGCCTACGGCAAGTATCGTGTACATCAAATACGGACTCTGAAAATACATTTAGTTAATAGGATCTGTACGTATCGAGTCAAGAATTGGACCTAGGCTCACCGTAAATGAAACCCGAATCATGTCGCTCCTCATGACGGCTCGGAGGGAAGGGTTGGCGACCGTGTCAGTGGCACCCTTAAGGAACTGTTGGAAGGCAATCATGCCGACGGGATGAGATGCGTGTCGCTCTACCAGAGAAGCATTGGTGCCTGTATCTAGTTTCAAGATCTCCTCTATCCGGGTCGCCAGATCGTCCAAAGAAAAAGAAAATGTAATGCTGTCTGGCTTTTGCATGCTTGATGCGACATCGATGTTAGAGCCATTTCCATACGACACCGTGGCATAGCTGCACAATGCACCGTATCTCTGGCATTTGACGCAGGCTGGTTTACCCTCGTCGCACTGCACTCATGCTCAATATTAGCTTCAGAACAGCTGCCGGAATCGATATCCGCACTTTGACCCTCCGTTTCTTACAAGTTAAACAGCCCGCTCGTGATTTTCTATGAGGACGCCGGGCATGATATATTTTTTCTTGATTTAGATAGAGTGGCACTTGAAACACAGTCTGCCCTAGATTGCTTCTTCGGGCGGGAATTTTATCCAGTGCGCCCGACGATATGAGATGTTGTTCGACAGACATGATTTGCTGCGCCGTCTGAGAGTGGCCGGCAAATTAACGCCTTACTCTGTCGTCTTCCTGTCCTGGACGTGAAAGAAGGGTAACTGGCCTGCTATCTGGCAAACGGCTCGATGATTGATGTTAATCTGTCAGATCAGAGCATCGCCACACCGGGCAAATCACGTGCTGACCAATACGAGGTAGACACGAAGCTGGTACAAAACAACAATTTGCTCATGGTTTCGACAGTCAGATCAAAAACCTACAATCAGCGAAAATACAGAAAGCCGATCAGGCATGCCCGATTTATTACGCGGAGGGGACATTGACGTGATGGTTAGTAATTTGGCAAACCTGTAGGGAGAACAAACAAGGGCAGAAAAACAAAAAGGTGGAGAGAAAAGTAATGCACAAGCCAAATCCTTCATTAGAAAAAAGCTGATACTATAATAAGTAGGCAAAATACATACTAGAAGTAGAGGAAATTGATGGATATATACACGGTATGAGGATAGTGAAGATGGCCCTGCTTGGCTAAGGTGGACTCGGTTCATATTGGAGTATGCCTTCACCTCGCGGGAAAAGGAGCCACTATAACACAGGTTCATGCCGTGTCCCGCAAGGAATCTCTAGATAGCAGTGCCTGAAGGCATGGCACCGGAGGGAGAGCCAGAGGGCATACCACCCTGGCTACCAGAACCACCACCGAATGCAGCACTGTCAGTGTTCTGGTGACCACCGTTCTCGTCATAGTAAGCAGCAATGCTGTAGTACGAGTTATCGGTGTAGTCGGCACTGGCGTTGATGCCAATCTGCTTCCAGGCAAAGAGGCCATCCTTCAGGTCGTTTCCAAGGTACACATAGTCGGGGAATGGGTCATAGGAGCTGGAGGCTTGTTCAATGGACCACATGTCATCAGCATTGCTAGTGATGTCTTGGGTGTTGGTGGTGTAAGGGTAGGTGTCCTCGACGGCGGAGCGCAGGACCTCGTTCCAGAAGAGCTGACCGATGTGTGCAACACTGCCGGTTCCCACAACGAGTGTACCATTGTTATCATGGACGGAGGCATTAAGGTGAGTCAACAAGTGAGTGTGAGTGGCACGGCCGTCATAGTGACCCGGGAAAATGGTCTGGAAGGCCACAACACCGTCCTGATCCGATTCCTGAATACCACGCAGGTACGTGCTATCCCAGCCGTCAGCAGCATAGTTGCCCGAAGTGGAGATACCACTATGTCTGGTGTTAGCGATGTGTGTTCATGTATGGTAGCGTGTGAGCACTGACCTGTACACGCCAGTGGCGTTAGCATTCCAGATATCGACGAAGGCACCTGGAATTGGCTTGCAAGTGTTGACATCGATGTATTGGACCTCCAAGTACACATCAACACCGTCACAGTACTCATCCTCCTTGACGTTGCTCCTCTGCACTTCACCCCATACATAGTAGGGCCCGTCGGTGATCGTGGGGGACAATATGGCACTGGTGTTGCCACCGAAGACCGAGCTTTCGGGCGTTTCGGAAGTAAAGTCGACCAAGCCGGTCATGTTGTGGTTGACGGCCTCCCACTTCTCCAGATCATCAGAAGAACGGCGCCACTTCATTGGACCTACTGACATCGTCAGGAATCGGATACCATTTGTTGATCCTGTTGTCTCAAGACTTACTGGTAGTCACGCCACGGGCGCTGCGCAGCTCACGGACAGTTCGGGCGCGGCGGGCGACGTTACGTTGCTGCAGTCGCTTGGCATGCTCACTAGTGGCGCATGCATCGAGGCCGCGCTTCGACCGGGCAGCAAGAGCATCACGAGCGTGGATCTCGCGCTTCAGTACATGCGGATCGTGCTTCTCACCGGGATGCGCAACTGCGAGCGTAGCCGCGGAGAGAAGGAGGAGCTTTGAAAAGTGCATCTCGCTAGGGGCTGTTTACCACTCAAAGGCTCAAAGAGTATACGTCAAGAGCTCTGAGAGATTTTGTTCTCTTCGATTAATAATTAAATTCTGCTGGTTGACCGTTGAAGGTCTTACATTTATAGTCCAGGCATGTCAACGGCTTCGGGGAATCCACGTCATCGGAGCAAGACGACTGTCGCCCAGCCAGCCCCTGTGTGGAACATTCATGCAAGAAACGTTGTTCTAGTGCCTGTCATCCCGTAAGGAGATGCGTAATAGATGCAATCGGCTGGGTTTCTTGTTGAGCCTTGAAAGATATGGTTGTCTTGGCGCCGCGTATGTTGGACCCGCATTAGGGCTCCGGCAAACGAATGATAACCAAATTATTATGGTCTCGGCCTCTCTCATTGGGGATCACTCGGCGGAAGAATTACGTTGGTCTGGGGTTCCTGCGTCTCTTTGAAGCTTAGCGGCCCACCTCGCCTTATGCTAAGTAGTAAGTGCCGACAAAGTTGTGATGATCATCGCCCGCTCAGCCTGGATGTGGCAGTGTCCGAAATTCATAAACTGATTTTTACAGTGTGCCGGTGAATAGTTTCACTGGAAGTATTTTATTTATAGATCGCCCATATAAACCCCTTATCATCATGGCCAATAGTCCTCAAGTAGCTGAGCCAATTGAGATATGTTGATTTGTATCGTGGCCGCCCTGTATCCATTTGTATGCCGGATGTGGGGGTGTCCTACGTCTCCATCTGTATCGTTGTCTTGACGTTTCAATGTGACCAGGATACTCATTTAGAGCGAGATCGAGGTCATTACGCTGGCATTCAAGCATCATAGGCTGCATGTTTTGAGTGCGGATGGCGCCCTTGCCTATAGAAACAGAGCGGAAGGCTGTCATGGCCAGATGACTTCCAAAGTGGTTCATGAGCACCTCAAAAGGAGCTGCTCGGCAATCCGCCCAAGGAGGAGGCAGGAGAAGCATTTTGGCTACCCCCTGATGAGTTAACTACTCATTTGAGTATGAACTTCATAGGATGGTCAAGTGAAATTGAGTATCTAGGACACATACGTCTCCATACGTCAGAAGTTCGACGGCTTGAAAATGAAACGACTACTGTCTCATACGTATTAAATATTCTGGAAAGTCGTAATGGAATGAATCGGGAACGTTGTGGGATCCGCTAAAGATTGGGCTAGATGCCCACCCTACGTTGGCGGATTTTCCGTTCAGAATCTCTACCTTCTTATATTAGTTTTGGAAAGCCTATGACTTTTTACATGGCAATAGTGGAGTCACAATGAGAAGATTCTTCATCGGAGGAGTAGTAATTGCATTTATTAGGCACCACGGGCTATCTGACCTACTAACCAAACCTCTCGCTTTATGCCAGGACAGACTGAATATACCACGAATACAGTAATCATCCATCGCGCTCACACACTTGCCAGTCGCAAAAATGATATCTATGGGATCTATACCGATAGCTGCCGGTGGAATTTCATCTATATCAACAAGAAGGGCCGGGTAAGTGAGCCCCATCCTTCGTATAAGGCAGACGTTCCTGTTTTCAGATCTCCCGTTTATCATCGTACTGGTTGCATGATCTGCAGCGAATTATCAGGCAGGTTCGCAGCATTATTCGCGAGGCAGTTGCCCTTCATCTAAAAGCAGGTGGAAGTCCCAGAGGCTTGGAAACTTGCAGTGAATTGACTGGATGCGAAGTCTCGTACCAAAGTAATTAGAGTGACAATTTCGATGCCACGAATAAATTCTACCTATGGGAGAGATTTATGACAGTAAAATTATCTCCGTTGTACACCGCACTGGCCCCGATTCCAATATTATCCGATAACATCTATGTAGAGTTACTTGTGGGTTAGCTTTGCATCAATGTCCGTCGGATCCATATCCTCGATTATCATATCAGCAGCTTTCTCCGCAATGGCATATACCGTTGCCTGAATGTGTGCGCTGATTTGGAGAGGCATGATGCTAGCATCGACAACACGCAAATTAGTTATACCGTACACTCTTAGACGACCATCAACCACACCGGACTTCTGGCCTTCGAACCCTCCCATTGCGCATGTTCCGATTGCTAGTCGTTATGTTAGCCCACAAGAGCGGCAAAGACAATGAGAAGTACACTTACGGTGCCAGTCAGTGATGGTATAGTTCCGGACAAACTCATCGTATTTGTCCACCTCGTCTGATGCGTTGGAACCAGACATCGGAGGGAATACCCGGGCGCGAATGATCTCTGAAAGTGGCTTCGTTGCGCAAATTCGCTCCGTCAAACGTTGGCCGATTTTCATAACCTCCAGGTCTACCTCCCCGTGACCAAGATAGTATCGTGGGTCAATGATCGGCTTGTCATGGACAGTCGCACGGAGGTCAGGGTCCTTGGGTGGCAGGTGGATCGACCCTCGGGACCAGGGATATTGCAACATCATAAGCATCGTACCATATTTCTTTCCCTCCTCGGATGGGAAGTATGGACTCCAGTTCCCGACATCGAAGAGATATTCCAGCTGACCCAAATTAGTATGCTCTCGGAATTGACGAGCCAGGATCTCGTCTCGTTGTTTGCCAGTCTGTTTGGCCAATGACTCCGCTCTCGCTCGGAGACCTTCCAGTTCCTCTGGGCCAATGATCTGTGACAGTGAACAATATGCGATTGAACATGGAAGGATGGTCCAAGGACCAGACTTAGAGCCTTCATACTCACAACTGGCCGCCTCCCGAAGCGCTGAGTCCCCCAGTACTTCATCCCTGGTGGGTATCTCGGGCGAAATTTCAAAAATTGTGGCCGTCACTGTATCACCCATCAGCGATGGTTTTCATTTAGCCTCGGAAGGTCGATATCTACTCATATGCTCCTGAAGGTTCTCTCCGACATTCGGATTTTCAACCTTGACAGGAATTCCAGCAGACCTCAAGACCTCAGCATTACCAACGCCAGACAGCTCGAGAAGTTGTGGAGACTGAACACTTCCCGCCGAGAGGATAACCTCTCTTGCTGCATAGATTTCCCTTTGTTTGTCATCACAGAGGATGTCGACCCCAGTGGCAACCCACTGGTCAGCGTTGCCATCCTTCTCAATTAGTACTTTTGTCACCATTGCCTCAGTCAGCAGTATTAGATTTGATCGCTCTGCTATGGGCTGATAGTAAGCAGTTGCCGAGTAGCTCCGGGTTTGGCTGATGGGATCCACCGTGCAAATCATGTTCCATGCTCCTCTATTCGAGCCGGCAAGGCTGTCTAGACTACTATCCACGCCGACTGCGTTGAGTGTCGCGTGCCAGAATTGGTGAGTTGGACCATAGGATTGAATATGCGTTGTGTGAAGGGGACCAGTAGTTCCATGTGTTTCCTCCTGATAGTAGGAATGATACTGCTTTTGATGAGTGACATCGGGGGGGTGGAAAGTCTCAGAGCGTTGGAAGCAAGGCCTTGTCAGTTATTAGTCGAACATGAATCAATCATAAATTCACCAGAATGCGGCAAACGTCGGAGGTAATACACATACAAAAGATCATCCCAACCCCATCCAAGGTTCCCCAACTCCTTCCAAGCATCATAATCCTCTCGGTTCCCACGATTCCACGCCATAAAGTTCAGGGCACTGGTACCGCCAAGGACTTTGCCACGAGGCCAAGGTAGTTTCCGACCTGATAGTCCTGGCTGAGGCACCGTTTCAAATTGCCAGTCATACTGAGATCCGATCGTAGAACCGTAAAGACCTGGGATGTTGATCGCTTTCTCATCAAACGCTGCGGGACCAGCTTCGACTACCCCGACCACGACGTCAGGACGTTCGCTCAGACGCGCCGCTAACACTAAGCCTGCTGTCCCTCCGCCGACAATCAGATAATCAAATACATGAGCGGCAAACTCGTCGATGCGACCCATGGTGCCGGGGTGAGTAGGGTATCAGTATCTGTTCAAGTCAGTTTAGAAAGGGCAAGCGGGGGTTTCGATTAAATTAGAGGTACGCGCATATTATTTTCCGACTGGCCGATCATACCATGCGGCGTTATCTTCCCTGCACCTCTTCATGCCACCGAGGATCTACACCATGTGGGGTTTAAGAGGGGCATAGTCAAAGTTATTAGGGCTAGTGGCTGAGGCATTTTTATGTTTCCCTGCTGCTCGGTGCTTTCGGAGTTTCTCTCCTCTTGACTTTTGTAACTTTCTTAGTACTAACTAAATACATCTATCTGATACCTCTGTAGGATTGCTCCAATTTATTTCCTTTTATTTACCTAACCACTGTTCCGAGTTTGAAAGTAATAGGGTAAAAAAAAAGGGCCATATACTACTTCAAAAGTATTGACAGTAGTAATCCAATTAGTACAACCTTCTTCCTCGCTTCCTCGCTTTTGTAACTCTAGAATAACTAACTGGGTGTATTACTTAATCTAAGACCTCTCAAAGTTATAGATAAACTATAGTCTTTGCGACAGTATTATATCTCCGGTTGTTGGAAGTTACTGACATTGTCTCACTTTCTGTTCTGTTCATCTACATAACTGTATACCCACCATCAACCGGAAGACCAACACCATGAATCCACGAGTTCTCCTCTGAGACTAGAAAGAGAGCAGCATTCGCAATATCCCCTGGCATCCCCAGACCACGGAATGGGTGCATTTGCTGTACCACCGCTCGTTTCTCCGAGTTCAAGTCCTTGATAAACGGGGTATCGGTGTCTGTTCAAATTAGCATTTCCGACAGAAACCATGCCCAGGTTTGAATGCGAAGGGGTACTAACACCCAGGACATAATGCATTCACGTGAATCCGATACGGCGCACAATCCATCGCCGCAGCCTTGGTAACGCCCATAACCGCATGTTTTGATGAGACATACCCCGTTACTCCAGGTGAGCCGTGTAGGCCGAAGACACTGGAGAGATTAAGGATCCAGCCCCTATCTCCGCAAGGCAGGGGGTCCTGTTTGATCATCTGCGCAGAGGCGTATTTACAGCCTAGGAAGACGCCCGTCGAGTTTATGGCGACGTCTCTGGTCCAGATTTCCTGGCTGAAGTCCCAGATGGGCTTTGGCGAGTTCGCTTCGAGGGCGACACCGGCGTTGTTTATCATTCTGGGGTTGTGACACTGTCAGTCACTGCCAGCATGGAGAAGGCAAAGCAGGAAGATTCACATGTCTAATCTCCCAAACTTCTGAACGGCATGTTGTACTGCGCTTTCCACTTGCTCCGCCTCGGTCACGTCCAACATCACGTATTCAGCGGTCCCTCCGCTCTGAATGATAGTTTCATGGGTTGACACTTTATCACCCGGAACCTTTTCTTGGATGTCACCGCAGATAACCACAGCACCTACGCCGGCAAGCTTAAGTGAAATGGCGCGGCCGATACCGCCTGAAGAACCGGTGACAATGGCTATCTTTCCATGGAGACTCATCGTGTCAGATATAGTTGTGGTTCCAAACAACGTAAGGTATTCGGGACCTAATGATCGAATCGCCTAATAGTGAACAAGTAATAGCCTGCCACGCTCATGAAGCCTTTCATTTTCTTTGTGTTCGTAGTGCAATGAGGAGAAATTAGGCTCTTACCCCGCATAAATCTCCCGAGGCGAAGTTAATGGACGGGAGGAGTAGACGACAGATTTACCGTTCATAGACACACGTCCTACGTAAAGCCCGAGAAATCCGGCCCAAAGGACGATTTACCGAGGTAATTAGTGTGCAAACAGTGGCATAAAGGTTGAGATAGATTTAAATAGGCGGGGAGTTCTTCGAGAGGGATTTATTTTGCTAAAAGAAACAAACCATAAGTGAAGTCCATCCTCCTTTAACAAGAGATATCTCCTCATCTTCAGTTCTTACATAAATGCAACCAGAAATGCGAGAAGGTTGGGTGCCTCTGGGGGGAGATCTGGATTTCGTTTTCCGCCGACCCTTGTTTCCAGGTATGGGTTTTCCAATATCGCTTCGTAAGAAACTCATTTTTATTCCAAATACCGGGAATAGGCATTATGCCACTGCGATGATTGCCGTAAGATCAGGGGAAGCGCCTTTAGCAGAATGTTTTTATCCCCGACGCGAACTTCATCGTTGTCCGAGGGAGTCCGAGAATCTTATTGAAAAGAAAGCAGGCGAATGCGGGCATCCTATCAGGAGATTTTTCTGCGGAAATTGCGGGACTGCGTGCCTCCGCGAAGAGTATGCCTTTCCTAGTATGAAAGTTATCAGGGCAGGGACGTTACAAGGCTTTGAATACAAGCCCGCTTTGGAGGGATATGTAGATGCGAAACTTTCATGGGCCGCGCCCTTGAAGGATGTGAACCAGGTCCTGAGGCCCAAATCCACAATACAGGCTTGAACGTAATGCGATTATCAGAGGAATTGATCAGAGAATATATGCCGCTCCAGAATGGACGTAGTGCGGACAATGCCGGAGGGATATAACTACATCGGTTTTGTATTGCCTTCAGATACTCAGACCTTCTATGAACTTGGTCAAATTCTAGAATGTGGCACCGAGACCCTGCACAATATTGGTACCACTACGACCCCTATGAGTGATGTCGTCGTATTCACAATAGTAATGAGCTTTTTACTGTCACGGCTGCTTCAACCTGCCCTGTTGTTCCGACAGGACTACATGAGAGTAGTGATAGCGATGATAGCAGCAATAGCAACAGCTCTAGCTTGGCAACTCCATAGCAGGTGGGAGAACCTATCTAGCCCTACTTCTCTCAACCTACAAAGCCCTCCTTCAATCCAATTCACATAAAGCCTCCCAGGATTCACAAAAAAGCGGCCACAAGTCCCCACCCCCCATTGATCAGTAATCCAGCGGTTTCAGACACGTCCTGCGGCTGTGGGGCCGTACCCACTGTCTTTCTGTTATAGGGTGAACGAGGGTTCCATAAGGGGAAAACCCAAGGAAATATCGCGGGTCTCCACTTTGAAAGCCCGTTAGAGCCTGAGTCTTCCACAGATCGGATGAGGTTTGGTTTTGTTGCGATTCGATGGTCAAAAATAAGTTTCGAGCGAGTGCATTTCGTTATGAGGTCAGATTGCATTTTATTTGTATGCACTTTTAGCTTTTAGTTTAAAGAGTCGGTGAAGCTGGTAGGATTGTTGTTGGCTGGGACTTGGCGAAATATATATATTTGGTAGCGTGCCTTGTCCTGTTGGTCTGCAGTTATATACTCTGTATATATTTACGTTCATATGCAATGCTCCTTATGCGATCACAATATTGAAATCACTCAAATATTATAAGAAAAAAGAAGTACAGTTGCTTGGGATGAAGTCATATCGTCAAGAGGAGCCCCCATAACTCCAAAAGGTAGTCATCAAGAAGTGTAAAATATGGAGAATGTGGACATTCTCACTCGTGGGCAAAAAACTATGTATACCCCGAGGCACTACATGTAGACATCCCCGACAATAAACCATGATATATTAGGTCGAGTATCAAACTATATCTCGAGTAACCACAGAATTGAGCCACAACCGGAGAAGTACAAAGCCAGTGAAATAGCCGAAAAGATACTGTCTACTAAACAATTTACAAAAGACCAGAATATAGACAACGCGAACACCAACCGTCTAATTTCTATTCTGATTATAATAACTTCTCTCCCCCCTCAAAAGTCAAATCCTCAAAGTCAAAGTCGCTTAAGCGGAAACACACTGGTGGTAGTAAGGGTTCCACTTCTTGCAAGTGAGACCCTGCTCACACTGGTTGCTACCCTTATAGTTCAGACCACCACACTGGTACCACTCCTTGACAGCGCCGCCGGCGTTGGAACTAGGCTGAGGAACAGAGTTAGTGGGCGCAGCAGAAGATGCAATGGCGGAGGTGCTAGAGGGAGTAGCAGGAGCAGTGGTAGAGGCGACAGCAGTGGTGGAGACAATGGCGGAGGTAGTGGAAGTGGTCTCAGAGGGAGTGTTCTCAGTGGAAGGGGCTTCAGTGGAAGAAGTGGTGGCTGGCTGTTTGGCGATAGTAGTGAAGCTAGAGGGAGCAGGAGCAGCGCTGGTAGGAGCAGGAGCAGATGCAGAGGCGGAGCTTGATGGAGAAGAAGACGAACCAGAAGCGCCATCCCAGACGGCAGGGCCGGGGATGGGGTAGCTGTCGAAGGAGTCGTAGATGTTGAAGAGGATGCCCTTGTCAGTGGAGGTGTAGGCGCCAGGGATAGAGACACCCTCGGGGAGGGTCTTGGAGCCGGAAGAGGTGACCTTGACCTGGACACACTCCATGTAGAACTGAGCACCGCCCTCGCGGTTACCCTCGTGGAGAGCGATGATCTCAGGGCGGAAGAGGTACTCGCCGGCAGCAACGTCGGGCACGGTGACGGAGTGCTTGCCCTTGTTCTTGATCAGAGTCTCAACGGCCCAGGTGCCATCGGTGTAGCCATCCTCGGCAATCTTGACCCAGCCGTTGCCAGCAGTGCCCTTCTCAGTGGGGGCCATGTAGACAAGGATGGGGCCGTTGTGGGAGGAAGCGATGATGTCGTCAGACGCGCTGCGAGAGTCATGGTGCCACTCGAAGGTGATCTTGTCACCGGCCTTGACCTCCAGGGTCTTGGCGGTAGCCTTGTTGTTAACGTTGCAGGTCATGTCCTTGGAGGTGACATCGGTGATGGGGCTGTTGCTGGGGGGAGAACGGATGTAGCCGCTCTCGCTGTTACCTTCACCCTGGTCGACATCATTGATCCAGACGGCATGGACGGTGGTGTGGGCGCTGACGAGCTTAGCAGCCGCTGCCAGAGCGAGCATACCAAAAGTAGAGGACTTCATTTTGATAAAGAGTGTAAGGCGTCGACTTGGACGGTAAAGAACGAATGTAAAAAGTGAATGAAAGTAGGAAAACAAAAAGCAGAAAGGAATGTTTGGCTATCCAGGCTTGAGGAATGAAAGAGACCTACCGAGGGTCCAGATGAGAGGCCTTTTATACACAAATCGATGACGGCTTCCAGCCAGCTACCTTCATGGTTCTCGTAGATTAAACGGTTCGGGATGGGGCAGTGTGAGATGAGCGAAGCCCTGCCAAGAAGCGTCAACCGATGATGCCAAGAATGAGACGTTTCAGCTAAATTTCATATCACCACTAGCCTAGGGCTCTACTTCATTTATCCGACTTGGCAATCATGGCTTATTGGCTTCTGGACTGAATTACAGTTGGAGGGATCAACTCCGGTAGGGACCGTGAGATGCCCTAACCTGATTCAAATTCCCGGCACGAATCATGGGCAGTCGAAACGCATAGACCACCTCCCCTGCGAATGGAGTGCGATTGGGTTTTTGGCTTCTAGTGCTGCACCGGTGGCCTTGGCAGAGGTTTTACATATTGCATTGTTTCACTCGATATTGATAGTTCCTATGGTTCACTTTCGTACCTTAATGAACTAATCTCCCGAGTGCCGGTTATTCCCCCTTCGGAAATAACATTCCTGGCACTACTACACACACTGTTGTAAAGTCTCCACGAAGTAGTTGAGAGTCTTGAAGAGAGGTCCTAGCTGCTAGAAGGCTATGGTATCTGACGCTCGAGACCTATACCAGTAGGAATGCCACAGAGGTAGTTGCGTCAACGATCGGCATGGCGAATCCGCCTCCTGTGACAAGTTAATGCAGGAACAGAGACAAAGAGACGGGATGATAAAATAGAGTGGACACGAAGGGGAGTGATGTGCATGTTAGCCGCCAGGAACCATGATTGCGCTGCGATTGATAGATTATCATCGGGAGCTCTGGAATTTTCAAGAGGTTCAAATTACTTCGGATCCGTTCCGACCGATATCAGGGTCCATTTTAATTCTCCACTTCGGCGGCGCATCGGCCATTCCTAAAAGAGATATGCTCCGACGCCACTCTTAGCTTGCGTTTCAAAGTACTACTCATAGTCTCATACAAGGGTCGGATAAATATCAAGCAATTGCCCGCTGCATTTACCCCACCAATCAGAGGCACGCACATGGGCTACAGAATATACGGAGCATTCGGTCCTGATCTACCCCGTGGCCAAACGGGTGCCTGGGAGTCCCTTCTTTGACCCTGCAGTATGATCCATCAGGTTTCAAGTGGTGGACCAGATGCCACATGGCGTCAGGGCATACGAGCTCCCTTTTCCCTCGTCTAGATACTCTACCAACTTACGGGAACTCTGGGGCGAGTCACCCTCTTGCTAGGGTCCCTGGGCGTGTAAAATGATCAGTAAAGCACCACTAACGGCTATCCAATCATATCCTAGACGGGTTGACATTTTTACTCGGCCTAGGATGCTCCGGCCAGCATCTAGACTTTGTCTTGGGCGGTGTGGCAATATTCCTCGTCATGTAGTTAATATAGACAATAATTTAGCCGGAAATTATTTACAGGGTTGGCCACACGCACTAGGCTTGGGGGCTGAGCGAACTTCTAGCTAAATCCCCGAGCACACAGCAGCCAAGTGGCTGCGAAAGGTACATATTGATTAAGGGGAATAACTCTCCTTGAGTCGTGCTCCATGTGAGTATCAATAGTCTGGAGTAAGAATAGACCCTGCTACTAGACCGAGGTACAGATTGAAATAAGACCTCCCAGAGTCCCAGACTACATCCAGAATAGCAAATAGATACGAGCGAACTAGAGCTACCCCATAGACTATTGAAAATCGTCTTGAATATACGTTATTTTTAGTGCGAAGGTCGAGTCGGCTACGACCGGAATCATGCCACAACATCTCAGCTAAGGGCTTAGAAAGCAGCTGCAAACCAATAATCCCTTAGCTGCCTACCAAATGAAGCCATTCTAGACACAATCGATCTATTTAGCGCACCGAAAAATATTCCCGACGTGGGCCGGACCAGTGAGAACGGAATCTGCGTTAACTGGGACTACTTTGTAATAACAGGCAGACCCAGTGGAACTTGACGGAGACCAAATAGCAATAAACACTAGACTCCCCATATCGTGTGGTTCTAGCGTGCATAGAATATTCCATCTACTAGTTCAACTCGTGTTTATTGCCGGGACAATCTCCATCCAACCACCCCTGAAGATATCAACGACGATCTTACCAGCAACTGACCAGGACATCCTGGAATTCACCCTTTCGAAGAGCAGTGTACACCTTGCTAATTTGTGTACCAATACACTCCTTTTTGCGACGTTCCACCGAATCATAAGTAGGATGGTCGGCGATTCCTCGGTGCATTGGCACGGCAAGTTTTTCCCGGACAAAGACGTAGAAATTCCGTGAGGAACTGCAAAGATATGACTTCGTTGTCTGGCTTGTGAGAAAGGTCTCCCGCGTGGTCGCATAGCTCTGGTGTAACACATTGCATACTCGGGTCTGCCAATGCTGGACTGTTTGGGCGTCGGTCAGGTTAGAATTTGCGGAATTACACTCGGCTGCGAAGGAGCTCAGCAGGACTCCAACGGAGTAGCTCGCAGCTAACCGGCCTCGCTCCGGGAGATTGCTCGTGCTCGTGCTTGACCAGTGGTTCATTAATTCTCCCCAGAGTTCGTTCTGCACTGCCGGTAAGCGAGCACCAAATGCAGGCGAGTAAAGCTCAGCTGTGATGTCGTCCACTTGACATCGTGCGTCTTTCACAAATTCCAAATGAAGCGACCGCAAATCTAGTGCCTGGCAAAGCACGTACAAGTATGTGGCGGCCATCAGCGACAGAACTTCCACTGCATCCGCAGCATAGCGACAAGCAATGAAGGCTAACGAGTTGAGACCTTGATTGTGCATCTCCGCTGATTGAACATGGTTACTGACGGGGTGATTCAGATACGCTAGCTCAGACATGTACGACGCCATATTGATGTCCACCCCCTTGAACGCAAACGATAAACTGGGGTCATCGACACTGAGGTTGGGAGGAAGACCCCGGCTCAAGGTTGGATTGATAATCTCGGAACACTGGGAGAAGATCATCCTGCCCAACATCTGCATCGCACCCATGGTCTTCTCCATGGCGGACGTGACCGACGCTGCCTGGAAGTTGCCTCCGTGATGGATCTGGGCCTCCTCCGGATCCAGAAGCGGGTTGTCTGTTGTGGAGTTGAGCTCATATACCACCTGTTTCAGGGACAATGCCATGTTCTCAATCTGGGGTCCGATCCATTGGGTTGACGTTCGCAGGGCGTACCGATCCTGTGCCAGCCCCCCATGGTTGGCGGTCTCACTTCCTTCAGTCGGGCTCTTTGCCAACTTAGAATCGGCCAACATCTTGAAGATATTGGCTGCCGCTTCCCGTTGACCATCATGAGGTCGGGCATCTGCTATGAAAGGATGGTAGTTGTATCTGGTGCCAAGTAAAGCTTCGGTGCCCATGGCTGTGAGTACTTGGGAAAGTAGAACAAGCTGATTCGCTTCGAATAGGACGAGACTAGCTGCTCCACCACTAAAAGCCGTGCCGTTTAGGAGACCAAGGCCCTCCTTGGGACCGAAGTCCAATGGCACGAGTCCTGCCTCTTTCAATGCTTCATCCGCAGGTATGATCTGATCGTCAGCGGCATTGTGCACAGATATATCTGGATTGCCCTCCAAAGCACCCGCGATGTAGGCCAGCGGGGTGAGGTCTCCGGAAGCCGATATGCTGCCGCGCAGTGGTACGACCGGGGTCAGCCCATGAGCAAGTAGAGTGAGGATATGCTCGACAACCTGGACTCGAACGGCTGAATGGCCCCGTAGGAGCGAATTACAACGCGTGAGCATGGCTGCTCGAACTATCGGAACTGGCATGCAATGACTTCCCAAGTGCTGTAAGCTAGATACAGAACTTCCAAGGCCGCGATCGCTTGGGAGTAGTACCGCTGCATTGTGATGCTGAATCAACGCCTTTTGTAGTGTCGCATAGTCCTGGGTTCGTGTATCTGCGCTTCCTCCAAATCCAGTGTTGACACCGTAGATGACTTCGCCCTGCGCCAGTTTTTGTCTAAGCAGATGTACACTGTGGTGCATTCGACTCAATACATCCTTGTCGTCCGTGGTCGACGCAGCAAGTCCATTACTAATGAATGGGTGATTAGCAGCATTTGAAGTTCAGGGAAGCGGACGTATCTTACTGAGCAACGGCAAAAACAGAGCTAAGATCCAAAGACTGTCCATCGAGAACCACCCGCTTTCCCTCATCGGTCAACTCACGTAGCTGACGACAGGAGGATAAAACAGATGTAGTGTATGACTGCTTCTTGCCATGACGAATAGAATTTGTTCGCAGAGAGATACTACCTACCGTCGGCGTCGAAGGATCTCCCATTTTGCTCGAAGTCGTAGCAACGTATGATTACACGGGATATTCTTTCGTCAGATAGAGCAATGAGCAAGTCGAGTCTGTGTGAAACTCCTCAAGAATCAAAGAAGGCCCCAACTGAATAACCTAGCGGTGAATCAAAAGCTTTCCTTGCGGGGTTCTGTCGATCAGGGCTGGAGAAGATGCTTAGCTCCATGCACATAACATGGGATGCAGTTAGCTTGGAAGAACAAAAAGCGCCAAGTACCAGTGAATATGAATAGATAACCCTGCAGGCTTAGGTGGTTCCAACAGGAGATATATGTGTACTCGATAGCTGGACAAACAAAAGCTGCACTCCGTACATTGAGTTCGATTCATTCGTTTCCAAAAAAAAAAAGCCTTCCTTTGTATGGGAGTAGAATCCCTGTCGACAGTCAAGCCACATTATGACAAAGTGCTCACTCACCCCTGCGTGAATATACTTCTGGCGAGCTTCATTCTCCAACACCCACACTCCAATCTAGAACTAGCCTCCCATTCGATAAAGATTGCTCGTGGCGTCCTCGATCAGTCTCACTGAACAAAATATCAATGATTTCAGCTCGTCAGCTGGCCTTTACGTGCGACCATGTGTTGGAAAATCCCCCTTGCGTCTATGTGGCTTGGCGAGAACCGAGCTCAACGAAGACATGCACAGGTCGATTTTTCCTATGTGACTAGTGTTGTGTTCTAGCTGAAGTGCCCTGTCCACGAACCAAGGATTGCGAGTATTTCTATTGTCGACGAGCCTAAGAACTCAGGGTCTCGAACTTTTTTAGCCTGGAGTTGGGCGTAGGGCTTAGTCTGCAGTATTGGTCGACAGACGGGAATACCCTGGGCCTTTGAACGACCCTAAATATATCAACCTATAATAGCAGCCGAGTAGACAAAGAAAGTATGACCCAAAAGTTCACAGCGACGGAAATCTGTGATGTCTCGCAGCTAGGAATTAATCGAGCAGGATAATTATTCCAGTCAGGGTTGGAACTTGGCGCGCCTGGTCATCAAGCCTCAGGCACCAATGCAAAACAACGCCCAACCGTCAACATTAAACAAATCATAGACCTGACCGATCATGCAGCATGCCACGTATGAACCTGTTTGAAATGTAACTTTTAGTCATTGAAACCCTGTATGACTGATCCAAGATGACATAATGAGGCATCAACCCCGCATTTCACCAGAGAGATAAATAATGCCCTATCTTATCTCTTCCCCTCACTCTGGAATCTGGAGATATCAAGATAACCCCTTCTACCACCCTTCAGAACTTAACTCACTTACTTCACCTCACCATGACCATAGATACAGAAATCAAGTACATCCTCAGTCTCCAGGCTGTCCGTGAACGCGCTCACCGTGTGTTCCAACTTGCCGAGGCCAACCAAATCAACCATTTCGAGTATCATGAGGACCGCTTCGACGCCGCAGTTCAATACGTAGCAAACATCATCAAGGTATGCTACCTCGGGTACTTTCATGGGAACCATGTATTCTCAATCTGACATCCTCTAGCGGGACTTTGGTCCGGACAAATATCATCTGATACCCCCTCACGGCCGGTGGCAGCACTTCGAAGTCGGTGGGACAGCCCGTATAAAAGACCTTCTTGCACGATGGGAAGCGGCTGGGTACGACAAGGATGAACAAGCTCGGAGCCTAGTTGATCTGTTCTTCGTCTCGGTTTTGCTTGATGCTGGTGCAGGGGATAAATGGCGTTTTACCGAGCCGGGCAGTAATACTGCCATTGGCCGGAGCGAGGGCATCGCGGTTGCGACATTGCATATGTTCAACGATGGCGAGTTTGCTCTTCCAGGGAGTGGGAGAAAAGATGTTGTTCTAGGTCCGTCACCCTACCCCTCTTTAAGTCACCTTCCCTTGATTTCCCGCTAAGAAAAATAGGCGCCTCCCTCAAGGACTTCTCTGAGGCAACCTTATCTCGGGGCTTCCAAATCAACGACAATAACCCGTTCGTCGGTGTTCCTGCAAGAGTCGAACTGATCAAATCTCTCGGTCGCTCATTGCTCAACCTCCCTGAGATTTTCGGCGACACCGGTCGACCTGGGAACCTTGTCGGTAAGCCATTCATCCTTTTCCACTCCACGATCAGCAGCCACTTACCCTGATCAAAAGACTATCTCAAATCTCGCGCCGATGAGTCCAACCGTCTCGATTTCGAAGTATTATGGGAGACCCTGCAGAGCGTCCTCCTACCCATCTGGCCATCCTCTCGAACGCAGATAGACGGCCACCCCGTTGGCGACGCCTGGCCTCTAAAGGTCTTGGCAGACGACTCCCAGAAGGCTGGTCGCCAGTCAAAGTGCTCACACATCCAGCCCTTCCACAAACTCACGCAATGGCTAGCATATTCGCTCATGGTACCATTTGAGCGCCTTCTCGGGGTGGAATGGAAAAACGCGGAGATTGCCACAGGACTTCCCGAATACCGAAACGGAGGTTTGTTCGTTGATTTAGGTGTGCTCACTTTAAAGAGCGAGAGTCTGCAGCGTGGATTGGCGAATTCAGGTAGCGCGTTGCCTGCGTTTGAGGCGACGAGCGATGAGATTGTTGAATGGCGCGCTCTTACCGTGGCACTGCTGGATAAGCTGCATGTTGCGCTGGGGGGCACCGAGCTGGGGAAGGAGAAGTTGAGTCTTGCTCAGGTGTTGGAGTCGGGATCGTGGAAGGCTGGGAGGGAGTTGGCGGCGGAGAACCGGCCGGAGACTAAGTCTAGTCCAATCTTGATTTTGGGCGATGGGACGCTGTTCTAGGGCAGTGGTTATTTAGGGGTCTTGGTAGGTTTGCAAGTCACTGGATCGTTGCAAGTGAGTACTTGGGCTATCTAGAGTAGATACACAACCATCTATGCATTATTTATATATAACCTAGAGTTTCAGGTCTACGTGTGGGCTATTGAAGGCAATTCATGACACGGCCGGTCGAATATAGATCAGGAATAATCGATATATATTTGAGCAGTTCATCATAGTACGAATCAACGAGACCAGGTACACAACCGACATTGCTAAGGTCCCATTCATGTTCCCAGCAGACTTAGATTTTCTTGGAAATGATAAACCACTGGAACTCGGATACTACGTCTGCCGTCCTCCATCAATCAACATCCACTCAACCATGTCAAAAACCCTACAGTCGCAACAGCAGATCGCCATGCCCACAATCGGCCTGAGAACTCCACTTACACCACAGAAACTCTTACGCGAGGGCAAGTTTGCCGGACTACACCTGAAAGGCAATCTACGGACATGATCCACCTCTCGTATAATGATGGAAAGGTCGGATGCACGCTGATAAACAGCAAGGTCTAGAACACACCGACCCGACTGATGAGGTGAGCCCAAGTAGACTAAGCGAACAGGCCCAGGAGCACATTCCAGAATACGGATCAGGGTCATATGACATATAGAACATATGCAAACCACGGTCGTGTCCTGATACGAGAGTTTCCTGGACCGGCCCGGCGATGATGTTAGATGATATCGAAGCCGGTGATGTTGGTTTATTGATGCACAACTGACTTAGCTTATGCATTACTATGCTTGGGTGCCTGATGTAGAACACTGGACAGGATTCTACGTAGCTAGATCGATGCAGCCACGGAGTGATTGCTTCTTACGGGGCTTAGGAGGGTTACGAGTAATCGTCGATTCTCGTGGAAGCCCGATTGATATATCTAGAGGATATTGAGGGAGGTCGCTTCAACGTGAAGGACGGAAGAAAGGTCCATTATAATGTTCTAAGAGATTCTTCATGGAACTTTCGATGGAACGGCAACTGAGCCGATCGTTGGGGTCCGGTACTGACCCCCATGCCCTTGATAGGTGATTCGGAGTAGGATAAGAATTTTATACGAGGCATAATTCTACGGAGGACTCTCCTCCTAAGCTCTCTCGAGCAAGAAAATGTTTAGTCACAAGGTTCCAGTTGTGTCCTAACGCCCGAAACATCCCGATTCTGGACGTTATGATCGACCTCTCCAACGATCCACAGTAAAGTGAAACAGATTTTGAACGCACAAAGGTGTCAGGAGAGAGCCTGCAAAAAAATCTTCTTTGTGATGACGTCGCACCGGGGTTGTGTGACAAGTATCCAGTTGTCCTACTGGTATTCCAGATCTCATGAGCAGGCCGCTCAATGCCAGTAAGAACTTGGAAAAGGAGATCTAAAAAGCCTTAATTAGCCAATGGGCTTCACGGGATGTACAGGGCTTATGGATTTTCTTCGGGACCGGAAAAAGAACTGTTGAATGTTCGGTCGGTACTCCGTATAGTTGGCTAATGCCGAGGCTCTTACCTAAACCGTATAGGAAAGTGCGAACGTCTAAAGTTTGAGATGTGGGTCCGTACCAAGCCTTGGGAGGATTTTTTAAAGTGTGGGTAACTCTCAATATGATAATTCTGTAGACCGCCCGAGGGCATCCTTCGAGAGAGAAATCTTCGAAGATACATTGGACCCCCATGGTGCCTGTCTTGAATAGATATGGACGGGGAGGTAGAAGATATATCATACTGTAGCGTCACTTCACTCTGCATTGAGTGATCGGAAGCGCCGATAGAGTGTGAGCAGCGGTGAGAATTTTCGGTTTGATTTCCCCGAAGAAGACCCGAAGACCCATCTCGACCCCGATCGAATAGCGTGGGATTGTGAGGCCCATGGGGTGGCAACTGACCGAGTCGGGCCGGGGGGAAATGCAGCTCAGTATGGAGTTAGGGCAGCGTTTGCCCTGCCTCGGGATGCCGAACTGGAGACGGCGTGGGGGTTGACCTCATTCATTCCGGTGATCTCGGCCGGATTCCGATCACAGAAACTGGATCTGGTATTTGCCTCTGTTCCTGTTCCTGACCATCATAGGGGACAATACGATGATTTGCGAAGAAATGTTCACCTCGAGCCGTGGAAAAGTTCAGCAGAATTCGAATAGATCTCTGGTTATGTATTGTTTGACTCTTCGATAGGCCAAAGATATCTTGGATGAGTAATGAGGGTTTTCCCCGAAGTTTTATACACTTTCCCAAAAGGGAATCCTCTTCGACCCACTAGGGGAAGTTCCTGACTTCGTCTTCCCCCAACACTGAACGGAGACAGCGGCCCCCGTGGAGAACGGAGAACGACAAACTTTGACTGCTCAAGTGATGCGGTTTGTGGACTGCTTCGCTGGCCACCGCGTGATTTTCTGCCTGTCTCGTCGTGTTATGACGCAGGGTGCACTAGAGTCGTAAGTTGGATTCATCCATGGTCAATCTATTATAATACTGCCTGTTCCTCTCACCCCGGTCCTCTTCTCCTCCCCCTTCTCACTACTCCAACCCACTCCCCCTTCCACCTTTAATCACCACTAATATGGAGAACGAGAAGACCTACACCGAGAAGCCCCAACCGGGTCTCTCGTCCCACACAGAGGATGCCGCCTCCAGTTCACAACACATCCCGACCACAGGCAAGACAGGCCTTGTGGTCGGCGGCAAGTACGCCCAGTCCTTATCAGACAGCTCCTCCCTATCATCAAATGAACAAAACATCACAACCTTTGACTTCGACCTCCCCCTGACCGCCACACAAGCCACCGTCCACGATGGAAAGGAGCGTATCCTCATCGACTTCGTCGACGGCGACAAGGAGAACCCCTTCAACTGGGACCCTCGTTACAAAGCCTTCATCTCTCTGCTCCTCTGTCTCATGACCCTCTTCATCGGTCTCGCAACAACCGCCTACAGCTCCGGTATCGACCGCATGACAAAAGACCTCGGCGTGTCCACCATCCTAGGCCAACTGGGCCTCTTCACCTTCAACTTCACCTGTGCTCTGGCCCCTCTCTTCCTCGCCCCCTTCTGTGAGCTGGCCGGCCGCCGTGTCATCTACGTTGGTGCCTACATCTGCTTCGGCCTGATGTTCATCGGCCTCGCCCTAGGCAAGAACATCGCCACCATCCTCGTTTGCCGTGCCCTTCTCGGCCTCTTCGGTTGCGTCGGCACCATCCTCGTCGGCGGCACCTTCGGCGACATGTACCGCCCCGAAGAGCGCGCCATCCCCATGGCCAGCTTCTCCTACATCGCCATTCTCGGCACCGTCGGCGCCCCCATCTACGCCGGCTTCATCGACCAAGCCCTCGGCTGGCGCTGGGTCGAAGGCATCCAGGGCCTAGCCAACATCCCCCTCGGCATCGTCTGCTTCTTCTGCCTCCGTGAAACCCGCGGCAGCGTCGCACTCGGCAAACGCGCAGACCTCATCCGCAAGCAAACCGGCGATGACCGCTACGTCGCCGCCACCGACCTCGAAGCCCCGGACATCAAAACCATGTTGTACAACTCCTCCGTGAAGGCCGGCAAGATGCTCATCACCGAACCCGTCGTCTTCGCCTTCGGTCTCTGGATCGCCTTCGCCTGGTTCCTGGCCTTCCTCTTCCTCTCCGTCATCCCCATCACCTTCCAGGAGAAAAAGGGCTGGGGCGAGGGCGTCTCCGGCCTCCCCTACATCTCCCTCTGTCTGGGAACCACCATTGGGTTCGCCCTAAACTTCCTCCAAATTAGGAAATATAACTCCATTGTCGCCCAGAATGGTGTCGCCGCCCCGGAGGCCCGACTCTACGGTGCCCTGTTTGGTGCGGTCTGGCTGCCCGTCGGTCTCTTTATCTACAGTTTCACCCAATACGCTTTCCTGCACTGGATTGGACCCTTCATTGCCCTGGTGCTTATTACAATCGGTATCTTCTTCATCTTCGAGTCCTGTTACTCTTTTACTTCCGATTGCTATGGTGAATCGTCTTCCTCTGCTATCGCGGGTCAGGGTTTCATGAGAAATACCTTGGGTGCTGTGTCGCCGCTTTTCGCGTCCCAGTTTTTCCATAACGTGGGCAGTCAGTACGCGGGCTTGATTCTGGCTTTGATTGCTACCTTTTTGACGTTTATTCCGTATATTTTGTTTTGGTGGGGGCCTGCCCTGCGGAAGAGGTCGAGGTTGGCTTCGACCAATACTGGGTTTTAAGAAAAAAAGAAAGAAAAAAAAAGAAAAATAGTGAGCTGTGCTCGCTATTGAGGATTGGGGGTGTTAGATGCTTGTTGTGGATGATTTATGTAGATATGTTGATGTGATTGTAGATACATCATTGGATATGATTATGATTGTACAATAATAGTCATCTTACTCGGAACAAATATATATTCTGGATGATTGACATCTTGGTCTTTGTAGATTTTGTTTATTCTGTACCCTGACTTGTATTTCTGGGGATTGCTCTGTATGTGTTCTACGATACTCCTGACATTATACAAATTGATTGTGGAGGACCGGTGAGCATTTTCGGTATGGAGAGAGAGAGTTTATGTATCAAAATGGAAGTTCAGAGACTGATCTTGTAAGACAACTGGACGACAGAAGCCATTCAACAGTCACCCGCTCATCAGAAGGCAAAACTATATAACACCGAACGCTATGAGGCACGTCCAAAACGAAGGTATAGGGTATATAACTGCTTAAGCCACAAAGTCTCTACCGGGCACCCACGCCACCCATGCCAGCTTGCAGAACCAGAACGTCACCAACGATGCGGTTCTCTGTGCGAACCATGGCTTGTGCGACCGCTCCAAGAACCCGACTGGCTTCGACGCCGACCTCTTCCTGCGAGGATGCCGGGGATTCGCTGAGGTCCACCCGGTTGTTGCGTCGTCCCACCACGACGATGTTGCCGGCTTTCTGCGGAACCTTACCCATCTCTTCTTTGACAGCCGTAACCGCGACACCCACGGCGTCGGTCCTGTCTTTTTGCGGGCTGATTCGGGTGAAGACGATCCGGGTGGTCAGCTCTTCGGAAAGGGAGTCCTTCATGGCGCTGAAAAAGATTGAATCTGATTCGGATCCCTGAACGGTTGTTGAGACTTGACTGGACGACTTGGCCTTCTTGGTGCTACTTGGCGAACTCTGCGGCACCTCCGGGGCTTGCGGCGGAGACGGCGCTACATCGATGTGGATAATCGTGGCGGTGACCTGGTCATTTTGGGCAAGTTGCATCACAAAGCGCAGCGCAAATCGATCATCGTCTCCCCCAAAGAAAGGCAACACGATATGGTGAGACCGTGCGGCTGCTGGTGGCGCGCTGTTCCACACGGAGCTGCGAATACTCATGACGCTAAACGATCGTTTCGCAAAAAGACCTTTACGAGTACGACGACTATAGATGCTCCGTTCGATAAGAATCCCGACGCTGGATGACGATTGGCGCATCACGTTGGATACAAAATCTGTGTACGGGCCATTAGAAAACCGGCTCGCTTCATCGATACCGAGCCCGCTTTGATGCTCGCTCATGGCACCCGTCTCACTCCACGGAATGAGAAGAAGGTCACTGGACTCCTCACGCGCCATGCCCACGACTGTATCTGCATACGAATGCTCTGGCACCACGGACACACCAGCCATGATCGACATATCATGCCACTGGCCGAATGCACGAAAGGTGTTGACCACCGGGTCCCACAGCGTATATTCCTCGATCTCCGATACTTTCATGACGCTAGAATCACGATCCGTTAATTCCATCAGCCGAACCCCATGTACTTGGAGCGCAGGAGCGTCTTCGACTTCCGTCGGGGCAGCCTCTTCGGTCGCTGGTTCCGGAGATATGGTTTGGGACCGTCTCTTGTCGGGATGCATCTGGGGCAGAGGAGGCTGAGCAAGACGACTGGGGCCGAGGAGAGCAGCTAGTGTGCAAATGCTGGATAGACCGTCGAGTCGCAAATAAACCAGCAGCCTTCGAACGGTGGTCCCCTGAGCCTGTTGCTTACCCAGCGTTACGCTGTCGACACGCGCATCGGATTGTATGGGGTTTCCGTTCCAATCGATCTCACCGCGGCGCCAGCGGTCCACCTTAATCTGGTACCACTTCGGATACAAGATCGTGGTCAACGGGGTTGTGACGAACGTGGTAACTAGCGCCATGACCACGAACATGGTGAAGGTACGAGTGCTCAGGATATTGGCTTGTAGACCTATATTCTAAATCGCGTTAGCAGACGGTGGGCGGAGGAAGTCCCAAGGAGCAGTGAATACCAAAACAATTAATTCGACGAGACCTTTACAACTCATCAGCACGCCGATGGATAAGCTTTCTCGCCAGAGGAGGCCGCAAAGTCTCGCGGCGAGTGCGCCACCAACGATCTTGGCAATCAGTGCGATCGCGATCACGGCGACCACGTATCCCCATACAATCCCGGTATCAAGCAGTCCCAGGTTGGTTTGGAGACCAGACAGGGTAAAATACAGAGGCAGAAAAAGGGCAGCGACCAGGTCTTCGATCTTCTCCGTTAGTTTGATGGCGAACCCACCCTCGTGAGGGCAGAGAAGACCAATGAGGAATCCACCGAAGATTGCGTGGACGCCAATCACTTGGGTGAAGAAGGAGGAGGCTAAAGCGATTAGAAGAGTGACGGCTACCACCGATTGACTAGGGCCTTTCTGGAGACTCCCCGTCTTCTGGAGGAAACGCAAAAATAACGGTCGGAAGAGAAGAAACAAAAACAGAACGTATCCGACACAGACCAGCAGAACCCAAAGAGCAGTGAGACCAGATCCTGCATTCACCAGGGCGACACAGAGGGCCAGAAGAATCCAGCCAACCACGTCGTTGCCGACACCCGCCGACAGCACGATCACACCAACATTTGTGCCCAGCAGTTTCAACTCAGTTAGGATTCGACATAGAACCGGGAATGCCTGGGATGATCAGTGAGCGCGACCTCGAGAAGAGCCGCTGTAACTTACGGTGATCGCCATGGCGATACCAATGAAGAGCAGAAAGGTACCGAAATTGATCTTGACGGTACCGGGCTCATCGCTGAAGGTATTGTACAGACCATACGAGATGGCGCATCCAAAGCCGAACGGCAGGATCATTCCCGCGGCCGACACGCTGGCCGCCACACGCCAGTTACTGAACAGAAAGCGGAGGTCGGTTTCTAGGCCGACAAGGAACAAAAACAAGATGAGACCGAGGTTTGCCACAAGGTTCAAATTGGGAATCGAAGCATCCGGAAAAATGGCTTCTGTAAAGCCTGGGATGCGACCCATGACTGAGGGACCCAAGATGACACCGCCGATCACCTCAGCAATGACACGAGGTTGACGAATTTTGGACAGCGGCCAGTGCAGCGCTCGGCACAAGATGATGATAATGCTGGCCTAATGATGGGTTGGCATCGCAGTACAGGATTTAAGGCCCTTCAGAGTCGCCTCACCTGGATGATGAATATGACAATGGGGTTCTTTTTGTCATATTGAGACGGATTCCCACCTTCCAAGATGCCGCCTTGAGGGGCTATGCGAGTCGTATTATCGGCCATGGTGGAGAGCGATGGCACCGGACTGCCAGCCGTTGATCTCTCTCGCGGCTTGGAGGACAACAACAACAATCAATCTGCAGGTGTTAGAGACAACCGAGTTAAGTTTGGTTTATGAAAAGAGATGAAGCGCCTAACGAGAAAACGACTCGAAGAAATGAGAGGGAGGACGAGAGTGTCGCAACAAACAAAGAACAGAGGCCGGGAATAATAAGCGTGACTGATTAGTACTGATAAGGGAAAAGCGATGCCAAGAATATCATCCACGTGGGTCATCGAAATCCGGGGGGGAATCTCTGTACTAGTCAGATGATGGCCAATACTTACTGACTACGAATGATCCTTTCCAAGATAATCCCGCCCGTAATCATCCAACTACACCATTGTTGGACACCTGAAGAATGAACGAGAGAAAGAAACACCTCGTCAGCAGCCACCGGTAAAAGCACAGACGACGAGACAAGACGACGGACATGTCATGAGTCTAGACCCAAACCGTTTTCGGGGAAAATCATCGGAGCGGGAGGCGGGGGAGTTTCTCGTCCAATCACATCTCTTGATGGACCGGGACCCAATCAATGGTTAGGGTTCAGGTCATGGCGTGCCTCAGGCGGGCTGGGGCTCCCTTGGTTACTATTATGTAGTGGAAAGTCAAGTCGGAGGTCAGGACAAGGACGACGGATCCACTATGGGCGCTCAGATCAAAGAGACTCAAACACGAAACCGTCCAAATATACTTTTCTAACTCGAGATCATGCGCCCTCACAAGGGTTGGCAAAACTCCTCATATGTCATCCAAGAGATGACAGTTCATATGCCGTGCGTGGACTCATGTTAATAAATGATAAAAGAACAAGAAGAAAAATCAACAAAAAGGGACTTTCGAGCGCCATGCAAAAGCGGTGTAGAGCAACATCCACGTCACGGGTAAAGATTCATGAGTGCAGGACAATCGACGCCGAATCCATCCCTCACGTCGCTCGCTAAGATACTGAGTTACCCAATCCTCTCTTTTCCTCTTCTTGGTCTTATTTTCTTTTCCTTTTCTTTTCACCTTCATTTCTCCTAGTTTATGTTTTAATCTGGGTGTGTTTTGACCCCTTTTGGCGACTATGATGTTATACATGCCAACATTCATCCGCAAACTCACATTCGTGTGAAAAAAGAACTCCATACAATGCTAACTAACGTCCCACCTAAGCGCTTGAAAACAGGGTAGTTTGAATCACTGATAGCATACTATGTGTTAAATATATTCGCCCTGTTTCATCACTATTTGGGTCGTACGCCGCTCGCGATAGAGCGGAGGAGGTGTGAGAGCCTGCGACCGTGGTAATGAAGTAACCTGAACTGGCAGTCGGAGAGATAGGTATGGGGTCAACAGACTAGCGCGTGGTGTGTGATAGGATATGCTCAGATCCAGCGCATAGCTCCGCGATATCAAGCATGAGTGGAAAGTGGGCACAAATGCTTTCGTTGAGGGGAGGGTGATTGGGACAATGATCGCAGCTGTGAAGTACGTACCCCTATCCTCTGTGACAGAGATGCTAGGAAATGGTTCGGCCGGAGTCGAGTCCAGCGAAGCGCTCTGGCCCGACATTCTGACAGCTGAATGCTTTGTCCACTTGGTTGATGAAAGGCATAGTGACAATAGGGAGACTGTCGTTGTGTAGTGGTGTCTTCCGAGGGAGTCGACGGAAGAGGGACTTGGAAAGTCGGTCCACGGAGTGATCGTATAGAACGTAGACACACTGAGCTTACTGCACAAGGAGCCCAGCTGTGGTGGTGGCTCATCTCCGATCGGGTCAAATCGCAGATGAACGGTAGCTATGGTACAGACGTTTGATGGGGATTGAGAACCAGGTGGACAAAGTTGAAGGGGGCTTGGCTGGGATGCTGCAGCCATAATGGAGCCTCGCTTTGTTCTTGTAATGCCTGTTTTAATGTCCTTCACGTTTTGCATGCAATAATCATCCCCGAAGTTGTTGACCACCAACGGTGGCTCTTCTTCCACCACCGGAATGATTCGCACTTTTTTCGCCACGACCCTCAATGTTTCCCTAGCATTTTTGTTGCCCAGAGGTCTTCTCATCAGGGAGGTTCGGATCCTATACGAGATCCGGCATAGTTCGGATGACATATCATCAAGCAAAGCGCGGCCGTCACTGGTGAGCATGGGATCTCCTAGACTCGGGGGTAGCAAAGTGTGAGCGCGTCTGACGTGGAGATTGCATGTGGCATGAGCACACGCAACAGAAGGAAGTCGCTCCGGGACAACGAAGATGAAGGGAAACCTGTATATGCGGCCAGGAACGAGCGTACACGGCGTCGGATATGCGGCATCCCCGATAGGTTGGCGAAGTTCCATGAAGGTATGACAGGCCGTTGCTTGACTCGGAAGGGCTATCACTTGTGATTGTTGTGTTTCTGAAAATCCTGTAACACCTTCGTTAACATCGTGGGCTGAGAAATGGTCTCCGGCTTGTTAAGTCTGAAGATAGAAAATGAATGAAAGAATATGGAAAAAGATGAAAAGCATTGAACGAAGAAGGTAAGGACAAATTATATACGAGAGAGGCAGAGCAAAGTTACCTTCGAATCTAATATCCAACTCATCAACGCTTGTCTCGCAGTCAACACCAATGAAGACAGCCCCTTCAATTATATCCCCAGTTGTATAGGAATTTGGGCAGTGCTCTGTCTGTCCGGCGAGCTCAATGTGTACATCTGGACGAGTGTTCCACCCCAGGGATTGCAACGTAACGGTAGCGCGCGTCTGTACAGATGGAGTAGCCATATTATGCATTGATACGGCACCAAGAACGAAGTACTGGGGAGAGGTTTACATAGGTCAGATATAAAGGGATCACCGTACGGTCAAGGTTATGTGAACGATCAGGGATTCAAGGTTCACTGAGAGACATTCTCGTTGAAGAAATGATGCGGTTTTGACACCAAGCCACTAGCCCTGCACGTTCCATACGAAGGTTGAGGTAGTGATGAATTGGTAATGCCATTGACCAAAAATATATTGTTCATCTGTATCCGCGGAGCCAATTACGAGCAGGAATTGACCCTCCGATAATATGAACACCACATCCAAGCATCTTAAGCCACAAGAAAACTCTTTTTTGTCGAATTGGTAATCTATATTAGGCAGAATATCACCAGCGATTGTTACTGCATCGAGAAGTTCCTGGGAGGATCCATGATGAATAGTCATACATCCCGTTTAGGAAGTTGGGAGGAGTGGGGCGAAGGAGTGGCTGGAACGAGTTCGATAGGGTTCAAGATTCTACAATTTCTCTCCAGAACACCAGTGTCACAATCATAAGTCTACTAAATTTTGTAGCCAAAGCCCCCCTTTTCGACTTTGGCATGTACGGTAAAGCGACACCTTTCGTATGCACCCATTTATTGGTATGGACGGTATTTTCAGTTTCGGTGAGATTAACATAGACAAGTTAAACACAGAGAAGCTTACCATAGGTTCAAAGCAGAAGAAAGGCACTGAGTGCCTTAGCTTCTTGATCTCATCACCTTGGACTCATCATTAATTACTTGTAAGATTGATAGAAGTACGTTACCGGTCACGTGTATCGCGAGGCCCTTAGGAATTGTTGATTACTATCGCCTACCGAGACATAAATGTTGTATATGGTACAGTGCGGGGTTTAATAGTGGATATCTGGAGAGGGTTAGTAATAAGTGCTAGTAGCTACAGGTTTAGACCTAAGTATTTTCTCTTTTTCTCCCCTTTTTCTTTTTCTCCTCTCTCAACTCTCCACAACATTACGAATCCTTAAAGGGGGCTACAGGGCTTGGTTCAGTACTGTATAGAGTCGTGCAGGTACCAAGTATGTATTCAAGGCTATAAGCCAGTTTCAAACCGAAGATAATTATACATGATCAGTGACAACAGAAAAATGCTTGATTATATATAGGGAAAGGAAAGACAGTGTCACAAAGAGCTTCGTAAAGTCGTGGTGTGTAATCACAGTTGGAACATCAGCAGGATCGACTATCTTCAGGTCTAGTTGATAGACATGCAAGCGCTAGAAACTTTTGGAACAACATAAGCATGACGTTTAATGCTCTCAAGGATGGTTTGCAGTCGCTGTTGTAAATGCAGAGGTAGCGTCGGAGATAATGTTATGAGGAGGTCTTAGTTGAGGTAAGATTGAGAAATGTTTGTTGCTATCCAGCACGCCTCCAGTGGGTGTCAGCTGGCCAGTGCTTGGATGGATTGGCCGGATGACGACCACAGCAATCGGGTAAAGGTAAACTTTGTGGCAGGTTTGCGACGTTTGGTCGTGACAGATGGAGTCTTGTAATAGGCATTGGGTTGTCTCAATGACAAGTCATAGCTGCTCTCATTCTTGGAGCTCACACGCATCATTTGCGGCGCGGTATTGGCATTGTCGGACTCGGAGACTTGGCTGACCGCACGACGCCTGACCATTGCCCTGACAGCCCTTGTGATCTGCTCGCGAATTATAGGGCTGGGAGAGGGCTCGTAATCATCCTCAAGGATTTCATCCTCATCGTCGCTGTCTTCTAGCTTGAATGATGCCATGGCCTTTCGCATATCCTGTTGGGCAGCTTCAATTGACCGGCGGAGAAGTCGCCGGTGGCCTAAGCAACGACGCAGGTTGGGGTTCTTGGCTGCTGTTTCTCTTTCAAGCTTATCGCGCGATAACATGGCCATGCGACAGGAGAGGGGGGAGGCAGATCGACGAGCGATAGGGGGAATGCGGGTGTTTGTGCTTGTGCGAGACGCATGGCGTACAAAGAAGGCGGAGGGCCTGGTGAGCGTGTCGAGAGACCCTGACATACTGACACGTCGGTATGCACAGTATATACGAGGCTATCTCTGCTTTATGTCTTTGAGAGTGATGAAGGATGATATTTCCGTTTCCCCCCCGAAGTCTAGGGGTACAGCCAGGGGATTTATGGAAGAATGCGACGTTGCAAAAGTCAATGCAGGAATAAAGTTTTGATATCATACTCGCACTTCACGGTCCCATCCATGGCATTACTGAAGCGCTCCAGGCCATTGCCACCAATTATTTTCGGGCCCGAGAAATCGCCAACCGAGATAAGGGCTGGATTTAAGCCACGAAACTTAATTCTGACCTTCCTCAGTTGGCTTGACTTCCCCAGACTGGCTTGGGTTACAGCGCGACGGAGTTTACCGCTTGGCGTGGCGAACGGAACGTTGGTTGTGGTTGTCATCGACTTAGCCCTATTGATCCACTCACCGTTAGCACCCATGTTAACCAGTGGATACTTCTATCGTCCTTGACTTCATGTAGGTATCTCCATGCCTGTGTCAGTTGGCAGCTTCCTGTTGGGGAAATAGACAACCGCAGATAATCCCCAGCAGTGGGTTTTTCTCGATGTTGTCATTATTCGACCGCATCTTGACTTCTCCCCGATGTCTCCATGATTATGGGGCCCATTGACAAAATATTCTTGGCTATCCCCTTTTACTGGTCCTTGGTAGCTTCTTTTTGCCTTAATCGTCTATAACAATGACAATAGGTTTCTGTCTAGTGACAGAGAACATTGTGTGGAGGTTTATCACCATTCCCTCCTCGCCAAAAGCCCCACCCTGCCACTCAATCTTGGCATGAAGCTATTCGACAACTAGCCATGTAAGAACAGTAGTGTCCATTTACTGTTCGACCTACAGAAGATACAGTGGCTTATCTGTACCAAAGATGCGTTGCCATGAACAACGACCATAAAGGGACACTCCCCCATATAGAATGCATCTAACTAGCCAAGTCACGTGGTGGGGATCCTACGGTGTTATTCGTTATTCTCCTCAAGCAGGTTCGGATTCTGGACCTTGAACGACCGTGCATTCTATTGGGATCCGGGAGATCAAAATATGGGTCAGTGGAGCCTTGTGGATACGGCATTCACTTCCGAATTAAGAATGTCCCCATTATCTATAACAGACGAAGCTGTTCTTCAAATTTTGAAGAAAATCTTCGCTTATCTAGAACTGGGTTCACCGTCGACGGCCCGCTTCCTGGCTCGTTTCCTCCTGCTTATTATAGTCTAGACTACAGATTCAGCTTGCAAACGAGCTTGGCGAGCATGACTCAAATATGAATTAAATATTATCCATTATATTTTCTGAACTTAGGTCTATACCGTACGAATGGGTATCCTAGTACTTTTTTTTTCTCTCCCAAAACCTATTCCTCGAGCGTCATCGCCAGTCTCATCATCACATGTATTACTTTCACGTCGTGACCAGCATTATATCAGAACAGAAAGAAAAGAATCCACATCACAGCAACGGGGAGAAGCCCTGGCAGGACTAGTCGATTAGACGAGGAGTCCTGCTCTGACGACCCCGACGGCGAAGAAGGTTTTGGACCCGTCGAGGTGGCATTTCCCACCCATGCGTTCCAGTTGGTCATATTTTTAACGCAGTCTGACGTGATCGGATGGCCGTCAATCTCAGCTAGTAATTCATTATCTCGTGTTAAGGTCACGACGACAGCTCCGGTCTGGTTGTTGATCGGGATGCTGCCGTGGTAAATTCCCTTCCCTCCATCTGGCGTATCTGTCCAGCTCGCAGCCCGACTTTTGCCGTCGATAGTGACGGAGATGTCAGCGGAGGACTCCAGCAGGGCGGAAAAGAAAACCTTATCCTGGAGCACCTCCTGGGGCTCCATCGTCTGCTGCGCTTGGGTAACGGTATTTCCTGTGGTCTTACCCGAGGAACATGCCGACGCGGGATTAACTCGGTACCAACTGACAAGGCCCTCGTCTTCGATCTTAGCATCCTTGCCTCCGTTCTTGTAAAGATCGATAACATATGGCAGGAAGTTCCGCCACCCGTCATGGGGCATGTCCTTGGCATAGTCGAAGGGCGCCTGCCCGTAATCGAAGACAGCAAGGCCGCTCTGGTGTATCGGGCCAATGTAGTGCGACTCGCCATAGTCATTCCAGGTGAGGATTTCAACGTAGTCTGGTTCGATCTCGAGAACCTGCTGCCAGCGTGTGTACCAGAGGTCATCGCCCTGCCATACCCAATTCTTATGGAACCTAACCAGATTGGTGTAGAACCAGGGCGAGACAGGCATAATGTACGGTTTCCCCTTGAGAGCGTCCAGATATTCTTTGTCGGTTTCTGTGGTCATTGGGTCGGTACCATTCGGCCAAGCACTCCAGCTCATCAGACCGTCGACTTGCTCATAGGAGATGGCTTTTTCTGGACGCAGCCCGGACCATTCCGGAATAAAGAAACAATCTATCTTATCCTTGATGTTCTTCCAATCACCAACAGCTTGGTCCCCTTCAAAAGTGGAGACAAGGGGTTTATTGTCATCGGTTTTGAAGTAAGCGGGCAGCTTGGTGAAGTCTTTGAGGTAATTTATGACTTGGTCCTGCGGCCAGTGTCCATCTCCCGAGTAGTCCAAGGACAGAAATAATTTAAAGTCCAGTTCATCCGCAGCTGCGAATGCATCGGTCAACATTCGATGAATTGATAGGCCAAAACCGGTGTTGATCGCAAAAGCGTCGATATGTGCCTCCTTGGCCGCCGAAATGTCTTGTTCCCAGTTGGACTTGGTGTAGTTGTCACTATTCCCTAGCTGGGGGGTATTAGAACCGTGGCCTAGTGTTGAGAGGAACACCAGAAGCATACCATAAAGTGAGCAAATACAGCCTTGGCCTGCACCTGGCAGGCACTGGCTAACAAAACTACCAGAGAGAAAAGCTGCATTTTTCTGTATCTCCTGGATACACAATGCTGTCAGGAAAGCGAATCCCTGAACCGGAAGGCAATGGAGACATGAAAATGACTTGAAAAGCATGCTCCTCCGCCCATCTTTATATCCCTCTCTAGATGGTAAATATTCTTTTGGCAGGATATGATCTGTCTCCGATGTATCACAAACTAATCAACCAGCATCAATAGCGTTCGTGTGGATAGCTGTATACGAATATCAAAGTCTGAGATTTATGAGTATTCGCTGAGTGAGTTGTGTGATGGAGCGGTCAAGAACCAATATTCCACATGGTCTATTGTATATCAGCTGCAGTGTCGAAAACTATCCGAGCCAAATTCCCTAGAGGAAAGTTCTCTGGGGTCGTTGACGCAGGCGTTTGCGCATCAGCTCGGTGATCGTCGTCGAAATGGGAGTTCATGTACTCCATGGAATGTGCTACGAAGATCCGGAGGGTGACAGCCGCCCGTGCACGGCCGCCATTATTGATGTTGAAGGTTTATACTTACTGTTCTGGGAAGTAAACTATTGTTCCTAGTCCGGCACCATACGAGACGGATCTGATACATCACATAATGACGTCTTTTAGGGTTCACTAAATAAGCAAAACCAGATGCAAGAGTTATACAGGGCACGGCGATCTAGCCGATAATCCCACAGACCGATACGCACCAAGTCGAGCAAAGGATGCTTGCGATGGTTCGTCGGCTCTGCGTAAGCTCTCTTGCATTGAGAGAAAAAGCAAGCATTTTATCACTCGTGGCCCGTGACATAATGCTGTAGCTCTTAAGATTGTAATATGTCTCTAAACATATTAATTTAGCGATTAACGAGAGACAGACCATCGTAGAATCCAATCCCACTTTCAATCGAAACCAAGCCATGTCAATAAACGGGTATAAACGGAGATCTGAAATCCCTTGGCACCGCGCGACCAGTTCACATCGACAACTATTGTTTTGGGATAGCGACAATGACTTAGTGATGATTAATGCACCGCCACCAATAGAACTCTCTAGGCATCAAGTAAAAAGCCCATGCTTACGGCTTACCGACATTTGATGGAGGTCTATGACCGTGGACGCTAATGCGCTGTTGGATGTCAATTGACTTCACCAAATAGGTTAAGGTTCATGCGACATGCAATCTTCACACTATAGCTCTTGACGTGGACAAATCACGGGTCCATTGATTGGATCAATGCGTGCTGAGCATGCGAACGCTGGTCTCGACATATGTACTGGTCACATTATGCTGCGAATTTGTCAATCCGGTCCACTGAATTTGGAGGTTTAATTTAGACGAGCAAAATCAGACGAGCATGATATGTGGATATGTACTACAAAAAAGGAAACTATTTGTCTTCCTCCGTATTCCTGTCATGAATTCTCTCAAGAACGACGGATTTCCATGATCTCTTGACTCCGTGCTTACTGGCAGGTGATGTCCTAAACCCTAGGATTACTATGAACACTGGAGCATACACTTTCCAGATAACCCTATGCCTCATTGCAAAATGGACTGTACTTGTACTATACTTGCACTACATGCCAGCCTTAGTCCTTGCTTCATTATCACTTGACCAGCTTTGATGTTGTGCTTTTGATTGTCGCTTCCTACTTCTCCCTATGCCGGTTCTAGTCACGGGTTTAATTCCATGGTCTCTCGCATTTACTATTCTTCACTTCCTTCCGGGGTATGTGTGCTTATATTGGTTAATATGACTACTCCCGCATGTAATTACTGAAAATTAGAGCATTGAGGGCTTTCAGATACGAGATACTTTTGCAAAGCGCCCAACGGCACGAAGTAAAATCAACATACACTATGCGTCTTCCCAGTTCTACCCTGCAATGAGTGTTTTTCATTCTTGTAATGTGCATGTTGCTGCGGCAGTTTTCTGTCGCTGTGCGCCCTAAGATGCCTATTCTTGTTAGCCTATACTCCGCATTGGTCGGGTCGAGGACATACAGCGTGTATTTCTGGATCATCTCGGCATCCATCTCTTCTAGTGACTTCAATGCGGCTTTGATGTCCTCAAGGAGGATATTACACCGGTGCATGGTAAAGTCCTCTCGAAGGACAACACGCATCATCTTCAACTGGTTGCTATGTGGAGCCATTGTATATGCTGGAATGATCCATCCGCGTTGGCGAAGAACATGAGCCAAAGCAAATTCGTCATACAGTCGATCGTCATCAGGCTTCATTCTGAAAGCAACGAGTGGTAAGCCGCGACCGTTGCCATCGCTCATGATCAAGAATCCAAGTTTCTTTAGGTCATCTGCCAAGTAGTCCGATACTTTCGTAAGATTTTGCATGATAGATCGATATCCATGCTTGCCTAGTCGGATCAATTGGTAGTACTGGCCGATAACATGGGAGGCACCCTTTGAAAAGTTCAATGTAAACGTGGCCTGGTTGGAACCGAGATAATTAACGTTGAAGATGAGCTCTTCAGGTAGATACTCAGGAGAGCGCCAGAAGACCCAGCCGACGCCAGGGTAGACCTTTCCAATTAGCATAGACCTAGGATAGGCCGTAGTATCATGCAGAACCTACCAATCCATACTTATGTCCAGAGACATTAATCGACACTACTTTTTCCAGTCGGAAATCCCACTCCAGTTCTGGCCTTACGAACGGCGCCACAAAGCCGCCACTAGCTGCATCGACGTGGATCGGGCAGTCGATATTCTTCGCTTTGAGCAAGTCATTGATGCCTTTGACATCTTCATACTGTCCCGTATAGGTTGTGCCCATAATAGCGCAAATGCCGATCGTGTTCTCATCCACCATATCCACTGCAGTCTTCGGGTCTATCACATATCGTGTATCCGTGCAATAGACGTACTTCTCCTCCACGTCAAAGTATCTCGCTGCCTTTTCCCAACACACCTGCACCGCACTGTTCATGACGATATTCGGACGCGTCCAGTCTTTCCCCTCTGCCTTGCGCTTGTTCTGCCAGCGTTTCTTCATGGCCAGTGTCGCGAGCATAATCGCTTCCGATGATCCGATCGTGGACGTCCCGAGGCAATCCTGGTCACTGTTCCCTTCGGTGATCGGCGCATTCAACAAGTTCGCGATCATGTTAATGCAACGGTTCTGAATGTGCGCGGTTTGTGGGTATTCTTCGAAATCAATGAAGTTCTTGCTCATCGCCTCGGTCATAAGATTTTGCGCTTCATCTTCCTGTTGGAATTAGCGCATCTGAACAGTGACACACGCAGCCAACAACCTACCATATAAGTGGTAACAAAACTCGCGAGACTAAGCCACCATCAGACCAAGATACAAACATGAGGAGTCAAAGGAAGCGCACTTGAGCAGAGGGTTTCCATCCAAGCTCAATTCATCCTTAATCAACCGGAGAGCAACATCTGCGGGCATTTCCCGTTCAGACATGACATGCTCCGGAAGCTCTTCAGTGGCATAGTGTGTTCCATACACGTACGGGGTCGCCGCACCTTCACCTTGGTCTTGCTCGTGCTGAGGCTTTTGGGCCTGCTTGCCCCTTTTTACTCTGGATAGGTGGACCATGCTGGTGGTGATCGTCAATGCAGCTGACAGGATCTATGCAAGGGATGAGATGATCGGCCCGGTCGGATTATAAGGATTATTTTTTTTTCTCTGGGGATCAGCAGAAAGCTTGAGTCTACGGGAATAAATCATCAACATTCTTTTTAATTTATTTTCTCGTCGTTTTTGGTTGTACGAGATCATCGAGTTTACGTACACGATGACCTCACCACTCGTCATGGTGGCCTCGGCTCTTTAATAGATGCAACGCTGCGGGAATTCCTTGCCTACAGGAGAAATAGTAAATAATAGAACCTGTTCTGGCTAGCAAGTCTCCTGACGAAATTCTGCATGCTTTGTAGGTCTTTGGAGAACATGGTGTCTTTGGTGTTGATGTGGAACGGAGAATCTGGGTTCGCACAAGGATATTCTCACAAGGGATAGAGTATAAAGTCTATCGTTTTAGATCAAGTTCTTGACCATCAATGTGGCGGGGGATGCTGGACCACTGGCTCTCTACTTTTTATTTTGTTTTTCTCGCCTCGTTTGAAAAGGTCATTGGAGAATGAAGTCCCAACCGTGTCGACAAAAGACGTATATTGCACATTCGATTTCTATACTTAGCCACGAAGAAACGTTCTCTATCAAAATGAATCACTGCGTAATGACGATACCAAATTCATTCATTTATCTTGACAATCACGGACAGACAGGTGGCTGCGCTATATTTACTACAAGGCATAATGATCTGTAACAATGAACTGCAATGTCAACGAACGGACAAGTGAATCACAAGTAGGCAAAGGCTGAGCGTGGCAGATATCGTGGAATTCCCTATCCGCCTTCTAAGCCTGGAGCTTCAAATATGGGTACCCTGTCGTTGGTCTCAAGGACGTCTGGTACCATTCAGCTTACATGGAAAAATGGTTCTAACACTTAGCTAAAGCTCCAGAATTGCTATTACATTACGGAAGCTATTATGCTTCATTCTGCCTTGTATTCTCACAGCTTATCCACTCTTTCGAGCGCTCGGCGGGAGACCCAAGCCACGGAAGCGGAGGGGAAAAGCTGCGATGATGATCTTGAACGATATTCCAAAACGACCGGCGAGACATGCACCTTCCTACCTGCCTAGTCATGTTTATCTTAACAGGTAGCGCTGTGTCGCAGATGTTCTATGTTCTGATAAAGAGATACCACATTTTCATGACTTTATCCTTGCTGCAAGTACATGCTCAAAAAGCTTCCTTTTTGAACTAAGACCGACATTCTAGCGGTCGTCGGGATCCTAGTCCGGTCCATGTTTGCACTACGAGGTCGTCAAGAACTGGATCAATAACTGCAACTGCAATCAAGGCAGCAATGTCATTCAATCGAGTCACGCATCTAGAGTTGCTAAAAAGGACAGCGTATACGTCGGTATCCAGCCCTTGAAAGCACGTCGCACTGATTGAACAACTCGGGGATTGTGCTTAAGAATATGGAACTACACAGTTAATATGGCATAGAGTACGTTATTTATTACATATACCCACAAGTACGCCAGATTCATTCTTACGAGTCTACGTTTTAGATGGGAAAACAACTTATATGTAACCTAATAGCCAAACCATACGCCTTGTTAACACCCGAAGACCAAAGACAAATGCCCAAAACCTCCCAAAAGTTACAAATGCCACTCCATAATATCAACATTCAAGCCAGGAGGAACATTCACATTCTTTAAATCGTCAAGGTTGGCTTCGTCCGGTGCTTCCACCCTACTACAGTCAGTTCTGCGCCTAACCTCAATCACAAGGCACGTACGACATATAATGGATCGGAGGGGTAGTTAAATTAGAGTCGAATTCATCAGGGAACTGGAGATTCTTGTCGTGATAAATCTCCCGTAAACTGTTTATGGATATTAGCCTGTGAGGACGGGATAGAACCTCTTGACATTCGTACTGATCAGCAAGCTTTTTCCCGTCTCCGTAGTATATGTGGGCTAGCTCGTTGTCATAACTGACATCAAAGGTCTGCGGACTGGTTAATACCGGGAAATTGTAGATATTTCATGCTCGTATCTTACGAGATCTTTAACCATCTTGTCTTGGGTTATAATATGTCTTTCTTGAAGCAAATGCAGTAAGCTGGTGTGTTACACTCTCAACTCAAAACCAAGCAGCGGACTGCAGACTTTATAACTTTCCATGGACGGTTGTTCGATCTAGATTCCAGGAAATAGCTTTCTCGATAAGAGTTAGCTTTACTTCCAGCCGAAGCTTCTTTTACCATTGTCTATTGTTCTCATTCGTGCGGGTCGGTTGGTGAGGTCATATCTGACCTCATGCTCGACCTCAACCATGGATCACGTACCGAGAACAGCCATTCCTTGCCATTCTTCAAAGCTATCAATCAAAGCATGCTTGCTATTGACATAAATCTCCATGATTGGATAAATGCCCTTGCTGTCTCGGCCCTTCCCCGCTTTCCCGCTTGCTCCAAGATCTATATCCCGGGATCTTTATCATCTCCTTCACAAGCAAAACAAAACCTAGAAGAAGACACTGTATCAGTAGGTCGGTACTGTGTAAGCAGAAGACTTTTGGCGAAAAAGGGCCTAACGGTTTACTGATTTGGATATATTTTTTGCGATCACATAGACATGTCATAGATCCCTCGAAATGCCTAACCGGGATGCACGTAAAAGCATACTAGAAGTAGATGATTACATCAAATATTGTCCTGAATGGTCAGCTATAACGTCCTTCTACTTCCATCCTAGCCTCATCAGCAACCACGGTCGGTTCCTAAAAGTGGGACATACCTCTATCACACTCGCCGCAAACAACAATAGATTGGTGTCTTGCGGAAAAGCCCCAGTCCAAGGCTCATAAGCTGGAGCACTTCGTCGACTTCATAAAAAAGAGTTTTTGGAAGAATACATGGTACGTTTCCTACATTTGCCTATTTCAATGCATAGGCTGGGAGAAGTTTTACAGTACGCCCAGAAGATGCCATAAGATTCTACCCTTGACACTTCTCCCAGTCACCAAGTTAAGGTGGGTAGGTCATCGTATCATATCCAGCCAATTATAAGGAAGGATTTTATCCTATCCAGGCTCGATACCCAAGGCCAACCTGCTTTGGTGGACCCTAATTTGCGCTAGACAAATCCACTTCATTCACCTTGTTCTTCGTAGTTTATGAAGGCCATATTACGAGCCATAGAAGCCCCCTCCTTTTAGGAAGCTAAAATTGCATGGTTCTGATATGTATTACAACATACCTTGCATGATGAACACATAGCTATATTTCCGGTACTTCTGGGTTTGTGTAAGCATTTCATTATGCAGGGGAAAGCGCGCCAAGTAAGGCTTGTTTGTTGAAACACATCCGTGTGCTAAGCATGTTGCGTAATATTTAACTGGAGCTCGTGATATTGCACATGCTCCAGCGTCAATTTGAATCGTTTGTTGGATATAAAATTGTAGGCAATTGATAGTGTATGCTGCGTCAGGTACTGCAGTGTGCGAGTTGTCGAGGCGGGATGCGCTAATGTAAGAACATGGTATTAATTATCGCACAACAAATATAGTCATGGATAAATCTTCCCCCGTTGAGTACGTTCTCTGCCATATCTGCCTGGAAGATGTGAAATTATAATCAACGGGACTTCTCGTTTGAGTCTCTTGTTTGGGAGGAAACATGACAAAGCATCCAGCGGAGCCTATACGGATGACCCACATACCAGTAGCAGTAAGGAGATCTGCACGACCCAGTTTCAGCCAACCAGAACGGACGAAGAAAATAGTAAATGGGGCTATTTCGAGGCTCCATCAACAGGAAGATGGCTCGTATTTTCGATTCAACCAATCAATGTTGCCAAAGTCGGGATAACATTGCTTTTTTCCTGCAAATAGATGCTGATCACCAACCAAATCGTAGGCCCTAATGCAAACTGAAAATTTTAGTCTCCCAGCCTCACTCAGCCCAATCGCTGTGAAAACTGTCAGGATTTCTGTACCCCTTCGTAACTCTCTTTAACATTCTCAACCATGGACCCCGCCACGTTTGAGCCCTGGCGTGTCCCACTGGCGCAATGGGGCTTCGTCCAGCTGGTAACGGGGTTAACTGTGGCTCTAACGCCGTCCCAGTCTATCGTCCGGTCCATGGCCGCGGCGATCGTAATAGCGTTAGCATACTCGTTCCAATCTCGCGTCGCTGAATCCTTTGCCGACACGAGAGCGGGAGGGCCGTTGGCGGCCATGTGTTGGGTGAACGTACTGAACGCCATTGATATGCTGGTGTTGAGTCGGGTCTCCTACGAGGCACAGGTTGAGTGGGAAGTGAAGAGATCTGGCGATAGAGCTCCAAAGAAAGAGAGTTCCTACTCCCTAAAGTCGACTCTCGTCCGTCGAATTCTCTGGTCGCAAAACATCGCGTTCAATTATCGCCGCATCAACACGCCGTGGCAGATTTCGAGACTCCCCGTGTTCGATAGCACCAATCCGCGATATGTACCCTCCCGTTTAAAGTTTGTACTGGAGGGCAGTGTGAAAGTATGTATCGCGTTCTTATTGGTACATCTATGCACTATGGACCCGAACGACCCTCGCCTGGCTGGCGCTATGGCGGAGCTATCGGACAGCAAAATGATTCTCGCCCCTTGGTTGCACGGGACATCGGCAAATACAATCCTGGTTCACTCTATGATCACTATCTCATTCGGGATCGTATGCAGGGCCTCCATCGTGGGGATGTATAGCCTTGGAGGCATCGTGCTGGTAGCGTTAGGAATTTACGACCCCGTGGAGTGGCCACCAGTGGCCAACTCACTGACCGAAGCTTGGTCTTTAACACGACTATGGGGGTAAGTCACCTAGCCTTTCGTCACCACAAATGAAAATCGACTAACAGGTATCAGAACGGCATGGCACCAAGTCCTCCGTACGCTTCTCGTCTCCAACGCAGACTTCATCTCTTTCTCTGTTCTACAGATACCCCCTAAGTCGCGGTGGGCCTGCTATCCACGGGTGCTTTTCGCTTTTACCGTGTCTGGATTTATCCACATGGGAATGGACTTGGCATTCGGCGTCCCTCGAGACAAAACCGGTGCTGTGTGGTTCTTTTGTCTCCAGGCTCTTGGCGTTATGTTTGAGGGTGTCGTTCAATCCCTGTTTCGCGCTCAGATTGAGAGAATGAGTCCTCTCTTTAGGCGTGTGGTGGGATACGTATGGGTGGGGCTGTTCCTCTTGTGGACGACGCCCGTGTGGTTGAATCCCATCATGCTTTGTCTGTATAAGGATGGACAACGGGCTATGTCTCCAGTTCCTATCCTTGGAGCTTTGCCATTATGATTCACATGTATCGGCCAGCTATGCCTGTTTCTTAGAGATACATTTGTGTAGTCATCAGCCAGCACTGCAACTAGTTAGACGTACTTAGAGACTATATCACGTGACTTAAGCCTGGTTAGGAACTTAAGGTAGTAGCTGTTTGCGAATGCCCTGACCAAAAGAACATCTGCTAGGAAAGAAAAGAAATATAACAACAGGGTTATACTTCCCTCAAGTAAGATCGTTTATTTGGATGAATATCTGTACAATTAAACAGAGTGTTTTCATAACCATCAGATGTGTTCACAAAAGTGGTTGTTCAGAGACATAGAAGACCTAAATATATATATCTTCTAGTCAAGATATCATTCACTACAAGACACCCAACCAACGGATCCCAAAGTATATATCACCCATGCAATCAGTTAATTTTGTAAGCTATCATAAACAACAAAAATGCGTATCTATACTGGTCCATAGCATATCGTCATTACATTCAATTACTACATGTCTCGATGCCATCAACGAACGATTTCATGGACTCGAAAGATGCCAAGAGCGCCTCAAGTCAAGCCACCCGTCCGTATCGATAATACACGTCCAACTATAGAGTTGCGCCCAACGCTAGTGTAATCATGTTTAATACGGTAAAGTGACAATTCTATTACAGCGGGTTAACCTGTGGCGCAAAGTCAGAATGATGGCTTTTCGTGCCCGCAAGAATAATTTTCCGGGTCATAAAAAGTACTTCTCCGTATTGCTATTTGTAATTGGAATTGGGTAAAATCGGACATGTCTACGGAGTAGTTAGTGAAAATGTGATATCCAAGTTGGGGTAGACCAAGCACGCAATCCCATGACCTGTCCAACCCCCTAAGTGACCTAAACATTTAGTACCATCTAGTCAAAACCCCATCCTTAGAGACTGAAGCAAGGGGGAGAGGCTGAACGGTCCGAGTTCCAGGTTTGATGCAAGCCATTCTGAGCTGTAAGAGATCATCAAGTGTTGATTACCAGTAAGGAGTAGATTATCCACGGATTACATCTCCGAGTAACCTAAAGATGCAGGAGGTGGCGCGAACATGGCTTAGAAATACACGCTCGCTGACCGCATGCGGTCCTGATATCATATTTGATGTCTCTTTTAGGGAGTCTATTATGCAATCTTTCTAAGCGATGATGGACTATGCGACCCCTAAATAAAATAGTAAGCTTGGTATTCTTGCAGACAGATGCCCGGTCGTTTTGGAGTGAGTTACTAGCATTGAAATATAGCTAAGTATTTCTCTATATTACTAAGAAGGGATTACCTTCACGAACAGAGTTGATTAAACGGCACTTCTTGAGTCTAAATTTCTCATCTACCGAAGCTTCTCTGACACTAGGTTGTGTGTGCCCTGTGTGGAGATGATCTACAGTCAAGCTAGAATATTCGATAGTTCACCGGATTTACACCGGCCAAGGAAAAGTAAAGTAAAACCTTAACTGCCGACGCATGGAAAATCGCGCCATTCGAATTATTATGATTTGCAAGACGGTACATCTTCATCTTACATGTCTCCCTCTTTCTAGAAAATCATGATTTCCCGCCGCGGAGGCTTGCTGATTGACCCGTATTTCTAACTTTGGTTGTCGCTCAACACATCAACGAAATAAGCAACTGATCTACTAAACAAAGCTAACAAATGGCTGGTAGGCTAAAGCGAAGTGTAATGGTTAGCGGAGCGATAATTGAAGGCAGCCAGAGCCACAGTGGAGACTATTCTGTGTACTCCGTATCTACCACGCATGTTGATGAACGCTAATATAACGATCGACAGGGACCCGACCCTTAAGCCTCTAGCCAGTGGCTGGGCCCAATGGTTGGCATAATTTACTACCTGCAAAGCGGCATTAGCCAATCAATAGAACAAATTAAACCACTGTCCAACGCCATAGCGCAGGTACATCTCGCAGGATGGTTCACTTTTCTGGAAATATTCAGCCAGAAGCTGATTCCCACTAGTTTGGTATCATCCTGGTCTGGTAAAGATGAAGATGGTAAAGCCGGAGAACCGAGATCTGTCGGCATTCAGGTTAGTAGGGTGTGTAGGACCCATTTTGTTCTCAGGACTGCTCTGGGCATTTCGTATGCAAAGTACCTACGCACTGTAGAACAGATGAAGAGCCAAAATAGGAAACTTCAACGATGAATTAGTACTGGCCCCTCGCTTTGGAGAGGGAAGCAAGACTGGGTGATGAAAGCTGAATCACACAAACTACAGCGGCTTTACTCTGTACTGCTGGTTTCTCATCACCCATGTCGAGGGACAGATACCGATATCGTGCTCCAGTATCTTTTTATGATAGACATATCCCAAGACAAAGGTATATGGCCATTGGCTGGGTCTGTTGATATATCAAATTACAACAGACGAATCGGATCTGGATACTTACGGGGGGAGGTAATTGAGCATACTAAACAATACACTGACGCATAGGACTGAAGGCTGCCCAAGGCTGATAGTAAGATCGTCCGTCAATCATCCTATAACGCGATTCATGCCATCAATAGCATGGGTACTATCTCCACCAACACGAGATAATTGCCCTAACTCCAATTCCATCTCTCAATTCTGGATCTCTGGAACGTCTCCACCTACCCTTGCTGAGAAGGCGTCAGGACTCTCATCTGGGTCTCTGGCGAAGGACGATCACCCTGTTCAACTGTATATAAACCTGTTCCTAACCCTCCAGACTACAGCCTTTTTCTTCAGCATCAATCACTCACTCTCTCATTCATTCATTCATTCCTATTCAGTCTTTAATAATAATAATAATAATCCCAGCCTCTCATTTCTCTCCTTAACATACCTTCAAAATGAAGTTCGCTTACATCCTCTCTGCTCTGGCTTCCACTGCCGTTGGTGCCCCTCTTCTGGACAACGTCGCCGTCTTGAGTGTCCTGACCAACAAGTTGCCCGTCGTCAACAACCTCTTTGACCTCAACGGGCTCTTGGGTGGAGTTCTCGGTGGAGTTATCGGTGGACTTCTTGGCGGTGGCAGCAGCGATTTGCCCCTGGGTACCGTTATCGGCTTCCTTGGACAAGCACCTACCGGCACCACTGGAGTCATCCCCTCCGGCCTCCCCTCTGGCCTTCCATCTGGCCTCCCCTCTGGACTTCCCTCCGCCATCCCTACTCCCTCCAACGGAGTCGTTCCCTCTGCTGTTCCCTCTGCTCCCGCCACCGGCGCCGGCAAAGGCAAACTCCTCCAGGACCTTGCCCCCGAGGTCAACAACATCCTCGTCGTGACCGGCACCGACGCCCAGATCCTCCTCATCCAGCTCTCCCCTGAAGTCACCGCCCTCGTTGCTGGTCTCGGTCTCCCTCAACTCGCCGCTCCTCTCGGTGGCGTTGTCGCCTCTGCCTCCACCGTCGGCGTCCTCGTCAAGGACCTTGGCCCTGCCGTCGAGAATGTCGTCACCGTTGTCGGCAAGGACGGCGGTGCTCTCCTCGTCCAGCTCTCCCCCGAAGTCGCCGGCATCGTCTCTGGCCTTGGTCTCCCCCAAGTTGGTGTGCCTGTCGGTACCGTCATTGCCATCGTTGGTAAGAGCCTGTAAATGTAAGAACTGCTCCTCTCCCCCCTTTTTCCTATGTCACCTAATCCATTCATCGAGCTAACCTTGGGCCCAGTTTACGCTAGCATCAAACGGCTTATGAAACGATGTTTCGCGGACAGACGGAGGACGAACCCTCGATCGTGTGTACATTCTGGGGAAAATTTAGATACCATTCTATGTTTTGTATTTTTTGATCAGCTCGAGACAGCTTTTTAATTGCACTGGTTTTGTACTAGATACTAGTGCGTCTCTTAGACATAGATTTAATATATTTATGATTTCGTGGTGAAGATGATTCCATTCCAATTTCCCTTGTCCTCGTTCTGTTGTATTATCGTTGAGAATACCCCGGAGTAAGAAACCTAAGTACTTGGGTATTGTATCTCGGTTCCCCTGAATTCTCAGATTCCAAAAGGTAAGGGGTCTTCTGCAGTGGATGTATGGTAACGGTATGCAAGTGAGTGGGGGGCATATCATATCATAACATACATTTATGTCCTATGGCATATCACATAGGTCTTACCACCCGGGAAAAGGTTTGGCGTACATGGATTGAGGTTAGATATCGGGTTACTGGATGGGGAGTGGCCGTTTATCCCTCGCTATGAGATAATTCCGGACTCTGAGTATAGAGTATAGGATCTTTTCTCATACCTATGGCGCTGCTACTCGTTACTTACCGAATTACTACCTTGTGGTTTCCTCTCGGCTGCTTATCGCAGAATAGACTGTCAACCCACCGAACAAGAAAGAAAATACCTGTCAACCTGACAATACCCTATAAATTACGCTCAAGAGACACCTATGGTGTCCGGACATTGTTGGGTGGTCGGATGGGATGATTCTGCGTTTGTCATTAGCCAAGGTAATGAATGCAAGAAACCCGATGTCTCATATATTGGACTCTACGAGAACGGGATAGTTATGATAAATTTTATTTAATGCTTTGCATGCAGCTGATCCTCACGAGGACTACCTAGACCTAGCTCCGGTATAGGATCCCAGATGGCCAGGATCTTGAGGATAACAACCATATTTTCTATCCGCTGATGAACTGACCCTCCGTCACCGAATAAAATCAGTCCATGCTTCTCATCCGGTGCAGCATCCCCGTAACATCGTCATATCTCGTCAAGGATTGTGATTCGGCCTATGTCTCTCGTAAGTAGCAAGGGCGCTTGATTACTTATCGTGAATCTATTAAGGACCATTATAAAGGCGTCCAACCAGCCTGTCCAACGGGGGAATCAGATGGGTATAGATTGCTACAAGCCAGAAGTGCTGCCAGATCAATCCCCGGTAGAATGGAGGTTATGATTATATCGGACAGGGAGACAGTTGGCCCTTCTACGTCGGTACCGAAGTTAACTCGTTTCGAGACATACTGTCGAGCGTGTCTTTCGCTATGTATGTGATGTGGCTAGGGAGGATATGGTGATTGAAGAAGTAGTGCTGTGATTCCGGGTTAATTCTTAGATGGTGTTTACTTTGTAAAAGACTTGTCTTGTGAAGTCTTTGGTGTCTCTTGCTTGCATGATCTGCTTGGGCTTACTCTGCGTCGCGCTGATCTGGGATATTATCTTCGGAGGGGCTCACTGAGAGAAGGACCGTGGTTAGTATAATCATCGAACGACTTGGGGCGTATGACAAACAGAGATGTATACGCATACTTCCTCCCGTGAGGACTTGACCCCAATACCATTGTAACGAGAACTACATAGTAGGATACTTGTGCACATCTTTCCGACACAAAATTTGCAAGGTTGAGATGAACAATAGCCGATAGGATCATTTCTCCGCCGCCAAGAAAGCTCGACTAGGAATACGCATAGAGAAATGCGAAAGACAACGGTCTCGTCCGAAAGGTATATCCTGCTGATCACCCGTGCAAGTTCCCCTTCCGGAATGGCCGTCGACCGGTTCTACGGAGATCAGCATCATCACCAGGCTGGGTGATCTTAGGCATGTATAACTCCTTGATTCAACTTCACAAAAATAATGGCCTACAAGGCTAGAACTACATTACACTCATCCATTCTATTGGCTATCTGCGGGCTAAGAAGTCTTCTAGAAAATTCATTGATATCATAGCTATTGTGCTCTTTCCAATTCATGCCTCATCGGCAACATCGCGGACATATCGACCTCTTCTCCGCGGTCTGCCGAGACCATTGAATTTCGGCTTGAACCCGAAAGGATCGCCTCCAGCCCACCCTCTTATCACCCGTACACCTATTCGGCATCGGAGCGCGGGGATGGCGGATCTTGGGCATTGATATGTGGGGACGTTCATGTCACCATGACAGCCTAACGCAGCAAAGCGCACATCAGCACACACATCCTCCCTATAACGATCATGCTGGTTTAAGTTATAGTTATTGAGGGGTGAAAGTATGTTCTCATTCCTCATGCCCAAACCAGTTTACTCCGTGCAGCATTAGGGAGTATCTTATCTGCGTAGTGGCAGAAGAGATCAGATCCAGGCACGGCGGCTGGAAACCGACCCACTATTTCGGCGATGGATGGATAGAGTGGAGCACTTTGGTCTTGTTATCTGCACGGGAGAACCGACAAGGAGGGGTTATTAGTGTCGGGTTTGCGCCCGGACTAATGACTATGGATTGCTGCTTGTTTTTGATTGCGTTGTCTAGATGTCACCGGACTGTTCAGTAGCTGACTTTTTTGCGCTTTGTTGATTAGCCGTTGTTTGGTACCTGTTCCTTTTGGGAAAAAGTTTCCAGTGTATCCCTCACATGACCTCTTGGGTTGTTGCAGTGGCGAGCAGTACACTTTTTTTTTTTTTTCCCCTTGTTCGATCGCTGGGAGTGTAAGTTGTATAGCTTGTAGAGTTATAGTGTGACTCGGTACCAGATATGTTTTGTCCTGTGAATCATTATGACATGTTTTGTGTCTTCAATTCTGCTGTTGGTGATTGTATGTACGGTGGAGAATGATAGTGATACATGGAATCAAACATCAGACCAAATTGAATGGATAATCTGTGCACATCAGTAGAAGGAGTAAATAGAAGTGGATATCTGAAGATAAGAGGCAAGAAAAGGTGTGGAGAGAAAAGCGTGAGATCGCCTCGAAATAGCCCAGGTGTAAGTTGGAAAGGTGGGCGATTAAGGTGCGTCGGGAAAGCCGACGCCTGCCACCCTCGCTCGGGCGTCCCGCGGCAAAGGGTCCGACTGATCAATGGTATCTCGGCCCCAGTGCCGCGAGTCTCCAGGATGGATCTCCACGGCTGATTTTGGGTAAAACATACCCATTTCAGGTGGGCTCCTTACCCCATGGGGTTATTGAGTCCATAACCACCGGGTACATTCCACAAATGTCTTATCAATGTTCTCATTACGCATTCCAAATCCAGTTTAGCCATGTGTCATGTTCATAGTGGCAATGGTGGAGCTTGATGAAGACCGAGATTACGATCAGTTGATATCAGAAGGGGTGTCTCAGTATGGACATAAAAAGGCGTCTCCGGTCACTACTGTTGGCACAAGTCTGTCTACCAAGATCACGAACAGAAGCAACACTGGGACACTCTACTGTGACCTTCTCTCTACACAATCAGCCATGGCTTCAATGCTGCACTACTTCAACTTTGGCAACAAGGCCTCCACAACTAAGGGCGCGGAGGTTAAGCCAACCCCCGTCCGTGCTCTGCCGGCATCATGGTATACCGCGCCGGAGATGTATGAGCTCGAGCGCCGTGCGATCTTCTCGAAGAGATGGTTGTTCATCACCCACAGCTCGCGTCTCAAGGAGGCGGGTGACTGGCTCCGCTATGAGGTCGCTGGATTCGACTTCGTTATCAACCGTGACCGACAAGGCAACATCAATGCGTTCCACAATGTCTGCCGACACCGTGCGTACCCCGTCATCGAGGAAGAGGGTTGCGGAAACAAGAAGATCATCGCATGCCGCTACCACGGCTGGTCCTACGGATTGAACGGCAAGCTGGCCAAGGCACCCGGCTACCAGGAGCTGGATGGATTCGACAAGGAAAAGAACGGTCTCTTCCGCATCCACGTCAAGGTCGATGTGAACGGCTTTATCTGGGTGAACATGGACTCGAAGGACGTCCCAGAAGTTTCCTGGGAGGAGCACTTTGAGGACGTCGACAAGCAGGCACGCTACCAGGAGAATGGCATCAACTTCGACGACTACGAATTCGACCATACCTATCAAATGGAGGGCGACTACAACTGGAAGATTCTGGCGGATAACTTTAACGAGTGTTACCACTGCCCCACCACCCACGCAGATATCCCGGCATTCCTCAACCTGGACTCGTTCGACAGCGATGTCAAAGATGGACATATCCAGCACCATTGCAAGTCGACCCCCGAACAGATCGCGAAAGGTCTGAACACCGCCAGCACCTATTACTTCCCCAATTCATCCATGACTGTCACGTAAGTTTTACTCCCCCCTTCCCCTTGAATCTCCAACCGTAAACGGGATAATGTCGCTGACCTCCGCATACAGGAAACATTGGATGATGGTTCAAAAATTCCTTCCGAAGGGTCCCAACCATTCGACCATGGCCTATGAAATCTGGAGACATAAGGACGCGGCGGAAGAGGATTTCCGACTGATCAATGACATGTATGCGCGTGTCATGGGAGAAGACAAGGTTCTCTGCAACAACGCACAGAAGAATCTCAACCGGGGTGTCTTTGTCAACGGCCAGCTGCACCCGAAGTACGAGAAGGCTCCCCTCTTCTTCCAGAGCACCTGTCGCGAGGTTGTCACGGAGCACTTTGACCGGGAGAAGAAGGAGGGCCGGGAGATTTGGCCGGCGAGACAGCAGTTGCCCGATGACGCTAAGGTTAGCGCGAAGGACGAGGAGATCTGCTCGGGTCTCGCCTGTGGAGCCCAGAAGGAAGTTTTGGCTTGGTGATGCGATGAAAACGGATCCTATGATATTTTCTCTTTTCGGTTATACCATTTTTTTTTGTTTATTTGCATGCATTTGGAGCGAATTTGCGAAGTTTTGTCATGAGTCCTGTATGATGTCTCTTTCGATCATAGCTAGTGTTAGGTGTTCGTTAGGGTTAGATTGCAATGCACCCCTGAAGATAGATCTAACATTTTATCGTAAACGCAATCATGGATAAGATTCATGGACATGTGTCCCCATATACCGACAAAGGATATATCCCTTGCTCCGCAGGTGTAGATGTCAAAGCTTGCTTTCATTAGATTTGGAGCAGAGTTAATTTGCCTCTGCCTATCCTGAACACTAAATGCCATGTTCTTGATCCACAATGTGATGGCCATCCCACAGTCGTACTGTACAAGTCTATTACTTCTTTCGAGCTTTTGATTTCTGTTATTCAAGTTCAACCATGACCACAATTGACAAGACAAAAAGCGCCAAAATTATCTATGCCAGATTAGCTACCATCATATCTCTTCTTTAGGTCACCTAATCAGTAAAGCAGAATTACCTACCAATGCGATTAGCAGTCCGATACAATTCAACTCCCAACCGCCGGCATAGACGGTTCCCAATGCGACCGCATTCTGTTGTGTCCAAAAGCGACACGCTCCTATCACTGCTACCACGGCGGCAATGCAATGACACGTCACAGAAAGGGGGATGGCTATTTCATAGTATGTCAATTGATCAGCGGATGAAGGCTGTTGTTGGAGGCGAAAGAGCTGAGCAATTAGTACGCCTTGCATTGCGATGACCACTGATGTCCGGATATAGGCGAGGAATGTCCGCTCCAGCGCTAACATCATTAGCAAGTGCGCCCCTTCTTTATCGTGAATCATGGGGGGAGGGGGAAAACGGTTGAAGAAGACCGAAGAAGACCGGCTCAGTAACGTGACCCGGCCGCAATTGAAGTCGAATCCGTGCAAAGGGGAAGAAGGTATGAGTATGGAGACGGTAATAAGCTTACCAAAGTGATCGCGGTTACTTTTCTGCGGAACGGTCAAAACCACGTTGCGTGTCCAGAAACGCTGAACCTTCCCTAAGAGCCCCTTACGTGGCGCTTGACTTCGTTCTGTGCGTTGACTGGTGCGAGAGGCCGTCCGACGAGTAGTAATGCGATATTCGCCAGAGGAGATCGATGCTGTTGAGGAGCCGAATTCATTGTCCAGCTGTGTCTCAATTTGGTGGAGTTCTAAGGCGTCTCGTTCGACACGATTTTGGCCACGGGAATGAGTCGTGGCCGTCGGCGATGGAGGTCTGGGTTCGTGACCCGTGACGGAAATGACGGGCTCATCATCCTGATGGTGGTGATGGTTGGACCGGACTTCCATTCTCTGCGAGGAACGGGGCCATCAAGCAGTCTGGGGCAATCCTTTAGGGAAAGGGACGAGGTAAGGGAGTGAATGTGGAGGCATTCCTGAGTTCCAGGTTGACATTTTTTTGCTCGGCGACTCCCGCCGGAGTCTTTCAATCGCCGAGGCAATTGACCTGTATCATTGGCTGCATCACACCGCGAGAGAAAAACCGGTTTTGGAATGGCCAACCCCATTGCCATCTTTATCAGTTCCTTCCTAAATATCCTCTCGAGTTGATATCTCCCTCTGCGATCTCTTATACTTGCAAAACATCTCTAGTGCCACCCTAAATTGCTTGACAGCTCCTCATCCACTGCCTCAGCCAATCAGGGGCCATCCTCGGCGCCCACGTCGATTGCGCAATTGCTGCAGAACCACACTTTTGACTGGTAGATCCATCCCACCCACAAAAACCCCCGACCACAGGCAAATCATCGTTCAAGGGCTTCTGGCAGAAGGCTGGACAATCCATGATATTTCAACTTTCAAGTAGTCCCTGATTCATCTCCGAACGTTGATGCACCCATGGTAGGAGGAACATTCTACAGCGCCGGTGTCTCACGGCAACAACATTGTCTTCCTTTTCAGGGGTTGTCCTTTCATATCAAGGGCATGTCTCATGGTTAAACTCACACTTCCTTTTCTCCTTTTTCTTGAATGAATCGTGAGTCCTCGAGAGAGTGCCTCTGAACGATACCTTCATCAGGCGCATGCCAGTCACGTGTCGAGAAAAGGGGCGATTCCAAATATAGTTTAGCTCCCCAATCCTGAGAACCAGGCAGGCTAAACCATTTTCGGTGAGTATGTTGATATCATTGGAACGACCGTTTTGATGGCGATCATATTGTTCCACATTTATACTCCATCAACAGCGGTGTCGAACATGTTCGATTTAGAGCTATTAACATACCTACACTTAGCTAGTCCATAATTGCTGCGTTGTAAAGTCGCAGACCTGGCAGGGTAGTTGCTATAGCCGGTACTGAACTGGCATAGCTGAGCTATGACTCTCTATGGATATAAGCACGAAACTTTCATGCAATCGGTAGAAAACGTGAACAAATAGTAATGTAACGTCGCAAGGGTAAGCGCGACCTTTGCCAAAGACCACTTATTACCTGGTGGGAGTATTTTACCCGTCGCCGAAGATTGCTGAAAGCTTAAACCCTTCTCTTATTGAGTTCTTAAAATTGGCATTTTTGTATCCCAAGGTTGAACCCAAGGATCCGATGGACAGACCTGCTCTCTTCTACTGGGTCGATAACCTCAATGACCCTGATGCGTTCGTCGAGACTTGGGTAGAGGAGTTATAGTCCGGTCGGTTTGTGTCGCTCTATGGCACCAGGTATCTCATGGGCGATGACGAAAGTATCTACCAGTCTGGACTCAATGGCTTCAACGATCGTGGTAGTGTGCAATTAGATAAAGTCCTGATACGCTGGGCGCAGATTGGAGAAGATGGAGTGGTTGACAAAGGCCCAGAGGTTAAAGGATGCTGATCCGGAGATACATTGGGATAAGCATTGCATTCCGCCCAGTTGGTGAACTATCTCGTACATTAAGCGGCATATAAGATTATTTCTAAACGGAAACTAAGCAAGGACGATTCTAAGGCGTTTCAGCCACATTGTACACCAATTTCTCCCCGCTAACCTTGTCCTCCTTCAAGAGCTTCAATCCCTCCAAGACACCCTGCAAACCACCGGGGTTCACCTTCGGCTGGTGGACCTTGATCTTGCCATCGGCCAACAGCTGCTCTGCGAGAGTCCAGAATTCTTCAGCATATTCCTTGTCCTCTTCCCGGGCAGGGAAGGTCTTGTCACCAAAGGTAAACTCCTCGCCGATCACAGTGTAAGCGAGCGTGTGACGAGTAGTGACGTTCTCACGATCGATAGCCATCGGCAGGAGAACACCGTAATCACCACCATCTGTGGAAATAGCTTGCTCGCAGTATTCGGCACTCGCCTTTAGCGAGATCGTATCAAAAACCAGCTTCAGGTTGTTATTGGTGTACTTGCGAATCTCCGCCGCTGAGTTGGGGTCTTTATAATCAAAGACCGCATCCGCACCGAGACGTTTCACCAGATCGAAGTTATGCGGTGAACACGTAGTCAAAACGGTATAGCCGGACAGCTTGGCGAACTGAATCGCCAGCGTACCCGTCGCCGTCGAGCCGCCGTAGATCAGGATTGGAACCGGTTCCTTGATGGGCTCACCCGGGAGCGCCAGCTTCAAACTCTGGTACAGACCCTGTCCCACGGTCGAGATACCTACGCCGAGCGTGGCTGCTTCCTGGAAGCTGAGATTATCGGGGATACGGATCTGAATGTCTCCCTTGGCGACGATGTACTCGGCAAAGGCACCGTCTTCGTGCTGCACGGCGTTTCCTCCGTGCGTGAAACCGCATACGCGATCACCCTTCTTGAAAGGTCTTTTGACGGCTTTGCCAACCTCCTCGACAATACCGGCGTAGTCGCATCCGACTAGCACGCCGGGTGGGGCAATGAAAGCAATATGCTTCCAGTCGGTGGGATTTAAGGCGACGGCGACCGTCTTGACGAGGATGTAATCATCGCGAAGAGCGGGAATGGGTCGATCGGTTACCAGACTCTCCTGCTTTGGGGAGGTCACAACAATTGCTTTCTGCGTAGACATCTTAGGATACAAGGTGTGGAAATCAAGGTGGGTGGATGAAGCGTTTAAACAAAGTCGTCGGATGCGAGAGCTTTTATATTGTTGGAGCTGTGACCAACCCTTTAAGCCTCGAAATCAAAATTCCACCGGAGGCTTATAAATTCCCCTAAATTATTACATATTGTCTTCATCTTATGACCAATCAGTGGCACGGTGTCGTGAACTGGCAGACTCTCACCACGGCATGATTTATAATCACCCCGCCTTCATCCTGATGCAACCGATCGTCCGTTTACATTGACTTTTTGATTAGTCCATGATTCATTGACTAGCCTTTGGTAAAGGAATTTATATGGGGATCGTCGCCGAATGGGGACTAGTCTCCGCAGCGGGAATTTGGATATCCCGAAGGCCAGCCAAGATATTGACGCATTGATCATTGTTATGGTACCACCCAGTTGCGTTCGCTGGGCGGAGTTGATATGTAATCAGATAAACAGTTGGAAACTAGTATATTATACATCATTCTATGGAATGAAGTCGCGGACTTTTCACATATACTCCGTCAATATCACGATCCATTCTGCCGGGCACTAGAGAAATTATCTCCGTTGGCTACGTTATCTCCGTTCAGATCATCGTCCCTATCGGACCTGAGTCTTGTTCCCATTCATCCTGGAGAGTTTCCAAGCAAAGGGTTTATTCTTCTCCAGGAGGTTCGTTATGTGCAATCTCGCCTTTCAATATAATTCATATTGGCAATAGTAATTCTCGGCCTGGAGTTCGGGAAATACCACCTTTAACATATGGACTATGTTATAGTAACGTGCAGATCTTATAATACTATCGATAAAGTTCCGTACCTAGAGCCAAGAGATCCAATTCGACAATGCCAATGGCTGTGCACTGAGCCTACCCCCGTCAAAACAGACGCATTGAGGGGCAGAAATGACCTCTGATGTCCTAACTACACACTAACCCTATCACCCAACAACAAGGATCTATCTATATCCAACCCCATATAACCGGAGTTAACCCCCCGGACTTACGCAAAGCCAGATTTATATCCACTCAAAGTCCGCCTCAGGCACGAATCACAGATATACATGGACTAAGCTACAGTATAACCACTCTCATCATGCCATCATGCCGCATATACGTAGACCTCACCACAATCTATATAACATCTCACACTCACACTCACACACTCACGCAATCACTCACATTCCACACACCGAACAACACACAGATAAAATAGTCTGCAACCAATACCTACAAATCCGCATAAATCCCGAATAAAAAATGTCCTACCCAACAAAGCTTCCCACCCTCACCACCCGCGAAGCCATAACCGACACCCTCTACCGTTGTGTCGGAGGCTTGGACACCGCCGACACAGCTCTCTTCGACTCAGCCTTCACCAAAGACGCCACGTTCGATCTTAACGGCCGACTCCTCGAAAGTCTTGACTCAATCCACAAAGACTGTTACGACAAGATCTCGAAACTGGATACCATTCACTACATGAGTAATGTACGGGTGAACGTCAAAGACGGCGAGGAGAAGGGGTCATTGACTGCATCCGCCCTGGCGCAGCATTATCGACCCGGGGAGGGTATACAGTCTGGGACGAAATATTTCTTGGCGGGGAGTTTCTATGAAATGGATGTTGTCAGGGACGAGGGAGATGGGTTGTGGAAGATTAGGCATTGGAAGTTGAAGATCGTGTGGGCGGAGGGGGATTGGGGGGTTGTGCTGGAGTGAGGGTTTTCTGTTTTACATTTGGGGAGGATGGGAGACTTATCATACTAAATCATAATCATTCGTCGTACACGTGACCACCCATTTATCAAAAAAGAGATTATTTATTATGATAGTTTTGGTTGTCAGACACTGCATTAACGATGCCACAGTGCCTCGTTGCATTGTGAGCCATTATAGTGAGACAACAATAGACATAGTGATGGATACCAGCCGAAGACCATGGATCAATAGTTTTGAAAGTAAACGTGATGACTCGCAGGAAAGGGTTTATCTTATTCTCAGTTGAATTAAAATATAATGGCCACTGCTTCTTTAACTCTTCTTTCAACAACAAAGAACGATCGAGAGATTGTGTACTATTATGTGGGAGTTCTATTCTGGAAAGGTGATCTTGATAATCGGAGGGCCTGGGTCGCTCGCAGTCTATAGCAGCTTTAGCAAACAGTATTACAATAAATAAACTTGTGATTGTTTTGGTTATTAAACGTCATCAATATTTTTTATGATATCAGATAATATTAACAATGTGGCGTGCCTCTGTTCCTTTGTATAAGAGTATTTATAATCGCAGGTAAGCAGTACAAGTTCTGTCCTTGTATCCAACCTGCCCCACCACCTCTAGTTACACCCCCATATTGGAGTGTCACTCTGGGAAGGTAACGGTTCAACCGCACACCACACGGGATACAGAACCGGTACCCTCTCTGGAGAAAGTATAGGGGACAGTTTTTTACAATGTCCCTTCATCATTGTATTGGAAAACCACAAATAAGCCAAAGGGGACGGAGAAGTTTTGTACTTGCTACCGTACAAGCGATTTATTAGCCAATACAATGATTAGCCCACATCTATAAAAGCGCCGCTAACGAGACTAGGAAGCATCCTATATTCTATGCTATGCCCCAATCTCTATAAACCAGTTTAGCAGCGACTACCATTATGAAAAGCGCAGTTGTGCTCAGAGGCAAGAGTATGTGTTGCGGATCTAACACCCAACCTTTACTGATCATAAGTCCAGGAAATCTGAGCTCTCCAAGCTCTGGACAGTGCCATATGTCAAGTTTGTCTAAGATATTACTGGACTATCAGTTAGGGTAATAAAAGTTCAGTCAATATTCCTCAAAACATACAGATGACTGAGAACTAGTTCTCTACTCAATAATTCGAATGGTGCTGTAGAATGGGGTTGTGTAAAGGCAAACCTTAACTGTGAATGTAAGTCCAAGCGTGCCAAATCTCTTTTGGCTTCAAAGAGCCTGTCTTCTGGGTACCTTGAATCCTATTTACTCCATGATCTGCACACGCTGTCGCAATTTACCTTACCCGTGGAGGGGTTGTAAGAGCACGGATACTCCTGTGGCTGATAGTTATGAATGGTCTGTTCCAGCTCCTTTTTCTGGGCGTATATATTTTCTTTTGTGAATATGCCCACATATCTGTTCCTGAGTATAGGATTTGTAATGCCTCGCTGATTCTTCCCAGCAATAGAAATCTTGCCAGAGTATCAGCAATACTAGCTTTCTGATTGGACGCATTGATCAAGTACTGATCTCAATAATATCTACTGTCTTGACTCTCAGAAGGGGCATGTACTTTCTCCACCGCCCTCTATGGCTATACCATGAGCGATTAATTTCTTGCCAGATACTCTTCTTGTTATCTGAGTTGATAACTTTGACTGGAAATATAAAAGAGTCGCTGCTCGTACCCCAACACAGTAAGATGGAGAATGAACCCGGATCTTCCGTGTTTATAATTGGTTGCAGGATCTCTTCTAGTTTCGCTTTGCGTGTCTTATGACTGACTTTGCGGGAATCGACAGCTGGCTTGAATCTCAATTTTCTACCTTTCTTAGATGCAGTTGAACTGCCTGAGTTGAGTCTTGGCCTAATTGTGGTACCTCTTGGAGGCTCGAGTTGACTATATTGTATCTCCCGCAGTGCTGAAATTTGAGGAGTGTTTGTTGCTAACTGAAACTACTGAGCGTGCTGAGCATTGGTAATAGGTAATGCAGATGATTCCTGCCTGTGGAAAGATAGGAATCTAGGAAAAAGCCAAGACTCTAGAAGGTGAATCTTTAGCTTTTGAGGATGCCGATCTTGGTAATACCGCTTATTATACTGAGGCCACTCGTGGCTAGGGAGTAAGACATTGCTGCTTCTTATTATAGCCAATTCGGGCTGGGCAATAGAGCTCATATCTCCTTAATTTCGAGGACTAATCAGTATATATATTGTAGAAGACAAAAGACTTTCGTAGATAAATAAGATAGGAGAAATCTATCTATCACAAAATCGTGGTTGACCCAGAACCTGAGTATTCTGAGAGAAAAGGGACACTTTATAGATTGCGAGTTAAAGAATTAATCAGCTTAGTACTCATTACGATAAAGCCTAGCCATACAAGGCTGATTCCCTATTGTTGTTGCAGTCTTATGGTAGGAATACATTTTACTCTCGACATATCATATCAGCCTTTTTCATGCTGAGAGTAGATGACTAGAACAAAAATCTAATATTTCTACTGGCTTTGGTTTAACGGTCAAACCCTACTGGCCCGGACTTGTTCGGAACACAGGATCTATGGCTTGTTACTGCGAGACCCCAACCAACTGCGGCTCTAGTTTGTCCGATGTTTTAAGCCTGTGATACTTTCCTCCTGACCCTTATGTTGACAAGGCTGTCCTGAGCATCGTATTGTCTAGTCACCAGCTTATCAGTTCTGCCTTGTCTATTCGCCCGGGTTAGGCTAGCCTAATAAAGCCCATAACAGCATGGCAGCCTTGCAGATACCCATCCCAAAGGGACATCATGTCGGATTTAGTAGGAAGGATAGAAGCTCCGCCATTTAATATGCGATCTCTTGTAGGATTTGCAGTGTTTGGGTGATTGTTAGGCTGGTTCGAAGACTGTGCCGTGCGTGGGGTAATGTAATGATCAATACGTGGCCAAGCCAATAAAAGTTATATCGAACATACCATGTATACATTACCGTGAGTTATTTTTCTTGGCGGGTTTTGGATCAAGTGTCGAAACCCAACCCGCCATTTGGCGAAACTACCTTTCCAAATTCGAGGGTCCTCTCGGGATGACTACTCAGTGAGCTAAGCCATAAATGGACATGGTCATGTCCCAACGACGACAACGCCCTCTCATGTGCTGAATCGTCCGCAAGCCGCAGTAAACATACGGGAATTTAAAAAGCTGGCCGTGTCTGCATTCTGCTTCATCGGGCTGTTTCCATTGTCTAGACTCCTATCCGCAATGACTACCTTTCGCTTCCATGGTCAACATCTAGATAATGACCTAGTGACATCGATATCTTCCCTTCTCGACGCTTTTAACATCCCGAATCTGCTTTGGGGCAACTATCTGTTAACCGTCTACGGAGTCCCGACGGTTGTTGATGTTAGTGTCCTGTCCAGAAATGACTGGTTTTCGAAAATAACTAACACTGCGAAGGGCGTGTCCTTTGTCGTACCCGATGCACTTAGTGAAATCTCCTTCTCTACTATCGCTGAGGCTGGCTTTTATCTCTGCTCGCGATATCTAGACTGCCCACATTCAAATTCAAATCAATGCCAGCCACCATATAAGCATCTACATATTGATAATGAGCTTGCGATACTGTTGTACAAAAAGTCTGATGTGCTTTGGGAATTTCCAGAGTTTGAGGCTGCTTTCCACGATACCAGTGCGGATATTATGTTCGCGTCTGACGCAAGGCTTCCTCCAGCTACTTTAGGTCGCGGTCGAGGGCGCTTTCTATATCCAAGTTCTGTCCGAATCCCTAGCCCCTCGAGATACTGTGAGGCTCTTATACTGTTGCTTTGTCGAGATTACGGAACTACCCGCGAGACTTACTGGTTGGCAATTTTGACGTATATGCTAGAGTTCGTTGATGGAACGGACATTCTGAATGAAGGAGGCCTGAGAGAGGGGCAGAAACAGTTTTATCATGCCCTGAAACTGGGCGATCTAACTATGTATCCAATATTGAAGGACCTCCACCGTGACTTTCTAAAGCGGCGGCTCCCGCAAGTCAAGCAAAATTGACTGACACAACTCGGATCATCTCAGTCCAATGGTCCGCTTTACTAATTTCCTATCTTGACTGCCCCACAGCTTCTACTATACTGTGCAGCACATCCCAGCTTTTGCCGTCGGACAACGAACCTTGACCGGGGGTTTCTAGGGTCAGATTCAAAGCCCCAGAATGGCTTTACATGGCAAGCCTGTCGATCGCAATCAGGTTATATCGGGCCTCTCAACAAGTCACCATTTACAAGTCGAACTATAGTGAAAGGGTGTTCGCATTAAGTGTTATCTATTACGGTACACTCGAAAGCTTGGGGTGTTTCATTAGCCATTGACCGAGAGCGGCATCCTGAGAGAGTCTTTCGAGGATCAGACGTTAATGTGTAACGATGGATGATTGTCTGTTGGGTACCCCAACCAGCTCTTGCCCATACGCGACCATAGCCGGTGTTTCCTTACTAACTGGCAGCAGTAAAGCTCCAGTAAGAATTAGAGCTGAACTCCGGTTCCCAACAGTTGCCATATTAAATCCCGATATAGGTTCTCAAATGCCCAACTCGCTAGCGTGGACACGAAATCTACCTAGTCACAGGCCGGTGGGAGGAGTCCAAAGCTCAAACCAGGTGGTCCGATCGATGCTTGACTAGCTTTTCCCACTCCAATCAGCCAAGGTTTACCCGTGAAGAGAGGGGAATAAACCAATGTAGTAGCTACATTGTTGCCTCCAGGATAACAGAGGTCAGTTCACGAAAGAAGATAGTCTAATGAAAGGTTCATAAATACCACTAGATTAGCTATAGTACGCCATGATCAATCCAAAATACGGCCCAATCCTGAAGTTGGCGTTTCCTTGGTGATAAATCGAGCCTTTTCGATAAATAAAAGGAAAGGTGTGTTGTATACACTATTTAAATACTAATAAGTACAAAGCATTCCAATTCATCTTGTATTTGTCATGCTACGGATACTCCAAACGAAAGAATAAGCTATTACATGCGTAAATTGCCAGTTATACTATGCAGGCTGCTGATAGGGTTCTCCACGAGATGAATTATCACCTAATACGGTCGCATGACTCCCTTTCCCCTCCACGCAAGTACTTAGGACACCGATAGACAGATACATATGTCGATGCTTCATTAGCAGTTCCCATTAGCCTGTAGTAAGCTAACCATCTGGACGCACAGTACGCGGGCGTCCACTGGTTCCCACGACCGAGCTCTATCATCTAGAAGACTAGCCAGTTACACAGCACCATCAAAGTAAATTTTGCCCACCTTATCACTTATTATCCGCCATTTCATGTCCACCCAGTGGGCATGAGCCCGAAACAATGCCGATTTATCATAGTCAGTATGTAGGCGCAGTCGCCTTTGGAGCCGCATATACCGCATTTGCAGAGCCGGAGCACGATATCGCTTTCCGAGAAGATGTTCGAAAAAGGCGCTTATCTCCTTCCACTTCTTGCCTCTGCTGTCCCTTGGGGTCAGAAGTAGTTCATGTTCAAAGCTCAAACACCGGTCACATCTAGTTGTAGATCTTTCGGGTCCTGATTGACAGTGTGCAGGGAGTCGTCCTTAAGATCCCTGACTGGGCTTCCGGAGGCACCCGACAATAGTGGGCCCTTCTCTTGCACTAAGAACGTCCTAGTAAGACGTGCCCTAAGTCAGTGCATACTCCAAGTCAGACCGGGATGAACGAGTTCAAGGCTGACGCAGTGGCAGGCGAACTGACTAAGCTTCGGCTCAATAAATAATAATCTCTCAGGGCTCCTACTTGGCCCTTTCTACCAGTCAATCCCTTTCCATCCGAACCGACCGTCAAAAGATGACTCCCACATTGTACCCCCCGAAATCTTCTCTGATAGAGCAGGTTAACTCTCCACCAAAAGCATCTTTGCAAATCCTTGGGACGCATAGTACGAACGGACAGATCAAAGTGATTGATTTTGATCTCTGGATTGATTGTTCGAAAGTAGTAGGCATCAGATCGGGGAAGTTCTTGACGAACAATGAAAGCGATTCCCGGTCCTGGAATCACTCCGCCAACCAGGACAGCTGCAACTTCGAGGAGATATTGGATGGCTGGCTCAATGACTGGTTGCGTGATAGTAAGGACGAGCGATCGTATGATTTCCTAGCCCAATATCTGGTACTATGCTAATAGAACTCCGGGTTTCAGCTGGACCCTTTCCAAATTAGTCTCTTTTCCTAATGACGATTGCGCTGCAATGAAAGCTCATATAGAGAGGCTGGCACGCAACACTGCCTACGATGGGTCTATTGAGGTAGTGTTTCACACTCCATCAATAGAGGCAGATGTCTTACTTGAGAAACACGAGGTGCAAATTCGAGCGGAGTGGAGTTTTGATTGTCCTTTTACTCCCGCAGATCAGGCATGGAACGAGCTGGTAATGAACGCAATGGTTGACCATAAGAAGGGCTGGATCTCTCCGAATGAGCCAAAACTACCCTACGGGATGTCTCCATTCCGTCGGGCTATCAGACATAGTAGTAATTCCAAGATTGTCTCGCAGGAGCAGGATGCGGATGGGTTTACGCGCTCAGTACGGCAATTCTCACGATGGGGTTGTGACAGTTCATCATGAAAAGGAATTATATCAATATTGACTAACAGCTTCGTTTTTACCCTTGTTGCTCTGTTATTATTATTATTATTGTTGTTGTTGTTGTTGTCGTTGCATTGTGACTCTGCTTTCATTGTTAAAGGATTACATTGTGTTAGATGTTGCGGAATGGAAATTGTTAAACGAGATGCTGATGAGCTTTCCGCTTAGAAGCAGCTTTATTTGATTCAGCATTGAATCATTTGCATAAGCAAGCTATATCGCTGGCTGCTCTGAAGAGAAGTAAATACCATGACTCAATGAGAATCTACATGGAGCAGCATGTTAAGCATTCAGTAAACTGTATTGCCTATTGTGCAGTACAGTACATCGGCCTGACATCCAGGCTATCGATACAGGCCCTACTTGAAGGACTATACATATTCTTATGTATAAGACTCATACCGGACTCAGCAATTATATGAAGGGAGCTCATCGCCCGAATGCTCGATACCAATTTCGTATTCATTGTCTGCATTGTCATACCCATGTCCAGCCTCACTATCGTCAACGCAGTGGCTGATAACCGCCTGGTTAAGCTCATACCATTTGTTCGTATCCATGGCTACCTGTCGACATTTGGCACAAATGTAGGCTAAGTCCCATATGTCGCTTCGTGGCAGTAGCCCGGCTGTACGAAAAGTGTTGATTGGTAATTCTTGACTTGGGTATTCAGGGCGTTACAGTCGTCGATCAAGGGGGGTAACCCAGCATGCTTTGAGTGCCTTAGTGCGAACTCAACAGCTATCAGTTGTTTTACGCTGATGTTGGCTGTAGTAGGTGTACTTATCCTAACACAACCAATAGCAAATACCCGCTTTTGCAGCTGGTTCGACTGGGCATCGAGCTCCACAACACGACTAATTCTTGTGCCATTTCCGACAAGGCGCTCCACAATCCTCCAACTAAATCCTTCTGAGAGCTCAGGAATGTCTTCCACCGTAGAGATCGGGTGATGTTCCTCGCTTCGGAGGCGGCTTAATATCGAGGTGGCTTTGCTGAATGCCACCAGAACGGCAAGAACGGAGCAGGTTTGCAAGAATTTCATCTTGAGATAGTCGATACTGAGCCAGTGCTTTAATACAGAAATTGCCAGTGAATGTGATGGGTCTAATAATTGGAATTGAATCTGGAGCGCCCTAACGTATGTAACAACTTCTGGCTGTTTATCTTTCAAGAGTACCTTGTGTCCGATACTACGTGTTATACTGCATGTTATACTGCTTGTTATGGCAATTTCTCATATGGGTAACATGGGTTATTCCTTTGTCTAGGTCTTTGGATATATTTATATACCCAAACGGCCGTAATCCACTCGAAAATCATCAACAGCCCTGAGCCATCTATTGGATTGTGTAGGCTTTACTTGTGATCCGATACCAGAGCCAAGCGCGATGTACATCGAATTTAATTTCTTCGCATTATTCCTATTTCTACGAGCTATTGTAGTATCCGCTAACAACGCAAATGGATGTCCCAATTCGTCAGTCTGCTTTATCCTTTTCTGATAGCCAAGAACTAATGACTAAACAGAGCGGACCAACACGGCGGTCTTCCCAAGAATATACGTCGCTGTCCCGATGCTAAGCCTTTCTACATGTATGTCAAACATAGGCAGGCGTATATAGTGGGACGCTTATCAAATTATTCAAGGCCTATATTATAATGATATAGACTGTGGTGTTTGTGCGGATCTGAGCAAGCCAGTTGCTTGTATTAGTTGATGGGCTTAAAATCTTCTGGGAAACGTCAGATATATCTCACTAACTTTTGAGGTAGAGAAAATCACTAGCTCTGTTGTAAGTTAATATTAATTCTCGCTATATGTTCAACAAAAGCTTGCCCCGTTTAATGGTCACATAGTAGGTGGCCCAAAATGACTGTCTTAAGACTTCTAATTTCATATTTCTTCAGATCATTAGCGATGCTTGTAGTTTCACAATCCATACTATGTACTGTGGTATTTCACTGGATTTGCACAAACAGCCCAACGGTGAGACGGAACGTTAAATAGATGTAATGGTAAGCAACAATTAATGCCCAAAGAAAGTTAAGGTCCATATTTGACCTTCTAACCTTTCTCCCTGTTATCCATCATGTATAGCCGGCTGGTCAATTGGTCGAATTCATACGCTCGCCCCTTATCATCCGCGATACGCAGGGACTGCAATTTCCTCTAAGCCATTGACATGATCTGTCGTCGTGAGAACAGGTTTCTCTCTATATCTTGGCCGTCCGGCTGTACTTGGAATATTGTACAGCCCCGATTGGCCGTACGCCCTTAGACAATGCATGATCAAGAAGCTTCCGCTTCAGGATCTTGCCCGATGGGCTTTTGGGGATCTCGTTGGTGAACACGATCCCACCACGGAGGTGTTTATATGAAACCGTCCGGTCTTTGATGTGATCCAGGATCATTTGCGCCGTAGCTTCACTCTCCGGTTGACCAGCCTTGACCACAATATAAGCCAGCGGTACCTCGCTTGCGAGCTCATGGTTCATAACTCCAATAACAGCCGCATCTGTCACGGCCTTATGTTCCAGAAGAAGGTCTTCCAGCTCGGCGGGTGCCACCTGGTACCCTTTGAATTTGATCAAGTCCTTCAGGCGATCAGTAATAAACATATTGCCTTGTTCATCTTCGTAACCCAGATCACCTGCAGGAAATATTAATATTGAGGATTTGCATTTATGATGAGTAAGTTCAGAAAGGGGAGAGGGACTGGGGATTGGTAGGTCTGAGAGAACGAACCGGTTTTGAACCATCCATCTGGTGTCATGCAAGCCGCCGTCAGATCAGGTTCGTCGCGGTAGCCTTTAAACACAGTAGGTCCACGCACACAAAGCTCTCCTTCTTGGCCGCCTGCAGCTGTACGGCCATCAGATGTGATGAATCTGGCCTCAACACCCGGGATTGGAGGGCCGTTCGAGCCCATACCATCCCTCCATTTGTCCCAGCGCTGGGGGTAATCTTAGTATGCCTTTCCACGAGAGTTACTATCGATGAACAGAACGTATCATACCTGGACGTGCGAAATGGATGTCGTTTCGGATAATCCATACGCCTGCCGGACCGGCAATTGTCGTTGTTGATGCAACTCAGTGATGAGGTTCGCAGCGAGAGGTGCGCCACCTGAAGTGATCATGCGGATTGAACGTAGGTCATAGTCGCGTACGAGGTTATTTTTGGTCAGATGGAGCACTATTGGTGGGGCTACATAAGCGTGAGAGATGCGATGCTCCTGGATCAGGTTGCAGAAAGTGGCAAGGTCGAATGTATCCATATAAAACGTCGTCGTGCCAAAGTAAATAGGAAGATGCATGAGACAGATAAGACCTATTCTATTAGCACACTGGCCTTCATGAATAGCACATCAGTTCTCTCGACTTTTGCGGTCCTTACCGAATATGTGGTACGTGGGAAGTACTGCTAAGGTGCGATCGCGGTCCCAGTTTACGTGTGGACCATCCACGGATGCTTGTAACATGACAGCAGCCACAACATTACGGTGAGAGACCATCACAGCCTTCGGTCGGCCTGTGGTTCCTGATGAATATATCAAAAATGCAATGTCTTTGTCTGGTTCAATCTCTACCCGCTGGAGCTCAACGTCCGAGGCTTGTTCTGCGACAGCGACGAACTGTTCCACGGTCGAGATACCATGACGTTTCTGGATAGGCGTATCAAACCGTAGAAGTAGGATTCGATCAATAGGGAATTTCGCAAGATGTGCAGCCTCAACGGCAGCTGCAGCACACTTTGGATGAACAATAAGACCTCGTACGGAGTTACCCTCTAATTGGTGGCGAAGCTCACGCGCCGACAATTCTGGGTTCACTGGGGCCACTATTCCACCACGGGAATGGCAGCCCCAAATCACAGACGGAGTGTTGATATCATTTGGGGCCATCACCATGAGAATGTCGCCCTTGCACCAGCCCCACTGTGACTGCAGGGCCCTCCCAAACTGTCCCGCCCGGTTTTGGACTTGCCGATACGTACATTGGGAGTCACTAGTCGCCGAGCGAAAGATGACTACTTACGAAGTTAAAACAGGGCCTCGTGAAAGCAAATCAGGTAAATTGAACGAAACAGAGAATTGATATACCGTGATCTTGCGAGAAAGGAAGCGAAGGGCGCTCGAAGAAGAACTCCCAAATGCCAACGGGTGGCACTGCTAGGGTTACGGGGTGCGCTGTCATGGTGCACACCGTGTGGTAGCAGAATAGCTGAATTGCAGGATCGCAGAATCGATAATATAGTGTAATTAGTACTACATTCCTATCGGTGTGGATCTGTTTTAAAATAGTGAGTTGCACGGTCACTAATCATGAATCCTTCACTCGCAGTGGCCCGATGTTCCTCGGGTCAAACGGCGTCCCCTCGGCAGCTGACCGAACCCAGGCGCAGAGCCAATTAAGTATGGGCCTACGCCGCAGGGGTTGCGACTTGAAATACCCTAAAGCTTGAGTAATTGGTTGCTGGAACGGTATTCAATTATATTATACCAAATTCGGGCAACGAATCTGAACCCCAACCGTCATATAGGCATAGTATCCGATTTTATCCGACCCGCGATAGATCGTCAGGTTCGATCGATCATATGTAGTCTAGACTCTACGCACCGCACGTAAGCAACAAAGGTCTACAGATGCCTACTGCATTAGCCCTTTGATCATACAGCTTTTTTCCTTTCTAGTTCAGAAGTCTCACATACGCAGTGCTTCAAACCTACAATTTCGCGGTCTCGATGCGAGTGTGAAAGCGGATATAAGCCTAACGCAGATCTACTCCATGCATCATTTCAAACAAAGCGTCTACGCTCTGGTTCAAAATTACTGCTTTTTCCTGCAAAGCGAAGGATCAGTTCTCCAGACTATGAGGAAACAGTTCACCAAGCAGGCCTATACGGAGTTGTCCCACAAACGAGGGACTTGTGTTCGCCAGATAAAATATGGATCTGTAGAGGTGTCGAGCAGAAGCGTAACATACCTATTTGTGTACATTCTGAACTCCTTTTGCTGCACTTCGATCCCACATCATGTATTTGATTTCTATTGCTATGCAGCTGGCCGGAGTGGGTAGTGATAAATGCATCAGTTATACTTGATTTCGATAAGCACGATCGATTCGGGGTTATTGAAGTCTCTGACTGAGCGAAATCTGCTTCAGTATTACATGGTCACATGAAACCCTAGTGAAAGGATCTAGGGCTTTGGAATTAAATCGTGGATAGGACTTGGTGTAAATATATTGCATATTTGTGAGCTTGGCATACTTGGAAGTTTCACTTAGTGAAGACCTTCACATTGATAAAAGATCGTGTAATTTATGAGAAGTACAGAGAAGTAGCTGTACCAAGTGATGGTGGGTTAACTGCAGGGTTCTCGCCCAGTGAGTGTTCATTGTGACCACTGGTTCCTCGTGCATTAGTGTCTTATGATGTTATACACAGGGACAATGACGCGTCCGAGCTGGATTTTGAATCATGTGTTGATTTCAAGATAGCTTCATATATGCCCGGTATTTCTACTTCGTAGTAGGTACAAACCCATCTGATAGAGGGCTTTGCGTATGTATTATCTCTATTTATGCAGAGTACGAAGTCGCAAGAATGGCTCGTTCCGACCCACGGGAGATTTAGATCCACCCTCTCGATTGCCGTTTCGGGAGCAGCTCAAAAGCCGAGGCGGGTCCAGGTTCAACTTCATAGGATGCGGTATCGGGGAGTTTAACCGTCTTCAGGCCCACTTTGACATCCAACTTTTTTCTTGCCTTCGGAGGCTAACCAAATGCGAAGGGGAAGGTCCGTAGTCCGTAGTCCGTAGAAAAATCCTACATTACCCCCAAAGGCATATGGAAACCTGTCATATCAATATCAGAGCCATAACCGGAATGGCTTAGTATATAGTACTTAATTTAATTTTGACTTAATGTCACAACCCCTCCTATAACCATCACAATGTCTGACGAGCTGAGGCCTGTACCTTCAGCCCACTCTATCGCGGATGGCTTCTCCCCGCTCCGCGAGGCTGCGTTCATTATCATTGTTTGTATGTCGCAGTTCATCACGCAGGCAAACATAGGAGTATGTGTGGCGACTCTCGATATCGTCGGGGACAGTTTTCAAATTACTGAACCTGGTGTTCTGTCCTGGTTTATCGCTGGCTATTCGTTGACCGTGGGTACATTCATCTTGGTCTTTGGCCGCTTTGGCGATGTCTTCGGCTACCACCGAATGTTTCTGGTTGGCTACATCTGGCTGGCAATCTGGTCCCTAGTTGCCGGCCTTAGTGTGTATTCCAACCATGTGCTATTCATATTTGCCCGAGTCCTGCAGGGCCTGGGTCCAGCGATGCTGCTCCCCAACGGCCTGGCTGTGCTGGGGGCGACCTACGCACCCGGAAAGAAGAAGAATATGATTTTTGCCATCTTCGGCGCGACTGCCCCAAATGGTGCAATCCTGGGTGCTGTGTTCTCGTCTCTCTTCTCGCAGCTAGCATGGTGGCCATGGACATACTGGACCATGGCGATTGTCTCCGTGGCGTGTGCGCTGTTGGGCAGTATAGTGATCGCACCCGTCCAGCATACGGATTTTAAGCAGTATACTTTCCTCCAACTCCTCAAAACCTTGGATGTGTTTGCATCATCCCTAGGAATCGCGGGTCTTGTCTTGATCAATGTTGCTTGGAACCAAGCGCCCATTGTTGGCTGGAGCACACCGTACGTGTACGTACTTCTCATCATCGGGGTTCTGCTTCTCGCCGCCTTCTTCGCCGCGGAACTTCACTACTCGGAGAACCCGCTCGTCCCAATGAGAGCGTTCACGGCAGATGTCTTATACGTCCTGGGCTGCATCGCCTGCGGTTGGGGTTCTTTCGGTATATGGGTCTACTATTTCTGGAGATTTCAAGCACAGTTCCGCGGCGTATCACCTCTACTAGGATCGGCAGAGTTTACTCCTCCTGGCATTGTGGGGTGTCTGGCCTGTTTTACCACAGGGTATCTTATGAGTCGAGTCCGCCCCGGCTGGATCATGCTCGCATCTATGACCTGTTTCACAGTGGGGAATATTTTCCTAGCCATTGCCCCCGTCCACCAAACCTACTGGGCTCTCACATTTGTTTGCCTCTTGGTGATCCCTTGGGGAATGGATATGTCGTTTCCAGCGGCCACCTTGATGCTCTCCAACGCGTCTAGCAGAGAGCACCAGGGTGTTGCTGCGTCGCTTGTCACCACGGTCGTGAATTACAGCATTTCGCTCAGTTTGGGCTTTGCTGGTACGGTTGAAGTACACGTAAATAATGGAGGTCAGACGCCGAGTGATGTGTTGAAGGGTTACCGTGGTTGTATGTATCTGGCCATCGGATTGGGTAGTCTTGGTATGGCGCTTAGTGCGTTATATACGTTCCGGAGTTACAGAGAAGACAGGAAGATATCTCATCGTGATCCGACGGATAGCGAGACTGGGGTGTCGGAAAAATCATAGACTTGACGTTGCGTTCAACTGTCATGTTGGCCTTGCGTTTATATTTCTAGGGCTGTATACTATTAGACGTGAAGCTCTACCTCGCAAAGAATATTCGCATAAAGTGAAAATAATAGTATTCGGACTTCTACATAACCCTAGAGAATCCAGGGATCTGGGACATAATATTTTAAGCATGAGGTAGTCAGGTTAGGGCAAGCCTATAATGATCGTGATAACATTTCCATAGGCCCTGGTTTAACCCTTTCCCAATTAGGCAGGGTATCTACGTCCAAAAAGGTCTAGTGCCTGGTTTATTTATTTAATGAACATGCGGAGACCCCGCGAGGCTGACAACTAACTTAAAATGAACCCGTTCAACTCGGCTGAACGTAAACCTAGTCGCTGCGCTCTAAGATCGTGCTACACAACCCCGTGTCATTTCTTTGTTACATGACAAACCATCGCTTGGGACGCGTGTCACGAGTATGCGCTTACTCCGCACCAACTCCGTATCCCTGCAGCTGGAGGAATTTGGTGAAGACAAGGTTAACACGCGCAAAATCAAGTATGCAATACTTTCGCACCGATGGGGCGACGACGAAACAAGCTTCCAGGATCTAGCCCGCCTGGAGGAAAACAGGCTCAAGGGCACAAATGGATACAAGAAGATACAATGCTTCCTCCAACGAGCGGCTAAGGATGGATACGACTATGCCTGGATCGACACTTGCTGTATCAATAAGGAAAGCAGCGCCGAGCTCTCCGAGGCCATCAACTCTATGTTTCGATGGTACCAATTGGCGGGTATCTGCTATGCATACCTCCAGGACGTACATCCTAGCCAGGATCCAGCGGATATCAACACCCAGCTTCAGAAGAGCGAATGGTTTCAACGCGGCTGGACGCTGCAGGAACTTATTGCTCCGTCAAACTTGATTTTTCTTTCCAGAGACTGGACTGATATAGGAGATAAAGTTGATCTGAGCCAACTGATATCCGAGATTACACTGATAGATGAGGTTGTTCTGCGAGGAAAGACCCGACTTGGCGATTGCAGCATCGCGAAGAGGATGTCGTGGGCTTCCACGAGGGTAACAACTAGAACTGAAGATACTGCGTATTGCCTCATGGGTATCTTTAATGTGCATATGCCCTTACTCTATGGAGAAGGCAGGAAGGCTTTTATCAGACTGCAGGAGGAGATCATGAAAGAATCTGATGATCAGAGTCTTTTTGCTTGGGACGCCTCTGACTTTCAAGGCTTCAATGCCACTGGATTGCTTGCGCTGACACCAGCCTTTTTCAAGAACTCTAGGAATATCGTTCCTGTCCGATCTTTGAAAAATAGTTCCCCTTACTCGGTGACTAACAAGGGAATTCGATTGCAGTTACCCCTTGTTGGTATCAAAGGTGGTGTAGTCGGGAGGAGCTTTGGGCTTGAAGTGGTCACCCAAAGAAAGGCGCTTCTTTTGGAATGTCAGGAGGTGTCAGCGGATCATCCTGCTAAACCTGTCGCTGTAGTGCTGGGTCAACTAGCTAAGAGTGACTCCCAATTTATTCGACTCAACCCCAGCCTGAACAGACACCTGGCATGGGCTCACCTCCGGTTTGTAGAGCCATCCAAGATTTATGCAAGGAAGATCTACGGGGGCTTCGAGGAGGCTGTTATAGAATCCGCGACGAAATTTGCCGATCCAGGCATGAGTTTTGCTCAACCTCAACGTAATATGATCCTATTTTTCGATGGTGGATATTCTAGCAAGGGGACCGAATCCGCAATTCGAGTCATACGTGATATAATCAGCGATGCCGGCAATTCGCAGGTTTGCTACTACGATCAACCTACTTCGGATGACAGCGTTGAAAAGCGTGTAATGCGCGCGTACAAGGTATAGTCACCCCCCTAGGATGCGTGTGTGCTGTGAACACTAAAGACAGGATTGGTGAATAGTGGTGTTTGGACAACTCCGCTCGTAGGAGCAAATGGTACATTTTTGGCTTTTCAAGCGGAGGTTTCGTGGCGCAGGTTCTGGCTCAGATACTGGAATTCATAGGACTGCATACACCACATCTTCGCGTTCAGCATGACATATGGGGTTCTTACCAGGCCTGGTATCGCGCAGTGTCGCGCGACAACCCGAATTCAGCGAGAGGCGAATTTTCACAGATGAGTTCAATATGGAGTTGGAACGTCGAATGCACAGTTACCTTCTTGGGTCTGTTTGACTCGGTTAATATAGCACCTGGGTGTAATGCGGCACGGGGGACGAGTGGTCATCAGAAAGATGAAAACCTACCGTCGGTTGTTACACATCCAGGTCTTGTAGTCCGCCACGCTGTGGCCATTGATGAACAAGACCCCACATTACGACCGAATCTAGGCAACGAAGCAGCGGAGTGTATGCATGACTTTCAAGAGCTTTGGTTTCCGGGTGGACATGCGGTGGGTATCCCTCCCATTTGAGCACCCGATGAGCTTCTAACCCTTATAGGACATTGGCGGAGTAACTGACCCAAACCCCAATGAGAAATGGAAACTAGGCCATATACCTCTGGTCTGGATGATCCGTGAAGCCACTAGAGCTGGCTTAGGCATCAATCCATATAAGCTACGGCAGTACTGTGGCCCTGAGGAGTTGAAGCCGGCACAACCTCCTGCGAATGATGAAGACGTTCTAGAAAGCATCTTTTCCAGTGACCAGATGAGGGATGGACTATATCGTGCAGCTAGACTAGGTCATATGCACGATTACTGGGAGTTCAACGGTCAATCGACACCGCGATCAATACTCACGACAAGCGTGCTAGAGGACATTGCTCCCTTCGACATAAGAATAAAGATCTTTTGTGCAAGAGTGACCATTCTAAAGGAGCAATTCTTCGCGAACAGCCTATGGTGCAGCAAAAAGAATCCTTTATATAATCCCGGCTTTGTTTTGCAAGAATCAATGCCACTCTCACACCTTGGTCAGGATTGGGTTGAAGAATTTCTCTACTTCCAAATGCGGTACTCGTTCCCAAAGAGACCTATTCCCGACAGACTTCGGCGTGTTATTCCGAATGGTGCCGCATATCACGTCTCTGTCATTCATAGGATGTGCTCCAAAGATAAAACGTATCGACCAGCCAACCCAATTGATGTTTTTGTTATAATTAATCACCCATTTCTCCATGGGGGATGGCAAATAAAACGGCAAGCAGACTTCATAGGAGAGTATCGCATACTTGGGGGGTCACACTATGATTGTTAAGAGCATGCTCCTATACAAGGAAGCCCTGTAGACGTATGAGGTGGTTTAAATGGCACACTTGAACCTCACTATCTGAGTGTGAAATTAGTATTTCCAAACTGGGCATCTAGACGGCTCAATGGATATGGTGGGCGTAATTAGAATGGCAAAAGGTCAAGCCAAAGCATCATTTCAATTCAGAATGAAGTATTCATATTGAGGTTCAAGTGGTACTAGTCCAGTAGACCGAGCAGATAGGAGAATATTCATCTCTTGAGGAATGCGTTCACTGCAAGGAAAGTCTGGAAAAAAAACGTCCCACTTGCAACGGCAGTAGGGGAAGCGAAAATCACTACACCAAGGGTCAATCTTGACTTTATACCTCCCGAGTTAAACCATGTGCCCTACGTTGATCTCCCCCGTTCTACCTGGTCGTCGGGGTTTCTCCACGATGCCCTGGAAAAGTCGGAGGGCTATCCCGATTGGTGCTTTATCTACCCCACAAACCTCTATAGGGAGTATCGGAGGTACGCTCCGGTGACGACGTAGCCCTCTTCATAATATAGTACAGTATACTTCGACTCATCAATCCGGTATGCCTACAAGTTAATATCATTAAGTATATGCATAATAAGCAAGATACAAAAATATCTATTGCCAGTGGGAACTTGCATTTCCGGAAGCCAAATGGTACACCAGTACCAGAACCAGGAGCAAGTAGTTAGGCTACACAAGGCACTCCCAAAGTACTACTAAACTGAACTCACAAGATGTCATAACCATATTTCTCATAATTATCCCCTTCACCTAAAAATCTAAAGCCTAAGCTAATGCAACAACCTCAATCTCAATATCCGCCGGCTTCGGCAGTCCCGAAACCTCAACACTAGTTCTTGCAGGGTTATGCGTGATATATTGTTTGTACACCTCATTGAACTCTTCATAGTCATCGTCGATCTTGGTGAAGATAATCTAAGACATTATTTAGTTCTTTCTTCATCTTCCACTCCTCAGATTCAATAACAGAAATAAACCTACATTGGCCTTGACGACTTTATCCAACGACGACCCCGCTCCTTCAAGAACGGCCTTCACATTCTGCATCATTCTATGTGATTTCTCAGTCACTGAGAGGCCATTGTCTAGGTATTTCCCAGTAGCATCAGCTGCGACCTGGCCTGAAACCCAGACGAGACCGTTTGCTTTGGCTGCTGGGGACTGCGCGGCTTTGTCAATTTCTCAAGTTATATTAAAATTGTTAACATGGATAATGGATGAAAGAGCATACGTAAGGAACACCAGCACGCGCTAGAAGGAGGGAAACCAGGTTAGCATCTCAACTACCTATGCAAGAGGGTAGGACTAAAATATCTCACGAGGACTGCAGTTCTGTCCGTGATGTGTTGTAATTTTCCCCGCTTCTGAGAGCTGCCGCGTGGATGAGAAGGACCGCGTGAGGTGGCCTGCAATGAAGATATTAGGGCGATTAAACGTACGAGTGCCGAGTTGCCATGTTTTAAGGATTGATCGGTGGATTGCCATTTTGATCAATATGATACTCAACGTATGGATTGGATATGTCAGGAACAGTGGATGATTTGTTTCTTTAAGTATTAGTTTGGGGATATAGGATTGTCGGACAGAGAACCCGATTCACGGATTTTAATCCGCGGGGAAGATGCGTGTTAAATGAGGAGAAGCATGATAAGCTAATTGATACATTTATTTTGTAGGTATCTTGCATAGGTATCATCGTTCTAGAGGAGTGCACGAGTCATACAGGCTTTTTCCCTGCCGTAATCCATGGGGCTGATTCTCCCTCATGATTAAACTCATCTAGTCTTAGACTCCCGCTAAATGTATACTATTACATTCATGTACAGTGCATGGGGCCCTTCTCTGTTGATTGTCCAAAACGCTCATGTCATCGTCGTGTTCCCACGACTGTCGTGATAAAAAAACCGTCGGAGGGCAATCCCGACCACCTGTCCCTCGAACAACCCCATCATTGCCTGTACATAGCACTTGATTGAGCGGTCTTGGCTTTCCAGACCGAGATAGGCATACAGACGAGACCTGACACTTTATTGAACATTACTATTGGATTTTTCATTTGCGCAGATCCTAAAGATGGCGGTTCCGATGCATCTCCACTGTTTCTGCCTATGCGCTTGGTTCATACTTCTCTCCATCTCTGTCCTATTCTCTTCTATCCTGTGCTTTTTCTAGTACCCTAATATGCAATATCACCGGTTATTAAACAGGCAGAGTTGTCAACTCCTGAATTAATCCCCCCGCTTAAGAAGGAACTTCCTCATTTCCTGCAAGGCTGGTTCCTGAAAACGGCCTTGTCCACGAACATGCTTCGTGCTCATCAACAAATCTTTCGAGAGCTCGGATATTTGCTTCTGTAAGGGCTTTGGAGCGTGCAAGTAAGGGCAGACGACATCGGTCTGCCAGCGCCTCTGTGGCAATTGCCTCGTGAATCTGGGAGACCCTGACTGTTGTGTAGTGCCGCACGGCCGCATTTTTTTCGAGGATCTCTTTATTAGTTGATGCGATCCACCCAGTCCTGGTTCCTGCAAGACTGTAGGCCTTGCTGAGGGACCCGATGATGACCGTCTTTCCATATCCCAGATCGAGAAAAAGATCGGGGACGGTCGCTATCCGGGAGACGGAAAAGTGGATAGAAAACCTCGTCGCAGAATACGATGAGATCGTGTTCCTCGGCAATGCGGACAATATCCCGTTGCATTTCCAGAGACAAATGAGCTCCGGTCGGGTTATTCGGGCTGTTCAAGACGATCATTTTGGTGTTTTTCTTTATTGAAGACCGGAGAAAGGCTAAATCTAGGGTTCACCCCCTGGCAGGATCAAGCTTCCAAAGGGTCACTTGTGCTCCGAGCATTCTAGGGGTTTGGTAGAGTTGCTCATATGTTGGATACATGACGATGGCGTGGTCGTCGCGGTCTAAAAGGGACTGGCGAACGATTTGATTGGCGACGATACCGCCATTTATCGTCAAAATGCTATCCTTTGTCACATCAGGGTGGTTGTATAACGCTGTAATCTAAACCATGGTGATACGATAACAGTGACAGGACCCGACTATCTGGAAGTAATAGCAGTCATGGAAATAAATAGCCCTATAGTACTAAACCTCTGATCCAAAACGGCTATCTTCGGTATCGGAAACATTGCCCGATGTTCATGACTCATCGCCACAGGCACCTTCAAATGGTCCACAACAAGTAGTAGAAGTCTCATGTCCGAGATCGGTGGTATTGGTAACATCGGTACAGTAGCGCACTCAATAAACCAAAGGTACGCAGTAGCAATCAGTATTATTTGCTCCCGCTATAGCTCTTCAAAATCGACTTGACTGGGATAGGTATTTAATAGTACATACATCCTAAGGGGCGGTTCTTCTGGACCATATCCACTTATTTGAGTGATTTCCACTTAGATTCATCCATATAAACGTTGGTAGTATGAGCTAAACTCCAAGGTAAAAGAGTAATAATAACAGTCACATAACTCTGGGTTCCAATCCTGAAAGGCCCTCAATTGAGAGCTACCAGATATACAATAGAATTCAAGCCTTTTCTGTTTCATGATCCTTGCAAACGGGCGAGCGGTTTTATAATATTTTATCGTCCAGATTGTATTCTTCACTTGGGTTCCGAGTGGAGCGTGAGGAGAGCAACGTGCGTGCAGTTTATTGAATATATCGTCCATCGGTTGTCGGCTGCGTTGTCCGACCATGAAATATTTTCCGACGCCCAAAGATGCTTGCTCTGAGTTGCTCAACAATATGAAAACGACACTCAACTCCCAATATTTAGGCCTAGTATGAGGGTTATACCTCCTGTATTGTCATATACTTTTACCCACTTTATCGAACCATATAAGGAAGTCAGAAACTACAAAAACAACAATCAAGATATCCCAAATGTATTATTGATGGTTTAAGCATACCCGAATTTCCAGGGTTAAGTTGCTTGGATCACAATAAGTCATACGCTGTACTCTGTAGGTGGGATTGCTAGGGCACATTTATTGGCAGTAATTGAACACCGCGAATCGAGAATATCTCTATTTCTGCGCCGACCCCTTCCACTTTATGAAGTGGTACATTTACCTTCCCTGGGCGAGTGTCTCTTGGCGCTATACCGAGACGTGCATACATGGCGTAGGCGTATAGAGGCTCGCCTCTCCTGAACGATAGTCAGAGGGCTGTGTTGTAAGAACATGGATGAGCAGCAGCAGCAGCAGAGCTAGTTTAACGATGTATGATTCCAGTATTTGACATCCAGTATTTGACACCCCGCCAAGTCGGGCGTGGGATCTACTCATTCGATACCCTCCTTGTGACAGTCTTGCTACTTGAGATAGAGGATACACCGAGATCTTACATTATCAACATGAGCATACTGCCCTTTGCACATTACAGAGATCTGAGCCGTACTGGCAAGTCCACCTTATGATATCAACTGTGCTCGAATACAGGCTGACAACATGCTTTGCTCTCCTTCCTGTTAAGGACAAAGCCTAAAAAACGCGAATCATGATGTCATCTCCTTCCCTGTTGCCCTAAGACGGATTATATGGCAAGGAACCCTATCGCCTACTATAAGTAATTGTATTGTATCGGAAGGATACGCGCAGATGTGCCCTTGTTGTTGGTACAACCGTGGCAGGGTGGCAACGCGATTGAGTGGCGCCTGGTAGAAACTAAATAGTATAAGAAGCCACATGTTAGGCATACCTTCGTAGCCTTCGGCATATATCATGTCCTTATTTCAATATGTCAGTACTAAGATGTATATGTTAAACACATCAGAAGCGCTCTTCGCTGGCGCTTCATTGATAGGACTCTATGTCCTGGTCGTGCAATATCTCCGTTTCCAAAGATGTGATCGAATTGAGTCTAAGTTCAGACGGGTCGACCGTCCTCTATTCAGCATGACTGTCAAGGAGGCCCATGATATTATGCGACAGTTACGAGAGCTTGAGTTTCCGTTTGCTTTACGCGGCTCGACGAGGATGACGACACTCAAAGTATGTGTTGTACACACTATACAGCTTCAATTCGGGCATTGAACGATTAATCCATTCTAGACGGCCTCTGTCCCTACCATGGCCGATCTCTTCGTGGCTACCGGCCAGCGGAGTGAGAAGAACAATACCAAACGCGGGGCTGATACGGAGGTGTTAATGAATGGGGTCGGTTGTCAGATGTCGAGAAGTGCGCCGTTGGTGTGTTTTATAGGAGTATGGGGGAGGCGATGGAGCTTCCGTTCAACCTACTCCCGTCCGGTAAAGCTGGCTTCATCGACGGAATCCATTTTGCCCAGGAGCTGTGCGACTTTACGGTGGAATAAGAAATGACTGCAGTCAAGCCAACACAGTCGACGTTGTTCATTAGCAAGCGCTTAATGGGCCTAGAGACGGCCAACTACCCTTCGATACTCAGGCCTGTTGTTGAAAGTATCTTTGCCGCAAGGCTAGATGAACACATCCGAGTCAGCATGGGGTAAGGCGCCCAATCTCTCTCGACCTTTTGGGTGTTGACACAAGGCTTAGTTATCGCAAACCGGGAATTGCTCTTTCATCCCTTGTTGCCAGTTCAGTGGCAATGCGCAAGTTCATATTGCGCTACCTCAGCCTCCCCCGGCCGGACTTCATGGCCGTTAGGGTTCTGGATGCAGCTCCAGATCCATACAGCGGACGCTACGCTATCAAAGAATGGTTAGACAATCCATGGTATGTGAAGCCGACATTTCCAAACCGATGGGGCCTCAATTCCTGGTCGGTGCGACTCTTTGGAACCGGAAATGTGCCCACCAACAATGGGTCTTTCCGCGACGAAGGGTATGATATCAGAGCAATCGGTCCTCAGATCATGGAGAACAAGGGCCAAGCTGAAGTTGAAGCCATCTTCGAGAAGCTCAGGAAGAAAGATGTCCCTACTGGGTGTCCATTCCATGCGTAAAGACAGGGTGTCTAGTATTACTGATTGGGTGCTTGACAATGCTCGGCAACTGACAATGAAGGATTACGGCACTATGTTTCAGAGTAGGATAACACGTCTTGATTGCAAATACTAGCCTTTCCTTGAAGAATAGCTAGTAGTCGACCTGATCCCTCTTTTAGCTTTCTGGGATCGAGAAACTGTTCCGCGTTTGACATTATTCAGGCATTAGCTTCATATAGATTATGTGAAGCATGCTATCTGCGATTATCTTGCGTTCTTTTGTATCATTGAACAGAGCCATAAATGACGATTAAATGTCGAACTCTGGCTTTGAACTGCTTCAACTGGCGCATTTGCGGTTCTCTCCGTAGGCAGGGAAACTGGAGAGCCCCGAATCTGTGGCAGAAAACCAAGCAGCATGGAAGAACTTGAATGGCAGAATGTCTCCGTAATTCAGTAGATTATACGTTGTTCTAATACTACGTCCAGAGAATGATATCGTACATTATCGTGCGTGAAGCGATGAGGCCCAATCCACTTACCAAAGCACCACGACTTTGCCTTCCGCCCGGTTCTCTTCCATGCTTCGATGTGCTTCGACAATCTGGTTAGAAAAGTAAATTCGTATATTTGGCAGTTTCAAGTGACCAGATTCGACCTCATGACAGAGCACGTCCAGTGGAAAGTTCCTGAAGTCTTCCGTGGAACTCTTATATGTTGTAAACGATACAGTGGACGGAACAGCATCCATCGGATTGAAATCCGGAATTGTTGAGTCGCCGCCTATCGTTCCGGCTAGACAAACAATTCCGTACGGTCTTACACATTGCAAGGAATCAGTTATAGTTTTGGCACCAACCAGATCTAGGACCTTTGTGAACTCCAGTCCCTCTGACTTGATCTGTTGTGATAAGTATCCATCGTCAATCAAGATCTTGTTAGCCCCCACACCTTCCAGAAGCTGCTTCCGGGACTCCTGGCGGGTGGTGGAAGCTATAAAAGAGCAATGCCGTTTAGCGATACACGTCGCTGCAAGACCGATGGCTGTTGTACCACCCCGGATCAAAAGGCGGTCATCCGGATGAAGACGTAGAGCGCGAAAGAGGGCATTCCATGCAGTCGGGATCATTTCTGAAAATACCGCGAGGTGTTCCCAGGAAAGTTTACATAGTGGGTGAATCCTTCGAACATGGGTGACAGGGACACGAGTGTACTGTGCATAGCTACCCGGATATTCAGGAAGTAAGTCGCTTATCATAGCAACGACCCTGGTTCCTGGCGCGACTGTACCGTCCCCCGCTGTGACAATGCCAACGGCCTCCCTACCCATTATTTGTGGGAACCTAGCCCTGGCTAAATGGCCTTGCCGGGCGAGGATTTCGGAGCGACTAAGACCGAATGCTTTGACTTCAATTAGGATTTCCCCGCTTTTTGGAGGAGGCCTGGGGTAACTCTCGAGGTGTAGCACCTCAGGAGGCCCTGGTTCATTGACCACGATTGCTTCCATAACGGACTGGTAAGGTTAATCATTTAGTTGCCAGGACCAAGCCAGAGACATAATGGAGAGGAAAAACAGCCGAGGGGAAAAAGTGTCGTTTGGGCAGCAGTGTTTCTCAAAACAAAGGTATTTCATTCTATTAAAAAAGAAACCTACATCTTTAGGGTAATGCTTCTGCCATGCAGGCCGTCCTTCTTTCCGACTAACCCAGACATTACCGGCGTTCCAAGCATCTTTAGAAGTTATACGGCGGCCAATCCCGCTATTCTTCAGTTCTCGTGCGACCAAGCTAGGTCTACTGCCCTTTGCGACCGCTTGTGCAGCGAGCTCCCGAGCAGCGGTTGTGAGTTTATAGTCGAGCGCGGATATATCATGATTGTGTTGGTCCTTGCCTCGGGTGATAGTCATATAGTAGCCGTCACTAACAATCCTGATCCGACATGGACAGCCAATTGGTTCGCGAACAGTCCGTCTGCGTTTGCGCTGTTCATCCGAGACGCTCGGCTCATAGGCTTTGGTACGCCATAATCGACACCAATAGTATGTGGTTGTTTTCTTTTGCCCGTATCTGGATTGGTTCCGGACGTAAATGTTGTCTAAGTATTTCCAAGCATTGTTAAATTCGGTCACGGAAACTGTGATTGGGGACTCTAGTGCGAAGATCTCCGCGCGAAGACGAAGGATATCGGGAGGAATGTTTAATTGCGGCGTGGGCTCATTGGAGGACTCCGGAACCGGGGAAGGAGAGTTCTCCGCCGAGGATGTCATTGTGTCTGTGAAATAGGAGGCGGATATGCTAGCGAAGAACGTGGATGCTTGGGCGATGATCGCAATCCGGTGGATACGGAACATCTTATTCTTCCAATTCCGACACCTAGCATCCCGCTGACTCAGCGGGAGCGGCGCCAAGCGGTGCCTCAGGGCGTCTCCAATATAGTCATCTTCTGATGCACCAGAACTCCTGCTATCTAATATTGAAATCGGAATCCGGATCTCTTATAGAGTGAGATATCTTACCACATCTCTGAAATAGAGTTATGTCTAGGAATTAGAAGACGATCTGGAGATCTAAACTTCTCAACAAGTTGACACTACCCTACTACATACAAGCTCATCCTCCGCTAAATTATGCTGGAATCAGAGTGACACCTGACATCCAACTAGATTGAATGTGGTATGCCTCTCTTAGTGAGAATAAGAGGTTAAGTAGTGACAGGGAAAAATTAAAGGAGAGGAAAGGAGTTGGCTTCATAATGATAAGAGAGGGACACAGAAGGCCCCTCTATTATACATCGCTTAAATATGGAGCATGCCAGTAGCCATAGTTGCCAGCGCAACCACGAATACAGAGTGTAGATAAGAACTTGAGAACGTGGAAGCACCACTGAATGCAGTGCTCGATGAGGCGGCACTTGCACTGGAGGATGAGGACGAGGATGAGGACGAGCTATTGCTTGACGACTTGGTGTTCGTATGGAACAGAGACGTCGTAGACGTTGTCGAGTTCGAAGGAGTTGATACATTCGATGCCTTGATGCTGGTATAGGAGCCAGTCTTGTCTGTGTAGGTATAAGACTTGGCAGGGTTGTAGTTGATAACTTTGATCGACTCCACATACATGGTGAAGGGACTGTCATCATAGTCAGTCTCCCCACCGGCCCATTCAATGGTACCCTCCTCGTTGTCGGGGTCACCGCCAGCCCAGATACCGATCTTGATTCGGGAAGGGGTCTGGGGGAAGTTTTCGCCGTCGAGCGCATCGGCGTAGTTAAGGGTTCGGACAACACTTCCATCGACGAGCCATTCGATTTTGCTTGAGGTCCAATTGATCGCGTAGGTGTGGAACGTCTCTTCAGGCGTAGAGACTGTCACTGTGGTAGCGCGATCGTACGAAGTGGTATTGCCCTTGCCGAAGTAGTTGGTTTGAATCTGGTTATCAAAGGTACTAACTTGTTCCTGTTGCTATCGTTAGCCCCTTCATTGACAGGGATTAAAGATAAAGACATACCCAATCAATCTCGTCCAGGTCGTCGGATTCTACCACTAGCGTGCTGACAATGCCGGTACCATTGGCGGCCCTCATCTTCATTTCTACATAGCCGAAGAAGATGTAGAAATCGCTCTGTATGGTGGGAGCATCGCCCTGCTCCTCGATAGAAAATTCAGCACCCAGTGACGTGCTGCTCACTGTGCCCGCCGTAGTGTTCCAGTACTTGAACGCTGACTGACCCGAGGTGAAATCAGTATATAAGGTTGAGTTTGCCAGGCCAGCATCTGCGGAACAGGTCTCTGCAGAAATCTCATTAGCCACTCGCACCAAAAGCCTGCGAGGGGAGTACAGTTAATGCCATACTCTCTAGAGGGTTACAGGTAGTATAGGTTTGCGCAGTGCACAGCTGTGCCACGAGTGCAACTGCTGTCGCAGACCACTTCAGATAAGATGGAAGAGTCATGTTAGAGTTTTGTGCAGAGGGATGGGGCTGAAGATCACTGCGAGTGGATTGAAGAGAGGGTCAACCTATGCAGCTATGGATGTGCTAGAAGAACAAGGACAAAAACTATATAAGTATAGGCTGGGGAACATAAAGCATATGGCTGGGAGATGGATAAGAATTTTGACTGATCGGAGATAAGAGTAAGACAAATATTGGACCTTTACAAGCGTCGTACCCATCAGTCGGAAGTGGCAACTTGGTAAGACATCTGCTGGTTCTAAGTTCTTCCCAGGTTTGTCAGGCTATAAACCATGGATATACAAAGCAAGAACACTAGTCATTGGATGCATCGAGTCATAACATCTTGTCTTTGCCGGCCCGCTTCCAGTTATGCGATGCAAAGACATCCTCGGCCATAGCCATAACCTTGAGACAGAGGTTTGTCGATGGGTCATGAACAGTGGGGGGAGCAAAAACATTCGGTGAAAGTATTGTTGTAGCCTATGAGAAGTGGATCCCCTTTAAAGCTTGTCTTTCGTGGTTGACACTGCAGATTGCGTGGTTGCCGAAATCTGATATCGGAGCATACGTATGCCTCGCTTGAGTTTTCTCCCGCCATTTGCCCTAACGAGGCCACAACTGTTATACACGTCAAAGTCCACATCTGATTGATAACAATCTCCATTGGTGAATACTGATTGCGAATCTGTTTCAGTATGCTATCTGAAACGAGTACATTCCTCGAAAAAAAATTATTTTCCCCGTCGTCCGAATCTCCCAGCGTTCTCGGATTTATTTGACTTGGTAGACGAATTGGGAACTCGACCCCCACTTACTTGGTTCTACTCGGACTTTGGGAGTATTTGTGGTAGCGCTAATTAAGCCCAGTCAATGTGTCTACGCCAGCACTTTGAAGCGTCCATTTTAGCGTGGTCCATGGGAGAAAAATAAAAAAGAGGGTGGCTAGTGATTAGAACAATAATAAAAAATAAAAAAAGTTTTATTGAGTAAATATGGCAATATCAACGTTGATTGAAAAATAGCTGAGACTTGTCATCCCCTAACTAGAGGCTATTTTAGGGCTTCGCCGTAGGGCTCATGAACCGAGGAGTTTCCATGCAGTGCCTCCCCCTTAAAAGATCTCGGTTCAACCCTATACTTTAAATCCGAGAGTCATGAGATTCGGCAGAAGTGACCATCCAGCGTCAGGGGCCCCAGGTCATTCTCCTTCATGCGCTTCGGCTCTTTCATATGATTGATAGATGGACAATATATACTATACTCTGCGCTTCTTCGCCCACATACAGCATGGGAGCTTTGGCGGCGTTTTCCAGTAATAGTATGGTACCATGTCTTCAGATATTGAAAGAAAAATAGAAGTGAAAAGAGAAGACGTTTTAAATGTCAACGATGGCTTTCTGAACTAGTAGTCCTCCAGCCACCACGAACTCAATCCACCACGCTTATGGTCTTTTATATTTTTAATGACTGCGTGGTGTCAACAGAGTATCCCACGGATAGGATGGAGCACTAACCTCAGAAGCCTACGTCAGACAATTTGATAATGCGAGTCGTTGCACAAGTACATAAAGGTGTGCCAAGAAGGGCCGATGATCCACCTTCTCGAAGGACGTATGAATGCCACTCCACTCATAGCCGCCCGCCAACTGCCGGGCAGTAGAAGAAGCTAAGACGCTTCCACTAAAGCTTCAGGTTGCTTGACTGCTGACGTAGACCACAGAAGCATCAAAACAGCAGAGTTATTGGTAGAAGGAAGGTACTCCACCATCTCATTTCCCTCCAGGCGGCTAAATTTCCAATCCAATGAAAAGAAGATGGATTCCTTGTATGATATTATCTCCAAGTCTTGGACTTTTTTTTTTCAAGGACTTTTCGAATTCTTGATCTGGTATTCAATTCATAGATGAGCAGCTCAGGATTACAACAAATAGTATATGGCAACAGAACCTGGACACGATGGGTCGGGGCATGAAATGGTTGAATGGAGGGGCATTGGCATACTTGAGCATTCAGTTTCTGCGCACAGCGAAAGCCTTCTCCATGGATGTCAGCTCTGAGCGTACGTTCATACACCCTTCTTCCTTCTCCTTTTATACGTGTATAGTTGTGCTCACCCGAGGTGGCTGCAACTATAGAGTCCATCAAAGATGCGGCCAGCACGGCGGCATATGGAATGATGCACTACTATCACGGAAACGAGTCCGGTAATATTCCTGGGAAACTACCCGACACATGGTGGGAAGGTGGCGCCATGTTTATGACCCTAATCGAGTATTGGCACTTTACGGGTGACTCGACATACAATGACGAAGTTAGTGTGGGAATGCAGTGGCAAGCAGGAGATGGAGACTATATGCCTGCGAATTGGAGCTCTTATCTTGTGAGAATATTAGTCTGCGTTGAATCTCCATTTCGCAAGGCGCTAATTAGGAGTAGGGAAACGATGATCAAATGTTCTGGGGCTTAGCCGCGATAACGGCTGCCGAGCTGCAGTTCCCTGAAGTGAGCGATGGATACTCATGGCTTTCTCTTGCTCAAGGAGTGTTCAACACACAGGTCAAACGGTGGGATACCTCGTCATGCGCTGGAGGGATGCGGTGGCAGATTTACACCTACGAGGCCGGGTACCGTATGAAGAATTCTATTTCGAACGGTGGTCTATTTCAACTGGCTGCACGCCTCGCTCGTTATACCAATAACCAGACGTACGCCGATTGGGCTGAGAAGATATGGAACTGGTCGGCTTCTACACCTTTATTGAACACCAACACTTGGAATGTTGCCGATTCAACCGATGTGGATGATAATTGTACATCGCAAGGTAACACACAGTGGACTTATAATTATGGTGCTTACATTGGCGGTGCCGCATACATGTATAACTACGTGAGTTCGATGTCACTTACCCTTGCCGAATGTAGCTTGCAATTCGTGAATGAGTTACAGTTGGTACTGACGGTGCCTAAATATCTAGACGAATGGCAGTACCACATGGCTTACTGCTGTGAATGGCTTACTCAACGCAACTATTGACGGATTCTTCCCAACCAAGTACGGCGGCAACATCATGTCCGACTACACTTGCGAAACAACCGAGGTCTGCAACAACAACGAGATCATCTTCAAAGGGCTCCTTTCAATGTGGTTGGCTTTTACGGCTCTACTAGTACCCTCGACATATAGCACGATTATCCCCAAACTCCAAGGTTCCGGTGTGGCGGCTGCTGAAACCTGCACTGGACACAACAACAATAGTTGCGGTGTCGTATGGTATAACTCGACTTGGGACGGTTGGAGTGGGCTAGAAGAACAGATGAGCGTCACCAGTGTCTTGGCAGCGAATATGATCGGGCTGAATACGTCAGGGGCTCCGGTCACGTCGACGACCGGAGGAAATAGTACGAGCGATCCTACGGCTGGAGAGAATGATGATAAAGGTAGCTCTTCGACAACAACAACAGTTACCACGGGCGATGTTGTCGGGGCATCGATTGTTACTGTTATACTCGTTGCCATACCTATCGCTATGGTAGTGCTACTCATTTTCACATAGACTTTCCCGTTTAGAACTTTATACAAGCCCAGATATATACCCCATGAATGCATATCATACAACACATGCTTGTCCATTCATCGCTCTAAACCATCAGGCGATCTTCCCTCTAGCCTAAGATCCAAAACCATGCCAACACACTCTTGGTGCTGTGGGATCTGCAACACAAGCTCATCGCCCCACACGTCAAACGAACAAGTCTCATACAACCGTCGTGCAGCGTCATTATTTCGTTCCACAATAGACACCACTAAAACACGACTTGCCCCCGCCTCAGTAGCTTCTGTCCGTACTTCACTGACAGCCCGTTCAATCAATCGACGACCGTTCCCCTTTCGTCTCCCCGCCTCAAGAACATACATGCCACCAAGCATAAACACCAAAGTCGCATAACGAGACTCCTCCTTCAACAGAACTCGCTCGTCTGTCAGGGAAAACACATCCCATGGTGCTTTTGACAAAGTTTTGTTATCTTCAGGTAGCAACCTAGGCCCTACTATTGTGACAGTACCCAACCATTCTCGACTCAGAAGAAGTGCTAAAGAGTCCAAGCTGTGGTCTGTTTGATCGTCATAAGCGATAAAGGAACGCGCTTGCGGGTTGGTAACTCGGGCCAGCCATTTCTCATATGGGAACTCAACTTCATCCTCGTACTTGGAAGAGAAGGCATCTGGATTTTCTTTGAGGCCTCTTAACCGAAGGGTTCTATATCGTGTGATTATGGCTTCTAGGTCTTTCTGGTGGGCGTATTCTTTGGGAACAAGTGCGACGTTGCTGGTTTGGGGCGCTGTGGGTTCTAAGGAGGGAGACATTGTAGAGAAGTCTTCCGCTCGAGTTAACGATTATCTAAGTAGGAGAGAATGCCGTGTGATATGGAATAAGAAGATTTTATCTATGTAATGTGCAACTTAAGAAGATGAGTCAACCTGGGCATGGTTACATTGTTGGTCTGACGCGGGAGGGGAAATTAAATACGAGGTGGGCTGCTCGTGCGATATTCGTCCAATAGATGAAAGAAGGGTCCGAGTGTTGATATACCTATCACTCCGATAGTAGAACAATTATCAGTGACCACCAATATACTCCGTACACTTATCTATGTTCCCCAGGAACCTGGAATGGGATATGCATATTCGTCTTGGCGGGGATAGTGGTCAGCATAGATTCGCACAAGGAGGTTGTTGTACGACTAACTTATAGCCACTCCGAGAGTCAACCCAATCATTTTACTTTGCAAATCCCAAGTCTTAGTTATAATAATAGCTATAAGACTTAGTGTTGTACAACATGCTATGTCTAAGGTCAAAGCTTAGGGTCTCCAAATAAGCGCCCAAGGGTTAGGTCCTCACTACTTCATAAGTAAAAGGAGACCACGGTGCTCGTTTTGATACACAGCGTACAAATTCCCTAAAGGAGTCATCAATAAACTAGAGCCTATTCATTCACTTATTGTCAGAAATAAACTGTTGTGGGGAATAAGCCAAGAGTTCGAAGCCACGGACGTTCGCCTCTGCAAACAAAGAAACGTCTTTTACCAACTCCAACCTTAACAGCACTATACTAGTCGTCACCAATGCGATGCACAGAACAAGATCCAAAGCCTACTTGCATATTTTTGGGGATCTAAACCTGAACAGTCTGCCAAATGTTGAAGACAGAAAAGTTTTGTTTCTCGACAGACGCTTTTCTGCTGATAGTTCATCATCCTTTCAACTGCAGTCCGTTTTGATATAAGGAAATTATGGACAGCCATTATAAAAATCCATACACGCCTCTCAGTACCGAGGATGGAAATACATCCTCCGATGCTCTACCAATACAGGCCCAGAAGGATCACGCACATGCCAATAAGGGAATCCTAGCTCTTACGACCTCATTATTTCTTCTATGCGCCGGTCTAGGTGCGGCATTATACTATCAGATAAATTCAGCCTGTGGGGTTAGTTATGTATCCGAATCTTCGCATATCAAGGGTCAGTCGTCATTTTCAACGATGCTTTCGGTTGCACCATACCTAGTACTAACTTCGAGAAGTACCTCATCGGGCAGTGATCTTTCTTCCACACGACGAGTACACGCATCAGCTTCCAGATGAACCGGGTTCGGTATGGGATAAATTAATACCTCGTCAGTGGCGACCACAGACAGGAAAGTTCGTTCGTATGTCTTTGCTCATATATCAACAGCTGGGAGAGGCTTTGTTGCTGCAAAGCAGACCAAGTCGGGAGCTTTAGCCTTCGAAGAGTACTCCTCGGTATCCCTTGGTGCAGATTCATCCAAAGAATACTACTGTATCTCAGCCTTCCACCAAATGCATTGTCTGGTAAGTCCCGGACCGCCGTATATTGCATATTGCATATAATGGATCGTTGTGCTCACACAAACTCACCAGGCCATCATTTACAATGCCATATTCTCGAAAAACCACTCCGACCATCATCACAGGGATGATCATAGCGATCATACCAAGCACTGCATCGATTATCTTCGACAGGTTTGATTCCCTTGAGAACCATTCATCCACGGGTCGTATAACTAATAATAGTTTAAACAGTCCATAATGTGTGCGAGTGATGCGACGCTTGAGAGCTCAGGAGTGCTAGAGGGAGACGGAAGCACTATCAGGGCTGTCGATGGGTGGAACAATACGCATCAGTGTCGAGACTGGGATAGCCTGTATGACTTTGCTTCACGCCATCGCATGTTAGACTCGGATGGTATTGTGTAAGTGTACATCTCCAGGAAAGGAAACTTCATTACTTGGGCGGTGCTCAGCAATGGGAGACCTTCCAACTATCCTAAACACAATAAAACATCCATAACTTAGTTACCAATTCTTGTTATGAAGCGCGGTTACTAAGCCACAGAATCGTATCGTGGGCCATCGCACCTAACTAGGACAGGTGAGAGTCATTGGAATTACATCAGGATCAATGGGGAAAGTAGGAGCTTGTCGCTGAGCTGCTCCCACTTGGCCCCGACAAGTTAGCTATTGAGATGTTCACAGGCCAGATGACATTAATAGGAAATAGCTAATTCAATAACCTGGACAGTGCACTGTGTCAGGGGACCGCCACACCCTGCCGGCCGGCAATGACCGTGTGGCTCAACCCTAACAGTAATCGGTTCCAGAAACCTGCAAGAGCCATTGGATGATATTCCATCTCATCTGAACAACAATCAATCGCTAATGAGGTTATGGCCGTGTACAACACTTGGTATTTGCCAGAGAATTGAACGTGTGTACGGCAAAGCAAATATTCCAGCTTCCTGTCCTGGCAACACGGTATCGAATCATCATGAACCATTTGTGTATATATGATCTCATACGGCTTCCACATAATACAAGTCGAGATTCTAGACACTCAGTCCCTGATTCAAGGGTGAAATTGACTTTCGATCGGACTTCCTTCGGGATGATATGACGTTGATGCTGCCAAATAGCTCCCCAAACGGGACCTTCTGTAGTACATACCTTACCCTATATCAGCGATAGATCTGCTTTCTTAGTAGTGTGCAATCTTAGCATTCACTCATTTAATTTCCCCTCCTTCGTTTTCTTTCCATGGTCCTGGTCTTTGCTGAGGTAATGTAGTAATGCTGTTTATTATGCAGAGTCATCGTTAGGTTTGATCTTATAACATGAGACCCTCTACTGCTGCCGTTGTTGTCTTCCGCTTGTGGTCGTTACTAGGTCTTAATACTATCGTGGTTACGCAGCGTACCAATGGAGGTTATCGCCCAGAAAACCTATCACCCTGTGCAGTACGTATCCTCGCCCATTCCTTCCTTGTTTCCTCCATAACTGATCAAGTTGTATAGCTGGCATGTCTACAAGGCGCCGTTCCTATTTCCCGCTGCGAGATTTCTGACATTGAATGTCAGTGTGAAGATAAAGAGTTCATCAAGCACGCCTCAGCCTGTGCGGTGAAAACCTGTAAACTAGAGGACCTGATGCGTACGTATGCCAGCTTGCTCGAAAATATTCAAGCCTACCATAACTAACCTAGTGGCTTCATAGAACTAGTCCGAGGGGATGCTACGCAATGCAACCGGTCCGACACAAATCATCAAAACCTGATGATCGCGCTAGCTATCACTACACCAACACTCACCTTTACAGCGATAGTCTTACGTATCTTGTCCAGGCTGTGGACAGTCCGTAAGCTATGGTGGGATGACTGGATGCATATACTCGCAGGGGTACGTTCGATATCTGTGGACCTTCCATCTCCAAAGCACCCCCATCATTGGAATCCTCTAATTGCTAAACCAAGGTATTCGCAATACCCCTAAGCATTTTTGGAAACTTCTGTAAGTGCGATCCCTTCCATCATATGTCCTCCATTCACGTCAATAAAACTGACAGGCTATGTAAGGTGTTAGTCAAGGATTCGGACGTCACCTCTATGATATCAAAGTCGAATCCCTCACCCAGATAACCGACCTCTACTTCTGGTGTAAGTGTCACAGCTTCCTAACAATAGATACACCACACTAAACAGTCGGCTTTTATCAGGGTACATGTGCCAGGTCTTCTGGCCATTCACTGTATTCTTCGTCAAAATGTCCATCCTACTCCTCTACCTCCGCATCTTTCCAATCGCCCTGTTCAGGAGGGTCAATTTCCTCTGCATCGGCTTCTTAATTGCATCCTTCCTCGTCACCACACCGATGGCAATCTGGCAATGCAGACCCCTCCGAGCCGCATGGGACTACGACATCGACAACGCCCGGTGTCTAAATATCGCATCCGTAGCCTACGCCAACGCTTCACTAAACATCATCACCGAAGTCCTAATCTTAATCCTCCCATTCCCCGTCCTTCGGACACTCCATGTCTCGCGGAGAAAGAAGGTAGCCCTAATCTCTGTCTTCAGTGTCGGTACAATGTACAACCTTCCCACCCCATCGAATAAAGTGCAGACAAGATTATTAACCATATGTGAAAAAATAAACAGAGTAATCGGAATAGCATCCGCACGCATGCCCGCGCTCGGCAAAATGGGAACATACTACGATCCCCCCTCTTCCCAAGCTCCTGCGTTCCTGCTTAGCTGCGTCGAGGCAGCCATGGCGCATGTCTGTGCCGCTGCCCCGGTTATCTATACGGCCATCGTGCAGATGAAACGGGCACATGGGAAGGGCTCGCAGTCGTCGCCTTCTACTTCTCGTGAGGGACAGGCTGGGCCAGATCAGGTTGGTGGGTCGGAGCACTCGAGGAGGAAATCCCAGGCGGCGATCTACTCCTCGTTGCATATGTCGGATGTGGCTATTATGGGTCGGGGCTGGATGCAAAGTCAACGTTGGTCGAGGGGTTCTGCACATTCGGCTCATCATTTGGAGCGTGCTCATAGTGCTTTTTACTCTGATCCTGAGTTAGCGGCTAGCCCACGTCCTGGTTTGATACGTATGGGTACTAGTCGCGGAAGTTGTGGCTCGACTGGAGGGTTGGCTTTGTTTCCAACCCCTGAGATAGGTGATCGGATCGAGGAAGTCTGATATACCTGTTACATACATTATTTGGGTGGGTACCTAGCTTTTGGTGGCGTCTTTATATATAGAGGTGCTGCCGTCACTCTCTGAGACGCCATCTAAGTGAGTAACCAATACTAATTTTATAGTTGCTATTATTGCTTACGCTATACTAAGTAATGCGCCCGCTCAACTGGTTTCGCCTAGAATCGCAAATGATAAAAGCTCCGATGGATGTGGCGCATTCTTACTCTCATTTCAGCTCCTTGAGGGCAGCCTGGGCTCTCCGTTGGATTAATACGCCCAGAGGGAGGTCTTCTTCGTCATAGAATTCAATATCTTCGTCGACGCCAAAGTCACGTAGCCGTTCACCTTCTGAGTTTCTCCAGCCTTCTTCACCGTAGTCGGACCCCTTTTCATCGGGACCATCGGATTGCTGTGACTCGTCTTCCTCTGAATCTTCCGCCAAGCGTTTATGGAAACGCTTGCGGCGTTCGATTTCTAAGCCCGCTCTTTGACGTCTAAGGTCCTCTGCCTTTCTTTGATTAAATGCCTGGACATCATAGCCGGAGGTCTCAGCGCCAGTGAAGGCAACACTATCGCCGACGTCTTTTGGTGGCAGAGGAATACGATCTGGATCCGGTGGTGGCCAGGAAACATGGCGATCTGATGCCTGTCAGCCCTCACTTATCGACTAATTTGAGTCATGGGTGACCCGGCTTTGGTGGCTACTAACCTTCAAACCCATTGACCTCGTACTCTAGCCCTGTGTTACGGTCCGGTGTTCTTGAAAATGGCCAAAACCAGCTCAAGACCTAAAATCAACCTGTCAGCGACGGCAGGAAGCTCAAGCCAAGGTGACCAACATTTGAACTCCCACCCATTCCTTCTCTAATATTTGACCATATTCCAATGTCGTACGGAAATTCTTGTCTCTTTATGCGCACACGAACCCCGCCAGGGCCCTCCAGATACCCACCATAATGGCGGGCTCGTCGCAACAGTGTTTCGTGTCTCTCAATCTCCCATGACTCGATGGTAGTAGTATTGGCACCAAGCGACCAGAGAGTCCGCACAAGAAGTATAAACAGCATAAAAACAGTCAGGCTGTTTACAACAAAGAGAATAAACAAATGACCTAGCTGCACTACGCTTGGACCCAGGTACTAAGAGAGACGGCTGTCAGCGCAAGGCGGATAATCGGAATGATCCTCTTCTTACGCTAGGAAGATTCCTAGATGCCCACACAATCGACGCTCGCTCGAATAAGAGGGTTTCGAGATAACTCATACCCACGACTGCGTAAAAAAGGAAGCGCACGAAGTGAGGGAATGTGAAATGCGAAACACAGTTTGCCGTCCACGGACAATGGTGGTCCATTTTGGGAATACATCTATTGCACGAGATCAGTTCGCTATGGTATGCCAGATTATATTTCGTGTATCGCCTACCTCTGGCATGTCTTGCAATGGTGTGCTCGTGGTGGTTTGAAGGCTTCACATCTACGGCACCATCGTTGTCGGCCACTAGCACGGTCGGCCTCCAGTTGCTTGACGTCTTGAGGCCTCCAGTCTCTAGGAACACATCCTGGGTCTACAGTGCAAGCTCGATAGTAGCATATCCAGATACAAAGGGCGAAGATGTTAATGCGCCATATTTCGTGCTCCCTGAGTGGTGCTGCCTCGAAATGCTTGAAGAAATACTGCGACGTGTATGCGAGGAAACTGATCAACGCACAGACCGATGGAATCGCGAGTCGCGATATATGGAATGAAGAACAAAGCATCCTGCTTTCATGTCATGATCTGGCGCAAAACCCAACGTATCCTTAGAGTTGCAACATTGTTGATTATGTCTTCCACGATAAGGTTCGGAAGGAATGGCCCAGAACTGGCTGACTAATACCTACTCACGTGGCGTGTGCCAATCATGTGCGTGGAAATACTCGGCTGTTAGTATCTTTCATTTGCTTCCCTTTCCTTCTTGCCATGAGAATCAATCCTCCTCACCAACATACTAATTAATTAATCACTCCACTTATATACTATATTTCCTATCATATTTTCATTTTACATCGCCTGCACCAACTTCTATAGGAGCAATGGTCTCTCGTTGGCATCAGTACAATCTTTAAAGATGCCGATCACGGCTCTTCCCCCGACCACCGTCCGGGCGATTGGCTCAACATCTGTAATATCGGACCCGTGCTCTGTTGTGAAGGAGCTGTTAGACAATTCCTTAGATGCTTCTGCAACTTCTATAAGCATTGAGATATCTTCGAACGCAATTGACATGATTCAAGTAAAAGATAACGGACATGGAATCCCTTCCGGTGACCATGCTTTAGTTTGCAAGCGCACTTTTACTAGCAAGATCCAAACCGTTGAAGATCTTCGGACCCTTGGAGGGAAGTCTCTAGGATTTAGAGGGGAAGCTCTTGCTAGCGCTGCCGAAGTATCAGGTGGCGTGACTATCACCACTCGGGTTGAGGAAGAGATGGTTGGCACCTCCATGAAGTATGGAAGGAATGGGGAGCTTATCAGGTACTTATACCCTTTATGCAATTCTGGTCGCATGGCTAATTTCCCTTGTGTGAAGCTCTCAGCGTGCATCGCATCCTGTGGGCACGACAGTCCGTATAACTAATCTTTTCAGGCACATTCCTGTTCGAAGACAATCTGCTTCAAAAAGTGCCATGAAGACTTTAACGCGAATCAAAAAGCTTATACAGATATATGCTATGGCACAACCTTCAAAACGACTTTCATTAAAGGTTCTAAAGGCTAAAAATGAAAACAATAATTGGATCTACGCTCCTGGACGGGACGCAACTGTCACAGACGCGGCATTGAAGATTGCCGGCACTGATGCCAGTTCCAGTTGCGTCTTGAAGAAATGGCCATCTAAAGACGATGTAAACTCCGAGCAGCCCCAAGAGGAGCATACCTCCGGGTTTGTACTCCTCGCCTTACTACTGAATCTCGACACCGGTATTTCGTGTTGTGCTCCTTCCTATCCCTTGATACAATGGCTAACAAATAGCAGATTGCACAAAGGTGAGCAACGCTGGCCAGTACCTAACTATCGACGGCAGGCCTATATCCAGCTCTCGGGGCATAGGGCAAGATATTTCCAAATTATACAAATCTTATCTTCGTTCGGCTTTTTCCCGCAGTGAGGACAGTCCGTCCATAACTGATCCGTTCCTCTGTTTACATGTTCAATGCCCTCAAGGAAGTTATGACGTTAATATAGAGCCGGCAAAAGATGATGTTCTATTCGAAGATTCCCAATGGCTACTTTCGCTTGTGGAGGACCTCTTTCAGAGTGTGTACGGCGAAAATGAGCCTCATCACAAGAAGCGACCGACCTCCACAAAAGAGAAGGGCACTTTGTCTGATAAAGATTCATTTGACCTGCTTTTGAATCGAAGAAGCCCATCTCAAGACTCGCTATCTGCGGATGCGAACTCGGGATCTTATACGGCTCGCTTTGCTACAGCTCGCTCGGTTACTCAGTCAGCGGAGCCTCCGCCTTCTTCGCACGTTAGGAATGGCCAGTGCTCAGCCTCTTCTCAGACGAGCCGAGTATCAGGTATCGACAGCCGCAGAGGGACTACGGACCGTGAGTTCTTGAACCCTTGGTCTATAACAAGATGCAACACTCCATTTCGCAAATCCGGTGAAAGTCAGACACGAAATACAACAGTCCATCGGTCACCCATAAATGACCACATACACATATCTAAAGAAGGACGCAGGGGGTCACAAGAAACGCCGCGACGGCACTCAGCCGGCTCCTTTCTACCCAGCCCAACCACATCAACTCCGTCAGCGTCGAGCTCTCCGTCAGATTCGCGATCCTTTCAGACGGGCCAGGTGTCACCCACAAGTCGTGGTTGCGAGGAGGCCACAAGGGCTTCAAGGCAACGAGCCAGGGAAAAGTATGGTAACGGAGCTCTGGACACCTGGTTCGGGAAGACTACTCAAGTAGCATTCACCCGGATAGCTACTGAGGGGCCATTGGATGACGATCAGGAAGAACCTCCATTGAGTCAACTAGCACATGAACGCTTTTGTTCTGAAGAGCAGTCTTCGCCTGAGTCATCCGAAATCGCAAGCCGCACAATGCCCATTAGGCGGGGCTCCGCTACCAGCGCCCTCGAGAGCTCGGCTTTCTCGAGTACTCAACCCCAAAATCGCATCTCTAGGATATCGCCACAGTGTCCAGCTTCAGAAGTAGGAGAACGGCGTCAAGAATTTCCTGTTCTGGAACAGTGGTCTTCCAGACTGCACAGCCTTGCTAAGGACAGCCCAAAATCAGATTTGGAGACCGCTCTTGATTTCGAGCATCGAAAGAAAGAAGCCATCCAGCAACGACGGGAGATTATCAAGGGTCACTCCAAACCACCTGCTTCGATTAACTCGCCGCATTTGAGCAGGTACCTTGCTGCGCGTGCTGCTCTGCGTCCCGAATTCAACGAGTCTACTCATAAGTTAAATACACTAACTTCCGCAAAGGTTACGACAAGACCAATCTTAAACCCTCATGACCCACGATCCTACCTCATACGACATCAGGACACAAGCGCACAGGATGAAGGACCGAGGGATAACAAGGTTCGGCGTATTAACACGAACAAATTACCATTCGAAAAAATACCAGAAGGCTATGAATTGCACAACATAGGAATCAGTCTATCAGCTACACTCCCAGTCCTTTCAACATTATCAAAAGAATTATTTAAGAGCGATTTATATACCCAATGTGGAGAGCAGATTGAAGCATTTTCCGCTTGTGATCTACAACCTGATCTCGTTCTATGGACGTCTAGATTGTCCGCCTTGGTCAAAAGCAAGTACAAGGCAAAAGAGGGATCTAGAGATCCTACTCCTCGATTTGACTTTTCTTCCTTGACCGAGACTAGTAATGGTCATAATTAATGCATCTTATTCATGTGTTTGTGCATCGAAGCAGCACAATTTGACAACTTTCTAACCCCATGTCATGGCGACTTCAAAGTGAGGTGGCGATGCGTGTGTATGTTTATGTTCCTGTTTACTTTGGCGCGAGTTCTCGGATATTCCAAGAAAGTGGGTGACATTAAACCAAGAATCGATCTGGTCTCACTGTGAACACTACTAGTATGCAAGACCGCCCCGGGCCAGTGGGGATATTTGCCATATTCGGCAATCCGAACGTCACTTAAATAGTTACAAAACTATGACATCAACCCTTACATAGCAGCTATAAAACCAACCATGCACCATTCTTCTCCTCAGACTCAATTGCATCCAACTCGCAAATATGGATATCTACGGCTCCAAAAAGCCGATGGTCGACATCGACCGAACAATTGACCAATTAGCCGGGCAACAGCCCAGGCCGGGCTTAACCACCGGCGATGTCGGCATCTTCAAATCGACTATCCTCCCCTCATTCACCTTGCATACCGGGCTTTCAATTGCCTCTTTTATCGCAGCAAAAACTACCGACAAGGGCGAGATCAAGGATTGGTGCTGGCCATCAAGTCAAGTGATCAACGCCTGGTGGAGCGCCGTTGGCCGTCAGATTTTCTACGAGAATGTTTCCTTTTCAACTGCCTGGAAAGCTATTCCCTGGACCGAGAAAGTACTACTCAGCTGCGTGACGATCTGGGGTACCCGACTGTTCTACCGCATCTCGAAGAGAACCATCACCCGTGGCAAAGACGATCCAAGATACGATGAGATGAAGTCGAAGGATCCTGGATTCTGGAAATCCGCTTTCTTGAAGCAATTCCTTCCCGAGGCCGTTTTCTTAACTCTTGTCACCCTTCCATTCACTCTACCTTTCCGGTTGACTGGGTCGTCTTTGAACTTGGACACTGACACTGCCGCCACCATTCGCGGTCTCGGTGTAGCACTCTTCAGCGCTGGTTTCGCTTTGGAAGCTATGGCCGATTGCCAGCTAGAACTGCACCGCCAGGAACGGACTGATCTCTGCCGTCACGGTGTCTGGAGTATCGTTCGTCATCCAAAGTAAGTCAATCTCTACAAGCTCCCTTCCGGTCGTAAAGTGATGGATCAGTTTTTAATGGGACCATAGCTACCTGGGTGATGCTTTGGTGCACATCTCCTTCGTCGTTCTCAACGCTGCCAGCACCTTCAACCCCTTTGTGCTCCTGGGTCCTGTCGCAAACTACATCTACCTCCGCTTCGTGGGTGGCGACAAGCAAAACGAAGCTAGCCAGGAGGCCCGTTACAAGGAGCAAGATCCACACAAATATCAGCAGCTGCAGGCATGGCGTCGCGAGAAGAACAGCTTCTGGCCCAACCTCTCTGAGTTGGCGAACCCGTGGGCCTGGGCTGTTGTCGGCAGTGGATTGGTTGGTGTTGTTTTAGAAGAGGCTATTCGGGGATGGGCCCTGCAGTAATGTTAGCTGTACAAGCATCTCATATTGCAGTATATATTATAATGTATACCGTTACGAATTCATTCCAAACATACAGTGTCCAAGCTTAACTTGAAAGACGCTCATGACTTATATCAAGAAACAACATCAAAGCCGCTCCATAAGCAACTTACTAACATAGACAAAACCAAAGGGGGAAGGGAAAATAAAAAATAAAACAAAAAAAAAGAGAGAAATCAATACCCCTTCCCCCTCCTATACACATTCAACAAATCCTCCCCCTTCATTATCCTCCCCACATTCTCCTTGACAATATCCAACGACCTCGGAAAATACTCCACCCCCAAAGAACTCACATGCGGACTAATCTGTACATTAGGAACTTCCCACAACGGGTGCCCGGCAGGCAGGGGCTCAGGATCCGTCACATCCAACGCCGCGCCGCTCAAATCCCCAGACTTCAACGCGCCAATCAACGCCTCCTGATCGAGGACCTTTCCGCGTGAGATATTTGTCAAATACGGTTTCACGCCTTTCGATCCCTGACTAGAAGCCAAGAGCGCAAATTCCTCCGCGCCGAGAAGATGCGTCGTCTGCGGCGTCAGCGGAAGCGAGATGACTATATGATCCAGACCGAGTTTAAGGAATTCGCGGATAGATGCTCTGTCGATTCCATGATGCCAAGATATGGGGATCGTGCCTTCTTTGTCCCCTGTTCCGGGGACTATAAACCCGTTGTCGTGTCGTGAGGACGGGGTTGGTCGTGGGGAGGCTGTGTAGGCGTAGACTGTCATGCCTAGGGCTTGGGATACGCGGCCGACTGGGTGTTATCTCTTGTCAGCTAGGTATTTGTCTACGTCTGAGTATGTATTGATAAGGGTGAATATGGAGGCGAATATAGAAAAGGAAAAGAGAGAACTTTACTCTGTCGTCCAATACTCCCATACCCCAATATCCCAACCCGTTTCCCGACTTGATCGTGCACCCCCTGGAAGTACCCACTGTTGCTATCGCGCCATTCGTGTTTCCTCTGCCCTTCGTACATGTATGCATACTTGCGTGAATGAACGAGCCAGTTCATAACCGTCCATTCGGCGATCGGGGGCGCATGCACCCCAGAGCTGCTTGTCAAGGGGATGGCAGTTTCCTTGAAGATGGGGTGCTGGATAGCATGGTCCAGACCGGCGGAGAGGAAGTGGATGAATTTAATACTGTAGATAATGTTAATATCATCTCGTCAACTTTCTCAACAATCAAATTTGCATTTATATGTATATGCTATGCAAGTCAGATAGCTAGTACATACTTCTCGGCATCCTCGGGTTTCGGGAGATTAGTAAATGTAACAATGTAAGTTGCTTTTCTGGCTAGTTCTGTATATTTACATTGAATACAACAATTGGTGTTAGTTTTATAGATATATATGCTTAGAGCAGGACAGGATACGATAGGATCAACAAAACTCACCACTAGGAATATCCTCCCCCATCTTCAACGTCACACTTAATACTTCCAGCTGGGGGAACTTGGCCTTGATTTCTTCCAGTTGATCCGGCGCTAAGTCGCGCATGAAGGTTATCAGTAGATTTTCCTTGGATGCTGGTGCTAGTGCTGCGTCGCCCATTGTGTTCTGTCTTTATTTGTCTGGGATTGGGACTGTTACTTTAGTACGCACTGAACATGCACTGAACTGCACTTATTCTGCTAAAATAAACTGGGAGGGAATGTGTGTATAATATGAAAAGTGTAGCCTATGTCGCAATTGAGAGGGAATCGCACGCGGTTCTTTTGGGGGAAGGTGGGGGTTGTGGATAAATGGGTTGATTTCCTTATCTTACTGGAACTTAGATCCTTTTGAATTGATTTCTAAGCTTGATTGATTCGCCGAGGTTGAACTTGCATTAAATTTAGAACTTTCGGGGACTTTGTTTCTTTGTTTCAGGTTGAATTAGGGTTTCTTCTTTTTAGTTGGGTTTGGGTTGGTGTTGACATATGTGATATTACTGTATACTATTTGCATGATATATACATTTTATATAGTACAGCTGGGCTAATTAATGCACCTCATGTATCTTAGAATATTAATACACCCATCCCCATATATAGATATAGGGTAAATAGAAGAAGAAAAAAAAAACATCAAGGAACCCAAACCATTGAATCCTGCACATATCCATCCACCTCGACCGTGGACCGAACCTCAAACCCCAACTTCTCATAAACCAATCTCCCCTCCCGCGTTGAAGACAAATACACCTCCAGTCCTTCCTCCTTCGCTCTCTCCAATCCCCAATTCACAAGCATCGTCGCAACACCCCGTCTCCTTGCCGCAGGATGCGTTCCTACAATATCCACGTCTGTCATCGCATCCAAATTAGCACGATACCTAAAACACACTGAAGAAAAGGAAAAGAAGAAGAGGAGGCAGAAAACATACAATAATACCTCTTATCCCCCATCACCTCGACCTGCTGCTCATAATTCCGACCAAAGAACCTCTCGCACAACGCCCCGTCACAGCTCTCCGGCCAAGGCGGACTGAACCCATCCTCAAGTTCTTCAATCTCTACCCCCTCAGACCCGGTCTTATTCTCCGTCGTTGAGACATTGGGCACCGAATCAGGAAGTGACCAAAGTGCAAATCCCACAATTGAAGGCTCATTTTTAGCCGGGTCAGCGTCCGTGTCGATTACTTTTAGGAGGCGTTTGCGTGGGTTCCGGATGTCCTGGGCTAGGGCGCGTGTCCACCAGGTGTGCACGTCCGGTGTGCGCGGGAAGAGTTTCGTGTTGAAGTTGTCGGAGAAGGTTGTGAAGAAGAGGGTTGCTAGGGCTGGTGTGTCCGGAGGTGTGGCGAGGTTGATTCCTAGGGGCATTTTCTCTTTTTTTATATAGCTTCTCTTTCTCTTCTTTTTCTCTTTTGGACTTTTGGCTGTTTTAATTGAGATAGGGAGGTGGATTGCGGTGTAAGGTGGGTTTTGGTGGTGTGGTTTATGGTCGATGCCAAGATGGGTTAATATAGTTGGCATTAATGGATTGTCTTAATGCTGTTCCTGGCTTAGTTTGTGTCGGATGAACTAGGGGTGTGAGTATGAGGTTGGAATTGAGGTTGTTGGAGTCTGTATGCTTCTTAGGCCTCGGATATCTCTGGCGTAGTTATTCTGTTTGCTGTGTAGAGACATGTAGATCAGGTGTCTGGTCTGGGATCTTTTCTCACTTCTGGAGGAAAGGGCTAAGCTACGTCCACTTGATGGCAAACTGGGAGGTAGCATTGCTGGAGCCGGTGGCATGAATAAAGCGGTTGCTTTGCAAGGCGAGGTCATTTCTCATATTAAAACACATCCAAAGCAGTGCGTGCCCGAGTTAGTAAAAGGCAGACTGCAGTTGCTCATTAGATTCCCGACTCTATCGAGGCAGACACGTACACACATAACCCTCCCGCTGAAGGACAGACAGCAATAACTCAGATAGGACATATTATATCACAGCACATACACATTGCAGCGTGAACCACATCAAATCTTCTCATAAGACCGTTCCGGGATCGTCACAGGACTTGGACCTGAAGCATCCTGGCTCCGCGATTGCGAAGGCAAGAAAGATCTGCGACTGTACTGACCATGTTGCATCGGCCCTCGACTCTCGCTGCCGCCGCCGTTCATTCCTTCGATCTCCCGTTTTACGCCTTCGTACAGATGCTCAATATACTGGATCTCGTCTTGTACGTCAAGATCGCACCCATCCAAGCAGAATTCACGTTCCCGTTGTTCGATGTATTCACGGATATTGCGCCATTCATTCTGGTAGTGCTTCAGTCGATCGGGCAGACCGGATCCCTTCAAATAGGTCAGGATTCCGGCCATGATAGTGTTGATAGCGCCGAACGCGGTTACAGCGGAATGTGGACCAGCAGCGGCACCGAGAGCTGTGAGCGATGCAGCCACGACAATCTGGATAGCCAAGCAGGTGTTGATGAGGATGCTGTAAAAGCGGTATCGCTTGGCAGTGACTTGCTCTGCTTGGACCACCCGTGCATAGATGCCGACGTTGGGAGCGGTACGGTTGTAGTGGTGGAGTGTGTTCAATGTCGGGACGCTGTCAATGCCTGTGAGGGCACGGAAGACAAGAAGCTTGTCGCTGGGTGGAATCAGCGCGTTTGCTTCCGTTCTCGCAATTGTGAGGCGCTTTGCTCGAACTTCTGGCGGCATCCCCATTGCTTCGTTGTGGTTGTTCATCGGGGGTACACTATGAGCTGCTGTGGGGAGAACAGGATCAGGATGGCCAAGGAAGGCGACCAGCAGCCGTCTTGCGAGGCCATCGCGATGTGGATATTGTTCACTTGACATGGTGATGTGAGGAGTTTTGTGAAGCTATAGCGCCACCGGTAGCAAAGCTTGTGGGGGGGGAGGGCTTTATATGTTCAGGGACAGACGCTTCACTTCCCGATAGAATCCCGGGGTATGGGTCACAGTAATCATTGTTTTCGTGGTCTTCTTACTGGGTCTTACCAATCGGTGAGACTCAGCTAACCAAATTCTGCTTGATGGGTCGCCTTTTTCTGCGAGGTGCACGGGCACCGCGAGTGACAGAGAGAGAGGGACATGAGTCGAATCCAATCATTGGAGCAGAGAGGTTCGAAAACGTGCCAAACTTTGGAGGAATATCCACACGGCTGGACCCTCATTACTGCAGATCGAGAAAGATTTTGGCAAGCTACCCGATAGCTAAAGAGAGCGAACGGGAAATTAAGATAAGTCGGACATGGCACAGCCACTCATAGACAACTGTGGGTGGTTGAAATTTCCACGGCACCTGTGGATCCGTCATGGGTAACAAAGAATTGAAAATTGGCCGTGATTTTGGCAGAGCTCATATGTAGTGAGCTCGAGCTAATGCCGGAATGAACTCCCGTGGATCAATCAGAGCGTGTCTATCAGAAGCAATGAATTGAGTTGTACACACCCGTACATATATCACATTGGATTCATGGGCCCAGCCAGCCAACTCAACCTCACGAAAAATACTTTGCTGGAGGAAAAGGGGTCCAAAAACAGGGACCAAAGCATACGGAGTAATGGCACGAGGGTCAAATTGCAACTTTTGACAGTAACACGGCTGATCGGATCACAATGGGCATAGATCGGCAGCACTAAGGTTTTGGTTAATGCCGAAGCGAACCCATAGATCCAGCCTGTCATATCGATTCGAGTTGCCCATTGCTCAGGCCAGTATATTGACTTTCTCTCGTGCAGAAGTTGAGCCCACCCGTGGGAATCTTGGATCCATGTCGACGAATGATAGAGAGCATATCTCGGGGGGTGGGGATGAGTTGCAGAGTCAAGGTCTAGAAAATGCTTTTTTCATTCCTAGGTGGTGATTAAAGATTAAGGCAGGACAGCTGCTCAATGAAAGTAACAAGATGAAAGCTTAGTATCATACATCAGTGAGATGATTATAATAACTCCGGGTAGTCAATGCAAAATGGTTAACAACGGATCAACTCTACAAAAATATAAAATGCTATGAGAATATAGAATACCAGCCACGTAACAGTTCAAGCAAGTCATGTCATGTCGTCATGAGAGAGAGAGAGAGAGAAAGAGAGAGAGTGTGTGTGTAGACCATCGCTTAGGATGGGACTCCCAACCTCCGCAACCGCTCTCTTAATACATCCATCTCGCCGTCCGGTTCGTTCTCGCCCTTCTTCAGGGAAACGGATCGATATTCGGTGTCCCCTCCAGGTGCTCCTACTGTCACCCAGACAAATCTGCCGCCACTTCCGCCCGGTTGCGGTCTTTCCTGGGCACCTTCCCAGAATAATCCATCGGATGCAGATTGCTGATCTGAGGATCGTTCGCCGAGGCGGCCAAGCTTAATCCAACCTTTGAGGACAGTCTTCATAAAAGTAATCTTCGGTAAAAACGCATTCGCCTCCAGGATGTCGCGCAGACGCTCATCCTTGGGAGTAGTGCCAGTGCCGTACGCGATGCTAAGGAATGTGCCCGCCTCGTCGGATGCCATGGATCGGCTATCAAACCCAGACGGGTGCATTTTTCCCTTGGAACTCAAATAACGAGCAGCAGACGGGGAGAGATGATAGAAGTCAATCCATGGAGACGAGCTTCTGGTGCGACCGGGCGAGATGACGATCTTGGTATGATCCGGGAAATTAAACTACCGGATTGGACTGTTAGCAGGAGAGGAGGGATGTTGCAGAGCAAAGAAAGAAAAAAAAAATGATAAACTAACCTGGAAGGCGCCATCACCGAATCCCCAGACCCCTACATTGCCAAATCGTTGGTAGAACTTGACAAATTGGCCGTGGTGGTCCGGTGGCAGCTGGTCCTCAAGATACGCTTCGTTTCTTCCCAGAGATCCGATCATATATTCGCCAAATTGGTGGGCCAATTTGACTCGTTTGATCTTTTCCGCATCGGCCCGCGCGCATTCAACACTGGCATTCAATCGGGCTTTGTATACAAGACCGGACGAGGAACTGGACGAACTCTCCCGTTCAAACACGGAAGGGGAGACAAAGGCGCGGCGAATACTACCACGATGCTCAGGCAACTCATTGTCACAGCTCTCGTAGAACTCGACCAACCGTCCATTGCGAGGGACGAGTTGCCCCGCTTCAGAGTAGGCGTATGTCCTATCCTCCTTTTTCTCCTGATGCCGGGCTTTGCGACGGATGTGCTTTTCCCCGTCGCGCATAACGACTCCACTCGCTGGCTGTCCATTACCAGACTTGAACACACACCCGACACTTCCATCATCCAGAACGTACCCAATTCCGTACCGGTTGGTATAGTCGACCCATTTGATGACATACGTATGGGGAGCACGCTTTGACGCTGTCCGTCGTCGAGCAGATGAATAAGGGACCAAGTTGGCCAGCATGTGCCGCAGATCGGCATTGACATCAATGACGGAGGACCGGGGCAGGAGTTCGCACGAGTCATCCTTATGGAAAAGAGGGTGTAGCCCTATCGAGGACCGTGGTTTACTTCCAGATGGTGGAGATGGCTTGCTACCGGATCGGCCTGTCTGTTGAGACTGAGCTTCAGCCGCTAAGCGACGGCTTTGGGCATCCAATTCATCCTTTGCGGTCAAATTGCCGCCGTCTTTGTGGTTCGGGGCGTGTCTGGGTTCGGTCTTGGTTGGAGCACGTAAAGAGCTCTGGCGTGAAATGATCGGCAAGTCTGGAGCTGTAGGCACGGGCCGTTCTTTGGCATTAGGCAGGCCAGTGGATTCCTGGTTCGCTGCTTCCAAGCGCCGGGACTGAGAACGTGTCTTGCCAACAGTCAAAACACCGGCTTCATGACCAGTTTTAGACTCCGTCGATGCGACGTTCCGCGCCGTGTCACGCACTGGCCCCGAAGATGATGCTGACACGCCACGTCGCGCGCGGATAGGCCTCTCAGCAAGTCCACCACTAGGCACAGGAGCGGCATCCTTCAGAGCTAGCTCTCTCACCTCGGGAAGAACTGGTGCTGTTAAAACCGGTGGGTCGCAGAGAGCAGTGATCTTTCGAAGTGATCCTCGACCAATGGATGCCTGCTGCCGAAGGGTCGCTGCATGGCTCTGGGAGGCTTGCCGCCGCTGCTGGGCTGCAGCAAGTGCCGCTTGAGTCCGTGTGAGCGACACCGAGTTGCTTCGCAAGGATAGAGTGCTTCTAGAGGAGAGGAGAGTGGTATCTTGTGAAGCGCCATCCCTACGACTTATTAGCGCCGCATCAGGGATGCTCCAGTCTCCTTCGGGCGCATGAGGATATCTATAAACAATATCTTCGGGCAGCGGAATCACTGGCTGGAGGCCTTTCTCCTCCTCCACCAGACATTCAGCAAACGCAGATTTGGAAGAGTTTTTCCCGGCTGCCTTGCGAGCAGAGCCATCCGGCTTTCGTCCCACACCACAGAGGCTATAGAAGGCTGCCTTGCAAATAGGGTACCGCTGGTTCGGATCATCGACATATTCTATGTAACCCGCAAGCTTCTCATCGTAGTCTAAGCTATTTCCAAACATCATGCGATCTCCACGGGGTTCGTCCGGTTTCAACCAGACTGGCTTAGCAAGGCAACACGCAGGATCGAGCCGTTTGGGTATGCAACCCTCATACATATGGAAGAAAGGGTGCTCGACAATGTCATCGGGATCTGGGCGTTCATTTTCCGCCAGGTTAAGACAAGAGCTGACAAGCGACTTAGCTTCCTCTGGAATATGGTTGGAGCATTCTGAGTCCTTCGGCCAAACGTATGTGAGACTTCTGACTTTTTTATAGATCTCTTCTTGGGTCTTTGATTGGAATGGTGGGTATCCGGTAAGCATTGCAAAGCTAGAAGAATTATTTAGCCCCAGTCTTGAGAATCTCCCATGTCAACAGTCAAAGGAAAAGTCCACGTACCATATCACACCCAACGACCAGATGTCAACCTTCTGTGTGTGACCTCCTTTACTCTTATCAAGTACTTCGGGTGCTATATAATTTGGCGTTCCACATAAGGTCTTTCGTCTCTTCTCATCCTTTTCAGATATTATCATAGCTGCGAGGCCAAAGTCTCCCACTTTAATATCCATATTCTGGTCAAGAAAAAGATTGCCCATCTTCAGGTCGCGATGTGCAACATTTCGCTTATGCAAATATTTCACCGCACCGCATAATTGTATCATGAAGCGCCGCACCTCCGGTAAACTGAGGGACCTCCTCTTCTTAACCATATCCATGACCGATCCATTTGGACACAACTCTAGGATCACGTATATACATTTCTCAAAAGCAAAAGCGCGGTGGAAGGTGACAATATGAGGGTGTCGCATTTTCGAATGGATTTGAAGCTCGGTGCGAAACTATCATAGGTGCCATCAGTAACTATCAATCTTCGGTCCTACAGGAGTGCGCTAGGTACCTTCTCTTGCATTTTTTTCTGTGCCATCTCCGACCTGACGACCTTCATAGCAAAAACGCGGTTATTCCGTAATAAAGTGCCTTCGTAGCAGATAGCGAACCCTCCTTTACCAAGAAATGCGCCTGTCGAGTATCGCTCCCCATCTTCTTCAGGTTCGGCAACCAATGACGGTGGCGGCGGCGCATGGTTCTTTGAGGATGCAGCCTTTTGAGCTGCAGCTGCAGCTGCAGCATTGCGATCTAAAACTTTGCGCTCCATGGGCTTGGGCTTGATCACTTGGTTTGTTGATCGCGGTGATAATGCCTCCATTTTTCTTTTGTTTTTTTTATTCCTCTTCGTCTAGGACTTGCTATCGGTGGGTATCAATAATAGTGGTCGAGACCAATTGTGCAGGGGAAGAGAGACGGGTTCAAATCAGGCAGGGCAGTCGTAACGTTCATCAATTATAAAGAATCAAGCGCGGAAGGGGTATACTGGCGTAATACTGCCTATGTCTCATCAGCATAACCCGACGAAGATAGGAGATGTCGAAATAATATTTTCAGTGTGACCATCGGGCAGCGCATTGAAAACATGCGCTTCAGTAATTGATTCGGCGATGCCAACACCGACCCGAAAAGTAAAAAGAAAGCCAGAAAAGCCCGACCACAGGAAGAAACACTTACCAAAAATCAAACAAAATCAAACAATGCCGCTCAAAACAAGTATATGCATCCGACGCCGCTCCAACCGGACTGAAAGTCTGCGAGGGGGGTGGGGGTGATGGGGGGAGATGAAGGGATGACTACCTTAGAACAACGAGAGGAAATCCTACGACTGGTCTCCAAACGGTTTGCCCGAAACGGCAATCGATAAACATTGATCCGAATGCCGGAACAACGGACATTGCTGACATCAGCGTGCACAAGCACAGGATCATTACTACCTTATCTAGTAAGATAGTTATGTGCACAGATGACGCACCATCTAGCCCGATTAGCTCCCCAAAACAGTAGAAATCATGGACGTCGTGCTAGCCGCTTATTTCCTCGCTCCCTACCCTTAACCTGTAACTCTTCTTCGCCCTCCTCTTCATCATGTCCCTCACATTAAAACTCTCTTCGCTCGCGATTCGAACTCTGTCAAAACCAATCGCCGTATGCTGCCCCTTGCTTTTATGAATCATACAGATACTGACAGCGGGTAGAATCGCATCAAAGCTCAGGCCCGCGAACATGAACGATTTCGGAAAGTCTGCGTCTCCATGGCGCAGGCACTTCATCGGTTCGATATGCGACTCCGGTTAGGTGCTGTCCGTGACAATGCCGCCTCTCAAAAGCGAGCAGCTGCCGAAGCCGCTCTCAGGAAACACAAGCCCACATCTCCCACGGTCAAGACAGAGGCGGAGGCAAAAGCAGAAGAAGATGCCATTGCAAAAGCCAAAGCGGCCGCTGAGGAGGCAGCGAAACCAGCCCCAAAACCCCACATCCGACCCCTCTCGGAATCCAAGGCGATCGAGTCAGGCGCGACATTCATCAGTGAGACATTCTTATTCATTGTGGCGGGTGGGTTGATCGTATTCGAATCGTGGAGGTCCCGACGGAAAGAAAACACCCGAAGAGAGGACGTCGAAACTCGGTTGGCCGAACTCGAAAAATCCGAAAAAGCCGCCCGAGAAGCTCTTCTAGCTGTAGAGAAAGAGCTTCTAGCACAGAAGGCAAAGCATGGCGAGCTGTCGAAATCGTCGCATAGAATCCTGCCCCGCGAGGTCTGGGACGTCGAGAGACAAGAGGAAAGAGAACAAATCGAAGAGCAGGGCTGGTGGGCTTGGATCTCATCCTATCTGCCAGTGAGTCAGACGCCAGAACAACAAGCAGAATCAGTCATTAGGGAAAGTAAGAAGACAATTCCAAAGGTGCCCGCGCCTGTGGGCGAAGTAGTACCAGCACAGAATCCCGCCAGCCCTGACCAGAGTTTGGAGTCGAGAAAGGCTTGAGGGATTCCCTACTCATGGATAGATTCTTTGTGTTTATTTTGTGCAGATATCGTTATAGAACTCATTGCTGAAGGCGCGTGTTGGTGTTTTATATTTTGGATATCCGGGATGCGACGTTTAGATACCCTTCTCTGTTGCAAGGGAGAAGAAGCAGATGACTTGATCTCCTCTCTGACCATTGACTTGTGATACAAGTGTACATAACTCTGACTTGCTATGTGCCTAACAATACAACTCTACCCAACTATGAATACTCAAATCAGTCCTTCCCTTTCCCTTATTCATGGGCAGTTCTGCTCCACGCTTCGGCGCCGTGCCATCTGGAACGTCATCGGTCCTGTTTTAACGGCATCCACATTGGGACTGGAAGGTGTGCGGACTGCTTTAATTCCCCTGCTTAATTATGTGCCTGACTATTGCTCTAGAAAGCGAACTGCAAAACTGCGATCTCAACTTGCAGTTACAGTCCTACTCGTTGTCCCTGAGAATTCTTCTCCTCAGCCCATCCTCCATTCAAGTTTCGGACAGAGAAAACACGTCCTCTCGGTTGATTAACTTCTACCACTCCCGGAATAACTCATATTACCAAAATTATGCAATCGCCCTCTTTCTCTCTGAAGACTCATTTAACAGAGCCAGTGGAAAGTATGATCTGGACGGGCTGTTGGCTCTACAAGCGTTGTACGAAATCTGCCATCATCAGAAACAGATCCTGTTCTGGTACTGACCATGGCACAACATACTGACAGAGTAGTCGAATGTCTACCAGCTCTAGTCCCGATAATCCCCATACCTGACTCATCCTGTTTCTTTTCCTGCCTCGAAGAGTATACGACTAGTCTTGCTGACATACCTTTGCAAACCCCGTCTCTTACAGACTCTATGGCTTTGCTATCTCATGTCACTTCTGCTCACCCCTACGTACTCTCCGACCAGGAGAGGAATATTCTAAGAGATCTGTTTCCGTCACTGAGAAGTATGAGTCAGGCCGTCCGTTCCCCAGAAGGATGGAATGTTCTGGTGGATTATCTCGGAGAAGTGCGAACAAGAGAAATTGCAGATTTCTGGGATCATGATAGGGTCTGTGAATGGTAATGTACAGGAGTGCAACTTAGTTTGTTTGTTTACTTTCTATTGTTATTGATATTATCCTTGATACAGTCTAGTTTCCTAATGAAGTTGAATAAGGTTCTGTTTTAAAACAAAAGTCTGGTCAATATATATAGTCGTTATCCTAAAACCCCAGCTCCATTCAATCCAGGACTACCCCTTATTGCCCCGGACGCATTAAATAATGACAGCTTGAAAGATACACATAAAGTAAAGTCGATCAATCCTGTCTTTATCCGAAGGGATTCCTGTATTGGGCATTAAGGGAAACATTTTCTGTTGATAAATCTTCGAACTATAGGATGCAGGGATGACGTAGGGAGACCCTTCGGCACGCCGATGGAAAGTGGCTGCCTGAGGCTAATGTGCTACTCCTTTTTGAAGTCCATACAAATCAACCTTACATAAAAACGAATACGGAGAATTATCGAGAGGCTTTTGGGAAATCCTATTAATAGTAATAATATATTGAATGTCATGTTGCAGTAAAATTCTGGATCTCCAGGGACAAGGCACCAATTTTGCCGCCAGAACCCTAGGAAGAGGCGAATATTGTCGAGATTATTAACCAGTACCAGACCTTGGATTGTAAGGGATTGCGCGTTGTCGACCTGAAGGGAAGTCGACCCAACGGTGCCACACGTGTATGTGTGTGGCGCAGACGGAGGTTCCATCGGGTGTCCCGCCGAGTAACAATACTAGTAGCAGTGACTTGACAGTCTTGTGTCTTGTCCTCCACAGGCACCACATCGTCATTCCTCCTTCTTCTTCCCCCCATTATCTTGCACCACTCATTCTCCGAGCGTTGTTCCTTTTCACCCTTCTTCACTTTCTTTATTCGTGTGTGTATACACCTGGAATGAGCGACCTTTCTTTTGCGCTCATTCCCCTCAGTTCCTGAACGCTTACTTTACAATACCCCGTTTCTAAACTTATACACCACATATCTTGACGCCTGGGCGCCCAATCCGGGGTAGTCGGTAACAACAACCATGGTGAGTCGCCTCTTACTCTCTGTCTGGCAAACTCCTGCATGCGATGTTGGCTTAGACCTAACCCCAAGAAACAATTCCGCTGATGCACGATTGCAATTAGGGACACTCACGACGTCCTGTTGGCGGGGAGAAGAAGAGTCGAGGCTTCGGTCGCTCGAAGGTCGCTGATGTGGGTGATGGGCGACAAGCGGGAAAACCTCAGGTCAAGAAGGCCACATTTGAGACAACGAAGAAGAAGGAGATTGGTGTTTCGGATCTTACATTGCTGAGCAAGATCTCGAATGAAGCCATCAACGACAACCTGAAACTCCGCTTCGAGCATGACGAAATCTACGTAAGTTGATGTCGCGGGGCATGCGCCAGACCGGGACTAAGTGTTGCCTTTCTTCTAGACGTACATCGGACATGTGTTGGTGTCTGTGAACCCGTTCCGAGACTGTAGGTAGTCCCATTGAAAGGCATGATCAGGGGATGGACATAAGCTGACTGACCCCTTTTCTAGTGGGTATCTATACCGATGGTGTCCTCGACTCCTATCGGGGTAAGAACCGTCTCGAAGTTCCTCCTCACGTCTTCGCAGTCGCAGAATCCTCCTATTATAATATGAAATCCTACAAAGATAACCAATGTGTGATCATTTCCGGAGAATCGGGTGCGGGGAAGACAGAGGCCGCAAAGCGGATCATGCAGTACATTGCCAGTGTATCCGGCGGAAGTGATTCGTCCATTCAACAGACGAAAGACATGGTTCTGGCCACAAACCCGCTACTCGAATCATTCGGTAATGCGAAGACGCTGCGCAATAATAACTCTTCACGGTTCGGAAAGTACCTGGAGTTGGAATTCAATGCTAATGGTGAGCCGGTCGGCGCCAACATCACCAATTACTTGCTAGAGAAATCGCGAGTCGTCGGTCAGATCGCCAACGAGCGAAACTTCCACATCTTCTACCAGTTTACAAAGGCGGCGCCGCAGAAATACCGAGGTATGATTTCTGTCCCTACAAAAGCGAAAATGATCTAATGAACGGTAGATATGTTTGGTGTACAGCAGCCCCAATCCTACCTCTACACAAGCCGCTCGAAATGCTTCGACGTGCCCGGGGTTGACGACACTGCCGAGTTCAGGGATACTCTGAATGCAATGGGTGTGATCGGAATGAGCGAAGCCGAACAGGACAACGTCTTCCGAATGCTCGCCGCCATTCTGTGGATTGGAAACGTTCAGTTCGCCGAGGACGATTCTGGAAACGCTGCTATCTCAGATCAGTCGGTTGTTGATTTTGTCGCCTACTTGCTGGAAGTCGATCCTGCTCAGGTGAACAAAGCGCTCACTATTCGCATCATGGAAACCGCCCGCGGAGGCCGCAGGGGATCAGTTTACGAAGTTCCTCTGAACACTGTCCAAGCCCTTGCCGTACGTGATGCGCTATCCAAGGCGATCTATTTCAATCTTTTCGATTGGATCGTGGGTCGTGTCAATCAGTCCTTAACTGCCAGGGAACCCGTAGCGAACTCAATTGGAATCCTGGATATCTATGGGTTCGAAATTTTCGACAAGAACTCCTTTGAACAGCTTTGCATTAACTACGTTAATGAGAAACTACAGCAAATTTTCATCCAATTGACCTTGAAGGCCGAACAAGACGAATATGCTCGCGAGCAGATCCAGTGGACGCCCATCAAATACTTTGATAACAAGGTTGTGTGCTCGTTGATTGAAGACAAGCGGCCACCGGGTGTTTTCGCTGCCCTCAACGACGCTTGCGCAACGGCGCATGCCGATTCTGGCGCTGCGGACAACACCTTTGTGGGCAGACTAAACTTCCTCGGGCAGAATCCAAACTTCGAGAACCGACAGGGTCAGTTCATTGTCAAGCACTACGCCGGTGACGTCAGTTACTCGGTAGAGGGCATGACGGACAAGAATAAAGACCAGCTGCTGAAGGATCTGCTGAACCTTGTTGGGTCGAGCGGCAATCAGTTTGTCCACACACTTTTCCCTAACCAGGTCAACCAGGATGATAAGAGGCGTCCACCTACTGCTAGCGATAAGATCAAGGCTTCCGCTAACGACCTGGTGGCTACCTTGATGAAAGCTCAGCCATCATATATTCGTACCATCAAGCCAAACGACAACAAGGCCCCGAAGGAGTACAACGTTGGAAACGTTCTGCATCAAATTAAATACCTCGGTCTCCAGGAAAACGTCCGAATTCGACGTGCTGGTTTCGCTTATCGTCAAACTTTCGATAAGTTCGTGGAGCGTTTCTATCTTCTGTCCCCGAAGACGTCCTATGCCGGCGATTACACATGGACTGGTGACGCAGAATCAGGCGCTCGGCAGATCCTCAAGGACACTAGCATTCCCGCAGAGGAGTACCAGATGGGTATCACGAAGGTGTTCGTTAAGACCCCCGAAACGCTTTTTGCCCTGGAGGCTATGCGTGACCGGTACTGGCACAACATGGCCATTCGCATCCAGCGCGCATGGCGTAACTACCTTCGCTATCGTATTGAGTGCGCCATCCGCATCCAGCGATTCTGGCGTCGCACCACCGGCGGTCTTGAACTCATTAAGGTGCGTGATCAAGGCCATCAGGTGCTCCAAGGTCGTAAGGAACGTCGCAGAATGAGTTTGCTCGGCTCTCGACGATTCCTTGGTGACTACATTGGAATCGGTAACAAGGGTGGACCGGGAGAGATGATCCGCAACGGTGCAGGCATTAACGGTAAGTGTAATTCTACTACTTTATAGCCGACAATGTTCGCTGACTTTATGCAAGGATCGGAGGATATTCTCTTTTCTTGCCGTGGTGAAGTCCTGATCTCCAAGTTTGGTCGGTCTAGTAAACCTTCTCCACGGATTCTCGTTTTGGTGAGTGACTTGACGATGCCGGAAACAAATCGTATCCTAACAATTGCAGACAAACCGACATGTATATATCGTGGCACAGACCCTTGTCAATAACCAATTGCAAATTTCGGCTGAAAGAACGGTGCCGATTGGTGCCATCAAAGCTGTCAGCACCTCAAACCTGAAAGACGACTGGTTCTCCTTGATCATCGGTGGGCAAGAACCTGATCCTTTGATCAACTGTGTCTTCAAAACGGAATTTTTCACTCATCTTCAGACGGCTTTGCGTGGGCAATTGAATCTGAAGATTTCCGAGAAGTAAGACTTGTTCATGTATATGTGCTTCCCTCCGCTAATCCAATATAGCATTGAATACAACAAGAAGCCTGGAAAGTTAGCTACTGTCAAAGCTATTAAAGATCCAGCCGCGTCTCCGAACGTAGATACCTACAAGAGCCACACTATTCACACTAGCCCCGGTGAGCCCCCGAGCTCGGTCTCCAAGCCGACGCCGCGAGCGAAGCAAGTTGCAGCGCGACCAGTCACCAAAGGAAAGTTGTTGCGTCCCGGTGGTCCTGGTGGCGGGCCGTCGAAACTGGCGTCCAGACCTGCATCCAGACCTACACCCAAAGCCCAGCCCCTGCCTCAATCGCAGCCGGCTGCGGCACAACCAACTCCTGCCCCTCAGCCAGCTGCCGTTCCTAGACCAGTTCCCCAGCCCGTTGCAGCCGCTGCCGCTTCTCATATACGGAATGCCTCATCTGGCTCCGTGAGAGCTCCACCCCCACCACCACCACCTGCGAGCGCTCCGGCACCAAAGAAAGCAACCGCGAAGGTCTTGTACGATTTCACTAGTGCCCAGTCCAACGAGCTGGACATCCGGGCGGGAGAAGTTGTACAAATTGTATCGAAGGAAGGAAACGGTAAGCCTTTAACTTCTTCATTTCTGTGTTTACGAGGCTAATGTGTTGTAGGTTGGTGGTTGTGCATGAATATGGCAACGTCCGTCCAGGGCTGGACCCCCCAGGCGTATCTTGAAGAGCAAGTCGCGCCTACACCTAAGCCTACTCCCCCACCACCGCCACCAGCCGCACCCAGGGCAAGTCCGGTGCCGTCTGCCAACGGAGCCGCCGCTACTGCGGCCGCAGCCAAGGCAAAGCCGGCACCTCCTGCACCACCTGCGAAGCGCCCGAACATGGCTGGAAGAAAGGCGGTGCCGGCACCTCCACCAGCGCCTCGGGATAGCGCTGTGAGCATGAACTCGCACGACTCATCCGGCGGCAGTGGTCGCGGGACGCCGAACAGTACCTCGAACGCCAGCTTAGCAGGAGGCCTCGCAGAGGCATTGAGAGCACGACAACACGCGATGCAAGGCAAGCACGACGACGACGATGAGTGGTGATTTGACTTGCTTTTCCTTCTACCTTTTACTTATTCCATTCTCATTCCCAATATCCGCTTTTTTTTACCCCGAGTTCTAGTTTAGAGTTTTGCTTTGGATTTGCTGGTCTACTGATACCATGGGATTCATTGTTTGGCGCTGCATGAACCCTGGCTGTTTAGATTATAAAATAGAATTGTTGTGATCAAATTTCACCCTTCAAGAGGCATAGCATGTATTTATTCATGCGTTCAATAGTAGCAGATCATTCTGTATATCATTCTGTCATGTCCAACAATATAACATAAACCATATACCATATTCACACGAAAGAAACAAATTAAACCATTAACCAAACCTATTTGCCCAGGAACTTGCTGGCTAAGCTCATCAACGCCGGCCCACCACTACCGGACGATCCACTACCCTGGTTCTTCATGTACATCTTCAATGCCATCTCAGCGGCCTTGTTAACAGCCGACTGTTTGTCATCGGTCTATAGTAACCCAGATCAGCATTCATCCAAAGTCAAATACACACACAAGAAAAAGAAAAGCAAATAATAAAAAGGAAAACAAAACTCACCACATTGCCACTCGAATTCTTCTGCTCCCAAAGCTTGGCAGCCTGGCTCATCGCCATACCAATGAAGGCATTCTGATCACCGCCGGAAGACCCACCGCTCTGGCCGGAGCTGAACATCTTAAGCGCCTGCATGGCAGCGCCAGCACCCAGAGACCTCGAATCATGGGTTTTGCTGCCATCATCGTCATCGTAGAGCTGTTGGTGGGACTGGACCATCTCGGACTCATCGATGTCGGGGGAGGAAGAGCGGCCTTGCTTGTCCTTGATGAAGTTCAGGGCGGTGCTGAAGAGGGAGGAGTCATTGGAGTTGGAGTCGGAGTGCTGTTGGGCGTGGGCGAGGGCTGGGTTCACGTCGCTGTCGGAGAAGCCATGGGAGGAGGGGTTGGAGTTGTGGTAGCCGCCGTGGGAGGGGGGTGGGGCGTTGTAGGAAGTGTCGTTGTAGGAGGGGCCTCCTCCGTAGCCGCCTTGGTTACCGTGGGAAGGGCGGTCGTTGTAGGAGTCACCTCCGTAACCTTGAGAGGGGCGGTCATTGTAGCCTCCTCCGTAGCCACCTTGGTTGCCGCCATGGGAGGGGCGGTCACCGTAAGAGTCACCTCCATAGCCTTGAGAGGGACGGTCATTGTACCCTCCTTGGTTGCCGCCGTGGGAGGGACGGTCGCCGTAGGAGTCTCCTCCGTAGCCTTGAGAGGGACGGTCATTGTACCCTCCTTGGTTGCCGCCGTGGGAGGGACGGTCGCCGTAAGAGTCTCCTCCGTAGCTCTGGTTGGAACCGCCTTGGTTGTTGTTGTTGCCGCCGCCGCCGCCAGAGTTGTTAGTGGCGTGGCTGACGGCCTGGGAGACGGCGTCTTGGAGGATGTCGGAGAAACCCATATTGATTTTTCTTGGTTGTGATGTTTGAATGAGAGAAGGACAGGAGATGATGTGAAAGGATGGATCAGGGGGAAGTTTTGTTGTTTGTATGGTATTTATCTCCGAGACGAGGAGGGGCTGCGGCTGTGCTTTTTGGTTGAGCTGAAGATCGGCGGTGGGGTTGCCCAGCCACAGCCCCCGACCATTGGGTACCGATCAGATCACACCGATCTTGGTCGCCACACAGGTATTACGTAGGCCTCTTTGATTCGATGGGAAAGAAAAGGCAACAATGTGCAGGAATCAATTCAGTGGTATCTCGTAACGCAGTCAGCAGGCCTCCCAGTATATTGTAGATACAGTAAGACATGAAAGAAGAAAAAGATAGGGTAAAAAAAAAATAAAATAAAATAAAATATGCGGGGATTCCGTAATAGAACGCTTGCGTCGCAAATATTGAATCCCTCGTTCCCGAAAAACGCCCCCGTCGAATATCATTCCCCTTCTTCAGGTTCGACAACCAATGGCGGAGGCAGCGCATGGTTCTTTTGAAGATGAAGCCATTTGAGCCGCAGCGGCCAAGGTAGCAATCCGATTGTTACACCAGTAACATCTCCTCATGTTCTTCGTCGCGTAAATTCCACCAGAAACGCATCTGTCGCTCTCGTTCGCTTAGAACGCATCGCTCATCCTCGTCCAAGTCGGACTCTCGCACCCATTCATGAGGCAAGTCCCGTACTCCGTATCGTTGTCCCCATTGGCGTCGCTCGTATTCCATAAATCCACCGAAATGTTCATCGGTATTGGCAACCCAGACTGTACTGCCGTCCGGAGAGTAGTCCGCACCACCGATTTCCCCAAAGAAGTCGTGCACCTGCCGCGTTTGGTACGTTTGCGCGTTGATGATCGAGACGCGATCGGCCGGTTCGCACAGCAGTAGCGTGCGTGACCCGCCGCCGACCGGCGAATATCGGAGGGATCGATATCCTGCGACGTCCGACTCAATCTTCTCCAGGATGCGCCAGGTCCGTGCATCCCAGATGATCACTGTCTTATCTTGGTTGCTGGTGGCGATATGCCGCATATCGGGAGACCACGCGCACGCAAACCCAAAATCGCGATGGCCCCGGAGGGGATGCACAGGTCGTCCCGTGTCCGCCTCGACGACCCAGGCGTCAGGCGAGTCCCCAATAACACACCGCAAACGTCCATCCGGCGAGGTGGCCGTACAATTGATGGCTCGCGACAGCTCTTGATCTGCAATGAAGGTGTTGGTCTCCACGTCCAGCACGCGGAGGTGCCGGTCGTTGGATGCAAAGATGCCCATCGGCGACCGGCTCGTGCGACTGGGGACGACATCGATATGGTTGGTGATGCCGTTGGGGTCCTTCGTCACGAAGCCTTCCACACTACCTTCCTGCGTGCCCACTGCGCGCACCGCGTATTCACCTGCGAAGCCACCAGCGATGGCAACGTCGTGAGCCGACTTCATAGTAGAGATCTTTACGGGCGCGTGGAATCCGGATTCGGCGGACGGTTTGGACAGATCGATCAAGCAGCTCACGTCATCATACGCAGGCGCCCAGGAATACACTTTTGACTCTTGGGCAAAGTGCACCGTATTGTAGGCTGCTACGGACATCAGGTTCCGGAGTTGAAAGTGCTCGATCGTAGCTTTATGTTTGGTGTACATAGCCTTTTCCCGGTAGTAGAACTCCTCCTGAGATAGTCGCAACCCCGGCCGTTGATTCGAGTACTCTAAGTTATGGTACGACGTATACCAGAGGTCTCGCAGCTCCCGGGCGTCTGCTCGCTTGACTCGTAAGGTCTCCCACCAGGGAATCTGTTGGATGTCATAAAAGTCACCGGAGTACCCACTCGGCCGTGCGATCTTTGCTGGGGGATTCCAACCAAGGATGTTGGAGATGGGACTTGGTGGCATTGCCGTTGATATAACTGGAAGACTCGGTATCGAGGCCGCCGTCGACTGGACAAGCCATTGAGAGATAAACTGGTCGATAGTAAAGTTTCTTTCATGGGCTATCGCACACAAGACAATCAGCATGGCCTCAGTCTGAGCAAGTTATACAATAGAAGGAAGGAAGGACGGGTGGAAGGAAGGCAAGAGGGAAAGCAAGAAAGATAAGTTGGCCCATGTGAGACATGATGATACATACTGGTTCCGTGTATGACTGAGGCAGGAAAGCGGGGATCGCCAGTCAAATCTCCACCACTCCAATCCTCACCATCGGAGGGGTAGTTGTGGTCGTCATGGCCCAGGACTTCTGTTGCCTGCGAGCCCAGGTCATGATCCAAGCCTCGATAGAAATCGTCGTAATCCACCTCCGACATGTCCCCATCCTGGTAAACTTCGGACTGGTCAGGGACATCTTCATCGTAGTTGCCACTCGCTTCATCCGAGTAAAACTTCTCTGCGTCGTCGAGAAGATCATCCTGCTCAGAGATCGGTGTGGACAGATTTTGATTTACGGGGGTGTCGTAGTTTGTAATCAAGGCTGCGGCATCTTCGTCTTCGTCTTCACTATCCTCCGAAATCGTAGAGATGGCGCGCCTGGCTGTTGCGTGATCGATCAAGTGGTGAACCAGTGTCTCCATGCCGAGTGGCCCGTTCTCATATGGCGCAAGGGGTACCCCGCCCAGGTCGGACAATACATCGGTCATCTCTGAATCTGACATGTACAAGTCGGTGGGTGGCGATGAGTGACGATGGGCGGTTCCCTCACCCCCTTCCCCTACGCGGCGGAAATAAGTATCGCGATCGATCACCGCATTTACGACCTCGGAGACAGCCAAAAAGTTGGCTTCATTGGTATCGACGCTCGGGTACTGAGGCAGCGCCATGATGGCAGAGATACCCGGGTCTGTCGGGTCGAAAGCCCTTGAGACCGCATCAGTATCGCTCAACACCGGTTGCTGATCTCTTGTCACCGGGACGCCTTCTTGGGTGGAAGAAGAAGGCCGACGATGCTGCGACGGGGCCAGGGTGTCACATGATGAGGAGCCGGGCCTCGTATCACCGTCACCTGGGCATACTGACGAGCTGGACGACGTCAAGGAGATATCAGATCCACTCTGATTAGGCATTGCCGTTTCATGGAGCGCCTCGTTCGGAAGCCGACAACTCGACCACAAGAACTTCGCGCAAGCCGCGGGAAGGCAAACAGAATAGCACTAGACGAGACCAGGACGTAATGTAGCTGAAGGGGGCCTGATTGGCACGGGAAGTCACACAGGAACAGCGAAAACCGTCCACGTTTCTCTCGATCGGGATCAGAGATCTTGGCCCTGCAACCCGTCGGTCACCCCGCAGCTTCGTCTCCCACCAATCCCCCCCACGCGGAGAACACGGTCAGGTTGGGCGTAAAAGGATGCCCTCAGGTGTCGCACACTGAACTTGCGGCTCTGTGTAAGGCGGGAGTCAAGTTATACAATGTGGTTGGTATGACAAAAGTGGAAGAGAATGAAATTGTTTGGAAGAGAGGGAGAAAAAGAGGGGCGGTGTTTCCAATGAAAAAGAAAGTAAGTTGTTACGGAGTGAGGAAGTAAAGGACTAACTAACACTCCAGCGAGTTGCAGTAGTTTGATGTTCACCTCCCAAAATGGGAACACCAAAAAAAAAAAAAAAAA